GGAAAAAATTAACATTCCAGAATATTAATTAAGAAATTTTTGAATTACTGAATCAAAATTCAAAAAATTTGTTTTAGAACTTAGAAAAAAAAATGAATACAAAAATAATTTGTTTTAGAAATTAAAAGAAAAACAAGAATTCGAAATTTTTAATTTTTATAATAAAAATTCAATCGAAAAAATAGTTCACGAGTAATAAAAACTTTCGTAAAAATTCTCTTTCATTCTTTATTGATAAAAATTTCAAAAAATTATTCCGATTTTATGTTATGTGAAAGATTTTTTCCTAATATATATTTTAACGATTTATTATGGCAGTAAAAAAAGATTTTAATTGCTAATTTTTTTGGTAATTATTACAAATCAAATAATAAATCGTTATTATTATTTATCACTATTGCAAATTATTTTAAATGACTTTATATTTTGTTACAAAAAAAAATAAAAAGTTTCCGAAATTTCTATTTCAAAATAATTTCGAGCATTACAAATTTTTACATTACATTCAGTTTATATATCGATAAATGGGTAATATTTTTACTTTCTCATCACTCATGGTGTTCACGAGAAAATAAAAATATATATATAGTTATATATCTGGCCATGAGAAAGTATTTTAATCGTGTGAGTCTTCGTGCCTGACTTTTTAGCGGAAGTATATATTTTAAATGTAAATGCAAACAAAAGTTCACTTGTTCATTTCATTAACTTTCAAAGGTGTTTATAAATAAGTTATATTTGTTTTTCCAGTTTTTTTCCCAAAAAAAAATATATATTTATATTAGAGAGTATAGAATCAATTGCCTCTGAAATTTACGATTGCCAACATTTTTTTTTTAAACAAGTGTTCACTAATTAACAAAATGTGAAAGAAATATTTAAGTTAAAAAACCGGTTTCTAAAAGTTTGCTCTTTAAATCAAGTAAAAAGTAAATTTTCCCTGTAACATTTAGAAGAAATATTTACAACCAAGATAAAAACTATAATTTAGTTTCAAATTAATGTTTAATCAATTGATATATTAAAAAAATAGTAAAAAAAATAGTAAAAAAATAGTAAAAAAAAAATAAAAAAAAATAGAAAAAAATAAATAAAAAATTTGTTTTTAAGAAAAAATTCTCTAAATTTAAAAAACTTAAATATTTTTGTTAAAAATAGAAAGCCTTTTTTTATATGGTTCAAATTTAAATATATATTTGAACTTTCTAGTATCGTAGAATTTTGAAATCTTTTTTTTTTTTTTAACGAGAATTTCAGGTAAATAACGACAAGTAACGTTTCATTCCATTTATAAACATATTGAGTTTGGCCAGACAAAAGTTCATTGTCCAGCGAACAAGCTATCTATCATCGATATTCGATTCTCGCTTTCGCGTTTGAAAAAAAAGGAGACACAGAAAAGGCTTTTATGTGTACAGAAAAAAAAAAATGTTATGCTTCAATAGGAACATAATTCGATATAAGAAATCATGATTGCCTTTAAGAAATTTTTCTAATTAATTAAATTAATAAAAAAAATTAGTTTAAAATTTCTTTTCGAAATATTAAAAAATATTTTCCAAATTCATAAAAATTCCTTTTTGAATTCCAGAGAGATATTTTTAAAAATATTTTAAATAAACAAAAATCAATTTTTATTTTTTAAGGCGAACATGATGCCAAAATGCATTAGTGGAAAGATTCAAATTTAGTCTCTTGAAGAGATCATCATAAAGTAAAAAGAATTTTTTTTCGTACAGAAACGAGTACATCTATTTTCAGGTAAAAAAAATTGTTTTTGCTGTCATTTGAAAAAATTTAATCAAGAGAGGAAAAAAAAAGAGATTTGAAATTGAGCGCATCGTCGTGGGTGTATTTGGAAAAAAGAAAGAGAGAGAGGGAAAATGAGAGGAAGACAGAAAGAAAAGAGAGATAAAATGATAAGTGGGAGGCCAAAGGCGCCTCGAAAATAGATCGCGTGGGTACGACAGCTCGTTCTACACCTCAGGAAAGCAAGAAATGGCATAACACCTCGTGTCTTTTTTCTCTCTCAAAAAAAAAAAAAGAAATATTTTCATTTCCATAATCAAACGAATTCTTTTTTTTCAAATTTTGTATTATTATTTCTGTATCTCTCTCTCTCTCTTTTTCTATCACAAATTTGTGTGATGACAAACGATCGATTTAGGAGACGCGAACATGTAATTTATATTCAGTTGCGTGCCACATAAAAATCCAACTTTCAAGGCCTATTCAAGGTCAGACGAATGCATTTCTTAATTCCATCCACGACGACGAAGTTCACGAACGTTCATATATATATATATATATGATTCTTTCTCAACCTTTACTTCCTAAATTGGCGAAATCAAAATGAAATGATTTCATCTACAAAAAAAAAACAGAGACAATTATTATAATAATAAAAAATTATGTCTTAAAAAAATAAATTCTTACAAAAATTAATTCGTTTTAATTTGTCCCATGTTTTAATAATCCGTTAATTTAATAGTTTTGCCAAGAGGGATTTTTCCCAAGAATTATGTGTTTTATATATACGAATAAACAGTAAAACATTTAAACTGGACTCAAGTTCTTGAAAAGTAACGTATCAACGTATTATCCGTTAAGTGCAATTCCACTTTGCGAAAAAAAAAATTCTCAGCCTAGTAGACATGGACCTAGAATCATTGTTTTAAACTTAAATTTACAATTAAAAGAAAACAATTTTTTAAAAATATTTTCTTTTATCAGAGAAAATAAATTAAAAATTTGATTTTAAATTTCGAAAATAAAATACAATTTTTCCAAAATATTTTCCTTTATCAATCGAGAAAATAATTAAAAAATTTGATTTTAAATTTCAAAAATAAAAACATAAAAAATAAAGGTCATAATTTTTTTTTTTTTTTGATTGTTGAAAGTTAACTCAATTCGCTTTGGAAATTGACTAATATCTCGCTAAACGAAATTTTGGCACTTGTTAAATGAAATTCGTGCCAAGAATTCACGACCTTTGAGACCGGCGACCCCACCTTTGCAATCAGCAAATTATTTTGTTTGACAATAAGACATCAACGATCATTGATCTCAAACAATAAAACCTTTTCGGAATTATTGTAAAATTACAAAATTAAATTTTAATAGAAAAAGAAATATTTTAATATTGATAAATTAGAGATAATCGAAATATATAGGAAAAATGTTACAGAATGGTGAGAAAAAAAAGGTCAATTTTAAATTGACCTTTAGTTTATTAAAAATAGGCAGACATAAGAAATACATAATCGAAAGCAGAGAGAAGAAAGATCGCAACACCACTTATAAGGAATAAAGAATTTCGGTCATATCCAATTTTAGTATAAGGTCGTTCAATTATAAGTTCATTGACGTTCAAAACAATCAATCGTATAATATTTATTTATAAAGTCATTCATTTAAAGAATAAATTAACTCTCTCAACTATAATTTTTAATTAAATCAAATTTCTCAATTGAACTTTATTGATTTTACTTTTATTTTTATTACATTTTAATTTAATTTTTAATATTTTTAAATATTTTTCAAATATTTCAAATTATTTCCTACAAAAATTATTTTTTATTTATTATTAAAAAATTTTTTTTTTGAAAAGTAATAAAAAAAAAATACTAAAAGATTCTTAAAAATTTCGAAAATACGAAAAATATTGAAATTTCGAAATTGCTACTTTCGCTGCAAAATTTAATTTCTTGTTGACCTAATTATGTCCCTTGGTTGATAAAGTTTGTCAAGGCTCCTGGTGTCATCCAATTGCTTTACAGATTGATATATCCGTCAAGGATTAACACACGTCAAGTGTATCGAAAAAAAAAATTGATTTTTTAATGAATTAATTTTTTTTCTGCCTGAAAAAGAAAAATGATTCCTTTTTCTCAATCAATCTTAATTCTTCAAATGTTCAAATTAGTGAAAATTAATTAAATCGTTAAACCAATTGACAAACAGGAAAAGAACAGTAAAGATCAAGGTAATATTCTTTTTTTTTTTTTTACAGGAAGAAGATTAAAAGACCTGAGCAAAAAATAAAAAAAAAAACTTTATCGAAGAATCTTTCCTGACATCAACAATCTTGACAAAAACGATCAAGGCCAAATCTAATAAAATATTAATTTGTTTGAAATTAATGTATAAGTAAACAATGTTAAAAAACACACAATTTGTGCTCTATTTGCCTTTAAATATAAAAATTATTATTCTCATTATAATTTTTCAAATGTAAAATTGATCTATTAAATAAATCGTAAAATTTGGTTTTATAAGTATCAATAATCATTTACGAAAGGAAGCTTTTACGACCTCAATTGTTTTCTATTTTTTTTTTAAATAAAAGCAAATTTAAAAAATTCCGAGAAAAAAAAATATAATTTATTCCCTTTTTATATAATAAAAACTCGTAAACAGATTATGGATTTAATTCTTTTTTATCTCATTGTCTAAATTGTCAGATTAGAAGATCAAACAAAATTTGACTCTGAAAAAAAAAAAAATTTCACAAAGGTCATTTTTTTGAATCAGGTGTGTAACGAGATTCAACGACTCGGAAGAATGTGATTTACGTAACGAACTTGTGACAGAGAGTTTGAATATAGCGAGTATTCGCATGTTGCAATAAGACATGGCGCCATTTTAAAGAACTTGGATTTTTTTTTCCCAAAGGTTTCAAAAAATTGGGCAATAGAAAACTTCTTTCAATGAATTAAAAATTGCAAAATCGAAGATTCACAAAAAAAAAAGAAATCATTTGCAATTCAAATTTAAATCCCTTTAAACTACTTTATGAAAAAATAAAAATCCGATTAACAAAAACGAATTAATATCGAAAAAGCAATTCATTGTTATCTTATCTCTCATATGACAATATTAACCTGTAATCGCGAGATAAGATTTTTCCACTTTGAAATTCCAATTAAAAAAAAAAATGACTTAACAGGTTTTTTTTTAATGTTAAATCGAAAAAAAACTCAATTTTAAAAAATTACCTTAAATACTTCAGAGAAGAATCCAGAGCCAATTTTCTCCATGTAGAAATCATCGAGACGATTTAAAGATGCAACAGCATGCCTCAATGCTTGACATGATGCTCCAGTTCTTCTTTTAGTTCCAGATTCCTGTGATGCATCAGCTGAATAAATATTTAAATTTGTTATTGTTCCTTCCATTTCGGTTGGTCGCCATGGATCGCGACATTTTTCACGATCCTTATAACTTCTTGGACTTGATTGTAATTCAGTTGGTAATTCACGTGTAAAATTCGTACAATTTTTTCTATTATCAATATCGGACATTTTCGATGATGTCAATGTTGTGAAATCAATTTTTCCCGAACAAATACTACTACTACTACTATTATTTGGAAGTGTTGATTTTATTTTATTACGTCGTGATTCTGTTGTATTAACATCAGAGCGTATAACTGGTGATAATATTGTGGAAAGATCACGAGATACTTGTTGAATGTTTTCGATATTTAGAAGACCATCAGGCGAATCAATTTCGGAAGATCTATTATTGGGTGTTGACTTGGCAACTGGAGGTGGAACAATTCTTGATTGATCTCTATTAACTAATTGATTATCGCTAATTCTCAATATATCCTCATCATCATCATCATCATCATCATCATCGGAGTATTCACGGTTTGGCATCGATGACTTTCTGACAATTTTGGATACCGTTTCATTATTATGATTTAGGCATGCCAAATTTGAGAAAGAGGAAGTTTTGGACGATTTGGAAGCACCATTGTTTGATACACTAGGACAATTTGGATTTGAGGAACATCTGTGAACAATATTTAATGAGGAGCCAAGTTTTGGATTAGATAAATTTTTTCTCGACTCTTTGGAGGGAGTTTTTGCGTTGGCACACGCTGGAGAATTTTTTAAACACATTGTTTCTGTTTTATAGAATCTTGAAATTTCTGATAAATTATTGGAAGGCTGAATATCACACGATAAATCCTTAATAATTGTCTCTGGATTTTTTAATTTCCAGGATGACTTGTTGTCATCAATGTCAATTGCAGGTCCGTCCTCAGATGATTTACCCAATTTTTTTGATGATACAACAATGGGTGGACCTGGTGTATTCGATGGAGGCACTTTACCAAACATGCTCAATTTTCCCCGAAAAAAAAAAAAAAAAAAAAAAAAAAAAAAAAATTAATAATAATAATCACACAATTCGTCGATTATTTGATCTGATTTTTATTATTAAATGATGATTTTCTAAGTTTTGTTCGGAAATTGGTGAAAGTTTTGGCAGTGAGATCCTTGGAATGAGTATCATTCTAAGTGCACTCTTTTAGACTTTTGGAAGATATTTATTATTGTTCTTTGGCTAATCTATTCTTGATTTCATTATTATTATTAAGGGAAAAAAATTATCAGGAATTTGACACTAAATTTGGCACATCTTGAATCTTCATATTTTTAGATTATTAAAAATCTTCTTGAAACTCTGTAAAAAAAATAACAAGGAGTTTTGAAATATAAACAAACTTTTTTTTAACAATTTTCAGGTTAACAATTAAAAAGTGATATTCTAACTTTAAATCGCGAGATAAGAAATTATAAGACACACCTTAGTGTTCAAAGATAAACAAAATATCTATATTTTTATACTACGCATTTATAAATTAAACAATGTTATGTGTAAACAAAAATACAATAATATAAAAAATAATAATTATTATTATTTAATAAATCAATTTTATTATGTCAAATTCTTCTAATTACAAATTTTTAAAATGATATCACTGAAAATTATGGAATCGGAAATTATTCTCGAAACACTGTTGTTTAAAAATAGTCTCTAAAAATGAAACGTTAATTCCTAATAAGATTTTCCTGACCTTGAATAAAAAATTTACTGACCTGTTAAAGGAAACACTTGTCATTTACTTAATCCAATGAAGATTTCTATTTAATTGACGTTTTTGAAGCACATCCAAAAAATTAGATACGATAATAGTAAAAAGAAATCTCTCTCTCTTCTCCTGTCACTTTTGTTTACCATCCAAAAATCGAAACTAATATTACTATAGAAATTTCAATAACGAACTGGTAACATTGAATATTTTTGTATACACATTTTTTTTTTATATATATAAATTATAAAGCACAGCAGAGATGATTTAAAAACGAAAAATTTTAAACTTTTTTTTTTTCACTGGAGTTTACACAACAGTCACTGTGAATTGAGATAAACAGAAATAAATGAACTTCTGTTCCGATGAATTACAACGAAGTTTAAAGTCGGAATTTATTTTTCGTTATAAACACCGTAAGATTTTTTAATACACAACTAGCGGACACTTTCCACTTTCGGTAAATGTTGAATAGAACTGGATTTACGTAAAGTGATAAAGCGGTATCTCCCACTTTTATTTAATTCTATAAAGACGATAGACAATTCACCGACAACGCCAGACGGCGGCCATTACAGCAATGAATAAGCTCTTCTTATCGTTGCGCCCTCTTGCCGCAATACCCCAAACTAATCTCACCCCCCACCACTACTCGAATCAAAAGTTTGTTTATTTATTTAAATTGAAAATCAATGAAAAATTGATTTAAAATAAAGTAAATTAATACGTGATAGAAAATTTTCAACTTAATACAAAAAAAATTAAATTTCTTGATTATTACTTTTTTTTTTGGTTATAAAGAGAACACGGTTAGTGAAATTACTATTTTACTTTTTAATTGAAAGTTTTCGATGCGTAAAATTTCGTGAAAAATTTCTATTTTACCCTTATAGTAATAGTGCGTTCATTCTTCTCCACTTTTTTTTTTTTTTGCCACGAAAGAAAGTCTGAGAATCCTCTCATATGCATAAACTATGCCTTTCACCATTTTTATTGCTAATTAAATCTCATTAGATTACATTGTATTTGCTTTAGTAATTAAAAAATAACCCCATTAATAAATTTTTTTTTTTTGAGTTAATTATTGTACTTTTTTTTGATTGAATAGAATTAATATTAAAAATTCCATCGTTACTTTCAACTGTCTTTACGAGATGATTATTTAATTTCTTTTTGTAACATAAACATTATTCAAAAAAGTTGTATTTAAAAAAAAAAAATTCAAATTTTGAAAATATTAAAAAATTTGTCTAAAACCGGAACTGTGGAACGATTGTTTTGAATTTGAATTTGATTGGTTCCGCCTAACTGAATCCGGAAATTGAAATATAGTGAAAGAGAAACGAACGGAACGAAACTCTTAAAATCTTCACAACTGCACGTGGATATAATATTTATCCATTTAATTTGTTTTAAAAGCAGTTTTACAGTTAATATTGTTGTTTTTTAAATTTGTGATTTATTAAAATGGCGAAATTTTGTTTGAGTAAGTACCAAAAATTGAATCAATTCAAATTTCATTTGAAAAATTTGTTTTCTTTATTTTTAGGTTATATTGTAGTAATATTTTTTTTAACAATTACAGTATTACGTATTATTTATTTTGTTAAAGGTGTTAATTAGTTAAATTAAAGATGCTAATTTAATTATTTATTCCTAAATGTATTAATTTTAAGAAAGTAATAAGTATCTGTACTATAAAATATATTTGAGGTTATGTTTAACAAATATTTATTATTGACCTTATTGACAAATATATTGTAAAATTGTCAAATTTTTTGAAATAATTTTAGTTAATGTAATTTAATTTTTTTTTTAGAAAAACCATCAAAACGAATTGAAGCTCGAAAACGATATAAAATTGAAAAGAAAGTTCGTGAACATAATCGAAAGCAAAAAAAAGAGGCAAAAAAACATCCGAAAAGTAAGTTTGAAAAATATTTATAAATAAATGTTATTTAAAAATAAAAATATGTTATTTAAATTTTTAGAAAAGCAAAAGTTAATGCAAATACCGAATCAATGTCCTTTCAAGGAAGATATTATGAAGGAAGTAGAAGCCTTAAAACAACAACGAGAAGAAGAAAAACAAAAGCAACGAGAATTGGCGAAAGAACAAAAACGTGAAAAACTTGCAAATGGTGGTTTACAGGGATTAGTTTCTGATGCTGAGAAAAAAAGAATTGAATTTGAAAATTTACTTTCTTCAAATAGCAAAGACAGTAGAGGTCTTGTTTTAAAGGAAGAAAATTCTTTAAAAGCATATTATAAAGAATTCAAAAAAGTTTTAGAATCTGCTGATGTTATTCTTGAAGTTGTTGACGCACGAGATCCATTGGGAACTAGATGTAAACAGGTAATTAAATTTTTTAGAAACAATTTTATGAAAATTAATTTTATTTTCTTAATTGTAAAAAAATTTGCAAATTTTTTAGGTTGAAGAAGCAGTTCGTCAAGCAAAAGGAAATAAAAGACTGGTGATAGTTTTAAATAAAGCCGATTTAGTGCCAAGAGAAAATTTAGATCAATGGCTAAAATATTTGAGAATAAGTTTACCAGCAGTTGCTTTTAAATCATCTACTCAAGATCAAGCTAATCGTTTAGGAAGAAGAAAATTGGGGAAAAAAAAACAAAGTATGATACAAAGTGGCACTTGTTTTGGTGCTGAATTATTGCTTTCTTTGCTTGGAAATTATTGTCGAAATAGTGGAACAGTTAAACACAGCATTCAAGTTGGAGTTGTTGGCCTTCCAAATGTGGGAAAATCAAGTGTCATTAATTCTTTAAAGAGAAATAAAGCGTGTAATGTAGGAAATACGCCAGGTTAGTATTTTTTATAAGAGAATTTTTTTTTTTATATTTAAATATTTATTTATTTTATCATTTAATTACAGGAGTAACGAAATCAATGCAAGCGGTACAATTGGACTCGAAAATTAAACTACTAGACTCACCTGGAATTGTATTCAGTGCACCGTCAAAAGATCAAAATGATCAATCGTCAGTTGCTTTGAAAAATGCTGTGAAAATTGAATCAATTAAAGATCCATTTACGCCAGCTTCTCTTATTTTAAAGCGAATTTCCACACCACAACTTATGGAACTTTATGATATTCATGAATTTTCAACTCCTGAAGAATTCTTCTCAAAGAAAGCGGCTAGAATGGGAAGATTTAAAAGAGGAGGAGTTCCTGATATATTAGCTGCGGCACGAAGTGTTTTAACCGATTGGAATTCTGGAAAAATAAGGTAAATTAAAAAAAAAATAAACTTAATTTATTTTTTACTAATTAAAATATTTGTAGATATTATACAGTTCCACCTGAAGAACCAGTTTGTCAGTTATCGGCTGAAATTGTCACTCAAATGGCAAAAGAATTTGACATCAATAGTATTGCCGAAGAGGAGAAAATGTTGTTGGATGGTTTTGAAACTGACGCAGCGAAGACAGGAGCTGTAAATTTAATTATCGATAGTTCCGGTCCTGTTGAAGCATCAATGGAAGTTGATGAAAAAAAAGAAACGGTACTTGAATATTTTATTTATTAAAAAATTAATTTATTTATAAAAAAAAATTTCAAAATTAAATGTTTATGTTAAACTGTATAAAAAAAAATGTTCTATAACTTTTTACAGAAAGTAATAATGCCGCCGAAAAAAGTGAAAAAAGATGTAAAAGCAATTCAAAAAAAGAATACAACGCAAAAAAAGAAGAAAACCGATCCTCTATTTGAAATCGAGGGAAATCAGAATTTGAATAAAATCAAAAAACTTCAGTTTAAGAAAGAAAAAAAGGAACGTGCAAGAAAGGGTAAGTGATTTATTTTTTTAAAATAGTAATTATTTTATTCTTAAAGAGGAAAACTAAAAAAAGAAAAAATTTTGTTTAGAAAAAGAAGCCGCACAATTAACTAATCAACTGGATCAAATTTCCGTATCCGTTAACGATGATTATGATTTTGATACCGATTTTAAAACACAATAATTAAAAATCAATTTTTAAAAACTTCGTGTATATATAGGCCACCATTAAAATCGCAAATTTATTAAAATAAATTATCAATTTGATTTGTAAATAGAATTACAATTTTTCCAATAAAGCATTCTTCAAGCTTTAAAATAATTTAAAATAGTTTAGATTTTTCTCCATTGTGTAATTTAATTTTTTTCCGCAAATTTAAAAAACTAATAGTAAATAAAAATGGTAATATAATAAAAATAATTTAAAATAATAATAACGAAAATCACGAAACAAAAAATAATAATAAAAATCAGTAAATTCAAAAAATTATTGATGATAGTTTATTTATTAAAGTAAAAAAAAAAATATAAGGAAAATAAACTAAAAACAGTTTACATACCTATTTATATTTTTAATTAATGGGAAAGTATTTCTTTTTTTTTTAACAAGAATTACACTTTTCACGTGTACTTTTGTATTATATGTACAGCGTTTTTTTTTATCATGAAACTTTGATAATTATAAACAATATAATTATATTTAGATATGAAAAACGTGGATAATGTAAAATTAATAGTGACGAAGGCTATTTTAATCGGTAATTGTTATCAGAATCAGAAAAGTGGGGCAAATTCTGCATTCACAGGAACTGAAATAAGAAGAGGGGGAATCACTCACGTGTACTGCTGCGTGAGAAGCGGGAAATTTATTGCAAATACTCAGTTCAAGTAGAACCTTTCGTGAAAACGGTTCATTGTGAATATTTCTTTAAAAAAAAAAAAAAAAAAAACACTACTTTATAGAAAATAATTTTTTCGAAAAAATAACAATAATTACATTATCTATGGATTTATTCCTTAAATCAGTTTATAAAAAACAGTGTAATTATTCAATACACTTGTGTATAAATAAATTGAATAATTTATCGAGAAATTTATAAAACCAAATTCGCGATTTCCGGGTGAGCGAAAAAACAAAAAAAAAACATGTGATATTATAGAATAATAACAACGATTTTAAAATAATAATTAAGCGCGTCGCGTTTAAAGTTATTTTTCGGGGAAAAAAAAAGATTCTCTATTTAGAAGTGAAAATGTCGAAATCTGTCATCATGGAAATATCTACGGAAAATGCGAAGATCACCGACTCTGGATATTCAAATTCGTGTAGCAATAATAGTCGATCTTTGAATAGGTATGTTGTTTATTTATAAAAAAAATTTATTTAATCTTCTTTTTTCAGAAATTTACCTTTTTTTTATTTTTTTGGACTGAAATATAAAATTTGCAGAATTTAACAATAAAATTTCTTTGGAAGATTAAAATAGTAGAAAATAATAAATTTACAATTCATAGTCACATTGGCGTGTTCAAATTTTTCTTATTATTCTGAATTTACAAACAAAACTAATGGCTTTATTTTAAAAGTGACTGTATTTTTATTTGAAATTAAAAAATTAAAATATATATATAAAATAATAATAATTTTATAAATAATTAAATACAATAAGAGAGTATTTTGAAATTTTTATTTCATAATTTGAACGGAAATTTTTGCAAACATATTTTTAATTTTATTATACAAATTAATTTTTTTAATTCAACTTTCTATTTTATTTATTATAAAATATCTTTATTATTATATTTTTTTATTGTTATGCAATATTGTAATGTTACATAATGTTTCAATAGAAGACCAGACCAATCATTACAATAATAGATACTCAACTGTAAAGCAAAATGATTACATATCTTCTTTTTGTTTTATTTTTTTTTTTTTAAGAAATTCTCATTCAAATTCAATCTCGAAATAGAACAATTTTTATATAAAAAGGGGGGAAAATTAAATTTATTTTTAAATTTTAATTATTTTCTTTTATTGTACATTATTTTATTTTATTTAGATATACTATACATATATATAATTATCTAACAGAAATATTGACTTTATTTTATATAAGTAGGGGGAAAAGAAGGAGTACTTTCGTCAATTTCAGAAACGTATTTTCCAAACAATTGATCAGATTTACCTTTATTTATACTATTGTAATATTAATTATTATTATTATTCTATAAATAAAGAAAGAATTGATTTATCAAAAATTGGTCAGTTGCAGGACCTTATCTAATTCTTTTATATTTAAAATCGTTATTTGGAACAATTGTTGGTAGCGTTTTATTTTTATACTTTTGTAATAATAATGAATGGAAGTTTTATTAAAATGAAAATTTAATATATTTTATTAATTTTAACGTTTGATAATTTTTTTAAATTAAAAATTTTAATTTTCTTTTAATGTCATTAAGACATTTTGTTAAAAAGAAAAATCTTCTTCGCATTTAATTTTTTTTTTCTCGTTCTATTTATATAAAGGACGATGTACGTCATGGACTACATAAGTGTTCACGGTGTATAAAACGTGCAAATAAGGGATTCATGGTTATACAACCATTATATTAATTTCACATTGTCTGTTTTCAAAAATATAAATTGTCTCATCAATTTCATTTGTAAACGACTAATTAATTTATTTTTATAATTACTATTAGTCTCTTGAGATTTTATATCAACTTTTTATATATTTATATAGTCTAAAGGATTTTTACACACATGCATTCATATTAGTCACGTTTGAAGAACACGTGAAATAAGATAAATAAGACATTTAAGTGTGTATGCTGTAACCCCTCCATGTGCCACCTGTAACACGTGCATTTGCATTGTCAAGAGCGTGAGGGTTTCTATTTTTTTTTTTTTTTTTTGATAATATATTTTCTATTTTTATATTAAATATTTAAAATAAAATATAGGGTATTAAAAATAAAACAATTCCAAGGGAAATTGGAGTTTTTAAATTAAAAACGTGTTTGAATCGTTTTTTTCCTGTTTTTGAATTATGAAACACTCTTCTTTTTGCAAAAGTAGATTTTTCGCGTGAAAATGCATTTTTTGATTTAAAAACAAAAGGTGAATTTTAATTTTCAATTTGAAATAGAAATTTCAAAATTATTTCCTTTTAACATTTATGAAAAATGAATATCTTTGTATAAAAATAAATATTTTAAAAATAGAATTTCCAATCTAATTAATTTCTTCTTTTTCAGCAATGATTGTTCAAAATCGAAAAATAGCAACGGTTCAGGCAGTTATGGCTATGGCAGTGAACTTCCATCTAATTTTGGATCCAGGTAAAATATAAATTATAATTTATCTTCCAGGAATTTTTTCATTAAAACTATTTTTTTTTCTACCACTATATTGTTGATCACTTTTTATAGAGGAAAAAACATTTTTTTTTTCTCGTTAAAGAATTTTTGTTGTATTTTTTTTCTTTATGTATTCAATGTCATCTTTTTATGTACATGAATAGAACTGAAAAAAATTTTCTTAATTAAGGCAGATTTTTTTCAATTCACATAATTTGAAGAGAAAAAAATTCTGCTTTATATTGAAGAATATTTTTCATTTCTTTTGTGAACAATCGTACACCTGACACTTAATTTCCTCCCGTTTCAATATACTTCAATTTATATTCTTCTTTGAAGAAGAAAAAAATTTAAATCATTACAAAAAAATTCAAGTTAAAAAAATAATTTGAAAAAAATTCATATAAATTGGCTTCTATATTTAAATTGTATTATTAATTTTAATTATTTTAATTATTTCTTTTTTATTATTTTAATTATCAATTTATTATTTTACTAAATTATAAAAAAATAATTTAGTTTCTGATAAAATGTAACGTAAATTAATTTTCTAATAACGAAAATTTTTTTTTTCATATTTTATTGTACCGACTGACACAGACTTATCCAATAAGTATCTGTATCATTTAGATGGTATTCTATATTCTTAAGGAAACCTTAACAAAAATATTTTTTTTTTTAAATTTTCCATGTTTGAGATACACGAGGTATTTTTTATACGTTTTATTATATAATAATTAATATTGAGGTCAAACATTCACTGCTATTAGGAATAAATAATGTTTACCTTGTAAAACATTCGAGTTAACATTAAATAAATAATAAATCTTTAAATAACTTTTTTTCAAATACAACAAATTATAATTATTGAATTCATTTATTTATTACACAAAAAAATTTTTTTAAAATAAAATTTGCATTTTTAAATTTAATAATTTAAATATTTTTAAAGAGAAAACTCTTTTTTTTATTCCTAAAAATAGTTGTGGATGTAATATTTAAAAAAAAAAAAAAGTAAAATATTCAAGTTAGAAATCTTATTATTGCCATTTTTAGTTTAATCGCGTTTTATATAACTTAGTAAGATTGAAAACAGGGAGTCACGTATACCAGAATTTCGAAAGAAAGATTCACGTTGACGAACACGTGAAAATATTCTACTGGCTCCGTAATGCTGTTTTTAACTGGTATATACGCATCGAATTGTCTATTTATATAGTACAAATCACAAATACATATTAGTATTACCTTCATATTTATAAATCGTCCCTCACATATATTTTTCAAAAGCAATTAAACATTCCCATTTATTTTTTTTTTTTTTTTTTAGATTTCCAGCAAATTTTTCCCAAATTTATTAATATAGAAAAAATTTTCTTTAAAAATTATTTCGAGAATAAAATTTAAAAAAAATATAAAAATTTATAATAGTGATCATATATTTAATTATTAGAAAAGAAAAAGTAAATTTTCTCTCATTTCTTGGAAATGAAAATTAATTTTTTTTGTATTAGAAAAACAGTAACAATTTTTATTAATAATATAATTAAATTTGTTAATTAAACTTATTTTTTATATTTTTCACACGATTCAATATTATTTTAGACATTTGTATATTTTATTATTTTTTTTTTTTTTTGTTTTATCATTGCAACACTAAAATCATTTATTTTAAAAATAGGTACTATTTTTGTAAATAAAAAAAAAATATTTAAATTAAATAGCAATGAGGCTCTACCACAGTCAATCAACAAAAGAAAGGATACAGATCACAAGAAGAAGTCTAAAACAACTTTGGCGATTAATGCCGATTCGAAACCGGAAGTTAATGTTTTCAACACTCCATTGAAAACGATTTTTGATAAAATAACAGGTTGGTTCTGACTGTGAAGAATAGGGAAAAAGTGCAAGGCACCTATATTATTTTTTTTCTTTTTTTTTTAGTTCAATGTGCCAATTATCAATTTATACAAAATACTTTTGCAATTACCAATTACATTTTTTTTTTTTGTAAATTAACTACATTTTTTATTAATTGCAAAAGTAAAAAAAAAAAATTAAATTCATCGGTATCTTGCACTAATCCCTTTTTTAAATTAAATATCCCGATCCCGTAATTAAATTTATAGATTATAAACATAAATATAGTTTCAAGCAGCTAAAGAAATTTTTACAAAAAAATTAAGTTTCTTTTAAATTTATTTTATTTAATGATAAAAATTTTTAAATTACATATTTTAAAAATACTTTTTCTATTAAAATTTTTTTATAACTTTTTTACCTAATAACATCTTTTGTACACTTTTTTTTATATTTATTTTTAATTAAATTGCAATGAAAAAATAACTCTTGCCAAGAGGATTGAAATTTTGAATTGTATTATTTTTTTTTTATTGTGAACATCACACACTGGAAATAGTATTGCATAATAGATATTATTTTATCCAATTAAAATCTTTTGTTTATAAAAATAAAATGAATTTCTTTTGTTATAATTACAATTTTAATTTTAAATATATCAATATTTATTTTTAAGAAATAATTTTTTCTAATAAATATTAGTATATTTAATATTTAAAAATGTATTTTGTAATTTGGAATTTCTTTTTAAATTCTGTGATTATTTGTAAATATTATTGCTATTGAAAATATTGTAAATAATTACGTGAATAATTAATTAAATAATTATCCTTTTTATATATATATATTGAAGGGTAACTAAATGAATAAAAATATCTATGAATGTTGTCAATCTGGTTTTGTGGAGAACAAAAACGTGTTTTTTCGATCCTTGCGTAATATTTTGCATAAGATTCCATTATATCCAGAGAGGTAGTGAAAATGAACCTGAATGTCGATTACATGACATGTCGTTTTCTGGAGCAATCTCACAATTTCAATTTATTGATAAAAAGTTATTTTCGTTACTTACATTGTTTTGGATTTTTGTAAAAAAAATGAGAATCCAATGTCATTACATAAACATTATAAAGTAATATATAATATATTTTTTTCCATTTTACTACGATTAATAATACTCTTGTCAAATTCAGTTTTCATTTAATATTATTTTAATTATTAATTATTAATTATTAATTATTAAATATAAAATAGTCTACCGATATAAATAAATTAAACCATAAATTATGGTTTTATAAAGTAAACCACAAAAAAAATGGGTCTTAGTAAATAATTACAGAAGTCGATCCTTATGCAAAAAATATACAAGACAAAGTCTTACATCACTGATCAAAATTATAATTGGAGTGAAAGAATTTAAAAAAAATTAGCTGCTAAATTCTATTTTAAATTTAAAAAAAAAAAAAAAAAAAAAACAAGACTGATTTTAAATCTATAGAGAGAAAGTGTAACAAAATTTCTTTTAATGAATACAAGATGAACAAGCAGTAGTAGAAATGATGGACATCACGGATACCAGACAACCCAACGACAAATTGGTCTCCGATTATGAAGCAGGACTTGATCCTCAAATCAATTCTCTGGATGATTCCAACTTTCAAACGAATGTTAGTATTTTTTTTCAATAATTATCCCCCCCAAAAAAAAGAGCAGTGTGAGGCCTGAAAGGTAGATATATATACGGTGCGAAAAAAAGGGGCAAAAAAAAATAAAGACAAAAAAAAAAATTCCATGACAAAAATCTCCCTCACACAAACAATCAGCAGATTATTTTTAATAAAAAAAAAAATTCAGTTCTTTATCCATCTCGACGACTTCTGAATGAGTGTTGAAAAAAAAAAAATTATTTTTATTATTTTTATTTATCAGTGTGAAGCACAAAAAAAAAGAATTAGGATATTTTTGCGCGCCGTGTATATGTAAAAAAAAAAAGAAGAGAATAGTTTTAATCACAAAAAATATTGTGATTTATTTATTAAAATGTAGAAAAGTTGATTTTTATTTCCAAAATGGCTTCTTCGGAAAATAAATTTTGATTTGATTTTCTAATTCATTTTATATTCTTACGCAGGACAAATTTACTTTGGTAATTTCCATGAGAAAGGGTCTGGTCGTCTACACAACTTTTAGTGAAGCTCTTGGCTATTCCAAGGACGATTGGAAGATGAAATCATTTCTCGAATTAATTCATCCAAGTGACAAGGAGGCTTTCTTTAATCGTGTCAATGAAATTATTATTGCCTATCAAGAATTATATTATGGTGAGATTTTAATTTTTATTTTAATTTTTATTTTAATTTTAAATTTTATTTAAAAAAAAAAAATTTTTAATTGCAAAAAAAACGAATTTTATTTCCAGGTGATAGTGAAGCAAAAGTGACATTATTTTGTAAACTACAATATAAGGATGATTTTAACATAAATCGACATTCAATTTCCGTCAATTCAAATCATTGTGAACCATTTTACTTGACATTGATAGTGAAAGATTTACAAAATTGTGTCGACGAAGAACAATTTGAAACAATGTTCCTAGTGGTAAAGGCTCAATCAGTTCAATCTGCATACAAAGGTAAAAGGGTAGAAAATTTTCAACTTCTTCGAGGCTAGATTGGTCAACGAGAAAAAGAAAACATTTTTTTTCAAAATTATATTGAAAAGTAACTTTTAATCAATTTAGTATTTACTAATTATTAAATTATATTACAGAATATTCGAAAAATTCTTAATAGTGGACAATAATTTTTTTTTATTTATTATTATTAAAATAATAATAATAATAATAATCGTCATTATTTGTAAGTAAAAATTTTTCTGATTTTTTAAATTTTCCAAAAGATTTTTTAGGTAATTTTTTTGCTTTTTTTAAATAAATTTAAAAAAAACAAGATTACTTTTATTGACAATCGCTTTTTTATTTTAGGGCGTAGCTGAGACCTCTTCTTTTTTGGGGTAAGTTTGTCAATCAAAAAGATCCGTTGCAATTTATTGTTTCAAGGAAAAACTCTGAAACGTGTAATTTATACTAATTGTCAAATTTTTTTCGGGAAATTTCGCGTAAGGTGGCAAAAAAAAAAAGAAATTAAACATAAAATACACGTTTCTTCAAAAAGAGCTCGAGACAAAATGCTCTTTGTAATTTTCTTAAAACACTCGCTGTAATCAGTTCTTTTTTATTTACGAAACTTGCTTTTCTATTTCTAGAAAAAATTCCAAAATTTTTCGCAAATACGTTTTATGTAAAAAAAAATAAACTAAAAAGACGGAATTAAATTTTAATCAGCAGGTCTCAGTTTTGTCAAAATTTAAAAAATTTTAAAATATTACTCGTCGACCTTTCTTCCTCGAAAAATTAATTCGAATAGCGCAAAATAATCAGATTAATTATTGATGAGAGAAAAATGGAAAATTACTTTAAAAAATAAAGAAATTTTCCTTTTTTTTTTGTTAATGATTTATTTTTTTGTGCTGTACGTTCAAAAGAAAAATTGAATTAACGAGTATTATTCGGCTTTTTTTTATATTCGCGTTATCTACAGAATCAGAAGAAATAATATCATCTTCAATATTCACTACCCGCCATACTGCGACTTGCTTTATATCCCACGTTGATCCTGAAGTAGTCCAATATTTGGGCTATCTACCACAGGATATGATTGGCCGTTCGCTTTTTGACTTCTATCATCCTGAGGATCTGCCTCTCATCAAAGACGTCTATAAGACTGTGAGCATGAGACAATAATGACATCAGCTTATTGACTGATAAAAAAAATAATATTTCTTTTTTCAAAACAATTTATGTATAAAAAAAAGATTTTTAATTTTTCACCAAAAAAAAAAAGAAACCCAAAATATTTAAATTTGTTTTAGGCTTTGTAGGTGACGAAGCAGGACATCAAAAAAAATTTAATTTCAAAATTTAGGTTTTATTATTTTAAATTTTAATTTGAAAATTAGAATTTTTCAGTTTATCAACTAAAAATTAATTTTATTAAAAAAAAAACAGACTTTTTTTCAAAATTTTCAAATATATATCTAATTCTAATTTTTGTTTTTCAATTTAGACATCGTCTCCCCCCATTGCTTTTTAAGAATTATAAGAGGAGAAATGAAGGAAAAAAATAAAAGAGAGAGCATTGTAAAAACAAAAAAATTTGGGGAAAAATCATCTAATTATAAAAACGTCTATTATTCTTTATATTTATCAAACAGGCATTATCACTTAATGGAATCCCCTACAAGTCAAAGCCCTACAGATTTATTATCAAGAATGGTGATTTCGTTGTTCTTGAGACTGATTGGACGGCCTACATTAATCCATGGACAAGAAAACTTGAACATATTCAAGGTCAACATAGAGTCATTAAAGGACCATTGGATCCAAATATATTTCGTGAATCTGTAAAATCAATCAACTTTAGTGAAGCAGTGCTTGCTAATGCTGCAATTATTCAAAAAGAAATTCTAGTTCTCTTACAAGAGGTAAAATTTATTTTTATTTTTATTTTTGAAAATTCAGCTTCGATTTAGATAAAAAAAAATTTTTTGGAATTTCTTTTTTTTTATCCAGGAGAACAAGAAGAATGAAAATGAAGTCAACAATAGTTGCAAATATCTAGTACCGCTCATAATGTCTCTATTTCAAGAGATTCTGGCACCAAGAAGTATTAAGGACACAGCAGTGAATGCACGAAGTTTTTCGGTGACTATTAAACTACGTTTTAATATCGACATTTAAAATTAATTGAATTAAAAAAAATTTCTTTACGAAAAATTCTAGTCGCGATTTTTTTTTTTTTAATGGTGCGTCCTTCTCTAAAGAGGTACGTTTTAATTTTTGTTTCTTTTCATCGAATTTTTTTGCACCAATCTAACAATTTTTGCATACTTAGAATAAAATAAATTTTAATTTTGCAAAAAGAGAAATAAAAATTGTATTTTCTTATTAATTCGATTTTTCTAAGTATGCAGAATATAAAAAAAGTGTCTTGTAAAGAAAAAAAAATTTTTTTTTTAACAAATTTTATAAATTAGACAAATTTGTTGGAAATTCTTTGTGTTTGTTATTGAAATTAATACGAAAATCGCATATATATTTTTAACAGACTCAAAGATCTATTTTTTATTATGAAGCGATCAGAAATTTCGTTCTTCACTTCTGTTTCTCTCTTATCTATATTAATGTATTTTTAAGAAATATTAAATATTTAGTAAATAAGCATTTAAAATGCTTTACACTATTTTTCAGAATATAAAAGAAAATTAAAATTCTTTAAATATTTAAAATCAATTTCAAAATTAAATATTAAAATATTAGTTTTAAATTTATTATTATTATTAAAAAAAGCACAATTCTTTATTTAAATTTTAAATAATATTCTGTAAAAACGCCTTTTTACTTGTTGTGCTGTAAATCCAAGAAATTAATTTTATTTAATTTTTCGAAGGAATGAATGATTTAAATGAGCGAAAAATTCTTAATGCTTCTGGATCAGTGGGTCTGGAAATTTAAAATTTTTTATCAATAATTGTTGGTGCTCTTAAAATTGCTTTTTTTACTATATTTTTTTTATTTCAAATATTTTAATAGTGCCAACAATTTTTTTTTTTTAAAGATAGGATCGCGAAAATAAAATTATTTATATTAATTAGTGCAAAATTAGTGCTTTTGCATTTAAAATTCTATTAATTTTCTAATTTTATTAATATTCTTTTACATACTGCTCAAGATAACTTAAATGCATTTTAAGGAGAATCCTAGGTATTAAATATATGTCGGAAGGCAATGAAAATAATTAATAACACGCGCGAGGCAGTTTAAAGGTAAATCTCAAATTCTTGTTGAAAAAAAAAAAATTTGGGTAAGTTTGTATCATTTACATCTGTTTGCAGTGCATTAAATATACAAGTAAAAAATGTTTTTCAATTTTAAACTTTTCTACTTGGGTATATATTAAATTTAATTATAATACTGTTTTTAAGTCATTAAAACAGTGGCGGCGGAGCTCGATTATTAATAAAAATTAAAAATGAAAATGATGTTTAATTTATTTGTAATTTTATATATTAACAAAATTTTTTAAAATTGTTCCGCTGCTTCTGTTATTACATGTATATTTTTGTAGTTCTTTTTTTTTTTTATTTTCTAATTAATTAATTTTAATTTTTAACGAAAATACACTGTACGTAAGGTTCCACACATTCATCGTACCAAAAAAAAAAAATGAAGAAAAAAAGTATAAAACTCAGAAAGGCGTTTTTGCATTAAAAAAAAATTGTGTTTTTTTTTTAAAAATTATTTTAATTTTGAAATTTTGTTCTAGAAAAAAAAGCAAATATTTTTTTTAAAAGAAAAATACTTCGCTATAACTGGATAATAAAATAAATCCAAAGTCGAAAAAATAAAAATTAATAGAAAAATTAATTGATTAATTTAATTTAAAATTATTCATGAATTCATCGTAGTTTTTTTTCAAATAAAAGATGAAATTTTGATTAGTCAGATGAATTTTGGTATCTTTCGTAAAGTTTTCTAACAGATTTGTGATAGACAGTGTCTTAGAGAAAAATAAGTGTAATTATGTAATTTTCTATAATATTAATAAAAAAAAAATAAATAAAATTAAAATAAAATTAAAAAAGAAAAATAAAAAAAATTTAGAATACGAAATAGGCGAAAAAAATAAAATATTATTGAAATGACTTATAAAATAGTTCACTATTATAATAATTATAATTAGTGAATTAGAATGTAAGTAAATTTTATAGACTTGTGATTATAGGGGAGTGATAAATAATAAGACACTGGCAGCTTTTTTTAATGGGCGCACTAATAAAATATTACGTTTCTATAATTGATTAGAAAACAAAATTTAATATTGAAAAAAAAAAATGAGAAATTAGAAAAAGAAAATGTATTCAAATAATTTTTTTATTTACTTATAATAGTGTCTATATAAAACATCTGTGAAGGGACAACCCTTGTTACAGGAGCACGAAAGTGTCATTCTTGGAGGAATATCACCACATCGTGAATACGAAGACAGCAAATCATCAACTGAAACACCTCCAAGTTACAGTCAACTTAATTACAACGAAAATATGCAAAGATTTTTCAAAAGCAATCCAATGGCAACGGCAAATTATGGTAGCAGCTATGAAGATAATACAACGGGAAATAGTGTTGATGAAATTAAAAAAGATAATTCCTCTGGTTTGTATTTTCTTTTTACGAAAATAAACAATTTTATTTATTTGTATTTAATATTTAATATTTATTATTTTATTATTATTTTAGAAACCAAATATATGTCACCAAATGCAGAAAGCGGTCAAAGTGGAAGCGACAGTGGCAATGGTTTTAATAGTCAATTAAATTTAAATACAATGGGAAAAAATTATGGAGAATTGCCAATATTGACTGTATCATTATTAAATAAACACAATGAGGATATGGAAAAAATGATGGTACAAAAGCACAAAATTTTTAGATCTAATATTAAAAAAAGTGATAAGCTTAAAGAATCAAGAGTTAAAGCCAAAGATGAAGAACAAGATCTCAAAGTTTCGAAAGATCATGGAATTAAAAGACGAAGAAGCGATAGTTTAGATAAAAGTCACAAGGTAATTAATTTTTATTTTATTAAATTTCTTTTTAATTTAAAGTATTTAATTTATTTAATTTTAATTAACTACATTTCAGGTACCAAAAAAAATCTGTAAAATGGAATCAATTCCATTAAATAATACAGGAACGACAAAAACATTAAACAATGAACAAACAAATTCGATAAATACGAATTTATGGTCACCTCATTCTCTACCTAATATAAATAGCACTCAGTAAATATATAATTTTTATTTTTGTATTTTAATTACAAATTTTTTGGAAATTAATATTTTCTTTTTTTTTTGCAGTTCAAATTTTCCAGCAATGCCAATGAATCCATCAATTTCATCATATTGTTATAATGATTTAACAATGAGTCAAAATCAAAACTTAAGAAGAAAATTAAATGAAAATACTCAAACACTGCCGACAGTTTCTGTGCATATGATACAGCAAAATTCATGCTGTAAGTTTTTTTTTTTTTTAATTTTATTATTAAATTTCCATATTTTTATTTTTTTTTCTCTTCCAGTGCCTTACGAAGGAGCAAGAATTCCTGTTTTTTATTCTACAAATCTTCCGCCATCAGTGACACTTAATCCTTGTAAACAATTTTTAATTCCCGATTCAAGTGAATTGAAATTACCTCAAAATTCTGATGATAAATTGCATCAACAAAAAACGTCAAATTTGTCAACTAAAGAAAAATTAGCGACAATTTCAACATCTTCGAAAAAGGTTTATTATTTTTCACTATTTTGTCATTGTGTACTTTTTACAAGAAAAAAATTAAAATTGAGAAAATAAATTCAGATAACAGATATGGAAACAAATTCTTACAAGAATTACACCATTGAAGGATCGAGTACTTCAAGTTTTTACAGCAGTTTTCTTAGTAAAAGTACAGAAACAAATAGCAATTCCGGCTCTAGATCACAGGGATTTAATTCACAGGTAGGAAAAAATTTTCAAATTTTTCTTAAAAATAGAAAAAAAAAAAACAAAGAAATAATTTTTTTCAATGATTTTTTAATTGACCCCCCAAAAAAGTAGGAAATAAAAATTTAGATTTCGCTAAAGGTTAATATAAAAAATAAGAATAAAGTTAATAAAAGAAAAAAAATCTCTTGTTATCTCTCTTAGTTTCAATCAAATTTATCAAGCGATAAGAACAGGCGTCCTTATGGACGCCAATCTTTTGATAGTGCTGATGATAGCATTGAATCTCAATTATTAATATGCTGGACAAATCATCAGCAGGAAAATCAAAAAAGGGAGCAGCAACAATCGTTGCGAAAGGAACCACCATGGCTTAAAGGAGTTCAAATGTCACCAGCATTGATATATCAGTATCAAATTCCAGAGAAATCATTAAAAGAAGTTTTAAATACTGATATGAAAGCATTAATGAGCATGACACAGCCAGCTCTCGTTCGTGAACAACTTAATCAACTTTATTCCGATTTGGAGCTAGAAGGTTTTGAAGCGAGGCTAAAACTCGAGGAGGAAATTGATTATGATGACAATAAAATTGATCAAAACAACGAAGTTAGTTTTCAAAGGTAAAATTTTGTAAACTATTTTTATTTTTAATACAAGTCTTTACCATAAAATTTCGAAAATGCAGAATTGCAAGTTTTTTTTTTTTTTTTTAGTTTTTGGTAATGACTTTTTAAATTAAATTATTGGATATAAACTTCCTTTCAGACTGCAGAGGAGGAAAAGCTGATGAAATTAATTTTATCTACATCATCATTTTTCCTCAGCAGACAAAAAATACAACAATTACCTGGATATTATTAATTTAGTTAATTTAAAATTAATCTTTAAATTAATAAAAATCAGTCTGAAAATTTAATATTTTTAATTAAGATTCAAATGTTTTTGTCTGATAGAATTTGATATTTTAGTTTTGAGAATAATATTAAATTTTATATTTTTTTACAGTTTTAATAATTTTTAAATTCATTTTTACAGGTTACAATTTAAAAAAAAATTTACTCGTATTTGATAAATACTCGATATACTCCCCTATATATTTAGAATAAAAATTTTTTTTTAAGAATGCTTTCTTTATCAAGAAAAGCAAAAAATGTATAATTGTCTAGTTGCAGTATAAACCGAAGTGGAGCTTGGTGAGGAAAACGAACTTAAGGAAACAAAATGGAGTTTAATACTTTATAACTTGCACTTTCAATTTTGCTATATAAGAAAAAATTCTTTTATCAATAAGTGCAGGATAATTTTTATTTCATTTTTATTCCATATGTTTGCGAATACCAAATACATTTTTGTATTAAGGAATTGAATTTTACTAAATGTCATCTCAGGAATTTAAAAAGTGAAATTTTTATACTTATTATTATATTTATATATTTACATTAAATTTTTGTTTGTGATATATATTTATATATTAAAAATTTAAATATTTCCAATATATATTAGAATTATTGATAAATAATTATTAATCAATAATAGTAAATAGAAAATTCATTATTTAAAATGAAAAAAATTCACTGTTGAAATTAATTATAATTCCTGTAATTCTAATGTTGATGAAAATTCCGAGGCGACATTAGAAAGAATTCCGTCGTGTCGACGTTTAGCCATAAAAAAAAAAAAATAATAATTAGTACTGTGCGAAAGATTAAATTAAGAATTTGCAATTTTATAAACAAGGGATCATATCTGAATATGAACGAAAAAATCATTTTTTAGTGTTTAGAACAAATTATTTAAAACATTAGCTTATTGTGTATATATTAATAATTTTCTTAAGAGACAATTTAATTTAATTCATATTAGTCATAATAGGAATTTAAAAAAAATTAAAACTTTTAAGTAAATTAAGAAATGCACAAGTTTTTTTTTTTATATCTTCATTCTAATTTTTCATAAACAATTTAAAAGTACACAATACTATATATTCGAGAAAATTAATTTATTTTTGATATAGAAAGTAATTTCAATTTTTAAATATGTCTTAAAATTTATCGTGTTATAATTTTATCGATGTATATTATTAATAAAAAAAAAAAAAAAAAAAACAAGAATTAAAAGAAAACTGTATATTTTATAAGTATATTATTATATATTTATTTTATACATTTTAAAACTTGTGCCATGTACATTTTTCATCAATCGAAAATTATTTTATTCTATTTTTATAAATATGTGAAGCTGAACGTTGACACAAATAACTATCACAATGTGCCAATAATATTATTGAATTTTAAATTATTTTTATAAATTATAATAATAATAATTTGTCATTCAATATTTAATTTAAATATAAAAAGCCATTTAATTACGCACTAGAAGAAAGAAAAAAGTTGAAAAAGATGATTCAAGGGACAACTTTCAGTTGCCGATTTGACATTATCAAATATTCAATTATTAATTATTAATTATTAATAATTAAAATTCATTAAAGTGTTAAAATATGTGCCGTGCATTTATAAAATTTTACTCTGATATGAAATTTTTTATTACAATTTCAGTAAAATTTTCAAAAACAAATAAAATAATTATAAATTTTTGAATATGTTTATAAGATGCACATTTAATATTAATTAATTACTATTTCTAAGCCAAATATTTTTAAGTATATGTTTTTTTTTACCTAATAATTTAGTAAAAAACCAATTAACCCTTCGACTGTCAAAATAATATTCTTATTATTAATAAACAATATTCTTGATTATTTCCGTAATTCAGAATTTATTTTAATTAAGCTTAATTTTGAATTAATACATTTTTTTTTTTTGGATAAAAGAAAAATTTTTCTCAGTACTATAATGATAGTTGAAGAGTTGATATCTCAGGATTTATATGATATTGTATTTTCATAATTTATAATTATAAATCATTTTACCGTACGATTTTTTTTTTTTTTTTTTTTGAATCTACGAGCGACTGTTTTCTATGATTTTTTTTTCACACGGTATTGCCTTAATAACCGATGTTAGAACTTAGCGTTAAATTTTAAGATCTTGACTTGTCGTAAATGAGAAAATAAAAAAAATATTGAAATAAATGTTATTGGATGTATAGTTTTTCAGAATAAAAAGAAATATTAAAGGTTAATTAATATCAAATCATAAATATTACAAACGATTGAAAATAATTTATTATTTATTATTGTTGATGTTTAAAAAAAAATAAATGTGAAATTGTTTCTTAAAAATTTATTGTGTTATCATTTCTGAAAAAAGTCCACTGAATAATTTATTTTATTAAAATTTTTTATTTTAATATTTATTATCGCCTCTTAATTCTGTTTTAATTTTTATGCTTAACAAATCTTATTTATTATTATTATTATTACTTATTAATTCAGTTTATCACAGTTTCATAAAATCATGAATATATATATGAATGGCCACTGACTTAAATTTATTTATTTAAAAAAAAAAAAAAAATGTCCTTGATTTGTTTTTTACGTACTTTCAATTTTTCTACTATCATCAGAAATTCCAGAAGCACTGTTGACTTTTAATTCTGATTTTGCAATCTAAAAAATATTTAAAAAATTATTTTTTTATTTAAAAATTAAAAATAATAATATTTTTACCTTGACGTGATCAAGATCCTGTTTGTCTTTTTTGAGATATTTTCGAATAAATGGTGCCATTAACATGGGATCTAATTTATTAATATCTTCCGATGAAATTAAACTAATTGCAAGACCAACGCTCATTGTTACCATTGCGCCCAATACTGTATACCACAAATAACTCAAACGATAAAGTGTCCAAGGTTCTCTAAAATTTTAATTTAAAAAAATTACATTCACTTAAAAAAAAAAAAATAAGGGATATCACACAAATTGTTAGAAATTAATTTCTTACGAGTCCATAATTGTTTCCGGTGGCACCAATAATAAAAGATTTTTCGACTCTTGAAACGAATAAGTGCATCCTTCAGTGCTAACTGGTTTCTCATCAAATCTTTAAATTGGATAAATTGAAAAATTTTACACTCCATTTTAAATAATAAAATAATGAAAAAAATTGTCATTTTTTTAAATAAACTTAAAAAAATTACCTTATTTTACCACTAGCGATCGCTGCTTCCGCGGATAAACAAATCCAACCCATAAATCCTAATCCAGAAACTCCGCCAATTAATGCACCCTAAGAATAAAAACAAAATTAATTTTTGTACAAAAATTAATCACTTTAGAAAGAAAAAAAAAATTTTATTTTAAAAAATTCAAAATCACCTTTGCATTGATCCATGGTATTAAAATACCCATACTGAAAATTCCGAGAGATGGTCCACTGGTGATGGCACTTAAACTTGTCGACAACTGTAAAAATTGAAATTTATTAATAATCCTTGCGGATAAAATAAATAAAAAAAAAAATATATTATTACCTGTAAAACATGGGAGCCTGTTTTTTCAACAACGAAAACTAAACCAACACATAAAATTCCCATAAATATGACTGTAAATTTCATTAAAATATCAGCACCTCTTGGCGTGAATGGAGTTTTACGATATGGTTTTATAAAATCCTCGAGAATAACCGCGGCCATTGAATTAAGACCAGTGGATAATGAACTATTTAGAAATTAAAAATAAAATAATTAATTATTTATTTTAAATAAATAATTAATTTATTATAAATAAATAGAAATCTACGAATTTGAAAAAAATACCTCAAAGCAGCACTAAAAACTCCAGCTACAAAAAGTCCCGGAAATCCTGGAAATTCGCCTAAAATATTCATAACAAGAAGAGGAAGAAGTTGATCTTTAGCTTTGGCGAGCTGAGAACAAAAAAAAAAACGAAAATCATTGTCAATTATATATGAAAAATATTTCAATAGAAACACGTGTTGAACACATTAACATATAATATAGTAATTGCAATAAGGTGAATATGTAAGTCCCCCGAACCTCAATTATGGACATTTCAATAGACTAAATTATATAAAATTTACCTTAGTAGTCAGTGGATCACATTCGTGATACCAAGCGTAAACGAGCATTCCAGCGTAGCCACAAATGCCAATCAAACACAATGCTCCAATAATAAAACACCACAAGGCTCTAAAAATTAAATATACAAAAATTTATATTTTTAAAACATTTTTTTTTGCATTACATTTATTTTTTTCAAATTTAAATTTTAGTTCTTTTTATAAATTGAAAAAAAAACCATTTGGATTTTTATACCTTCTTGCAGAACGAAGAGTTGGAAGTGCCAAATATCGTTGAATCATATTTTGATTAACAGCAGAAATTTGTAGCCAATGAACAAATCCACCGATTACTAAAGCCCAAATTGTATGCCTCGTGAAAGGATTAAAATCAGTTCTGTTGGGGGAAAAAAAAAGGATTTAATTTCTAGAAATTAGAAAATTTTGAAAAAAAAGAAATATAATAAAAAACATACGAGGGTATTTCAATTCTTCCAGATTCGAGATTTCTCATAATCACCACTGAAAGTCCACCGAGATCAGATGTGCCTTTAAAAACAATTAATAACATTGCTCCAAACATTATAAAAGTTTGAACAAAATCAGTCCAAACGACAGCACGAATTCCGCCCTGAAAATTTGATAAATAAAATTTAAAAAATTAAAAGAAAAAAAATTTTAGAAAAATAAAAATTAGAAATTTCCAACTATTGTAAATAAAAATACACTTACCACACAGGTGTAAAAAATACAGACGACACAAACAAAAGGAGTTATTATATGAATATTGATTCCAGTAACTGAAAAATTGAAATAATTCAAATAAATTGAAAAAATAAGATTAATTTTTTATATTTTAATACCTTGATTGAATGCCAAAGCTGGAACATAAATAACAATTGGAAGCCACGTTATCTAAAAATTTAAAAAATACTGTATTATAAAATTTTTTTGTACGAATTTTTCTTTTTTTTAAAATTTCACTTACAATTCCAATTGTAAAAAGAACAGAACCCAATATTCTCATTTTTTTATCAAAACGTCTCTCCAAATATTCATAGGTGCTAGTAAGTTTAAGATCATGAAATACTGGTAAGTAAACATTAGACATAACAAATCCAACAATAATAACACCAAATGCAATACACAAATATCCAGTTCCATGTATATAAATTTCCGTTGGCATACCAAGTAATGAAATACCGGAAAAAAAACTTGCAATTAAACTAAGGCTCACTGGTAATGTTTTCATATTTCTTCCACCAACAAGATATTCATCTTCTCCAATTGATTTTTTCACAAAACCAAAATAAATTCCAATTCCACCACAAGCCATAAGCATTATTGTAAAAATTGTATAATCAGTTGTACCAAATGTTTGTGTCGATACACTCATTTGTTCAACTGACAATATTGAATCGGATTTCATATCTGAAGCCATTTTTCCTTTTTTTTATCAAACAATTCTAAATAATTATATTATGTAGAAAAAATCCTCTGGAAAAAAAATGTAAATATTTATTTGTCTTCAACTATTATTAATAATTTAATAATCACTCACCTGTAATTGTAAAAACTTTTTAACTCATTTTCAAAAAAAAATTCTTATTTCCAAAAATTAAAATTTAGATAAAAAAAATCAATTAAACGTCACTGGGAATTTTAAATCATAATTAATACAAGAAATTAAATAGGAACACAAGAAACACAATGGGAGAAAAAAAATGCGAGTGTCCCTTAACTCCGAGGAGGACAAACTGTGGAGTGTGACCATTTTCATGTTAAGAATAACCTGATGATTTTAAAAGTGACCTGGGTCATTGCAGGACGTTCAACGCGATGGCGACGCTACGTATAGATTTAATTTTTCTTTTTTTAAAAGAAGAGTCAATTTTCTTGTTGAACGACAATGATAACTTAAGTGGTGGAAGCATGTTTCTCTCGTGCATTCAGCAATCACAAAGTGGATAATAATTCAACCATCTCTTCTTTGATTAGTGCCTGAGTCTACGATTTAAAGCCCCCTCAAAAAAAAAGAACCTGCCCAATCGAGAACACACAAGGTCGACGAGTCGTTAAACTACGTTGACGTCAGACAATTTAAAACTCCGTTCCGCATTCATCACAAAAGAAATCCAATTTTATTTCTCACTACTGACACAAATTGTTCATGTCGCGTGTCAGTTTTATCTACATCGTGACAAAAATCTTGTTTAAAAAAAAAAATTAATCATTTTCAGGAATTGTTCAGGAAAAATGATTCTCGTTATTAGAAGAATCAAAATTTTATAATTCTTAGTTTTTTTTTTTCAAATGAATTAAAATTTGATTCTTCTTTGTAACTGATTTTATTCTTTTTTTTTTTAATTAATTTATTAACCAAATGAAGATTAGAAAATTATTCTTGTTAACGAAATGTGTATACGGAAATTAAAGTACTTATTCTTGGTAGAAACTTGGCAATTCATTTCCTAGAATTACTTTGCGTTCAATTCCTTTCTCGGTGATTACTCCAATGCGAATAACGCCTCCACTGCTTCCGTCTCGAGCCATAGCAAGAGCAAGTGCTGTAAAAATTAGAAAAAATCAAAGTAATAAAATATAAGAAATTTTAACTAAAAAACTGAATTTAAAAAAAACGCTTACTGTTTTGAACTAATTCAACACATTCATCCCTTGTCATATTGGGTTTGTAATTGGCGTCAACATATCCATAAACATAAGTTGATCCTGAACCACCGATGGAAATTGGTTGACGAACACACATACCACCAATGGGAACACTGTAAACCTGACCTCCTTTTCGTGAATCCCATCCGGCAACGAGAATTCCAGCCATCAGAGAATCACGATAATTGTAACACATTTCACGAAAAACATTAGCGGCAGTTTCTACCTTTGGTGGTTCTCCTAATTCCATTCTGAAAATAAATTATTTTATTTCTCTCTCATTTATAAATAAATTAGGTCTCGGATCGACTTTAAGACACAAAATAAAGTTGTTTTAGTCGATTTACATTTCAAAAAAGTTGATTTTTTTATTTTAATTAAATTTAATTAGTTAATAAGTATTTGACTTTGAAATAACTTACAGACCTCGGGTAGACTTTAAGGTACAAAAAATGTTCCAAAAAAAGTCAAACAAGACGTTTTTTTTTATTTTAACAAAATTCAATTGGTTAATAAATATTTTACTTTAAATAACTAATATTATTAGATATTAAATTCATTTTATTAATACTGTAATGAGAATAATTCTAAAATGAATATTATCAAGAAAATTAATTTCGAATATTTCAAAATCTAACTAATTGTAAGAAAAATTATCAAAATTTTATTTAAGTAAGACAAATTTCTAAAAAAAAATTCTTTAAAGTTCCATTTTTATAATTTATTTGAAGTCTGATTTAAATAAATTATTCGAATTAAAAATTTTGTCAAAGTTTTTAGTTTTGATGGTCAAAAAAATTTCAGGCAATACTTAATCAAGTTTTACAGATTTTTAAATAAACATTTTTTTTAAATAATGATTTTGGAAGAATTATATAGTTGAAATTTTGAGAAATAATTGAATTTCAAAAGATTTTGTTAATTTTCAGACAATAATTAAATTTTACAGAAGTAAAAATAATATATCAAATAATTTAAGATAACATTTTTTAAACATAATTGAATTTTCAAAGTTTTAAAATTTAGATAATTCTGAATTTAATTCAAATTCAAGTGATTTTTAATTTAAAATTTTTGATCATTTCACTAAAAAATTTATTAAAAATTGCAAACAAAAATAAAATAATTTAAAAACTTTTTAAGTGAATATTCGTTTTAGATAGTTGAATTTTCGAAGAATATTATTAAAAATAATTGAATTTCAGGAGAGTTATAATAAAAATTATTAAAATTTCAAAAAATTTTAGAAGGAAAATTTTAGAAATAATTCAATTTTAGAAGCTTTTAAATTGAAATTTTTGAAAATAATTAAATTTCAAAAGATTGTGTAAAAATTTCAGACAATAATATTATAATAAGAGAAATTTTTTTAGTGATTTCTGTTGATGGAGAATTTATATTAGAAATCATATACAAAAATTGAATTCCAAAAGTATTTAATTAAAAAATGTTCTCAGATAATTGAATTTTCGAAGAATATTATAAAAATCATTAAAAAAATAATTGAAATTTTTGCAAATAATTAAATTTCAAGTGATTTTGAATTAAAAATTTAATTTTAGTTGCTAATTTTTTAAAAATTATAAACAATTATTAAATTTTATAAAAATTTTAATTCAAAAATAGTTTAAGATAATTGAATTTGTGAAGAATTTTATTAAAATTATTAGAAACAATTAGTTTAGTGAAAAATTTTAGTTATAAATTTGTTAAATAATTGAAATAAAGAAGATCTGAAGATCTGCATTCTATACTAAAAAAATTGTATTTTGTTTATAAATTTAAAAAAAATGTACCGAAAAGTCGTATAATTCGAGGCTTGATAAATAAAAAAATATAAATCACATTTATTAAAAATAATTAAATTATTATTATTTTTTTTTGTATCAATTGCTGTCCAACGCACATATCACGTGATAAAAACAACTCTCTAAATATAACGCACAGCTTTATTGAATAATAGCTTTAAATTGAGGATATTCTTTTAATAAATCTAATAATATATATATATAGAGTAATATACGTACTGATGAAAACCCAAATGATAGGCTACAATACTTGAAATTGCTTGAGTATCTGCAGAGGAACCGGATCGACAACAATAAATGTTATCAGTTATTTTTGTCAATTTATCCGCATATCGATTAGCAACGTATGATCTAAAAGAAATTATTATTTAAAAAAAAATTAAAAAGACAGTGGTTAAAAATTCTACTTTTAATATAAACCACGAAGTATCGTGATATAAAAATATAATAAATATATTATAAAATTATAAATTTTTAGCTACAAATTATTAATATTGAAATTTATTTACCCTGTTGTTGAACGTGAATCTGCGCCAATTACAACACCACCATTAAATTCAACAGCCATTATAGATGTCTAAAAAAATAAATAAATTAATATAAATTAAATTAAGGGGAAATTAATTGAGAAAATAATAACTTAGAAAGTGTACAATTAAGACAAAATCTAAATCTATAAATTGCATTAATTAACCTAAAAATCGGTAAGTTTAGTAATAATAGAGAATTTAAAAAATAATAATATTAAAGCTTTTGTCATAAATTACATTAAATTATTATTTTAATTATTTAATTTGCTAAAAAAAAAAATAATAGACGATTTTTAAACTGGTTTGCATTGTCATGCTAACCTCAAAAAAAGAAATTTATTTAAAATTAAGAATAAAAGGATAAATAACTTACTCCTGTACTGTGTTCGGATGTCATCCAATCTGAACCCATTATATTGTTTGTTCCCATTGCAAATTGTTGTGAAGGTTCTACAAATGCCATTTTTATATTTAATTTATTAAAAAACTGTCACAAAATTGATGCTTGTATCATGTACACTTATGTCAATGTATGTGTGCCTGTCCATGAGTTGCAAAATAAGTCTCTACATTATCGACAGTTTATTTTATTTTTTTTATCAAATTTTTCAAAAAGTCGAATTTTTATTTTCTATATATATATAATTAATTTTCGTCAATAATTGTATATGTTTAAAACTAATTATTTACTGTAATAAAAACAAATTAAAAAAAAAATTAGTCTTGCCATCTATTGGGCGGAAAATGTTTTAAATTTGCGCGGAGAACAACAACCAATGAGCGATCGATAAATTTTAAAGTGGCACCTCATTGGTTGTTGTTTTCCGCGGAAATTTAAAACTGATCAATAAGAGCTGACATAAACGTCATTTTATCAGTGCTGCCATGAACTAAATCTTCCGCTTAACAGATGGCACCACTGAAATATTATATTAATTTTGATTTTATTGTTGTAAACATTGTTTTAAACATTTTATACAACAAACATTGTTAAAATGAACTATTTTGTAATTATAAGTATATCTGAATTATGAAGTTAAAAAAAAAAACAATTCACTTTTTTCGATACCAGTGTCAACGTTGGTGGATATTTTTTGAAACAAACATTGTTTGAAAAATTGAGTCATCTTTTTTTCCACCACTAGAAAATTGACAACATTTTATTTATATTTCTTAATATTTTTGTTTGTTCTATATAAATTTTTTTTTTTTTTTATAAAAGTCAATCACGTATTTGACATTTGTTATTCATTGTAAGTTTATACTAGAGACAAATTGGGTCAGAAATTTTTTTGACAGGTTAGGTTTACTCAAAAATCCTCACACATATATACACAATACACACACGCACAAAAGGGAAACGTCAGAACTTTAAAAAAACCGGACTAAAATTGATTTATGGTTTTTTTTAAAAATGATGGTGCCGGCAGTGATATTTCTAGGTTAATAAATTTTGTGTGATTTTAATAATTGTAAGAAGATTAAGTGAAAATTTAAAAAAAAAAATGGACAATAGAATTGCGATATTTGATCCGGACGAAGAAGAGGTTAACAATGAAATTTTCAACGACATTGAACCAGTTCCATGGGTTAACGATGAGGCAAATTATGATTTGGATGATATCAACATGTTTTTCCATAGGGTAGATTCTGATCAAATTATTTATCAGGAGAAAAAGAAGAAATGCAAATTTATTGGAAAATATGTTATGGGCGATTTACTCGGTGAAGGGAGTTATGGAAAAGTAAAAGAGATGCTTTGCTCTGAAACACTTTGCAGGAGAGCTGTAAAAATATTAAAGAAACGAAAACTTCGAAGGATACCCAATGGAGAAAGCAACGTACAATCGTGAGAAATTATTATATTACTTTTTTTTAGTTAAAATAAGCAGGCCTTGGATTATACGACATTTTTTTATTTTTTCCAACTGTTTTTCAAAAATATGAATTATTTTAGACTTATTTTAATAAAATGTGACTTTTTCGACTTTTTTGTACATTTTTTTTAAATTTATAAACAAAAGACAATTTTTTTAGTATAGAATGCAGATCATCTTTATTTCAATTATTTAACAAATTTTTAACTAAAATTCTTCACTAAATTAATTGTTTCTAATAATTTTAATAAAATTCTTCACAAATTCAATTATCTTAAACTATTTTTGAATTAAAATGTTTATGAAATTTAATAGTTGTTTATAATTTTAAAAAAATTAGCAAATAAAATAAAATTTTTAATTCAAAATCACTTGAAATTTAATTATATGCAAAAATTTCAATTATTTTTTAATGATTTTTATAATATTCTTCGAAAATTCAATTATCTAAGAGCATTTTTTAATTAAATTCCTTTGGAATTCAATTTTTGTATATGATTTCTAATATAAATTCTTCATCAACAGAAATCACTAAAAAAATTTCTCTTCTTATAATTATTGTCTGAAATTTTTACACAATCTTTTGAAATTTAATTATTTTCAAAAATTTCAATTTAAAATCTTCTAAATTTTAATTATTTCTAAAATTTTTTGAAATTTTAATAATTTTTATTATAACTCTCCTGAAATTCAATTATTTTTAATAATATTCTTTGAAAATTCAACTATCTGAAACGATTTTTCACTTAAAAAGTTTTAAAATTATTTTATTTTTATCTGCAATTTTTAATAAATATTTTAGTGAAATGATCAAAAATTTAAAATTAAAAATCACTTGAATTTGAATTCATTTCAAAATTATCTAAATTCTAAAACTTTGAAAATTCAATTACGCTTAAAAAATGTTATCTAAAATTATTTGATAAATTATTTTTACTTCTGTAAAATTTAATTATTGTCTGAAAATTAACAAAATACTTTGAAATTCAATTATTTCCCAAAATTTCAACTTTAATTTTTCCAAAATCGTTATTTTAAAAAAAAATTTATTTATAAATCTGTAAAACTTGATTAAAAGTATTGCCTGAAATTTTTTTGACCATCAAAACTAAAAACTTTGACAAAATTTTTAATTCAAATAAATTGCTTACATCAGAAATAAAATAAATTATAAAAATGGAACTTTAAAGAATTTTTTTTAGAAATTTGTCTTACTTAAATAAAATTTGGAAAATTTGTCTTTCAATTAATTCGATTCTGAAATATTCGAAATTAATTTTCCTGATAATATTCATTTTAGAATTATTCTCATTACAGTATTAATAAAATGAATTTAATATCTAATAATATTAGTTATTTAAAGTAAAATATTTATTAACCAATTGAATTTTTTTAAAATAAAAAAAACGACTTTTTGACTTTTTTTGGAATGTAAATCGACATTTTTTTTGCCTTAAAGTCTATCCGAGGTCTGTAAGTTATGTAAAGTAAAATACTTATTTACTAATTAAATTTAATTAAAATAAAAAAAATCAACTTTTTGGAATATAAATCGACTAAAACAACTTTATTTTGTGTCTTAAAGTCGATCCGAGACCAAATTTATTTATAAATGAGAAAGAAATAAAATAATAAAAAATTTTAAATTAAAAATTAATTGAATTTGAATTAATTTCAAGAAATCTAAATTCTAAACCTTTGAAAATTGAATTTCGTTTAAAAAATGTTATTTTAAATTATTTGATATATTATTTTTACTTCTGTAAAATTTAATTATTGTCTGAAAATTAACAAAATCTTTTGAAATTCAATTGTTTCCCAAAATTTCAACTTTAATTTTTCCAAAATCGTTATTTTAAAAAAAAATTTATTTATAAATCTGTAAAACTTGATTAAAAGTATTGCCTGAAATTTTTTTGACAATCAAAACTAAAAACTTTGACAAAATTTTTAATTCAAATAAATTGCTTACATCAGAAATAAAATAAATTATAAAAATGGAACTTTAAAGAATTTTTTTTAGAAATTTGTCTTACTTAAATAAAATTTGGAAAATTTGTCTTTCAATTAATTCGATTCTGAAATATTCGAAATTAATTTTCCTGATAATATTCATTTTAGAATTATTCTCATTACAGTATTAATAAAATGAATTTAATATCTAATAATATTAGTTATTTAAAGTAAAATATTTATTAACCAATTGAATTTTGTTAAAATAAAAAAATCGACTTTTTGTGTCTTAAAGTTGATCCGAGGCCTGAATAAGGATAAAAATAATTTTTAATTTTTGTTTATAGGGAGATCCGATTATTAAGAAAATTGAAACACAAAAATGTAATTGATCTCGTTGATGTATTATACAATGATGAGAAGGAGAAAATGTATCTAGTTATGGAATTTTGTGTAGGAGGTCTTCAGGTGAATTTAAAAATAGAAATATATATTTGTGGAATTTGTGATAAGATTTGTTCTTTTTTTTTCTTAGGATATGTTGGAAAGTTCACCGTATAAAAAATTTCCCCTATGGCAAGCTCATGGTTATTTTTCTCAATTATTGGATGGATTGGAATATCTTCATGGTACAGGAATTGTTCATAAGGACATTAAACCGGGAAATCTTCTCTTGACACTTGATGGAACTCTTAAAATCAGCGATTTTGGAGTTGCTGAGGTAATTTTGGAATTATAAAATTATATTCGAAGATGAAATAATTTTTTTTTTTTGCATTTTTCAGGCGTTAGACATGTTTGCCAAAGATGACACATGTACAACAGGACAAGGTTCACCAGCTTTTCAACCTCCTGAAATAGCAAATGGCTGTGACACGTTTGCAGGTTTTAAAGTAGATATATGGAGTAGTGGTGTAACATTGTAAGTTACTTTTTTAATTAATTTAATTTAAATTAAATTTTTAATTTAATTTTTTAATTAATCATTTATGAAATTTATTTTCAGATATAATTTTACAACTGGTATTTATCCTTTCGAAGGGGATAATATTTATAAATTATATGAAAATATTGGAAAAGGTGTTTACACAATACCATCGGAAATTGAAAATTCATTAAAATCACTTTTAATGGGAATGTTGGAAAAAGATGTTGACAGAAGGTTTTCCCTACAAGAAATAAGAAGACATCCTTGGATTATAAGTAGACCGTCAAAAACATTAGAAGAAGTGCCAATACCTCCACTTCGAGGTGATGAATGGCATACAATGACTGCACTGCCGTACCTGATGGAACATCATTATGGAACTGATAATAATTCTACATATTTTACCGAACATCAGCTCAATGGTAAGAACATTTTTTTTTTTTATTCTCTAATTTTCCTTTTTCCAAATTAAAAATTATTTTCAACTATTTACAAAATTGATCATATTTTTATTATTTACAAAATTATTTTTTTTCAATTAAATATTTAACAAGTTAATAGTGTACATTAATGTGAACGGTGTGTCCAGACATCTTGTTTATAAATTGGTAAGTTTCGAAATTCAAATTTTCATTGAACGTGTAGATTTAACATGATTGATAATTATACTAACTGGGATATGAATTTTCCTTTAGGGGACAAAAATTTTCTTTTTTTTTTACTTCGAAATCGAGAATTAAATCGATTATATTTTCACAGATACAAAAAGGAAATCTGAACGTTCTTTATCAAACAGTCTGTTTGTGTTCTTATCAAAAACGTGCATCATACTATAACAAAGAATGAAATATGCTTAAATTTGGATCATATATAAATATTTATGGATATACAATACTTGGGTACTCTTTTTTTTTGTGCTGTGTGAAATTGCGTGTTAAAAATGTTCGATTATTTTCATTGTAGTTTTTTTTTTCTTTGCTTCTACTAATCAAAGTTAGACTCCCTGAATAATGAAAGAAAAAAGAAACTTTTACAATTTTTTTTCCGGGATTTTCGATCGGTTTTTTTTTTACTAATTGATTGCAGTTTGAATGGAAAAATAACAAAGGACTGAATTTTTTTTAAATTCATTTGGAAACCCAAGTTTTTTTTAATTAATTTAAAATAAAAAAAAAATGTCTTTTTAAATTTTGCAGAGGAACGAAGACTTCAAGAATTGGAGGATGTAAGTGGCGATATTAGAAGTACTTCAAATAGTCATAATGGCAAGGCAAATAATCATCAAAATAAACGAAGATGGCGTAAAACAATATCGTGTATAAATGTAAGAAAATTTCCATCATGTAAAACATCGTGATTCAATTTTTATTTTAGTTTTTATTATGTTATTTACTTCATTTGACTGTGCTAGTCAATTTTATTTCTTATTTACTGGCACTTTGACAGTACTGCGAATTGTCAAAAATGACATTATTCGCGATAGAGAGAGAGAGAAAAAGAGAGAGAGAGAATATAAACATTTGTGATATTAATATAAAAATAGTTAAATAATATGACACTATCTTTCATGTGCCATGATAAAAAAAAAAGGAAAAAATTATCGATTATGACTTGTTCTAATTTATAGAGAATTCGTTATAATTATGCTTGAATAATTCTTTGAGAGAAGATTCCAAAGTCGTCAATAATTATGTTTTAATTTCCACTCGATTTGATGCAAAAAGAATTTTATTGTCTTTTTATTTTATCGAGAACTTTTTTTTTTTTTTTTCTTTTATTTTCATCTGCCTTGTTAGGTTCTAGAATTTTCACAACGAAGAAACATATTTCCATTTGGAAATAAAAAAAAAAAAATATATTCAAGATTACACACAAAATGTTAGGAACAAGAAAAATTTGACAATTAATGTGCTGCACTAATTAAACAGTATTAAAAGGAGAAAAAAAAATCTTTCAGAATGTGCGAGGCATTATTTCATAAATTCTAGTTTTTTTTTTCATATATATTAGAATTATTTTTGAAAATTTCTTTTAATTACAAAATTAAGTTTTTATTTAACTAAGATAAAAATTGTTTTAAATCAAATTTTGGAAATAGAAAAAAATAATATAATTACAGAATTTTTATGAATAATTGTCTTCGATTTAATCTACTTATTCATGTTTAAAATAAAAGAAGCTGCCATGTAACTTAAAACAAACAATAGAATTATTCTATTTTAAATAGAATAATAGAAAAAAAAAATCATCTCAATGTTGAAAATTATAATTTTTTTTTTTTGTCGAAATTGTAATTCGTTTTATATTGAAAAATGTGTTAATTATTTAAAAACAAATTGTATATATAATTATCTGTAAAATAAGAACAATATTTTTACTTTATTGAATATGTGAAACATTGAAGAGCATCAAATATATCAAATTCTTTTTTTAAAATGAAGTTTTATTTTTACAATCTTTGATAGTTAGTAAAAAAAAATTAAATTTTTTTCCATTTTTATTTCTTTATAATTTAGATTGTTTTTATTTGCCGAAGATGTAATAAGAAAGAAGAAATAGAAAAAGAGAAGTTTCCATGCTTGTGTGTTATTCATTTATTTTTGTAACATACATTTTTATTAACATTGATAAAGATACGATACGAGAGTTTAAAGCAATCATACAAACAACAATTAAGATAATAATCATGCTCAATTTTTATAACAAATAATATTTTTCCACTTATCTTGCAACAGTTCGTCAAATATTGTCCTTGTCTTTTTTTTTTTGCAAATATTCGTCTCAGTCTGTAAAATAGATAAAAATTTACTATTCAATTTTTCAAAAATAGTAAATTTTTTTTTTTGTATAATCAGAAGAATATATAAAATTTCTGAATTTAAAAAAAAAAAATTCTGCTGGTATTTGCGAAGACAATATATCGTCGATTACATTTGCAGATTTTAATTTTATAAAGCATATATATTTACAAACGTTGATAACAATTGGAATGAATTGATAATACTACAATATACAATTGTTTTTTCACTATATATATATTTTTTTTTAATTAAATGAAATTTCACGTAAAATGTAACTCGAAATTAATTACAAATTTTCTATTAAGTAACTAAAAGTATTCCAGTTTTTAAATACTGGAATTTTGGAAGAGTCTCCAGATTCAAATGAATCGTATAATCAACACTAGTATGAATTAATTAATTTACAATTATTATTATTATTATTATTAATATTAGGTATTAATTTACTAAATTGATGCATTTGAGCCGGAAGACCCTAATAATATATTCAGTTTCATTATATTTAAGAATATTCTGAATACATTTCTACCAAATAAATAGATTTCGAAGAATGGCCTGCCATTTTCTTCGAGGTTTTTTTTTAAAGAATACTTCATCTGTGTCTTTTCAAAAAAAAAAATTGAAAATCATTTTCAAATTTTTCGAATCGCAGATGATTTATCTTAAAATAAATAATAATATTAAATACACGCATAGGTATATATATATTTTGTTTTCTTCACAAAACTGAGTCTATTAAAGTGCAATATACTAATATCAATATTTTTAAGATTATTTATCCACGAAGAATTTTCATTTTTTTTTTTAAGCTTTGTTAATTAACACTGTACATGTATTTATAATCAATACGGGAGTCATAAAAATCTAGCATTCTAAGAATTAAAAACTAATTAAAATATTCGAAAATTTAAATTAATTTCGTTTTCGTTATAAATAAAAATAAGTACTGAAAAAAAAAAAAATTATAATCCTCTATTTAAAAATTAGATGCTAATTCAAATTAATAGTAAACTATGGCACAATAAATAAATATAAATAAAAAAAAATAATTTTACATGCTAAAATAATTTTAGGTTCTTTTTTCTGAATGATTTTTTAAAAGTGATTTAAGCTTACATTTTGTACATTTTGAATCCCTAGTAAATTCACTTTGTCTAAAGAAACGAAATGTTCGTTGACGCTCGCAAAATTTTCGTCAAATTCACTATTGATACGTATTTTTCGAAGATGAGAATTATTTTCTTCTTATATCAATAATGATTTTGCGAATTTATATAATATATTATATCTCAGAGCACTACCTATGTGTGTGGCAAGTGCACTGCTAAATTTTAGTACCGTAGTTCGAACAGTGGTCATTTTTTTTCTAGTACGAATGAAGAAAATTTCAAAAAAAAAAATTAATTAAAATTTTAAAAATTAAACCCGACAAGAAAATCTTAAATGTTCATTCGTACTTTCATTAAATCTCTGCAAAATTGCAGAAAATTACCCATTATTAAAATGTTCATGTTCGGTGTTCATTTACAGAAATATACTTTGTGTCCAAAATTCCTTTCAAGAAACCAATTTTTTAATTAATAATTAATAATTATTTATATTATATATTTTTTTGCAGATATGATTTTCAAATTGTGTATATTTTCTAAATTTTCGTGATCATTATATCAGCATTGTACTTTTCTTACTTATTATAATATATACTGTATGTCTCTCTTTTTTTTTTTAGTAACTAGAGAATTTAATTGCAGCGAAAATAGGAAAGAAAATTATTGCATCCAATGGGATGTTACTCTAAATGTCCCTCTTCCTCCAATTCGAGTAGGAATTTTGAAACTCGATAATTTGGTTCCACTTGTCGTGCCATATCAATTACACCCAATAATTTCTTGATACCAATAAAGACACTAGAAAATTCGGATATTTAAATTTTTAATAATAAATATTTAAATTTCTCTTCTAAATAAATAAAAAAAATGGATACTAAAAATTAAATACTGTAAACTTACCGCTTGCCGTGTAATTTCTTTTGAAGCGATGCAATTTCCTGTTTCGAGAATACGTCAACCTCTTCGAGAACTGAAAGAAGATGATCAGGAGTCGACAAATTTGGTACATGAAGAATTTTCCTAAACGCTGACAACATTTCCATATCGTCCAAAACTTGTCTGAAATTAATAAATTTACAATAATAAAATACAAAAATTCATAAAACGTAAAAAAAATAATTACCTTCGACTAGTGGTGCAAAGGATAAGAAGTTTCCGACCCCGAGGAGGATTTGCCTTCAACAAAACTAATAAAGCCTGAAGAGTAATGTTCGAATAACGCGGACCAATTGCACCGTAATCTAATAAACGTTCAATATTATCGACCAAAATACAACTAAGCTGTGAGCGATAAGCATCGTCGAATATCTGAAAATATATTTTAAAAAAGTAAATATCGAATTAATATTAGAAAATTAAATTTCTAATTAATATTTTTTTGAAAATTGCAAATTACCTTTCGTATTTGCAAACACTTGGCAGTTTCGGTAAATCCAACCATTTCCTGTGGTTGACAAACTTTAATAAATGGAAAATCAGAATTCTTTGCAATTTGAGCGGCGAGAGCAGTTTTTCCACTATTTGGCGGACCTTCCAATAAAATAGTAACAAGACCCGAATCCTCAGCGTTCTTTGTTTCTTGAATATATAAATTTCCATCAGCCAAAATATCAGAAACTGGCCTACCCCAATTGATAATTCCTCTCAATAAAAGTGATTCCAACATTTCTGCATTTGTACCAAAAGCCTAAAGGGAAAAAAATAAAAATTTATTTTTACCAAACAAAATTTTAATTTAGAAAAACAAAATTATATAATGAATATCAATCTCACTGGTTTGACATCATTTTCCAATGCATGAAGAAAATCTGTCCTATTAACGCAAAACTTTTCCATTGCCGAAGGATCAACTTCAACTTTACTCGCAGCTTTAATCAATCTATTCATAGCTGTACTTTGTGCTGCTCTAACTAAACCCTCCAATTCTGCGCCACTGAAATTTTTCGTCAATGTTGCAAGTTCCGTTAGATCAACATCGTTGGAAATTTTTTTATAATCACGCATTTTACTTGTGTGAATATTCAAAATTTGATGTCTACCATGTTCGTCAGGTAAACTAATTTCCATTTGTACCTAAAAAAAAAAAAAAATCGATTCAATTAAAATCTCCCTTTGCGTGAAATTATTTAATTACCGAGTATGTTTTTGGGATTTTTTTCGCTTATAAATTTACAATTGTAGGACACTTTTCCTAAAATAACTTTAAAATATTTTTTTTTAATTTAATTCACTTTTTAAATAATAAATATTTTTTTCCCAAAAAAAAACTTTTCTCAACGAGAACATTTCCAAAAAAAATTGTAATTTAAAACATTATGTGGTTAAAATTAAATTATTAATGAAAAAAAAATGAATTTTGAAAAAATTTAAAAATTAATTGAGATTTGAAAAAGCTGCATTTAACATTTATAGAAGTAATTGAATTTTTAGAGATTTTTAAATAAAATTTTTGTAAATTTGAATTAAAAAATGTTTTAAAAAAATTAAATTTTCGAAAATTTCGATTAAATTTATTAGAAATAATTAATTTTCCAAAGAATTTTAGAAATAATTGAATTTTTCAAGATTTAAAATTAAAATTTTTTAGAAATAATTGAATTTCAGGAGATTTTGAATCGAAACTTTTATAAAATTTAATTGTCTAAATTTTTTTTTTACAAAAATTTAGACAATAATTGAATTTAAAAGAATTTTCATTTGAAAAATATTTTAAATAATAGAGTTTTTAAAGAACTTGATTAAAATTATTGAATATAATTAATTTTGCGAAGAATTTTAGTTTAAATCAATTTTGGATTTTAATTAAAAAAGTCGTTTGTATTTTGTTTAAAAAATGTTTTTAAAAAAGTCGAAAGTATTTTTTATTTTACCAAAATTTTGTAATTATAAACGCGATTGAAAATCAAATTCTAACACGAAATATAAAATTTCAGGATCCAATGAAAAATTCAAGAACTATTCCAGGTAAAAATAGAATTCAAGGATTTTTTCAAGTTTTCAAGAAAATCCATGTCACTAGACACTCTGGATGTTAAATAGGATTAATATTTTAATACAAGGATGTTAAATAATTTAAATTTGGAAAAAAAATTTTATTACAGATTTTTAAAATTTCAATTTTTTAAAGAATTTCATTAAATTTTTACGAAAATTTATTTTTGGAAAAATAGTAATTGTAATATTACTATTTGCAATCTTTTTTTTTTTTTTTGGTAAAAAGTTGAGAAACTTATTTTGGGAAAAAGTGTTTCCTTACCAAAATTTCAACTAATTTACTTACCTCCAATCTTCCTGGTCGAAGTAAAGCCTCGTCAATCATATCACGACGATTTGTCATTCCAATAACGAGAATATTATTTAATTGATCGACACCGTCAATTTTTGAAAGTAATTGATTAACAACCGTATCGTGAACGCCAGTATTTCCCGCGACACTTCCTCTTGCTTTGCAAATAGCGTCGATTTCATCGAAAATAATTATATGTAATCCACTGTTTGGACCTAGCTGAAAATTTCATTTTTATAAAGAAAAAAAATTTCAATTATTATTAATAGAGAAAAATTCAAAAATTTTTGTACAAATTTTTCATTACCCTCTTTTCTTCCTCCTCGGCATCGGCAAATAATCGTCGTATATTGGCTTCACTTTCGCCAACATATTTATCCAAAATTTGTGGACCATTAACAATTTTTGGTTCTCTTGCATTTAACATATTACCAATTTGTCGTGCCATTAATGTTTTACCAGTTCCCGGTGGACCATAAAGTAAAATTCCCTTCACATGTTTACAGCCTAATTGCGTTACAACTTCAGGTGGAAATACACGTGATGCAAATGCACGACGAAAAATGGCGCTCACTTCTTTATCTAAACCGCCAATACCCATTTTTTGAAAATCCCAATCTGGATTTATAATTGATTGACGTACCATTTGTCCTTTTGCCTTGCCAATTAAATTAAGACTAGAATTATCAGCTTTTTCAAATTGTATCACAGAATCACCTAAACAACGACCCATTCTTGTTTTTTTTGGTTTTGTCTCTTGTCCCGTGCTTATTGCTTGTAAATCGGCAGCCTCTAAACTTTTTACAACAAGCCCCAACATTTTTTTATCTAAAAATTGAAATGCCAATTGTTGTCCAACAGTGAATGCTTGACCTGAAAATTGCAATAAAAATTCCTTTGCCATTTGCTCAGTGTCGTATGGCTCGAGAGTTGTTCTGAAATAATAATATAAGAGAAAATTATTTTTTTTTTTTTAGAAATAAGAGAATTAACAGGCCTCGGATCGACTTAAAGGCACAAAAAAAAGTTGTTTTAGTCGATTTATATTTAAAAAAAAGTCGATTTTTTTTATTTTAACAAAAATATTTTACAGATTTTTAAATAAAATTTTTTTTTTTTTAAATAATAATACTTTTGGAATAGTTAAAGTTGAAATTTTTAGAAATAATTGAATTTTAAAAGAGATTTTGTTAATTTTCAGACAATAATTAAATTTTATAGAACTAAAAATAATTTATCAAATAATTTCAGATAACATTTTTTAAATGTAATTGAATTTTCAAAGATTTACAATTGAGATTTTTAAAATTAATTGAACTTCAAGTGATTTTTAATTAAAAATTTTTGATGATTTCACTAAAAAAATTTATTAGAAATTGCGGACAAATATACAATAATTTGAAAAACATTTTTCATTGAAAAATGGGTTTAGATAGTTGAATTTTCGAAAGAATATTATAAAAACAGTTAAAAATAATTTAATTTCCTTAGAGTTATAATAATTGAAATTGTTAAATTTCAAATAATTTTCGATGGAAACTTTTAGAAATAATTAAATTTTAGAAGCTTTTAAATTCAAATGTTTGAAAATTCAATTAATTTTGAATTCAAATTTTTGAGAATAATGAAATTTTAGTTGATTTTTTATTGAAAATTTTGATAATAATTAAATTCTAGAAGCTTTTAAATTTTAAATTTTTGAAAATAATTGAATTATAATTGAAATTTTGGATAATAATTAAATTTTAGTTCATTTTTGATTGAAAATTTTGATAATAATTAATTTTGAATTGAAATTTTGGATAATTATTGAATTTTCTTTGATTTTGAATTGAAATTTTGGGTAATAATTGAATTTTAGTTGACTTTGAATTGAAATTTTTGAAAAAAATTGAATTTTCTTTGATTTTAAATTCAAATTTTGGGTAATAATTGAATTTTAGTTGATTTTGAATTGAAATTTTTGAAAATAATTGAATTTTCTTTGATTTAAGATTTTGAATTAAAATTTTTTGGTAATTTTATTTTTGTTATTTTTTTAAATTATAAACAATTGTTAAATTTTACAAAAATTTTAATTGAAAAATAATTTGAAATAATTAAATTTCTGATGAATTTCATTAAAATTATTAAAAATAATTAATTTAGTGAAGAATTTTTGTTAAATAATTGAAATAAAAAAGATATAAAGAAGATCTGCATTTTATACTAAAAAAAATAGATTTTTTTAAAAAATTTTTTAAAAAATGTAAAAAAAAGTCGAAATAGTCGCATTTTATTAAAATAAGTCGAAAAAAGTCGTATTTTTTAAAAAAAGTTGGAAATAGTCAAAAAAGTCGTATAATCCGAGGCCTGAATTAATGAAAAAAAAAATATTAAAATAATTAAGAAAAAGATTTCTCCTTTGTAAATAGGGGAAATTTTCTTTTTTTTTTTTTCTTTTGGCATAAAAGCTTACGTCTTTTTCTGAAGAAAATCAGCCTCAAGGACAATTGTGCATAGACATTCTGAGCTTGAAGTCGGATCAAAATAATGAGGTCGTACTTCGATTTCTTGATTTAACGACAGTGTTGCCCATTTTCGTTGAGGTAAACTAAAACCAACATTCCCACGTGGCATATTCTCATATGATTTGACAGTGAAAATAAAATGTTGATTCGGTCCAGTTGTCACCTCAATATGTCTAAAAATAATAAAGAAAAAAAAAAGTTTCAATTCTATGGAAATAATTCCTGAGCATTGTAAATAAATTAATCACAAGTTATCGATTCTTCTCTTGTCCTAAATTGAGAGCTATATGTCAAACATTAAAATTATTTATTTACACAATGAGATTTAATAATTAACAATTTTTTATTTTTATTTACAAACTAAAATTTTGTTTTTTAATTTAAAAGACTCTTTTTATTATTTCAAGCTCTTTGTTGGCATAATTAAAGATTCATGAACCTGTTGCTGTAAATTAAAGAAAAAAACAAAATAATAAATACGAACCTGACATCGTCCGGAAAGTCAGAACGATTAATAACAGCACAATTGGAGAGGCTGAGCTCGTCCGTAGGGCACTTGTTGGCTCTCATTCTCTGAATAGTAAAAAAAATATAAATTAAAGTATTATAGATTTTAGATAAAATACAGTGAAAAGTAGATCGGTCGATATTAATATATATGAAAGTGATATAGGCTAAGTTTCTACTCTCAACACACAAAAGTATTGATGTATGCTATTCTATCGCAGTGGTGGGGTGGGGGATAATGATTTAAACACATCTTATAAATAAAAATTTAAAAAATTTACAATATTAATACAAAAATATAATAAATTATTGAAAATATCATTAATTTTATTTAAAAACTTACGTATCCTGACATGTTTATGACAACAATTGTAATAATACAGGCCCCTGTACGATATGAAACCTGCAATGCAGGAAACAAACCTGTCAAACTGAGAAAATTTGTCTTCTGCGCAACTTCCGGTTAATATCGATACTTGTTTTCGATATATCGAAAAGAGACTCCGCCCCTTTTTTTTTTAATCAGCTGGTTGTAGTTATAGTTTGGAAAGTGAATAAAGAGAAAGTGTCAAAATGTGTATTTTTATGAAACTAAATTACTAGTTAATTATTTTACTTAAATAGAAACATAAAATAAATTATTCTAATGTGCTATTTGTTGTTTTTCTAAATGACAAACAAAATTATGACAGTTACAAACAAAGATTCATCTACTTTTCATTGTATAGACAAATGCAAAAAAAATTATCTACAATCTAACTGTATATCTTCTTGAATTGTCTTGAATAAAAAAGAGGATAAATGACAGTTTTTTTAAAATAAAATTAAATGACACATACAAGGAGCTTATTGAATACAATCATCGATTTTTAGGTTATGTTTTAAGAACAATGATTTTTCAAATTCAAGCATTAATAAGTATTTTATTGAAAATTTTATGAATAAGACAGTCAATATGAAAGTTAATAATTTGGAGGATAACCATGAGTTAAAAAATTTATTAGGAAACAATGGACCCAACAACTCTGGTAAGGCATTTAAATTTTTTATATAGATTTTAGGTCACAATAATTGTTTTATTTACAATAAATTTTTTATTATAAAAATTATATTATTATTTTTTTTTCTATTGAATACAATCTTTTGTGATTTTTATTCTTTGCACTTAAGGCCAATTGTCATCAATTCAATTCAATCTATTGCGTTAATAATTATTGCTGAATAAGAATCATTATCTTCCTTATTTTTTTAAAGGTCAATAAATATTTTTTTTTAATAGATAAAATTTATTAATTTGCAATGTTTATGTTTTTACAGGTGTGGATACTCAAACACTCTTACAAAATAAGAAGTAAGTTTGCAATATTATGTCTTCTTATTGATTGAAAAAAAAAAATAAAAAAAAAATAAATTTTCGTTTATAAGTTTTTTTTTTATATAGCAGAATTAAACCGGTTGTGACTAACATTTAATAGAATCATAAAAATTATTTCCGCGAAGTTATAGAATAAATTAGTTTATTACGTAAAATATTGGATTTTCCAATAGATGAAAGAATCATAATTTTTATTTTTTTTTTTCAAATTTTGTAGATTAGGGAAAATTTTAAATACCATTTCCGACAATGATAATTTTAATCTTATATTAATTGCGTTCCTCGGAGTTTAAAAAAAAAAATATATGACAAGAAATATCGCTTCACAGTAATAATAATCGCAGCTGTTTGTGTTCCCTTGAAGAAAACGAAACCTTCAATGCCGTTGAGTTGTGTGTTGTCGTGTAACTGGTGAATGTTTCTTTCACAACGAATCATGATTCCAGTCGCTGTTTCAATCACAAGGGGGTCCAAATTCAAACTGGAGCACGCGCGCCTTTCTCTTCGTCCTGTGTACTTGCTGTATGTACTTTGCAAGACATGAATTATCCGCTTTAATAAGTTTCCTGCTCTAGTCGCGAATAGATCGTTTCATTCTTTATTAAATTCGTTACGTTTATAATAAGTGCAATTTATTAAAAAAAAAAAAAAAAAAACAATCGGCAATTTTTTTCGCTAAACTTACTGGAAAATAATTTCCTTAAATTTATTCCAACTTTTTTTATATAATATAAAAACGAACAAATATATATTTGATTAAGTAATTCCTAAATTCCATTCCTCGGGATTTTTTTGCAAAAAAGGAAAGTGTTTAAGCAAAATTACGTGATTATTAATTAAAAAATAAAAAAAAATGATAAATCATAGATGTAATTTAATAATTTTAGTTATCAATTTAATTGAAATTGATTAATTCTTTAATAATTTAAAAAAAAATGGTTAAAATCAGCAATCCGTTAGTTCATCAAGTGAAATTAGTTTATCGAAACTTGTCTAATTTCACTCTCTCAAAAGAAACACAACTTTCCTCTTTACATATTTCTGGATACTATTCAAATCTTGCCGAAGAAACAAGACTTCTTGGGTTTGTAAATCAATTTAAATTTTGGTTTATTTTCAAATTCGACAAATTTTCTCAAAAAAAAAAAAAAAAATACAATAAAGAAGTTAACTTTTTAATTTTCCTCATTCGAACTTACGTTAAACTTCTTTTTTTTTATTCCCACTTCATTGCACCTAAATTTGTCATTAAATTACCACTTGTCAACATGAATAATTACCAATAACAATAGAGCTCGTTATAATTTACGTATATTTCAAAATTTATGTATCTCTAAAATTTCAACTTAACGATAAAGGATACATTTTTGCAAAAAAATCATAATATATAATTAACGTTTATGGATATACGTTCAGCAAAGATATATAATTTCATTTCTTAAAAGTTTAACTTTAAATAATTATTAATATTTGAATAGCCAATAATTAGAACTGTTTATTACATGTGTGTGTGTGTTTTTTTTTACCTTTTTAAAATAACTTCTACAATATTTAACTTAATTATCGGTAAATTAAATTTTAATTTCAATAAAATAATTTCATTTTTAATATCTTAAATTTTATTCTTAGTACAAATTTAAAAATAAAGCTAATTACTGCATTATCTTTTTTTTTTAATGATAAGGATTAAATTATTCATCATATTTAATATTTATGAGTAAATAATTAACTGATAACTTATATTTTGTATTTAATTTATATCTTTAAGAAAAACAAAATTCTAAATAATAGAAAACAATTTAGAAAATTGTCAATGAATTAATTAATTTTAATAACAAATTATATTTTTGTTTTTCATTTTTTTTTTTTTTTTTTTTTTTTTTTTTTTTTTTTTTTTAAAGAGAACAATTAATAATACGGATGTTAGAATTAAAAATTGTAGATACAAATACAAAGAAATGTTTATAAATCGAATGTTTGATTTTTTTTTTATCATATTTCATGAATCAAAAGTGTCAATGAAATTTGATGCTTAAATGACAATCGTGTCTTTATTTCATAAACTAGTGTGAATGTTTTCAGTAATTACACTTTTGAGCGTGACACATATTGGTCCTGAAAAATGATAGGCATGCTATTTCATTTTATTGAACGCAATTCCAGTTCACATATTTAAAATTCCCTTCTCCCTAATAAAAGGAATTTATTAATTTCTTCGTACTTTTATTAAATTTACCCTGTAAATTATTATTATTCCCTTAGATTTTATTATTATTATTATTATTATTATTATTATTATTATTGTTATTTAATTATAAATTTTAAAAAATAAAAAAATTTACGCATAATTTATTTATAAATTGACGAGAATTATTTTTAATTGAAAGTTAAACAATGTCAAACGTTGTTTGTTCTTGGCCTTGACTTAACACGATTTTTTTAAAATGAAACTGTAAAGAAAAATTTAAACCAAGCCATAGTTTGTTATGGTGCCCTCAATTTTTTTTTCTTCACTTTATTTTTCTCTATAAAATTTCCACTTTATTGCCGTTACACAAAGTTACATAAAGTTCATTAGCAATTACTTTTTTTTTAAAAAAAACTTTGAAATACTTATGAAATGTTCCTCGAACTTGTCTATTGTTTTTTTTTCAACGTTTAACAAATTCAAATATTTTATAAACGAACAAATTTTTTTCATTTTTTAAATAAATTATTTTTATCGACATTCATATATTTTGTATCAACATTTTTTTTTTTAATCAAAAAAAATGTTTTTATTTGTAATTTTTTTTAAGATGTAATTTTTTAGATAAAAATTTTTTTTTTTAGCAAAACATCACTTGTATCGTAAAATAATTATTGCTTCACTGATTCGATAAATGCTATCGACATTTGAGAAGGAAAAAAAAAGAACACTTGATAGAAATTTTCACACACAAAAATAAAATTATTTGAAATTAAATTAACTTTTTGAATTTGAAACGAAAAACTCTGATGATTATATGAAAGCAACTGGAAAACTAATGATTAAAACTTGAAATGTGTTTTTATACATCGATCTTATATATACTTATCTTACAAAGTATTTCGTCATTTTATAACTGTGCCGTGAGCAAAGCTCATACTGAGGATACGAACTATCTTGGATTTCTTAAATTATCAGTTGTTCCAGGAAATCTTATTTATCAAGTCATTTAAAAAGTTATTTCCATTTTGTCGAACATAATTTACGATTCTTTTTTTCTTTTCCCTTTTTTCTTTTTTTTTCTTTTTTTTCTTTTTTCTTTTTTTTCAATAAAATTGGGAATCTAAATTTTTTTTCACTTCTTGCAAAATCAACTTTCACCTCAATCTATACATAAAAAATATCAGTGATTGATCAACGTTCAAAGTGGTTTATTCTTCTTTTTCAAAAAAGAATTTTTTTCTATTAAAAAAAAAAACAAAATTGCAGAGAAAATTTATTTATAAATAAATTTAATCAATTAATAAAATAATATTAACTTATTTTATTATAAATTATGATGAAATATGATAAAGTACCCCTTTTGAAAGAGGATTTTAACGAAGAAAACATTTTATGGTATGCCGATAGTAATAACTAGAGAGGAGAACAATTTCCGTGATTATAGATAAGAAATTAAAACGTTTAACATTATTTTTCTTTTTAATTTCTTATAAAAATAACGATAAGCATTTGTTGTTGTGCGATAATAGAGTTCATTTTGTGGATTATTCTTCCTTATTTAGTTTCTGTTTTACGATAAAACAATGTTTTGAGAAACAATTTTCTGAAAAAAGAATCGATATTATTATAAATATTGATAAAAGGATATTAAATAAATTAATTAATGAGATTATTATTTTTTTTTACAGGGACGATGGGGAAGATGAAACCCATCAAGAAACGGAAGTTCCATCGTTGGAGAAAATAAATTCTAATAGTGAAATAGCTTCAATTAAAATTTTCATTGAAGGAATGAGTTGTCAGAGTTGTGTGAAAAATATTGAAGGAACAATAGGAAATCGTCCAGGTGTTATTAATATTAAAGTTAATTTAGATGATAAAATTGGCAATGTGACGTACAAAATCAGTGAAATAACATCGAAAGAATTAATTGACGCTATTAGTGACATGGGTTTTGATGCTTTTTTATCAAGAGAAGACAAAAATTTTAATAATGACACCAGTTCTAAATGTAATATAAGTAATTGTAGAATTCATATCGATGGAATGACATGTAATTCATGTGTTAATAGTATCACTGGTAAGTTAAATTTTAATACCTAATTTTAGAAAGTTTTTTTAAAAATCAAAAAATAATATTAAATTTTCAATAACAGGTGTAATATTGGAAAAGTCAGGAGTAAAAACAATTCAAGTTAGTTTAGATGAAAAAGAAGCAAAAGTTTCATACAACAATGACGAAATAACTGCCGATAAAATAGCGTATTTTATTGAAGACATGGGATTCGATACGTATGTAAAAGAAATTAATGGTCAACTGGAGAATAAATTGGAAAATAATGAAAAAACAAAGGAAATTGAAAAATTAAAAACAATAAATGGTGCTGGCGATGTTAAATTAGAAAAAAGACTTACAAAATGTGTTTTGCACGTGCAGGTTTGTTTTTTCAAAAATAAATTTATTAAAACTTTAAATATTTATTTAAAACTAAAGAAATAATAATAAAAAAATAAATAATTTACAGGGCATGACATGCGCATCTTGTGTAAGTGCAATAGAAAAACATTGCAAAAAATTATATGGAGTTGATAATATTTTAGTAGCACTAATGGCAGCAAAAGCGGAAGTAAAATTTGATCCAGATAAAATAAGTCCAATTGATATTGCCGCAAGTATTTCCGATCTTGGATTTCCAACTGAAGTCAGCGATCCCGGGACTGGTGAGAGTGAAGTCGAAATTTCAGTATGTATCAAAATCGAATTTTCATTTAAAAAAATTTTCATTTAACAGAATTTCAATTTTACAAAATTGACATTAAAAAATAATTTTATTATAACAGAATTGTTCATTAAACTGAATTTAATATAATTTATATTTAATGCCTCTCTGAATTTTAAAATGAAAGGAAAATTTTTATATTATTTTAAGATCTTGTTAATAATTATTTATTATTTAATACAGATCACAGGAATGACGTGTGCATCATGTGTAAATAAAATAGAATCAAATGTGAAAAAACTTCCCGGTATGCAAATGGCGAACGTTGCACTCGCAACGCAACGAGGAAAATTTAAATACGATTCAGATAAAATTGGAGTTCGTGATATTTTAGAATGTATTAATAAATTAGGATTCAATGCCAATTTACTGAGTAATAAACAAAATGAAAATAGAGGTTACTTGGATCAAAAGTAAGTTTGAAAGTGAAATTTTTTTTTAATTAAAAAATTAGGGAAAATATTGCAATATTTCATTTATTTTTCAATTAGAATTATTTTGCTTTGTTAGCAATAAACAAAAGTCATTGAATAATATATTATCTAATGAGAATGTAGTAAATTGATAAATTAAAGAAATGAAAAGAATCGATTTTTATATTTTTTAGAGAAGAAATACAAAAATGGAAATCGGCATTCTTGATATCGTTAATATTCGGAGTGCCATGTATGATTGCAATGACATATTTTATGTTAGTTATGTCAATTGGACATAAATCCCATGAGGATATGTGTTGCGTAATTCCTGGTGTGTCGTGGGAAAATCTTATTCTATTCATCTTCTCAACTCCCGTACAGGTAATTGAAAAAAAAATATTAATAAAAAAACTAATAAAAAAATTTATAAAAAATTTCCTTTTTTTTTTAAATTTGATCAGTTTTTCGGTGGATGGCATTTTTACGTACAAGCTTATAAAGCCCTTAAACATGGATCAACAAATATGGATGTTTTAATTTCAATGACAACAACAATATCATATGTTTATTCTGTTTGTGTTCTTGTTGCTGCAATTATTTTACAAGAAAGCGTTAGTCCACAAACATTTTTCGATACACCGCCAATGTTACTTGTTTTCATTAGTTTAGGAAGATGGCTTGAACATGTAGCAAAGGTAAATTGCATTTTTTTTTCTAAATAATTATTAACAATAATTATATAATAATAACTTGAAGTTGGCCTTTTCTAATTTCACGTGTTTTTTTGAATAGTAATCTTATGACGTGTCAAATTTTGACAATTCTTTTTCTCATTTTTGCCAAAGTTGTATAATTGTGTTTCCAAATTTCGGAATAAGTTTCTTTAAAATTCCAAATTCGAAAATTCAATTCACGAAGCTGAAGTACACAACGTTTACTAACGAAATTTTTTTTAAAGTTTTATAATGATTCAAAAATGGTATACAAAATACAAAAAATTTATGATGAGAAAAAAGATGCGCCAGGAAATTTCGTACAAGATAGTAATTTGAAAAAAATTTATTTTTAAGGTACCAGGGGCCAACGAATACCTATTAAATATTAATTATAAAAACACAGGCCTCGAATCAACTTAAAGACACAAAAAAGTCGTTTTAGTCGATTTATATTCCAAAAAAAATGGATTTGTTTTTTATTTTAACAAAAATATTTTACAGATTTTTAAATAAAAATTTTTTTTTAATAATTATCCTTTTCGAAGGGTTAAAGTTGAAATTTTTAGAAATTATTAAATTTCAAAAAATATTGTTAATTTTCAAACAATTATTAAATTTTACAGAACTAAAAATAATTTATCAAACAATTTTTGGAAAACATTTTTTAAATTTAATTGAATTTTAAAAGATTTAAAATTGAGATCTTTGAAATTAATTGAAACTTTAAGTGATTTTTAATTAAAATTTTAGATAATTTTATTAAAAATTTATTAGAAAATGCGGACAAAATACAATAATTTGAAAATCATTTTTAATTGAAAAATGGTTTCAGATAGTTGAATTTTCAAAGAATATTATTAAAATAGTTAAAAATAATTTAATTTCCTTAGAGTTAGGGCGCACTCACACCTTTTGGCTGCCTGCAGGTTACCATGGCAACGCATGAGAGTGAGTGCGACAGAAAATTTAAAAATTTGAATATTCAAATTTTCTGTCTCACTCACACTCGTGCGTTGCCATGGTAACCTGCAGGCAGGCAGGCAGGCAGCCAAAAAAGGTGTGAGTGCGCCATTATAATTGAAATTATTAAATTTCAAAAAAAAACATTTTCGATGGAAAATTTTAGAATTAATTAAATTTTAGATGCTTTTAAATTCAAATTATTGAAAATTCAATTCATTTTGAATTCAAATTTTTGAGAATAATTACATTTTATTTGATTTTAAATTGAAAATTTTTGGGAAATAATTGAATTTTAATTAAAATTTTGAAAATAATTGAATATTAGTTTATTTTGAATTGAATACTTGGAAAACAATTGAATTTTAGTTGATTTTGAATTGAAATTTATGAAACTAATTAAATTGAAATTGAAAATTTTTAAAACAATTGAATTTTAGTTGATTTAGGATTGAAAATTATGAAAATAATTAAATTTCAGTTGAAATTTTGAAAATAATTGATTTTGCTTCCTCGTGGAGGAAGCTATGTAGTCCTTTCGTTTATAAACTTTTTAAAAATGGTGAAAACAAATTTTCCTCTATATAGAAACATGTTATATGAGATCCTGATCAATTGTCCGGATGTATGTATGTGTGTGTGTATGTGTGTGTGTGTGTGTGTGTATATGTGTGTGTGGATCGTTTTTGTGAACACGATATCTTTAACAGGTTTTAATGGATTTGGATAAAATTTGGTAGGCTTATTTAACACATTAATCTCTCAAAAATGACGAGAGGATTTTTAAAAATACCCAAAAAAAAAAATTTTATCGTCTTTTTTCCAAAAAATTTTTTTTAATTGAAAAAATTTTTAAATCGAAAAATTTAAGGTAATATATATTATAATCGTCTTCTTTATGTCAAGATGAATCGATTGATATATATAAAGTATAGATTTGATTGAAATTTAAAGAATTAAAGAAAGTTAAAAAATAAAAAATTCTCATTTTAGCTAAAAAATGATGTGTTTATTTAAATTCATGTTTATATATGAAATAATTTTATTTCCTGCATTGAAACAAATTGGTTGGTATATATAAAGTATAGATTTGATTTAAAATTTGAGAATTAATATATAAAGTTTATGTTACACTCAAAATTAATTAAAATTTTCTTTATTTTTCAAAAAATTTAATTAATTTAAAACATTTTTAATTCGAAAGTTTTTAAATGAATCAATTGAATTGGACAAATTCATTGCTTCCTTCACGAGGAAGCGAATTTTTTGCTTCACACAATGAGGAAGCATAATGTTTATGAAATAAACATAAAGGACCCCCTACTTGTTTAGTTTATTTTGAATTGAAAATTTTGAAAATAATTTATTTTCAATTGATATTTTGGAAAATAATTGAATTTTTGTTAATTTTGGATTGAAATTTTTGAAAATAATTGAATTTTAGTTGTTTTAGAATTGAAATTTGAATAGAAATTTTAGAAAATAATTGAATTTCAGTTGATTTAGGATTGAAAATTTTGAAAATAATTAAATTTCAGTTGAAATTTGGAAAATAATTGAATTGTAGTTTATTGTGAATTGAAATTTTTGAAAATAATTTGTTTTCAATTGATATTTTGGAAAATAATTTAATTTTTGTTAATTTTAGTTTATTTTGAAAATAATTGATTTTCAATTGACATTTTGGAAAATAATTGAATTTTAGTTTATTTTGAATTGAAATTTTTGAAAATAATTTATTTTCAATTGATATTTTGGAAATTAATTTAATTTTTGTTAATTTTGGATTGAAATTTTTGAAAATAATTGAATTTTAGTTGATTTAGAATTGAAATTTGAATAAAAATTTTAGAAAATAATTTAATTTTATTTCATTTTAATTTAAAACTTGGTAAATAATTAAATTTTAAATTGAAAATTTTGGATAATTATTGGATTTTTAATTGATTTTGAATTAAAATTTCGGGTAATAATTGAATTTTAGTTTATTTTGAATTGAAATTTTTAAAAAATAATTCAATTTTATTGTAATATTTTTTTTAATTATAAACAATTGTTAAATTTGATAAAAATTTTAATTGAAAAATAATTTTGATATAATTAAATTTGTGATGTATTTCATTAAAATTATTAAAAATAATTAATTTAGTGAAGAATCATTTTAGTTCAAAATTTGTTAAATAATTGAATTGAAGAAGATCTGAAGAAGATCTACATTTTATACTAAAAAAAGGTATTTTATTTACATTTTTTTTCAAATGTAAAAAAAAATGTCGCATTTTATTAAAATAAGTCGATAAAAGTCGTATTTTTGAAAAAAATCGGAAAAAGTCGTATAATCCGAGGCCTGAAAACATATAATTTTCATTATTATCATTTAATATGTAATAATATTCTAATAAATTAAATTATTATTGATAATATTAATCTTTAATTTCTTTAATAATAAAATTTTTCTTTTATAAAATTATTTTCAGGGTAAAACATCAGAAGCACTATCAAAACTTCTTTCACTAAAAGCAACGGATGCTGTTCTCATAACATTGGGAACAAATAGTGAAATTATTTCCGAACGTATTATAAGCGCTGATCTTGTGAAACGTGGTGATTTTTTAAAAGTTGTACAAGGTGCAAAAATTCCCGTCGACGGTCGTGTAATATCAGGACATTCGGCATGCGATGAGAGTTTAATCACCGGTGAAAGTATGCCTGTACCAAAAAAAGTTGGATCAGTTGTAATTGGAGGTTCTATTAATCAAAATGGACCACTTTTAATTGAAGCAACACATACGGGTGAACATACAACATTGGCACAAATTGTACGTCTTGTTGAAGAGGCACAATCAAGTAAAGCACCAATACAACAGCTTGCTGATAAAATTGCCGGTTATTTTATTCCACTTGTGATATCTGTTTCGTTTATAACATTAATTGCATGGATAACTGTTGGTTATATTAATTTCGATGCATTACCAATTACACATAATGAGCAAATAATGAAAAATAATTTGGGTAGACTTGAAATTATTTATCAATATGCTTTTAAATGTGCCTTATCAGTTTTGGCGATCGCTTGTCCTTGTGCATTGGGATTAGCGACACCAACGGCCGTTATGGTTGGCACTGGTGTTGGTGCTTTAAATGGTATTTTAATAAAAGGCTCCGAACCATTGGAAAATGCACATAAAGTGAAATCAATTGTTTTTGATAAAACTGGAACACTTACAAATGGCGTGCCAACAGTGACGAAAATTGTTTTATTTGTTAATGAAAAAATTTGCTCGATTGGTAAATTTTTAACAATTGTTGGAACAGCGGAAATTAATAGTGAACATCCAATTGCTTCAGGTAAATATTTATTTATTTCTTCTTCATTTCTTTTTTAATTCTCCATTAATTTTTTGTTTTGTTTTAGCAATTGTACGTTATGTTAAAGAAACAATAGGAACGGAAATAAGTGGTAAATGTTCAAATTTCCAAGCAGTCGCTGGTTGTGGATTAAAATGTAAAGTTTCTTATTTAACAACAACAATTTCATCAGCATTGCGTTCGGAAAAAGTCATTAATTATATGAATCAATTGAGAAATTTGAATTCGGGAACATTTTATTTAAATGAAGTACCAGTGGATATTGTCACAATAATTAATTCAACGCAGGAGAGTCAAAATTTAAATTTGGAATTATTATTGAATCCTGATTCACATGGTGATAGGATTGATGTTGATTCTTATGAAATTTGCATTGGTAATCGTGAATGGATGAGAAGAAATGGAATTATAATAACGCAAGAGGTTGATAATCGAATGATTGATGAAGAAAGTTTAGGACGTACGGCTATTTTAACGGCTATTAATAATACTTTAGTGGCAATGATTAGTGTTGTTGATCAAGTAAAACCAGAAGCACATTTGGCAGTTTATACATTGAAACGAATGGGTTTGGAAGTGATTTTATTGACTGGTGACAATAGAAAGACTGCAGCGTCAATTGCGCGACAAGTTGGAATTAGTAAAGTTTTTGCTGAAGTTCTTCCATCGCATAAAGTTGCGAAAATTCAAAGAATGCAGGAAAAAGGAGTTAGAGTTGCAATGGTTGGCGATGGAGTTAACGATAGTCCTGCACTTGCTCAAGCTGATGTTGGAATTGCAATAGCATCTGGTACTGATGTTGCGGTTGAAGCTGCCGATGTTGTTCTAATGAGGGTATTTTAAAACAGTTCATATTTTTCTTTTTCAATAATTTCTGTTATTTTATTAATTATTAATTTTTTTCGTTCCCTTTTTTCCAGAATGATTTATTAGATGTTGTCGCGTGTTTGGACCTCTCTCGTAAAACGGTGAATCGAATAAGACTGAATTTCCTTTTTGCCAGTGTTTACAATTTATTAGGAATTCCGATTGCCGCTGGAGTTTTTAGTTCCTTTGGATTTCTCCTACAACCATGGATGGCATCCGCTGCCATGGCTCTCAGTTCCGTTTCAGTTGTTGGAAGTTCTTTACTCCTTAAATTGTAAGTATTATTTTCTTTTTATGTATTTTTTTTAATTTTTTAAAAATTAAATAATTTTTTTTATTTGGGAAATTTTTATTTTTTTTTATAGATATCGAAAGCCGAGTAAAATGACTTTAGAAACATCGGAATATTTAGCGGCGATAAACGCACATTCAGCGGCTAGAACGCTAGACGCTGACGCTATTTCACTTCATCGTGGATTAGACGATACAGTTTCAGTAGCAATGCAGAGATCAACATCGACAATATCAAGGTATTCACTGACTAATCTCCAAGAGGCTTTGCCATCGTTAAATTCTAATTATCAGCTTGTTTAAGCTTTTTTGTAAACTAATGTAGAATGGTGGCAGTGTTGTTATTTTTTTTTTAATAATTAACTCTTATTTTATCTTTATTAGCAAATTACAAATTTTTAAGTTTTACAATAAGCCTCTACTGTTTTTTTTTCATATTTCTTTATATATTTTTCTACATCAATTTTTTTTAATTATTTACATTTTGTATTTTCTTTTTTTTTTTTTTTTTTTTTTAAAAAAAAACTATTTTTTCTTTTGTAAGTGTACAAATGTATATTGATTTTTCAAATTAAGATTGTACACATCGACTTTATAAATTATTTTATGATGAAAAATTTTATTTACGACAATCTTGTAAATAAATACTATATATTTTTTCAAAATTCGAAAAATATTTGTTATTTTTTCAAAATCTGTATTTTTATAGGAAAGTACACAATCGCTAAAAATTGTCTTTTATATCTACTGGATATTTAGAGGTAAAATCTTGATTTTTATGATTTTCTTGTCTTGTGTTTGTCTATCATCAAAAGTAAAAAAAAATTTCCTTATTTTTTTTTTTTTTTTTACTAAAATAGGACTTTTTATTTATTTATTTACATCTCAAAAAGCCAAATTAAATTTAAGTAACTTCAGAAAAAATAAATAATGAAACAATTATTTAAAAAATACTTTATTAACATTGTAGTTATTAATAATTATTAACACAATAATTAGAAACTTAGAAACAATAGAACTTACACTTGCTTTTCAAAAAACAAAAAAAAAATTAAAAAATATTTCTGCAAACATTATTAGTTTATATTGATTACTAATATAAATAATTATATTAAATCAGCTTTAACTATAAAGACAGCTTAATTCTTGTAAATTTTTTTTTTTCGTACATCTTTAATAATTTTTTTCTGATGAGATTAATGAATGAAATATAAACATTATGTTTTTTTTCTTGTCTTTTTTTTACAGATTGTTTAATAATCGCGCAAAAGAAGATATTGAAGGTTGTCTTCTTTACAACGATGCGGACGATCTTGTTACAGTCGATTTTTCGAATTGTCAAAAAAGAGCAAAAATCGTCTCGGACATAACTAATCTCTAATAAATGTATAAAATTCTAGTCGTGAGAATTTGTTTATTTTAAATGTCAAATGTGCTGATGGTTCAAAAAAAAGAAGAAAAAAAATGGTAAGGCTAATGAATTCGTCAAAAAACTAAGACTAAAAAAAATTCTATTTTGTAAAAAAAAAAAACAAAAAAAAAGAGTGGCAAATTTTTTTTTTTTAAATTATCAAACATTTTATAAATTTTTAACTTCCAGTATTTAATAATGAATTGATATTTTTTACCCAGTGCAAATGTATATATATATATTTTTTTTAAATTACTCATTTTCCACGCAGTACTGATTCAATTTCTTTTTGAGAAGATTTTACAAACTTAGACTATATTTATAATTTCGCAATATTATTTTTTTTATAAGACCTTTTTAAACAAAAAAAATGAAAAAAAATATATTAAACTGTATCTGACGTTGTACTTAATTGTTTAAAAAAAAAAAGAAAGCGATTAAAGATCTATTTTATTATAATTACAAAAGATAAATATTTTTTAACTTAACATTAAGAGAATAATAATTACATGCGTATATTTACAATAATTAAAATAAAAAAACTAATCTGTAATCGCTTTTTAATTGTAATGATAAAATAATGTTTAGTTGTAAGTCGACATTTACTTATGTACATTCTTTTTGTTCGAATGTGTTTTCTTTATATAAAAAATTATATATTTCCCCAAAAAAAATAAATATCGAAGATGACAAATTTAAAAAACTATTTTTTTTCGACGAGTTTCTTTAAAGCAAACATTAATAGATTCTTTTTTTTACATAATTATAAAATTAACATTAAATTGCGAACAAATTGAATTTTTTTTTTTAAACTATGCATACATGTACCTGCATGTATATTTTTATTAAAAATTAAATTGTAAAATAAATAAATAAGAGATATTTTACATTGTTTTTAAAAAGTCTAGTAAAATATTAAAAAAAAAAAAACCAAACAAAATCTTATCAAATCGAAATAAATATAAAAAAGAAACTTTTGGCGACATTAAATATTTATCAAAGTTAACATTTTACATTTAGTAAAAATGTTAAAGAACGTTTACTTTAAGTAAATAAAAACTTAAAAGTTTACAGTAAAAAAAAAAAATGATTGTTTTTTTTATACCTATGAAAAATAGTTTTTCTTTTAATCGTATCCAGCGATGAAAACATTAGAATCACTTTTGCTAATAACTCGCAAGCTTCCATCATTATCAACTAGATTTTCTTCTTTTTCAAAAGTTGTCTCAAAGGAATTTTGAAAAGAATCTTCATTTATTTCTTTAAAATCACAATCTTGAGATAATGCAGACAATGTTGTTGCTTGTGAATTTGAAATATCATCACTTAATGAGCTGAATAATGTTTCTAAAATTGGTTCCTCAATTTGCATATCAGTATATGTTATTCTTTTTTCAAGACTTGAGTGTCTTGACAATAATCCTTCAAATTCCGTGGGATTACAAGATTTTTCTCCAAAAAAACAATCTTTTTTAATACAATATCCACCACCAAGTGAACGTGACAAAATAATTGGATCCAAAGTTGAAGAATCAATAATTCCACTATTACAAGGTGTATCTAATTTTTCGAAATCATTCGATTCTTGTTGTAAATCGTTTAAAATTGATTCTTGTCTTAAAAATTTGTCCTCATTTTCACTATCACTATTTAAAACTATTGTTGAACATTCCTCTAATTGTTGACTATTTGTACTGTCAATAGATGGATCTTGATTTAATAAATTGGAAACAATATTTTTTTGCAAATTAAAATTGGAATTTTCCACAATATTTTTTTTATACATTTTTGACATTTCCTCATGTTTTAAATTTTTTCTCTTAAAAACAGGAACCATATAGAACATTGTTTGATTAGAAGGTTTAATCAATTTTTTATTATTAATTGAAAATTCTTTATTCTCTGTGACTTTTTCTTTATTTTCAATTGTATAATTACCATTTGAATTCTTTTTTATTAAAAGTTTTTCTATTTTTGGCTTTTTTATTTCTTCATTTTCATCAATTATTAGACAATCGCTGTCACTGTCGTTTTTCATTTTTTCAATCTGAAATTAGAATTTTTTTTAACAAATCTAATTTTTTTTATTAATTATTTTGATATTTATTTAAAAATTAAATTATTAAATTAATAAAAAATATCGTATTGTATATAAAAAAAACACGTGCACAAAAAAAATATCGTCTAAAATTTCTTACATTTTCTAAATTATAATATAGAGTAAATATATTTAATTGTAAATTTAAAAAAATTATTTCAGTAAACTAAATATTGTAATATTAAAAAAAGAAACTTAAATTAGAAACAAAATATGATTTATAAGGTTAAATTGAAGAAGTCATTTTCAAATTGAAATTTACGTAATTAATCAAAAAAATAGGAAAAAAAATATTTACCTTAATGTGAAATTTTCGAAATTCTTTTTGAAAATCAACAAATGAAGCACGTTTTTCTAGCAATAATAAAAATACTACATGTAAACAATACAAAAAACCGTTGAAAGCACACGCTGCAAGCTCTACCATTGTTGTTAGTTCGATTTTTCTTGCAGCTGACTTCACAGCGCTGACATCGATTAATCGCAGGCAATCGATATTTTAATTTTGTTTTAAGGTTATGTTCTTTCCGAAAATGCGTTATTTTGGGCGTCCCCTGACTGCATTTTATAAATGAAGAAACAATTTTATCAATATTTAAACTATTTAAGGTAATTATAAATTGTTATTTATTATAATATCATTTTAATTCACAATAATAAAACAAAGTTTAATCATAAAAACAAAAAACCAAATTTTTGCTATTTTCAAAAATTTCGTTGTGAAGATATAAAATTTTTAAAATTAAAACCCTTTTTATTGTAAAATATTCTTTGGTAAATATATTATTTTTTAAAAAGTAAAATTAACAAATAATTTTTTAAAAAAAGGACATGGAAAAAAGACAAGTAGATTTTTGTTTGTTTTTGATTCAGGGTGTCGTGCCCACGACATATATTTCAAATAATATATTAACGTCACGCAATAATAAAGAATACGAATTTTTATGAATTACAATTGATTTAACTACCTCCATACACATGATATCACTTATTTAATGATAAAAACGGCATATATGTACAATCCCGTTTGATTTGCGTTCAACGAATTCAAGAACGAATTCATATTCAATTTTACACGATTGAATGACTATTTTTTTTTTTTTTTTTTTTTTTTAATATGTGTCTTCAGCTAAATACATACATAACCATAGCCTAAAGGCATTTATTTTTTTGTAAAAAATATTATTACATATGCAATTAAAATATCGTAATAATAGTAATAAAATGGTCATATGTTATACTCGGGAATCGCACAATTTTTTTTTTTTTCATATATGTTTGTTTCATAAAATTTTCAATCATACATTCATGCTGTTTTTATATTTTATCCTACTTTGAAACAAAAAAAAAAAAACAATTTTTCCTAAAATACTGAAAATTTTATAAAACAAAAAATCTTTAAAATATAGTAATAATGCTGACAATGAGAATGTTTATATAATCACTTTGCCACTTTAATAAAAAAAAAACATGAAACTTCGTAAACATTATTAAAAATATTTAAATACACAATATAAAAAACAATTCCTAAAATGTAATATTTAAAAAATCTTTACGAAATTTTCTGTTAAATAAATAATAGGAAAAAGAAAATTAATAATATTCGCAATATATTTTCTCTGAAGAAATATTTCTTAAAAATTGATCAAAAACGGAGTTTTTTTTTTTTATGATTTATCCTCTTTTTATAAGCATTTTATAAATGTGATATCATTTAACAAAACACCAACAAGAACATGCAATAAATAATTAAGAATAATATTGTGAAATGCTTTATAAATTGTATAAAAATGTTTCTATGTACGCTATATTTAATGCCTTATGAGTATCTACCCCAAAAAACAGTTTCACTTTACAAAAATGTTATTTTCTTTTTTATAGCGACTGATGAGAAAATATATTACCTATAATAAATTTTTCTCGTGACAATAAATCAAAAAATTTTCCCCATAATTCGATGGTCAGTAACGCTTCTTTTTTTTCTAAAAATCTAATAAAATAATACTATAACAAATACTGATTATAATAATAACAATAATTTAAATTCAATCGGATAAATAAATTAATAAATAAAAATTTAAAAAATTTTTTTAATATAACAAGATTTTTTTTTGATAAATATATTAGAAACTTAAGTGAACGACGTATTTGGAAAACTCTAAATTTTTTTTTTCAACCTCAAAAATACTGAGATATAAATTTCTCTTATAAAAATTTGAGTTTTCGAAATAAAATACTTTTTTTATGAGGTGCTTTTGTTAAAATTTTTGTAAGATAATTGAATAAATAAACATTCACGCACATCAGATCTTCTTTTCTTTTTTCTAAAGTTCGTATGAATTTACAAGTGTCGCGCTATCACGAAGTTAACACGTGCCAAATGTATTAAATTATAAGTTATTATATTAATGCACAACAATCATTCGCATCACAAAATTCTAAATGCACGGGAAAAAAGACCTCACTCGATGAACAAAAAAATTATATTTTTTCTTTTTCATTTGTCACAATTTTCAAAATATAAATTATTAAATTGAAATCTAATTGATTTTTATTTTTTTAGGATTCAAAGGTCAAAACATCGACGTGAACATCTTTTTTCAACCGTCGGGAGAAATATATCAGACAACATCAATTTTTAATGAGGTTGTATGACCTTTCCTCTTTTTTTTTTTTAATGTTATACACTTTTAGAATAAAATCGAATGAAATATTCACTTTTCCTTTCGTCACAAAACGAATGATTTTTTATGATATAAAATCCTAGTTTAAAGTGGCCGGTAATTTTTTTCATTATTTATTAATACTTATTCCGTGTAGAATCAGTTTATTTATTTATATATATATATTTATATCCGCAATTAATAAATAGATAACCATAAGCTTAATTTCTAGACTCAATTTTACGAATTATATTACTAATCAGATTCATCTCAACTATCTACTTAACTTTTTTTTATCATTAGCATTCCCCTTTTATTTTTCATCTATTTAATAATTATAATCTCGTGGTTTGTCTTTTATTGCAAAGCCCGATTTTTTAATTCAATTTTCCATGTCGAAATCGATTCAGAGTTGGAATAATGAAATTAAAAGCAATGCAATTCCTCTGAGTGAAAATTTTTATTCATAAAACTAGTTGAAAAAATAATAATTTGTTAATATCTTGTAAAAAAAAAGTGATTAAAAAATTCAATTATTAAAAACGGTAATTAAAGTACTAAAATTATAAATTTAAAAAAAAATAACTCTTTCGATTTGGACGAAGGAAATAAATTCAATTTTCATTTTTCTAAATTAAAGATAACTTCTTCTTTTTTTTTTTTTTATTTAATAGGAACGAGACGTCGCCTATAAAATCTAAAGCGAGTCCTTGTGACCTGGAATCCCTTTTTAAATAAGAAATAATAATTTTCATTCGCAGAAAAATTTCCTTTGGAGAAATTGTGAAATTAAACTTTATTAAATGTCATACTTTTCTAATTATTTTCATTTGCTCATTAGAAAAATATTACAAATATTTTTTTTTAAAAAGAGAAATTAATTGTAAAATATTGGCGATTCCAAAACACAGATGACATTTCCACATGATCGTATGATAGCAATTTTTTTTTTTGGTTTTTTTTTTTTTTTTAACAACGTTACATCATAACATACGTTTTACAAGTTTATGTACTATGAAGCCGGGCCAATTTTTGTGAGATATGTCTGTTTGAGAAAATATATCTTAATTATTATGCATACTGTATATGATTTAATATAAACATTTAATTGCTACTTTCTCCGCAATTTTTTTTTTTTTTTGACGAAGCTGACGAAAGAAGCTTGTATGCATTTGTTTTTACTAATTACTTTTCTGTTTTTTTTTTCATTATTGTAATGTAAGTCGCACTACGTCATAGTCTTTCTTTCAATTTTTTTTTTTTTTCATCTATTTTTCGACGAGTGAAAAAAATAAATCTCTCCCGATGCGTCTAAATATTTTTTTTCAAAGTCGTTTTGAATCGGCGAAAAGATTATTTATTTTTCATTTTGGCTTATTTTCATTTAGGCAATTTTTTAGCCAAAAAAAATAAACTTTTTCTTTTGCCGATCGACTCTTTTTTTTTTTTATTGTTCTCTTACTATTTTTTTTATTGAACATTGCGCAAGAACACTAAAAATCGATAGAAGGTGTTCAGGCTTGAAGAAAAAAATGAATTAAAAATTTTTCAAATAAAATGGCAATATTTTGATATTTTTTTTTTTTCTGTTTTTGTGGCAGTTAGTGAATAATATAAAATTAAAAATGATGAATTCGGAAAGAAAAGAAAAAAACACTAGAATTATTAATTCAATTACCTATTTGGCAGTTAATTAAAGCCAATTAATCACGTTCACTTTCGATCCAGACACACTCAAAAAAAAAATTAGGGGACCTTTTTTAGTTATTTTATTTTTGTTTTTTCCTTTTTTTGAGATTTGAAAACAATATGTACACTGAAATTTGTGAACAGGAAGACCTCCAAAAATGTGTCGTCACCATTTTTCTTTTTTTTTTTTTGCTCACAAATAATCACTGTAAAGTCGTTGAGTGCTGTCCCACAAATTTCTAAAACTGGTTCGAAATTCAAAACGTAGGTTCTCATAGTATCATGCTATATTGCTTCCACTCATTGTTGTAACACACTTTTTTTCCGGTGTATTTTGACTTTCAGAATTACTTCTCACTGCCTTTGGGGGACTATCGTCACCGGTTGGTGTTGTCACATCGTCCTGAAGTGGAATATTATTGTTCGTTGACGTTGAACTTCTTCTTCCATTCTCTCTTGTTGGCGATTTAACATCAAAAACTGATGTTTCTGACTCAAGATCGGAATCAATCTGAAAATTCAGGGGAAAAAATTATTTAAATAAATAGCGATTTTATTATCCTAATGACAAACATATATATATGAAAATGATTTTTATGGATAGCCATTGAAATTCGAAGCCAAGCGATATTTTTTTTTAATAAGGAATCTACTAACAATTTTTTTTGTGGAAATTATAATATATGATTTTAATGTTTTTTTTTAGATGATTGCGAATTGTCTCTTCGGATGATCTCTGTATGATTTCAATGAGGATGAGGATGATGAGCTACCTTGTTGAAACAAACTACCTGTCTGGTAGTAGGATGTGGATGAAGAAATAGTCTTTCGCTTGTATCGCTACCACAACTCGAACTTTCACTCATCTCAGTGGAAAATTTTCTCGATGCCCTAGGACTTGGAGGCGCTGCTCTACTACTTTGATTACCCATATTTAAGCCAATATTTCTCGAACAGACCTGCGATTGTATGTGCTCGCAAACTCTTCTAAATCTTCGAATATTGCCTGTGAATTAAAAAAAAAATCATCAAAATTGTAAGTATACAAAAAAAAATTTTTCGATTTCTCTTTTGTGTCACTGAAAAAAAAAAAATTTATTTGATTCAAATACTCGATTACTTGACTATTATCAAATAAATATTTATACTTGAACCAAAAACAATTTTTATTTTAATTAAATAAACTGCAGGTCTCGGATTATACAATATATTATTATATAAAATCATATATATATATATTTAATCAAATTCTTTAGCAACAGAAATCACCAAAAAAATCTAGTTCATATTAATTTAATTATTTCTAAAATTTTCCATCCACAACTTCCTGAAATTCAATTATTTTCAATGATTTTTATAATATTCTTCAAAAATTCAATTATCTGAAAGTATTTTTTAATTAAAAAATTTTAAAATACAATTTTTGTCTTCAATTTTTTAATCAAATTCTTTAGTAACAGAAATCACTAAAAAATTCTAATTCAAAATTAATTTAATTATTTCTCAAATTTTCCATCTAAAACTTTTTGAAATTTCATAATTTTAATTAAAACTCTTCTCAAATATAATTATTTTAAATGATTTTTATAAAATTCTTTGATAATTCAATTGTGTGAAAGCATTTTTTAATTGAATTTGTAAATTGCAATTTTTTGTCTGCAATTTCTAATACATTTTTTAGTAGGAGAAATTATTGTATTTTTGTCTGCAATTTCTAATAAATTTTTTTAGTGAAATCATCAAAAATTAAAAATTAAAAATTACTTAACATTCAATTAATTTAAAAAATCTAAATTATAAATCTTTGAAAATTCAATTACATTTTAAAAAATGTTATCTAAAATTATTTGATCAATTATTATTTTTAGTTCTGTAAAATTTAATAATTGTTTTGAAAATAAACAAAATTTGAATTTGTATTTGAATAATATCTGTATTTGAAAGAAAAAACCTTTTAATTGTCTCAAATAATAATTATTTGATATAAATAAATATTTATTTGATAATAGTCAAGTAACCGATTATTTAAATCAAATAAATTTTTTTTTTTCAGTATATTAATTAATTTTCGCAAATGAAATATCGGATTTCTCATTCCGGCAAAGGACTTTTAATCGATAGAACCAATTATTAGGTATCAATTTCAGCCTGACGGTAAAATACATGTTAGTTGATTATTATTATCGCGTGATAGTCAAATATAATTGTAATTTTGTGAATCAAAAAGAGAGAGAGACTGATGGGCGTGACGGAAAAAAAAACAAATTTTTTTTTGAATGAACTTGCAGAGAGGGAATGAGAGTTATTTCCGTTTCCATGTATACAAAAGCATTTCGATTGTATTTCAAATGGAAGATAAGATTTTAAAGGTGGTTTTTCTGTGTATATGTGTGCCCAAGGTAACATTGATCTAGTTGCGCTTGGATGGCTGCCAAACACAAACCCCTTCTCTTCCTCTTTTTAGAATTCTAAGACTTTATACCTTTTGAACAGTCCTTCAAGAAGGCTTTGCACCCATTGTCAGCTGTGTCATCGATTCAGATAATCACCGTGAAATCGTATTATTTTCTCACTTGAGAATAATGTCAAGTTATCACACAGAAAATTTGATTCTCTAATTTTTTTTCTATTTTTTTAGGATATTCATTGTTATGAAACATGTTTCGAATTAAAATAATAATTATCAATTAATTAAAATTAATTATAATAATAATAATTTCGATTAATTAGTTTGAGATAAGGGACAATTGGATATTTTGTTATAAGAAACTTACCACTCAGTAGAGTAAATGTGATGGCAAATAGAGGTTCACTTGGTTGCTTTGAAATGGCACTAATGTCAACTTGAAATCGTACTTGTCTTTGAAACATTGCTGGTCCCGTACTGCCTCGTTTATATTCCACACTAAAGGACATTGCCGAACTCACACTATGCGATAATTCAGCTATCTGAAATTCGATTCATTTGAATTAGTATTTCGAAAAAAATACATTTTTTGACTAAAAAAAAGCGATTTTCACTTACCGATAAAAAGGCGTGAATTAGGTCAGCTTTGACACTCGCCAAAGGCTTGCCTTTAACTAATACAGTAAATGTTTCGTCCTTTTCGGTTGCCATTAAACTGCCGAACCAGGACTTTTTCGTTAACTCCGGCGAAGAACCGGGCGTTAAATGCACCTGAAAATTCAATTTTTTCTTTTATAAATTTATTACGAGGCTAAAATTTTTATATTAGGAAAATTATTCAAAATATCTTGTTCTACTTACAATAACAATAATAATTTGATTAATTCTTTAATTGATTATTAATTAAAATATTTTACATTTGAAAAGTCATACACTTTTTTTTTCTTATAATTAGATGTTTTGGAATTTTTTTTCAGGAAATAAGTAAAAATTACCTCTTCGGTACTCGTGAGCAATTTGCGTCGATGGAATCGTGGACTTCCTAGGAATGAATTTTTAATTGTTGTCAAACGTGATCTCCAATGATGAGCGCCCGATCCTGCTCCCGTGTGAGGTGATCCTGGAGGTGTTACACCAACTAAAAAAAAAAATTTTTTTTAATACCAAAATTAAGTATGTATTTTATAATTAACGAAATTATTAATTTCTGACAAAACAAATATTTTTTAATGAAAGCAAAAAATAATTTTTTACAAACAGAAAAAACAACTCAACTACTAAAAGTCGAGTGAATTTTTCAAAAAAGTTTTACAAGACAAAAAGTAGTTCAAATGCCTGAAGCTCTGGCATTTCTTTTTGGATTCTTTGGATCGTACAAAAAATAAAAATAAAATTCAAATGATACATAAAAAATAAATAAATTAAACAATTAAAAAATTAATTAATAATTAAATTAAATAAATAAAAAACAATTGAAAAATAGGAAAAAATAGTAAAATATTTTCGAAACTCACCAGGTTGAACTTCACTTAATTCAATTCCAACGCTTGCCAATGGAGGAATGGGAGTTGGAATTCCTTGTGTCGAATTGCCATTTCCGCCAGCGGTACCGACAGTTGACAATCTATGCGGACTTCCTGTTTGGCCATGATGTGAGCTTGGAGTCGCTCTATGAGGACTCAATAGACCTGAGAAATTTGATGTGTGAAGAGGCGATCCACCAGGAGTCGATGCGTGTGAATGCGAAGCGTGAGTATGAGATCCTGTACTTGGTGAACGTCTCGCATGATGCCTTGTGCTGCAATTCAAAACCCTATTAACATCAAAAATTTTTAAAAATTAATTTTCATTGATTAAAAAACGATTATCTATCCTTAAAAAATCAAATTTAAATAAACGAATTTAAATAAATTTAAATAAAAAACAAGTTTAAATCAAAAAAAGGAAATTTATATAAAAAATTAAGAAATTAAAAATAAAAAAACAAAATTACACTCTCAAAAATAAAATCCTCTCTAAAAACGGACGATGTGTGAATAATTTAATAGTATCTTTATTTTTAATGAACTCGAGGAAATATTCTGTCTGCTTTTCATATACAGTAACAATTGCTCTCTGCACTTATAATGGTTTAAATAATTCTCAACAAAAAAAAAAAAAGAGAAAAGCAAAAGGAAGGAAAAAAAAAGAGGTTGTCGCAGTTCAATTATAGTTGTGTGTGATATCTAAAGCACAGGAGTTTTTTTTTCAGAGTTATATGAAAGAGTACACACGTGATTTTCAAAGCACGCGATGGGGAATAAGAAAAATGTGACACGCGACGGAAAAACAATTTTACTTATGCATTGTCTTTTATATATATGAAAAATAATATATACAAAGCTCTAATAAATTGACATTTAAAACTTTATTAGATATGCGAGGGGGGAGGAAATTTATTCTCTTATCGGAACATTTCTCTATTTAAATACAAATGTTTTTTTTTTTTTGATTGATATCAAAATCAAGATAAATAAATAATAAGGGAAATTTTTCTATCATAATTTCTAAATAAGAATAAAAAAAATGATAAAATTGATAGATTCGTAATTTTTTGATCAAAGGCAAATTTTAATATTAAAACTCAATTTTCGATATAGGAGATAATTAGAAAAAAAAAATAATCTGAATATAAAATTGTAGTAATGAGATTTTTTTTTAAAAAAAGAATATTCACCTGGATTGTCTCCTTGGTGTAAGGGGCGAACCGTGGCTGATTTGTCCCAAGTTCAAAGCTGCATTGCCATTTACTCGACAAGTATCAACCCTTTTCCTCGGAGGATCTGCCTCCAATTGTGCTGTTGAAGCTCTCATTCCACTTCTCATTACTTCCAGTTCATCCTCGCAGGCCGGTCTTCTTCTCTTTCTCTCGAGTAAAAGAAAATAAATCACCTTTTCTGTATTGTGACTGAAAAAAAAAAGCAGAGAAAATATTACAAATTAGAAAAAAAAAACCACTTTCAATTCAGAAAAAAAAAGATTTATTTTTGTAGTCATCTTAGTAGGTTAAATGAAAAATAATATTTAAATTTGAAAAAAAAATTTAGCAATTAAAAATTGTAATTTCAAAGTAATATAACTGGAGTTGAGGAAAATGATATTTTGAATTTATGTCAAACTAGTCGCTTTTAATAGCTTCCTTTCCTAACCAAGAGGAGAATATACAAAATTTATTAGAGGTTTAATCAATCTAAATTATTAATCGCCTTGGAAGGATTGTAATTTTGGTTTTGTAATTAAATTCAGAATTTATAAGAGGTTAATTATAAATACATTATTTCGGTAAATTGATTTAGATTTTTTTTCTCATTCTTTCTTCGGGAATTAAATAATTTTTTTTCTCTTCTCGAGGGGAGAAAATATATAAACATAATTTAAGGGTATTTATTTTTTTATATTAAAAAAAATTTTTTTGTTTTTTGAAAAAATTAATCGAGAATGAAATAGAAAAAATTTTATAAAAAAAAAAGAAATTTCTTACTTGGGACTAAGAAGCTCTTTAATAAGATTATCCTTTTCTTTAAAGCATCCGAGACTTGCGATGGCCTGTAAAACGTCAGGATCAATTGCGTCCTCGGACGGAATCACGTGTGTTTGCACCACATCCATCATTGAAAGTTCTAATTCCAATTCTCCCTTGCCAGCAGCTGTCACCCATATATGCCTGTTTATCTCCGCTAACTGAAAGCCGGATATTGTTTAGCTCGAAACATTTATATATACAGGTGACACGTTAATATCAGCTATATATATATTTTAGATTATTTTATATAACACAATATAAAAGCTTATATTTAATTAAATGCAAAATCCTTCCTTCCAGCTGGGTATTTAAATATCCTCATCAATTTTGCGCGTCACTTTTTTTTCCATATTTCATTTTTAATTAACAACTCACAATGAATATCAATTTTAATTAATAATTTTTTCTTCAAGTGTTTTAATATTAGAAAATAATAAAAAAAATTTTCTTCGAATTTTTTAAAATAATTTTTTTTAAATTTATAATTATAACTGTAATTTAAAAATATTATTTATAACTAGCAAAATTAAACGCGCCAAATTGATTATTTGATTGTTTGTTATAAAGAAATTAAAGATTAATATTATCAATAATAATTTAATTTATTAGAATATTATTACATATTAAATGATAATAATGAAAATTATATGTTTACAGGCCTCGGATTATACGACTTTTTCCGACTTTTTTCAAAAATACGACTTTTATCGACTTATTTTAATAAAATGCGACATTTTTTTTTACATTTGAAAAAAAATGTAAATAAAATACATTTTTTTAGTATAAAATGTAGATCTTCTTCAGAACTTCTTCAATTCAATTATTTAACAAATTTTGAACTAAAATGATTCTTCACTAAATTAATTATTTTTAATAATTTTAATGAAATACATCACAAATTCAATTATATCAAAATTATTTTTCAATTAAAATTTTTATGAAATTTAACAATTGTTTATAATTTAAAAAAAAATATCACAATTATTTTTTTAAATTTTCAATTCAAAATAAACTAAAATTCAATTATTACCCGAAATTTTAATTCAAAATCAATTAAAAATCCAATAATTATCCAAAATTTTCAATTTAAAATTTAATTATTTACCAAATTTTCAATTTAAAATGAAATAAAATTCAATTATTTTCTAAAATTTCTATTCAAAATTAATTATCCAAATTTTCAATCAAAAATGAACTTCAATTAAATTATTATCCAAAATTTCAATTAAAATTCATTTATTTCCCAAAATTTTAAATTTAAAATAAACTGAAATTCAATTATTTTCCAAATTTAAAATCAAATAAAATTTCATTATTCTCAAAAATTTGAATTCAAAATTAATTGAATTTTCAATAATTTGAATTTAAAAGCATCTAAAATTTAATTATTTCTAAAATTTTCCATCGAAATTTTTTTTTTGAAATTTAATAATTTCAATTACATATAACTCTAAGGAAATTCAATTATTTTTAACTATTTTAATAATATTCTTTGAAAATTCAACTATCTGAAACCATTTTTCAATTAAAAATGATTTTCAAATTATTGTATTTTGTCCGCATTTTCTAATAAATTTTTAGTGAAATCATCTAAAATTTTAATTACAAAACACTTAAAGTTTCAATTAATTTCAAAAATCTCAATTTTAAATCTTTGAAAATTCAATTAAATTTAAAAAATGTTTTCCAAAAATTGTTTGATAAATTATTTTTAGTTCTGTAAAATTTAATAATTGTTTGAAAATTAACAATATTTTCTGAAATTTAATTATTTCTAAAAATTTCAACTTTAAACCTTCGAAAAGGATTATTATTAAAAAAAAAGTTTTATTTAAAAATCTGTAAAATATTTTTGTTAAAATAAAAAACAAATCCACTTTTTTTTGGAATATAAATCGACTAAAACGACTTTTTGTGTCTTTAAGTTGATTCGAGGCCTGTGTTTTTATAATTAATATTTAATAGGTATTCGTTGGCCCCTGGTATCTTAAAAATTAATTTTTAAAACTAAATTTTTTTCAAATTACTATCTTGTACGAAATTTCCTGGCACATCTTTTTTCTCATCATAAATTTTTTCTATTTGTATTCAATTTTTGAATCAATATACAACTTTAAAAAAAATTTCCTTGGTAAACGTTGTGTACTTCAGCTTTGTGAATTGAATTTTTGAATTTGGAATTTTAAAGAAACTTATTCCGAAATTTGGAAACACAATTATACAACTTTGGCAAAAATGAGAAAAAGAATTGTCAAAATTTGACACGTCATAAGATTACTATTAAAAAAAACACGTGAAATCAGAAAAGGCCAACTTCAAGTTAGGACAGAAGGACAGACCAAGCATTTTATTATTATATAATTTTTGATATTTTTTCTGTATAAAATTAATTTATTTCCATCTGTACAATAACTATAATAATAATAACAATAATAATAGTAATAATGATAATAATTATTATTATTACAAATTATACAGGGTAATTTTTATCATCCGGACCGCCTAAAAATTTGTTTTTAATTTCATTTTTTTCGTTTTTTTAAAGAAAAAAAATTAAAATTGAAAAAAAAATTTTTTAGGGGGTCCAGAACATAAAAATCACTCTGTATAATAGAAAAACTATTTTATTGTACATAATAGTAATGTTAGTTTTATCAAGTTTATAAAATGTAAATTTTCACAATAAAAAAAAAGGGGAAAATTGACAAAAGTCGTGAAAATACAAACGAAGTTTTAAATTTCTTGTATTTTATTCAAACTTTTTCAAAGTATTACGCGCAAGAGAATAAAGATAGAGGAGTTTGCTTCTGTTTTAAAGGGAATCTATTCAAGAGAAGTTTATGTACTTCCTTTCAAAATGTATTTACCTGCACACAATGTGCACTTTTATTAAAAACGAATTTTTGAATAATAAAAAGAAGATTCTAGAATAAATTTTCGAAAATCGAAAGAATAGTAAATAGTTAGAAAAGAATTATTAAATTTAGTAATTGTTACTAATAGTAGAAAATTTATTTCCTGATAGTTTTTTTTTTTTTTAGTAAATGATTAGGTCGAAATAAAGTATTTTTGTTTTCCTTTTTTAAGTAAAACTGTTAACAAATTTGATTGATACATAAATAATAACTTACCGTTAGTCTTTTATCAGGAATAACTTCAATCATTCCCCTAAGTAGATTTTGACAGTCAGGTGGGACAAAGTGTGGTATGTGAAACACCCCTCGTTTCACTTTTTCTAAAAGTTGTCTTAAATTATCATCGTCGAATGGTAAAGCGCCGACTAAAAGTGCATAAAGTATTACGCCACAAGACCAAACATCAGCTTTTCTTCCATCGTATTTTTCGCCCTGAAAAATATTTTTCTTTTTTCAAAAAATTCAATTTATAAAAATAATTTAATAATAATAATAATTAAATATAATATTAAATAATTTTTAAATTAATTAATTTTTTAATTTTTTTTTTTGTTTACAGGTAAAAACAGAATATTGTCAACATGAATATTTTCTCGAGAAAGGAGAGAGAGAGAGAAAGAGAGTTTCGGTATCATTCCCTGAAGATGTGATTTAACCAACACCCTCCTAGGAAATAATTTCCTGACAAGAAATTTCATTAGTCGCCGTCAACTAGAGATGGAAGGCAAGGCGTGTACAAAACTTCAAGTGTTGTATATAAGGGAGAAATTTTCACCAGTCAACCAGGTGGCTATTGAATTTAATTTGATTTGTTTTTCGGATCAGTTAATACCGCTGAGAGACAACCTTGACCTAATCATCTCTTCAACGAATGGATAATCATTTTTCCTAGTATCAAAATCTCATTTTTTTTTCGAAAACATCATTTTTCAAATTTTTTTTGCCTTAGAATAATTTTTTTTTTACTTTAAATTAGATTAATTTAAAAAAAAATACTTTTTATATTTAAAATGAGATTATGTCTCAAAATATAGAAAATGTTTTTTTTTTTCGTTGATTTTTGTGATTTGAAAAAAAAGAGTTTTTGTAAAACATACCCGAATGACTTCAGGGCAAGCGTAATGAGGTGAACCACAGCTTGTTTCTAACATTGAGCCAGCAGGTTGTAACGATGCCATTCCAAAATCCGCTATTTTTATATTATTCTTCTCATCCAATAACAAATTTTCAGGTTTCAAATCTCTATGACTGAAACAAAAATTCGGAGAAATGGAATAAAAATAGTTTTTTTTTTTTTTTTTAATTTCAAATTATTAAATTAAAAGTCCATTTTATGTGACGGTTATAAAAAAAAATATATTAAACTGAATTATTAATCGATGTAGAGTAAAAGTTGAATAGAGTTTAATTTTAACAAGGTTGAAAGCTCTTTGCATTTTATAATGTAAAAATAATTTAATTTAAACTTCCGTCATCAAACAAGGAAACTATATGATTTATTTTTGAAAGCAGTTTCGTGTATTTCTTTTTCTAAGGCTTTGAGAATTTTTGTCAAGTGTATAAAATGTATAAAATATATAAAACGTATAAAAGTGTAAAATTTCGTATCTCTTCAGAAAAGATGTTTTGATTAGTTAAAAAAATTTCTTTTGACCTTTATGCAAATTACTCTTGAACTTTACAACAGAAACGTGCTTGATCGAGAAATTCTAACAAAGAAAAAAAAGAGTTCAAACTCAATTAAGTTATCATAATTGGGTTTTATAGAACTTGATTATTACACCTTGCAATCAGACTAATGTCCTGAACCTGTTAATTATATCATTCCTTTGTAATCAATAGCTGAAAAATTTTCCATTTTTATAAAAAGATCAAAATTTTTTTTTTTTAATATTAAATATTCACAGTAATTTTTTTCGTTATTTTCACATCTTTATTAGACGTAAAAAAATCGTATGAGAAAATTAAAAGAAATTGAACTTTGAACGGATAAACATGGAGTTAATTTATTTTACTTTGGAACTAACTTCTATTTACTTTATCTAAATAGTTTAAGTGAATGTCGATTTACTCTATAAAACGTTTGCAAACGAAAGTGTCTTCTCTACTTAATTGTAAGAGAATAGAACTATTTTTATATCTTTCTGAAGTTATACAAAAGAAAATCATTTTTTTTTTAAATAAAAATTACTCACCATATACTATGACTATGACAAAAATCTAACGCGGAAATAATTTGTCGAAAAAACCTCCTGGCCTCCTTAGGTGTTAGCCTTCCTTTCTTTACAAGATAGTCGAAAAGTTCCCCTCCTGAGACATGTTCCAAAACAAGATACCTAACACAAAAAAAAAAATCCCAAAAAATTAGTAATTCTTCTATTAAATTTTTTAAATTAGTAATAATTTAGTTTAAAAAAGGTCAAATTTTTTATTTATTCAATTTTGCAATTTTCTTTGTAAAAAGATATTTTTTTTGAAATTTTATTACATATTTTTGATAAAAAATAATAAATGAAAAATATTTCATGATTGAAAAAAGAAATTTATGTGATGTAAATTGTTTTCATTTGATTAATAATATTAAATGTTGTACTTACAGATATTTCTTGTTCTCGTACACGTCCGAAAGACCGAGAACGTGAGGATGGTCAATGAGTTTCATAATGGCAATCTCGCGTTCCACTTTCATTAAAACGGACTCCGAAAGTTTCTCGCGGTTAATGATCTTAATGGCCACCTTCTTGCCAAGCACACAATGAACCCCTAGCTTGACCAAACCTGAAACAAAGAAATATTTTTTTCAATTACAAGGGTGAATTTTTTTTTTTTTAAATTCTTACAAAAAGAAAATTCAATGTAAAAGAGAAATATAATAAAAAAAAAATTGGAGCTCACTATTCCTTTTAAAAATCATTAATTTGAATTTTAAAGAATTTTATTGGAAATAATTAGTTTTTTAGATGAATTTTCGAATTTTGAATTAAAATTATTTAGAATTAGCATTTAATTGAAATTCTATATGAATTTTTATATGAATTTTTATATGAATTTTTATTTAACAAAATTTTCTGCTACCGAATATTTGATTGGCAGAATTTTTATTTTATACTAATTTACAGGACTATTTTTTTAAAAGAATTTTATGTGATTCGAATTTGTAAATGACAAAAATTACAAATTCATCGAATTTTAATTTGTCCGAATTTTTTATGATCCCAATTTTTATTTGTTCGAATTTTCATTTTTTCAAAATTACAAGTCGTCGAACAAAAAATTGCGCCGAAATATTTCTGTCGATTTTTTTTCTGCCATTTGTAATTTCAGACAAATGAAAATTCGTCGTCTTAAAAATTGTATTAATTAAAAATTCGGACAAATTAAAATTTGGTAGCTAAAAATTTTGTTATATAAAAAATTCTCAGAAAAAGAAAATCTATTAAATTTTAATTCGAAAATTGAAAATTCGTCTAAAAAAAATTATTTCTAATAAAATTCTTTAAAGAAAAAATTCGTAGAAAAAGAAAATCTATCAAATTTTAATTCGAAAATTGAAAATTCGTCTAAAAAAAATTATTTCTAATAAAATTCTTTAAAGAAAAAATTCGTAGAAAAAGAAAATATATCAAACTTTAATTCGAAAATTGAAAATTCGTCTAAAAAAAATTATTTCTAATAAAATTCTTTAAAGTAAAAATTCTAATTAATGATTTTTATGGAAAATTTATATGTCTCAAAAATTTTTCGTAAATGTTTTAGAAATATATTTTCCAAAAAATATTAATTTCATTAAATCAATTTTTTCCTCAAAATAAATTGGAATCGTTTATAATTCTGATTATTTTTTAAAGATAAAATTAGATTTGTTAAAGAAATATCTTTTATTTAATAATAAGAAAAATCTTTTTTATCATTGGTAAAAAAAAATTTGATTCTTTGTTAAAAAGGGGAAAATAAAATTGTATAAAAATAGGGTTGTGGTGAGAGTTCTACTATTGCATTGTAGTCGCAGTGGGTCAGGACGATTGGTTCTTAACTTGTCTCGTTCTTTACATTTCTACTCATCTCCAATTTCTCCTACTTAGATGAAAATAGATCTGTGAAATTCTATATCCAGTCAACAACCATGCCTAAAAAAAATTGATCAGAAAATAAGATTCGATTTCACGTCAATTTTTTCTTTTTGATAAGTTTTTTTTCAATTTTCTGATAATGTTTTCAATACATTAAAGTGCTTTTAATAAAAAAAAATTTAAGATAATTCAACTTTTTAGGGTTTTTCGATCCCTGGATTCAACGTCAAAAAAAAGATTGGAAGGCTCAGCTGTTTTCAACTCGAATGGATAACAGAATTAGCTGAAGTTTCAGGCGATAAATTCTTATTTGAATTCCAAAAAGGAGGAAAAAAAATGTCGGCACAAAAAATGATAAATCAGGTAAATTTAAAAATTGACGCTTTTTTAAATAAGGCAATTATTGCAGGTAAATGGAATCTAATAAATCTTTTTGCAAAACTTTTAATAGTTCGAAAAGTGAAGTAGTTAATTAAAAAAAATTCTATTTTTTAACTCTCGCTTGAATATAAAAAAAATATAAAAATTGTCCTTGGATTAAAGTAAGAAAAACTTTATCTCGTCTTGGGACAGTTCGATAACTCTCTTTCTCTTGTGGGGAGTAAGGCAAAAGCTTTTACACGAAGATAAGTTGAGCCGCGAAACAGTTATTTTTTATGAGACTCGCATTTCATGGAAGGAAGGGCATGTCATGCTCTACATAAAATTTATTGCCAAGAATAGTTTGAGAGCCGAAAAATAATGACAATAGGGTGGAAAGTAACATATAGAATTTTTCAATATGGTAAAAAAAGAGAAGAGAAAAAAATTTTTTGGAAATATTTTGAAAAAATAAAATTTATTATATACAAAATATCGATTGACGTAGATTAGATTTACTTTGGCATATTCCATAAGGGAATAAACATGTTCGTTCAATATTGTACAATTTCTCCCGTTGGTTTTCAACTATAGAAGCAAGCTGCGCGTTGTGTGCTCGAATGTCCCATTCTGCATATCATCGCCATGAGAATTACCATACAATCTGCATACGCAAGTTTGATACATCTTCTGCATAATTACTGCAAAATGTCACCTCTCATTTAAAATCGTTTAGCTCCCAACCTCTTTGATAGTATTTTCCAAGAATATATATATATATAAAATATACATCCCGTGTTACAAGCTAATCTTTCAAATTGATCATTTAAACTTTATTTTCATAAATTACATATTTTCCACTTTAATATTATGTTTTTCATTATAAATTGCTTCAGTGGCAAAAAAAAAGAACTTTTCAAAGTTGAAAATAATTTCACATCGTTTTTCAATTAGACAAGATAATATTTTCGTCAATTTCTCATCACTGAAGTTTTAAACCTCATGGGAAATGATTTATAGAGAAAATAAATTTTTCTTCTTTTAATAGAGAAAATATTTCTAAAATTTGCAATTTTTTTTTTCACAGGCCTCAAATCGACTTTAAGGGGTAAAAAAAAGTTTTTTTTTTATTTTTATTAATATAGTAAAAACTGAATTCAATTTGAAAAAAAAATTCTTTGAAACTAGAAAATGCCCTTGGAATATTTTCACTTTTTTTCAAATTGCGAAATTTACGAAAAGTAAAAATAGAAATATTTAAATGAGAATTATGAGTTCGGGAAATTCCAAGTGCCAGGGAATGAAAAGGAGAGGAAGTTGTAAAAAAAAAAAAAGTAAAATATATTGAGCTGACAAAATTCGTTTAAATCTTTTTCTAGACTGAAAGTGACTCGAACTATATTTTTTTTATTTTCATTCAATATTTCCAATATTTTCACGAGACTTTGTAAAAAAGAAATTTATTTTTCTACATAAATTTCTTTATTCAAATTTTTTTTTTATTAATATAAATAATTTAACAAATCAATTTTGTTAGAAGAAAAAACTTAATTTTAAAAGTCAAGTGGCTCGAAATTAAATTGAAACTAATTATTAAAATTGTTCCCGAAAATTATGCTTTCAACACTCTGAATCTAATTAAAACTAGAAACTAATGCTTTCACTGTAACAATTTACGCCACTTTGAATCATATATTTATCATTTCCCTCTTTAAACTGAAATTGTGTCAAAGAAACAAATATGTATGTATTTTGTAAAGCATAAAAAGTAAAGGAAAATGTTTCTTTCAGATAAAACGAATAAATTGGATTGCCGGTATAAAACGAGATTTATCAGTGCAGTGTAAAGAAGAAAACAATAGAAAAACTTTATCTTTGAATCTGAATGCAACGCTTGACGAAGGGAATTTCACTTTTTTACCTTGGAATATTTCTATTTTCAAAAGAACTACATAAATATAAGGTAAGTGAAGAAGAAAAAAAAAATGTAAACTTGTTGGACAAAATTTGCATTTTAAAAAAAGGGACAAAAATTCAATTCAACAATGAATATTGAAGTATTGTTATCTTGAAAAATAGCTCCTCAGAGGAAAATCACTGGACCTCAAGTTGGGAATTCACATTCTCAAAAAAAAAAAAAAAAAAAAAATCTAGGTCATGTGAGAACATTGGAAAAAAGTAATCGTGCACAATTTACAGCCATTTGAAATTGAAAATCTTTCAATAGTTTTTTCGACAGCAAAAGAAATTTCAAAGCCAAGCGTCAAAAAATTATTGAAAATAAAATTGAAAACAAACAAATTTACTATTTTTTTTCACGAGTTTTAGTATTTTAAGAAATAAATTCCTAAACCTTAAAATATTGAGTCTTTGCAAAATGCATTATTAAAAATGACCCTCGTATTTCTCACATGTACCTATATAATACGCAAACTCGAAAACCACTGCAGGTTATTGAGTGTATATACTTTTCCATTGTTTACTTTCAACATATCCTCAAGCTGTATAAGTTGCATAACTTCATTTCCTTCGAACAAGTCATAAAATCCACCCTCAAAAACTTTATTCTTTTTTTTTTTTTAATTCTTTTGATTTTTCGCTATTAATAATAATTTTTAATTTGTAAATAATATGTCAACATTTTTTTAGTATAATATCAATCCAACCAAATTCAGAAATGGATTATTTAATTTTAATTACAATTTGCAAAAAAAAAATTAATTTTCTAATAGGAGGGAAAATACAGGCCTCGGATTATACGACTTTTTTGACTTATTTTAATAAAATGCGATTTTTTCGACTTTCTTTTACATTCTTTTTTTTAAATTTTTAAACAAAATTCCTTTTTTTTAATTTATAATGCCGATCGTCTTTAGATCTTCTTTATTTCAATAATTTAACAAATTTTTAACAAAAATTCTTCACTAAATTAATTATTTTTGAATAATTTTAATGAAATTCTTCACAAATTCAATTAACTTAAACTATTTTTCAATTAAATTTTTTTATAAAATTTAATAATAATAATAACAATAATAATAATAATTTATTTCATTGTATGTCCTTTTCAAGGACCTTTATAATTTCCTTTTCACTACATATTTGAACTTTTTTTATAAAATTTAATAATTGTTTATAATTTTAAAAAAATTAGCAAATAAAATTATCAAAAAATTTTAATTCAAAATCACTTGACAAAATTTTTAATTCGAATAAATAGCTTAAATTAGACTTGAAAAAATTATAAAAATGGAACTTTAAGAATTTTTTTTTTAGAAATTTGTCCTACTTAAATGAAATTTTGAAAATTTTTCTTACAATTAGTTCGATTCTGAAATATTCGAAATAAATTTTCTTGGTAATATTTTTATAAAATTATTCTCATTACAGAATGAGTAAAAGTTATTTAAAGTTATTTAAAGTAAAATATTAATTAACCAATTTAATTTTGTTAAAATTAAAAAATCTACTTTTTTTGGAATATAAATCGACTTTTTTTGTGTCTTAAAGTCGATCCGAGGCTTGTAAAATATCTAAAATGCGAAAATGGATTTTTGTGATGGTATTTTTTACTATCAATATGATTTTTACAATTAATAAAATATGCAAATAAGTCAAATATATTTATTGTTCTATCTCGTTCATTCATCTGTAGCCTTCGATCTTATTGATTTTTCGCGTCGTCACACCCAATATCCAAACTCAAGCTACTTTACTTCATTTACACGCACGTGATTGTATTCTTGATGACCTTTATTAAATGACCTTTTTCCCATTTTACAATTTATGCGCACATTTTCCATTTTTTTTTTTGGTTTTTTAAATCAAAATTTTTTAATTTTATTCCCCCTTCAATATATATAATTAACTGAACGTAACTGTTAACTAAACTATAATTAACTGAAAATTTATATTTTCAGAAAAATAAACCTAAATAAATGTAGAATTTTTTTTATTTAATAAATTCTCAAAAATTTATAATAATGAAATGATTTGATTTCTGAAATGACATAATGAAAATAATGAAGAGTGATACTCCAAAGGGGTGTTTTTCAAGTGTTTTAATATATATTTCTTTTTTTTTTCGTCAACATGCATTTTAACGTCTCGCGTATTTGCAATTTTGTCTGACAGGTGCTCTTGTGAACCTTAAAGTGCGAAAATGTGTACGCAACGAATGAAAGCCACTCTCTCCCTTTTTTTTTTTTTTTTATAAAGCGTCGCGTTTTCCTACTACCCCACGCGGTGTAAAATGTTCGATGTTATAAAGAACTTGAAAGGAGAGAACTCGCTTTTTTTTTCTTCCTTTATTTTCACCACGTCTCGTAATAAAACTCTTCTCTTATCGCCCTTTTTTCTATACCACATATAGAGGAACTTTGCAATTATTTTTAAGAGGTATTTTCGATATCGATTAAAAAAAAAACCAAAATTTAATTTTCAATTCCCTTTAAAAATAAATTTTTTAAAAAATTTTATTTCATAAATTTATTTAACAATGATAAATTTGTTATTTTTATTCTCAATTCGTTAAAAAAAAAAAATATTTTCGAAACAAATAAATATTTTATGTTTTTTAAACGATACAATTTTTTTTTCTTATGATCGTCAAAGAAAACTTTGATTGATATATTATGGTGAAAGATGAAATCTTTTTTTTCTCATTATGAATGTGAGCACTTTCTCACGAACGTGACGTTTCGAATTATCGTCATAAATGTTTAGTAAAGAGAAACGATAAGCAACACGAGCAAAAAAATTTATTTATTGTCAACCTTGAAAAAATAGAAAAAAAAATATTTTTTTTTAAAAATAATTATAAATATGTACAATATAGATGTTTTTGAATAGTTGAAATGTATATGAGAAAATATTGATCGTTCATACATGCTTCCCATGGCTGGCTGACTAAAGTCTGTTTTGTCTACTGTAGGATTTAGTTCCCTAAAATAATCTTGATTTTTTTTTCTACTTTGATTTTTTTTTCTTTAGAAAAAAGAATTATATTTTTAATTAAACATTAATAAGTAATTTTTAAAAAATAATTAAACATAAATTTAATAAATAATTATTTTTCAGGATAGCCGACGGAAATCAGGAAACAATTTACGGAATTTTGATGATTAGCCAAAAAAGAAATTAAAAAAAATTTCATTAAATATCAGGTAATTTTTTTGTATTTAATTTTATTTATATCAACATTTTTGTAGTGAGAATTTGAATTTAGAAATTTAAAGGAAAAATTAAATTTTGATAATGAAATTTTTGAAATTATTGTAATTTGTAAAAATTATTACTATTGGCATATTAATAGTAAATAAATAGTAATAGTAATAAATATTAAATAACAGTAAAATATTAATTTAATTGTTATTAACATTTATTATTATTACATTGGAAAATAAAATTTATTCGCTTCAAATAGTTGATTACTTTATTATCAAATAAATAATAATTTGTATCAAATAATAATTATTTGTTTCAAATACAGAAATTTATTGATTCAAATAAAATTTATTTAATTCAAATAAAAATTATTTGATTCATTTTTTATTCTCTTTTCTTGTATTGTGATTAAATAAATCGAGTATTTAAATCAAATAAATTTTTTTTTTCAGTTTAGAATTTATAATATTGGAATAATGGAAATTTTTTTAATGTTCAATAATAACTTGGTGAAAATAAATGCAATTTAAGGAAAATAAAACTAAATGAGGGTAAGATTAATGGAAAGTAATCAAAGACCTGAATCAGATCGAGAAAACTAGAACAAGGAGGTAGAAAAAGTTTCTTTAGGGGCGGGGGGGAGGGTTGATTCTCATTGAAAATCCTGAAACGATGCCGAATGATTCTATATTGTATATAGAGTCGTATTTGTTGTTTTAGTATCTTTTCCCTCCCCTATATAATATATAGTGACTCATTTCCGACTTGCCCTTCGACCATTGAATCGTAATAGGTGATGAGCCAAAAAATATAAGATTGCGGAAAAAAAATCCTCCTTAAACGATATTTTATCGTGTCATAACATTAAGAAAAATTTTTCCCAAAAAAAATATTGAATAGACCTTCGGGACTATTTTTCCACTTTTTCTTTTCTCACTACAAGAAAATATTTTTTACCATTTTTTTTAAAAAAATTTAATTTACAAACTAAAAATTATTTACTGTATTTAGTATTTTATATTTTATTTACTATTTAGAAAAAAAAGTAATTTTTAATTAGTGGAGTTTTAATTTGTAATTTTTATTTACAATTTTCAGTAATTATCGATTTTCATGTAATTATAGTGAATTTAATATACGAATATATAACGTTAATTACGTTGGATAATCTTTGAATATTATAAAAAGAAAATTACTATATGACCTGTTTATAACTCTATTCTTAGAAGTATATAGAAAATTTTTCCCTTTTTTTTCAACATTATCGCAATTAACTATGTAAATATTTTAAATTTTTTTGCATTTTCTATTTTTTCCTTTTTAAAATACAATTTGTATTTATAAAATTCCTTTTTATATGACAAAAAACATTCCTTAAAATTTCAGATTGATGAAAAAAAAAAGGAGACACGCACCAGTTTGGCCTTTGCCGAGGGTTTTCTCGAGTCGATAGGGCCCAACATATTGATGAGTCTCCTGGGTATTGGACCCAACAGAGCTTTCTTTACCCTGCTGCATCGTCGTCGAGGACTCCGCCTTATTCGCCAGATTGAATGGACTATATAATAGACCAACGAGGTAAATTTCAGACCTTAATTTTTGTTCTTATTTGTTTTCTCCTCCGCAAGTGAAACCAATTCTTCATCTTTCTTCAAAGTCCGTTGGTCCTCCAACACCGGGAAGACCTTTTTTTTATTCTTGTGACCTTGAAATTTGACCCTGAAATCGTTTCTTTATAATAATGATGTCACTTTCTTAATCGTTCCTTTCTTTTCGTTGGTCGCTTCTTTCGAAATTTTTTCATGTTGCACACCTTCGCGCACAAAACACAATCACTTTGTTGGAAAAAAAAAATGATGATTCCTCAATATAAGAATTGATTTGAATCATTTAAAAAAAAAATAAATAAATTTGAAAATTAATTATTTTATTGGCATTTTACAACTTTGAGCAGCACTTGTCGACGAGACATACACGAGAGAGATTATCAAGTTGCCCACGTTGGGCGCCATTGCGAGACGAATTTCTGAGGATCTCCGGGGGTTGGTCGGGGGTGGAAAAGAAGTAAAACGATTCGTTTTTCTCCCGAGCACAGACACACACCGGGTCAGGGACAATTTTTTTTTTTTTCGCTCACTGAGAAAGAAGAGAGAAATAACGACACAAGGGAGAAACTTTTATTTTTTATATTTTAAGTCAAATTGTTTTCATATTTAGAAAGAAGAAAGGCAATTTTTTTTTTTTTGGTGACTTGGTGTTCTTTCACTCCTTTTTTATTTTCTGTTACAATCGCGCCCCTAACGCACGGATGTAGGAGCCACGGCGCTCCCAGTTCGATTATCGTAGTGGATGAGGTGCGTGCGCATGCACCAACCCTCTTTTTCCACTCTGGTGAAACACTACTACTGGGAAAGACCCTGAGGTTAAAAAGAGAGAGAGAGAGAGAGCGCCGGTATACGGTGGTTCGAATCCAGGATGATATTGATAAGCACAAAATCCAATGGATTTTGTGGTTTGTGTCTATTCTGCCCGGCAAAAGAGTGAAAATTATTTAAATTAATTTATTGTTTGTTTATTTTATTTATAATTATTTTTTTCGTTACAAATCATTTACAAATAAATTCTATGCTTGAAAATTGGTAACGAATTGTTTCATTATTTTTTTTTGACAATTGGAACAGGAAAGATTCAAAAATCGGTTTCCTCATCATTAAATCTATAAATGAATATGAAAAATTGTTTTTTTTTAAATTATTACAAATGCCATAAAAAAAAAATTACCGTTTTTGACAAATTAAATACAAATTTTTATTCTGATTAAATCCAATATAATCAAAAATTTTTTTTACTAATACAATGAAAATTAAGATTAATATCTAAAATAATTCTAGAAAATAAATTGCACGCTGGAAAATTCTACACAATTAAATCTGTACAAGAAAATTGTAATAAAAATTGAAAAACAAACTTTTTTTTTAATTTTCAAATTCTATACAATAAAATTCTAAACGAAAAAGTAATTTTTTAGATCCTACATTTGATATAGTAAATATTTTTTTCGTTTCAATTATTTTTATAATATTAATAGTTTGCAAAAAAAAAAATTTCCAATTTTTATTAGAATTTTCTTGTGCAAATTAAATCGCGTACGTTTTTCCAGGGGGGAATTTATTTTATAGAATTTTATTATGTAATTTAATAATTTAATTATTTATTTATAATTTTGTTTATTATTTCTGAATTAATATTTTTTGTATCCTCTTTTTGGATAAATGAATCTATAAATGAATATGAAAAATTGTTTTTTTTTTAAATTATTACAAATGCCATAAAAAAAAAAATTACCGTTTTTGACAAATTAAATACAAATTTTTATTCTGATTAAATCCAATATAATCAAAAAATTTTTTTACTAATACAATGAAAATTAAAATTAATATCTAAAATAATTCTAGAAAATAAATTGCACGCTGGAAAATTCTACACGATTAAATCTGTACAAGAAAATTGTAATAAAAATTGAAAAACAAATTTTTTTTTTAATTTTCAAATTCTATACAATAAAATTCTAAACGAAAAAGTAATTTTTTAAATCCTACATTTGATATAGTAAATCTTTTTTTCGTTTCAATTATTTTTATAATATTAATAGTTTGCAAAAAAAAAATTTCCAATTTTTATTAGAATTTTTTTGTGCAAATTAAATCGCGTACATTTTTCCAGGGAGGAATTTATTTTATAGAATTTTATTATGTAATTTAATAATTTAATTATTTATTTATAATTTTGTTTATTATTTCTGAATTAATATTTTTTGTATCCTTTTTTTGGATAAATGAATCTATAAATGAATATGAAAAATTGTTTTTTTTTTAAATTATTACAAATGCCATAAAAAAAAAAATTACCGTTTTTGACAAATTAAATACAAATTTTTATTCTGATTAAATCCAATATAATCAAAAAATTTTTTTACTAATACAATGAAAATTAAAATTAATATCTAAAATAATTCTAGAAAATAAATTGCACGCTGGAAAATTCTACACGATTAAATCTGTACAAGAAAATTGTAATAAAAATTGAAAAACAAATTTTTTTTTTAATTTTCAAATTCTATACAATAAAATTCTAAACGAAAAAGTAATTTTTTAAATCCTACATTTGATATAGTAAATCTTTTTTTCGTTTCAATTATTTTTATAATATTAATAGTTTGCAAAAAAAAAATTTCCAATTTTTATTAGAATTTTTTTGTGCAAATTAAATCGCGTACATTTTTCCAGGGAGGAATTTATTTTATAGAATTTTATTATGTAATTTAATAATTTAATTATTTATTTATAATTTTGTTTATTATTTCTGAATTAATATTTTTTGTATCCTTTTTTTGGATAAATGAATCTATAAATGAATATGAAAAATTGTTTTTTTTAATATTACAAATGCCATAAAAAAAAATTATCGTTTTTGACAAATTAAATACAAATTTTTATTCTGATTAAATCCAATATAATCAAAAAAATTTTTTACTAATACAATGAAATAAATAAATTATTAAGATTTATATCTAAAATAATTCTAGAAAATAAATTGCACGCTCGAAAATTCTACACAATTAAATCTGTACAAGAAAATTGTAATAAAAATTGAAAAACAAACTTTTTTTTTAATTTTCAAATTCTATACAATAAAATTCTAAACGAAAAAGTAATTTTTTAGATTCTACATTTGATATAGTAAATCTTTTTTTCGTTTCAATTATTTTTATAATATTAATAGTTTGCAAAAAAAAAAAAAATTTCCAATTTTTATTAGAATTTTCTTGTGCAGATTAAATCGCGTAAGTTTTTCCAGGGAGGAATTTATTTTATAGAATTTTATTATGTAATTTAATAATTTAATTATTTATTTAGTATATATTAATTAATTTTCTCTTATATTTTATTGTGTAGAATTTTTTATGAAATTTATTTTATAAAATTATATTAATATAATATTTATTTAGAATTTTAATTAATTTGCTTTTTAATTTTATTGTTGTAGAATTCTTTCGCGATTAACGGTGTAAAGTTTTTGCCTGTTGTACAATTTACTGTGTAATATTTTATTTTGTGGTATTTAATTATGTTGAGTAAAATTTGCATTTTAATTTTATTTTACTTTATATGCTTGTGTAGAATTTTTTTATCTAAAATTAATTGTGCACTATTTTCAAATGTAGCAGTTTATTTGTAAATTGTACCGCCCCATTTTTTTTTTCGTTATTGAAATTTGTCAAAATCGCAATCGATTATTTTCGAAAAATTGATTATTTTTTTTAATTGCATATATACTTTCAATTATTTGATTGGATAACTGAAAATACAATTATTTGATTGGATAATTGAAAATACAATTATTTGATTCAATGAAATCGATAAAGTAAATTCAATTTTTGATTTAATACAATTGAAGATAAATAATTATTTGATTCAATACAATTAAAGATAAATAATTTTTCGATTCAATACAATTGAAGGTAATTTTAATTATTAATCTTAAAAAACTAGTATGTAAATCTATTAATTCAAAAAAAAAAAAATTCAAATCTCTTCGTCCGTCTTGACCTGAAAATAAAAATCACGGACGATATCGAGGGTTGGTGCATTGAAACATTCGGAACAAAAATTCTCGCGCGACATTATTAGAAAGAGATTTAGAAACTTGATATCAAGGACTTACAGATTTTCTATTATTCGAGACACAACAAAAAAAAAAGCCGACAAAAAATTATTAACTCCCTCGTTTAATAAATTTTTAAATCCCTTCTGATTCCCCTCGATTTTCTCCTATTGAAAATCTTTTATTACTCTCGATATTATATTGATTCCCATTATTCTTTCTTTTTAATTGTTTTTCTTAAAATTTATTTTTATTCTTTTTTTTTAATTTCATAAATTCGGAAAATAATTTTTTTTCGTCTATTTTAAAAATAATTAATTTTTCTTTCAGAATTTTTGCTGATCGGAGGTTTACTTGAATTTTTCATTTAGTCTTGATTCACCAATAAAAAATTTGCACTCTGAATGTGAGAATTTCGTTATTGAAATATATATATATTAATTTTTGGAAAATATTCAATGAATGATGAAAATGAAATTTGTCAAGGGTTTGATGATGAATTTGATTCTAAAGAAGCGTGAGTATTAATATGCAAGGAAATATGATAGTTGCGGGGAAATCTTTAGAACACACCCGTTATAGAGAGAGAGTATGAATGCAATATATATATATCGAGAGAGAGAGAGAGAGAAAGAGAGGGACAACAGTTGGTGGCATAAAAGAGGAGGGTTGAGGAAAATCGATAGCTATATAAACTATAGAGCCAAAAAGGAAATGCTTCTTACATCCGCTTTACCCGTACTCATTGTACAAAAGTCACTGATAGAGAAGGACAGAAAGAGAGAATCGAAGAGAACTCAGAGGGACTTAGCCAAATGTAAATGTTGCTCGTTTCCAGGATAAATTCCAACCAACTTTCTTATCTACTTATCACATGGGTCTAGTTTAAAAAATTTTTAATATTAAAAATTTTTTTTATTTAAATAAATTAAAAAATTACTAAAATTTAGATTTACAAACGGATAATACAAAGTTTAAATTAATTATTTCTAATTAAATTATAGAAAAATAAAACAATTTAATAATTAAATTTTTCAAATTTAAAAAATTAATTTCAGTAAAAAAGCAAGATTAAAAATTTTTCATTGTTAGGGGTAAAAGAAAATCGTTATATATATATTTTTTTTTTAGATTATAAAGCGCGAAAGAAAGTGGCCTTCATTTCTGTTAACGAGAAAAAATCGCGCACCAAATATGGGACAGCTGACGTAATCTTAATTTTCATTAAATGGCATTGTGTCAAGCTCCAGAATTCAGTAATTTTTTTCTTTTCTTTTTTATATTTCAATTTTTTTTTCTTTTTTCTTTAAAACAAGATGGTTTTCAGTCTATAATATGGAGAACTAATATTATAAGGCTTCCTTAAATGACACGAGCTGACGTGTCTCACGATCATAAAAAGCGTGTAGTGCCTCAATAATCTTTCTTGTTAAACAAATCTCTTGAGCAACTTTTAAATTAAACCATTGTAAAGAAAAATTTTTAATTAAAACTTTCGTTTTTTTTATAAGCTTTAATTATTTTTAATTTCTTTTTTTCTTTTTAATTTTCTGAAACTTAATGATATTATTAAGAGTATTTATGAAAAAAAAAAAAATAAATTCAATAGAGTTCTCTTTTCTATTAAATCTTGGGCAATGATCGCTTGTTGTATAATCTAATGAATTTATTATCAGAACGATCTCGCTGAATAATGCAGATGAATACGTCTTTTAATCGAACGGATTTTAAATGGGAATTAATCATTTTAATTTAGCTTTTAATTTTAAGCCACGACTTTTGTAAATATTTATTTTATTTTTCATTATTTTAATAATTCAAATTTGTTTTGTTCATTTATTTTGTTAATTATTACACTATTATTTACTAATATTATGGATAATATCTGATTTATTAAATTTCGATTTAATAAAAGTATGTAATATTGAAGAATAAATTATTTTTCACTCAAGTGATTGATTAGAATTTTTTATTTGCAGAAATAAAAATAGAGAGAGAGAGCGTTTTCAAATGTAAATCAGGAAAAAGGGAATCGATTCCGATGGCACATCAAAATCAGTGATTGAGAATTTTTTTTCTCCATGAACTTGATTGCATATATGCTACAGATTCTCCAGGCGCTTTTCATATCTTAATGGCGTTAAGGAAAAAGGAGTAATAAAATGTGAGTATTTCTTAAAATTATACCTTTTCATTCACTATCTTTGATTTTTCATAATAATGATAATAATAACAATAATAAATTGAAATATATTTTTGATTCGTTTTTACTCGCGCGAGAGAAAATTCACTTTAGCGGTTTTTTTTTCTCAATAAATAATATGAATGAAACATTTTTTTAGAAAATTATTTTTTTATTATTATTTTATTATTTTTATTATATTATTATTATTATTGTGTATTTTAATAGTTAAAGTTTATATATTTTTCACTCAAATCTAGAAAACATAAAAAAAAAAAATAGTAACTGCTGAGTAGTTAAAGGTAATTTTTCTGATGTATTATTTTATTACGCGAAATAAAATTCTTTACGATTTGCTCACTTCGAGACTTGAAGAATTAAATACTTTTTTCTTTAAAACGTTTTTTTTTTTATTTTTTTTATTTTATCTATGATCAATTTTCTATTTATTGAAAATTTTGTAGTAAATATTTTGTCACTCTTGGAAAAGTTTTTGAAATTTTTTTTTTTAGTGTTTTAAACTCTTTTTTCTTTTTTTTTCTGTAGGACTGAAAAACACTTGCCGGAAAAAAGACTTGTTTTATTGTCTTGCGTTCTCATTGGATTTTCTTAGTAGGAAACTTTTTTCATTTAAGTTGTGCTTTGCAGGGTTCAATGTTGGATGCAAGGGCGCTTTATGATTCAGACTAAAGCTGTTGGTGTACGAAAGTTTCAAGTGCGAGGACCGGTAATACGTAAAAAAAAAAGGGGAGGCCTCAAGTGTTAACATTGCTCGAGCGATGTAACACTCATCACACAAATCTTCTTTTTTCCTTTTCTCTCATGGATTCATCCAACTGGATTTTCCACTATTGCGCTTTGGCAAAAAAAAAAGCAAGTGAAGTACTTCATTCATCTCTTCATAAAGCTAAATAATTTTCCAAAAGGTACAAAAATAATAATTATTTTTTTTTAGAAAATTTATTAGAATTTTCTTTTTGTTATATTACAATTTCAATTTGATAATTTATAATATTTTAAAAATTATTTAATAAATTAATTTAAATGTAAAATAATATTTTCTCTTTAAAAGAAAGAATGATTGATGAAAATTGTTTTAAACCCTAAATTTGAATTTGATGATATTTCAGCTTGGGCGTTACTGTTGTGTGGAAATTTTAATATTTTAACCATGAAGAGAACGAGCGAAGGGTTGTGAGAGGAAAATAAAGAAAGAAAGAAAAAAAAAAAGGGTGACTGGGTCCCTTAACTACACAAGTTGCGGTATCCCGGAGGGAAGTACTCACAATTAACGCGGTAAGTCTGCAAGAAAATAGTAGAGGGGAAGGGGTTCGAATATTTGTCGGGGATGAATTTCTTCCACCACGAGCCCGGAAGCTTAGTCATCGTTTGTCCATTGTCACCATAAGTGCACTGCCATGTAAAACCAAAAAACGAGACTTGAATACAATATTTGAACCCCCGCTTTCCAATAATATGCGTCATTTTATCTCAATCATCTAAAATCGATTGCGAGAAAATAGTTTCTTTTTTTTTTTTCATTCACAAATTTGCAAATTAATCAAATTAATTTATGAGAGGTTGAGGAAAAATATAGTTTTGCAAATAAATTGTTTAAATGAAGATTCGAAATCAAGAATTACCTTTGACGGTAAGATTTTGATTAAATTAATAGTCCCTCTAATTATCATAATTACTTAAATGATCTCTTGCACTGCACATATATACACACGGCAAATACCGCGTTGCTAAAGAATGTTAAGCACCCTTCGACGAACTGATCGCGCGCGTTTGCAATGTAATTAATTAAAGCACAAAATCGTGATTATACTCTTGAATCTTAAAGAAATTTTTTTAAAAAAAAAAAAGTAAAATTAAAACGCACGGCAATGCGAATTATATGTTTTTGCAATTTTTATCAAAAAAAAAAACATTTTTTATTTATATATTACTTAATCCTCAGCGCGTATCGATTTTTTCATTATAATCCTTCTTTAGAGAACGATTTCATATATTTAATACTTTCGATATTGACCGTGAAAAATTAAATTCAAATTTATTATTCAATTCTACTTTTAGGCCTCGGTTCGACTTTAAGATGCAAAAAAAGTTGATTTAAATTTCAAAAAAGAGACGATTTTTTTATTTGAATTAAATTTAATTAGAAAACTCAGAGAAATGGTATATTTGTTTCAGAGCCAACCAATTCATTTATTTGTTGCAAATAAATTTTATTTCATTTTTAAAAAAATTTATTTTGAGCCAAAGAAAAAATTTATGACAAATAAAATTTTTATTTACGCCAAATAAATAAGTCAATAAGCTCTGAGACAAATATACGTTTATTTAACTCAAATATATTTTATTTGGTTCAACGTTCAAATAAATCATTTCTCTCGATGTAGATATTTTATTCTAAAAAAAAAAAATTCTGAAAACAATTCAATTTTAGAGTTTTGAATTGAAACTTTTTTTTTAAAAAAATTGAATTTTTTAAAGAAATGTTAAAATTATTTTAAAATAATTGAACTTTGGAAGAGTTATACTAGTTGTAATTATTAAATTTCAAAAAGTTTTAAATGCAAAATTTTAAAAGGTTTTAAATTAAAATTTTTCAAAATAATTGAATTCAAGTGATTTTGAATTAGAATTTTTTGATTATTTTTGTTGCTGAATAATTTATTAAAAATTAAAAATAAAAATTGTATTTAAAAATTTTTTTATTGAAAAATACTTTCAAATAATTAAATTTTTGAAGAATATTTTTAAAATAATTGAAATTTTGAAATAATTGTAATTGAAATTACCAAAATTTCAAAAAGTTTTAGATGGAAAAATTTAAAAAAAATGAAATAAAATGATTTTTTTATATTTATTTTTAAATATTTTGCCAATATTGAAATCCATTAATTTTCCCGAAAATATTGAATTTTGAACTTTTGGAATATAGTAAAATGTCGATATATGGATTTGCGGAACACACGATTGGTACGGTGCGGAAAATGAGAAAACAAGGGGTGAAATGAAACGTCGCGTGTAATTAACGTATAGAAAAGTAAAGAGGGACGAATTGTATACACCCTCACCCTCTATTTTCGTTTTTGTACACAGTCACGTGTCATCAAAATTTTAAAAAATAACCAAATTTACATTAACTACCACCAAAAAGTGCGCATTTAAATTTAACTTGAATTTCTTTTATCTTTTTTTTTTTTTTACTCATTTTGATATTTCAAAATTTTAACAAAAAATTAAAAACTTCATCATCAAAATAAAATTTTATTTCAACATTTTTCTGGGTAATCAAAAAATAGAAATTTAATTTTTTTTTGACATTTTTGGAAAATTTGCATTTGAAAAATAATTTTTTAACGATACAAAAATCACATTTATTTGAAATTAAAAGGATATCAAAATATGGAATATATTTAAAAAGTGAAATCCACTTGCGCTTACCTTTCACTTTTTAACCCAGTTCCCATTGTCAGACGGTGACTGACCGATTCCACTTGTCGTAGTTCCACTCCTTGTGGAAATTCCTCTCAACGGAAGCTTAATGACGTGTATTTCTTATTTTTATTTTTATCAAAATTTGTTACATCCTGTTATTATCGAGTTTTTCTTGACAAAAAAAAAAAATGAAATTCCTTCTACTTTGGACGTTAAATGTACAATTTTTCGAAATTCTATATCAATTCCAAGTAATTGAGATGAAAAAAAAAAAATCTCAAGGTTTGATTTACCACCAAAGCCATTAATCATTTTTACAAACAGCTTCCGATGACATTTTATAGGAAATAAATTCTCGTTATTCGAAATAGTTTATTCAATAATTGAATTTGTTCGACATTTTCTCTTTTTTGTAATAAAAACAATTGAATTTTTCATAAAACAAAAAAAGTGTTAATAAAATATTTTGAATTACTGTTAGTAAAATTAAAAATATTCCCAATTTAATTTTTTCACAATATGAAAAGTCAATTTTTTATATATAAAACAAAAAAAAAATTGTTAATTTTGAATTACTGTTAGTAAAATTAAAAAAAATTTCCAATTTTTCATTAATTGATTCTTTATTTGAAAATAAAAACAAAAATTTCGTAAGATTTCATTGACAAATTAGCTACGAAATCTTTTAAAGAGACGAGAAGTGAAGAGAGTGTATTAACACTCTCTTCACTCTACTACTGTGATTCAAGACTCAGCATCTGAGTCGACTTCGATTATTCGTCAGTCACTTTCAAGATCCCGCGAATTGAACTTTTCCACATATAACTTTTATATAATATTGTTTATTATGACTACTTAGTGCCGCGAAAAAATTTTTTTTTTATTTTAACATCTTTATAAATATAGTGAGTTGTCATGCACACGAAGGATTAATATTTTTATTATTAAAAAAAATTAAACTTTTTTTTTTAAATTAGAAAAACAAAAATGTTTATTAAAGTGATTTGTATTATGGTGTTTGTGTGTCTTGCGTCAGAGACCTTCGCTAAACCCACGATTTACAAACGCAATGAGGATAATATTTATGAACCAGGTAATTTATGAATATTTTTTTTAAATTTTTATTTTACATTCTTTCAAAATTTAAGAAAGAATTACTTTTTATTTATAATTATTTAATAATTAGTAAAAATTCTTACTACTGTGAATTAGTAACTCACTTTTAATTATTAAAAAAATAAAATAAATAATATTTAATAATAAATTATTTAAAAAATAACATTATATACTTTCAGCCGCTTTCTTTAAGTCTATTTTTTTTTCTTTTTTTTTTTAATGTGAGAAAAATATTTTTTTTAATTTCAAGCCAATAATTGAGTTTTATTAATCGTTTTACCAACGATTTCCACAGGAAGACTTTCTTCGTTTCGTATTTCTTATATATTTTTGTAATAAATCCACAAAGTCGGTTGCTTTCACTATTTGAGAAAAAAAAATAAAATCATTTTCAAAAGAAAATTAGATTTTTTGATATTTGACTTCAAATAACTAATTAAAATCTATTTAACAGATAAAATATTAGTAATTAGCTTTTTTAGAAATAATTACAAAAGAAAATCGCCATATAGAGCAAAGAATTTTTTTTTTTTTCAAATATAATTCGTATTGACAGGTGGGTTTATAACGGGATGATGATGTCAAGTTGCGTAGGTTGCGATTATAGCAACGTGATTTCAAGTGCGCGTGATGCTGGCCCTGTCGTTTAAACGACTGCTAATAAGGACTTGAGAAATGATTCCTGGAAAGAGAATTGCACCAGAATCCCACAGAAGCGAGGCAAACGATTAATTTATTATTTTTTGTTTTTTTTTTTTTATTTCAAAGACCATCATAAAGTCATTTGTGAATGCCTAGCACTCAAGAGAATCAGGGAAATATACATATAATGAATGCGCATAAAAGTACAAGTGCTTTGAATAATTTCTCTTTATGGAAATGGATCTTTTCAATTGAGGATTATAGCATAATTTTATAAAAATAATGATTTGACTTTGAGTGCAATTTCATTTAGAATTCCTCTTTTTTTTTGTCATTGAATTTACATAAAAAGAATTTTTTTCTTTCAAATATTTGGTAAACAAAAAATTGTTTTAAAATTCTTTTCATCAATAGATTGAAAATAAATAAAAAAAAAAACAAAATCGAATATAATTTTTGTTTTTGCAGTAATGGTGCCAGTTTCGTCGACGGTAATACCATTACCAGTCTACAAGGTTGGATATGGATTCGGCTTTATTTCGAAGGACAAAAAATCTCAAGCATTATTTAAACCAGATGATGTTAAATTAATCACAGCAAAAAGTGAGGAAAAAGTTCTAATTATTCTTTTAAATTTTTTATTTTTAAAAAATTGAATTTTCTTTATATTTTACAGTGAAGAACATTGAAGATTCAAAGTCGTGAAGAAATGATAAAATATCAACTTGCCGTATTTGCCTCATGACCTCATTACAATCATGATGTGATTTGTCAGAAAAATCTGTATTCTATACCTACTAATTTTTGAAAAATCCTTTTTAAAAAAAAACTAATAAGCGAAATTTAAAAAAAAAATATTTCTTTTTAAAACATTTTGATATTTTAATATTATTTGTAATTATCTTTTAATTTCAATATTTTATTAGTACAAATTCAGTTTTCCAGCTACACACCAAAAAAAAGATTAGCTTGAAAGTAAACTTGTAAATTTTTTTTTTGATAAACTTGTAGATATAAAAGATTATTTTTTTATATAAGACTATTTGTTTTAATGAAAAAAAAAAATTTGCGGAAATTATATTTCTGCATTTTATTGACAAAATGATCACTATGTTAATGTAAATTGAAAAATAAAAAAATAAACTGCTTAATACTGTTTCATTCTATGTTGTGTCCATATTTTGTTCCGCTAAAAAGAAAATAATTTTGAAAATTTCTATTTGTTAATTAAGTACAAAAAAAAAAAAATACTTACACATTTCATTAAACATGAAATCATCCTGATATTCTTTTAAGAATTGTGTCGATCTATGTTCGTCAACAAATAAGGAATAAACTCGCTTCACATCTTCGATACCAACCTAAATTTTCGAAAAAAAAGATGAAAAATTTAATTATGCTCGAATAAATAGAAAACAAATAGTTAATTTAAAAAAATACCTCAGTGCTTTTTCTTTTGCGACTAACGAGCGATGCTGTTGTAATTAATTGAATGGCATATCTCAAAGAAGTTTCCAAAGCAATGCGTGTAAGTACCAATAAAGCATCGTCAGTCATTTCACAATCTTCCTCTTCGCATCTAATTTTCAAAATTTCTTTCAATTCTTTTTCATCGTACGGTTTTGTTGGAACAATAATCATTCGATCCAATAAATCAATTGGCATTCCATGAGCACTTTTATAATAAGTTCCTCTAATTCTCGTAATACCTGTAGAAAATTTTTTTTTATTTTTTAAATAGTGTTTTTTTTTATTTAAAATACTTTTTTTTTTTTTTAATATTTACCTCGATTTGTAGCCATAATAACAACGGGAGCCATATCGTTTTCAAGGGCACGATTTAAAAATGAAAAACACTCAATATCGAGCATGTGAACTTCATCAATGAAAAGAACACCTGGTACAATTTCCGCTTTACCCTCCTCTCGCCATTCGGAAATTTTTCCATTTATTTGTTCTCTAACTTCGGATTTAATTTCACCAGTGTCACCAGAAAAAAGAGCGAGAAAACCATGTGTTCTACTATTTATAACATCAATCTCATGAAGACTAACTGTATGAACGACTTCTTTACGTTTTTGTAATTCACCCTCGGGACATTGAACAAATCGTGTTTGTGCACCAGTTGCGTCATAATCACGAGCTCTTGTAAAAGAGCGTCCGAGTCTATTTATTTTGCCCGTTGCTTTGTCTATCGTTATAACATCACCGGCTTGAACCTTCAAAAAAAAAAAATATTACAAAATTACCAAAAAAAATTATATAATAATAAAATGCTTGGTCTGTCCTTCTGTCCTAACTTGAAGTTGGTCTTTTATGATTTCACGTGTTTTTTGAATAGTAAATCTTATGTCGTGTCAAATTTATGTCAAATTAAACTTGAAAATTTTAGAAATAATTAAATTTCAAAAGATATTGTTAATTTTCAAACAATAATAAAATTTTACAGAAATAAAACTAATTTATCAAAAAAATTTTTGGAAATCATTTTTTAAATTTAATTGAATTTTCAAAAGATTTAAAATTAAGATTTTAGAAATTAATTGAACTTCAAGTGATTTTAATTAAAATTTTATATGATTTCACTAAAAAATTTATTAGAAATTACATACAAAATACAATAATTTGATAATCATTTTTAATTGAAAAATGGTTTCAGATAGTTGAATTTTCAAAGAATATTATAAAAATATTTAAAAATAATTGAATTCCCTTAGAGTTATAATTGAAATTATTAAATTTCAAAAAAAAAAATTTTTCGATGGAAAATTTTAGAAATAATCAAATTTTAAATGCTTTTAAATTCAAATTATTGAAAATTCAATTAATATTGAATTCAAATTTTTTAGAATAATTAAATTTTCTTTAATTTTGATTTGAAATTTCGGAAAATAATTAAATTTCAATTAAAATTTTGGATAATAATTCATTTTTAGTTGATTTTTTTTTTAAACTACGAAAATAATTGAATTTTAAAAGATTTTGAATTAAAAATTTGGAAAGTAATTAAATTTTCTTTGATTTTGAATTAAAATTTTGGGAAATAATTGAATTTTAGTTGATTTTGGAAAATATTTGAATTTTTGTTAATTTTCAATAGAAAAATTTGGAAAATATTTGAATTTTATTTGATTTTAAATTAAAATTTCGGATAATAATTGAATTTTATGTGATTTTAAATTGAAAATTTGGAAAATAATTGAATTTTAAAAGATTTTAAATTAAAAATTTGGAAAATAATTGAATTGTCTTGGATTTTGAATTGAAATTTTGGAAAATAATTAAATTTCAATTACAATTTTAAATAATAATTCAATTTTAGTTGATTTTTGATAATTAATTTTGAAATGAAATTTTAGAAAATAATTTTATTTTATTTGAATTTAAATTGAAAATTTGGAAAATAAGTGAATTTTAGTTGATTTTGAATGGAAATTTTGGGTAATAATTGAATTTCATTTGATTTTAAATTGAAAATTTGAAAAATAATTGAATTTTAAAAGACTTTGAATTTAAAATTTAATAATTTAATAATTAATAATCTGAGGCCTATAAACATATAATTTTTATTTTTATCATTTAATGTGGAATAATATTCTAATAAATTAAATTATTATTGATAATATTAATCTTTAATTTCTTTATAACAAACAATTAAATAACCAATTTGTCGCGATTGCGCGCGTTTAATTTTGGTAGTAAATAAATAAATAAATAAATTTCTACAAAAATTACCTTTTCTTTCATTAGACTGTCAATCATTTTATTTCCCAAATCATAAATTGTTTCCATTTCTGTTGTTTTTAATGTGAGTTTACCAACTTTTGCACCAACTCCCGTTGCCGGTCTATCAACTTGAATTTCAACGACTTCACCTTCAATTATTTCAGTTTCCTCTTTAATTCTCACGCCAATTGATTTGCGAAATGCCTGCGTTAATGCTTCGGTTTTACTCATTTCGAGTGAATAAATTTCTGAACCTGCCATTGATGTGAAAGGCGTATCCTGACCAAGAGCTTGTGCAAGACCCATGGCAATTGCAGTTTTACCTGTACCCGGTTGTCCGGCTAATAAAATTGCTCGACCCGCTATTTTACCATCTTTAATCATTTCTAAAATAAGACCCGTGGCTCTACGTGCCATAAGCTGACCCACCATTCCCTGCGACACCTTTTTTTTAAAAAATTATATTAAAAATTATTTTCATAAAATAAATTCATTAATTAAAAAAATATTAATAATTTTATACTCACATTTCGAGCTTCTAAACAATCATCCAAACCCAAACCTCTTATATGTGAATGAGCACCAATTCTTTCAATTCTCGTAATTTCGCGAACTTCTCGCACTTTTGCTGCAGCGACAGTCTGAAATTATTGTTTAAAATTATTAAAACTAATTTTTCATATTATGCGATTAAGCATTTCAAAAAAGAGAGGTTATGTTCGATTTGTTTGATCGATATAAAATAATTCTCTTTTTACGAAATATATAAACCAACTCTATAAATTAAATATTAAAACAATATTAACAATTAACGTTTGAATTAATTAAGTTCCGTATTAATTAACAAAATTGAAAAAAAAGTTTAAAGGTTATGTTACAAAAATTACTATATTTTTTTCCAAAACGTAATTTCTTCAAAAACTTTCTTTTTTTTACACAAAATAAACTTTATGGAAAAATACTTACTGCCATTTTTTTCACTCTTTTTTCATACAAATTATTCTAAAATAATCGCCGGCTTAAAAAATGCGTTATCGAAAAAAAAGAGGACAAACTGTTATTTTTCATAAAGCGCATGCGTTATCTGGCGTCGCGACTTAAACGACGTGCAACGACAATAAGATGAATTAAAAAAGAAGATGTCACACACAAACAACAATCAACATACACAAATATATTAATATTCAATACACATATGTGTGTGCACTGTCTACCCGGCACACACGTGTCTAACGTTGAAAGAAAGTGCAGTAGTTTAACACAAGTTGTTAGTGTTAATTAAATCAAATTTTCTAAATTTAAATAAAAATAAATATTTTACATTTGTGAGAAAAATGAAAGCAAGATATTTTCATTGAAAAAAATATATTCCTTTTTATTTTTGGAGTAAGATCTTAACTGAAATTGGGATTCGTTTGACCTTTACTGACTTGGTTGACCTTCAACATTTACCCTGAAATAAAAAACTTTCATTCACTTCTCTATATCTACTTCAAAAAAAAAAGGTAAATTTTTGTTTTAAGAATCAAGTGTAGAAAAATCGAATTTTTTCCTTTTTTTATAAATTTTTTTTCTTAAAAATTCACTTAGTAACTGTTCAAAGGTTCAGAGATTATCATTATTTTGATTACAATCATTAGAGATCATTTTAATTTTTTATAGAAGAGATTTATATTTTTCATTAGAACATTTTTTATTTTCAATATTTTCGAATTAGTTCTGTAATTTAAATTTTAGAAATCAGAAACAATTTTTTGGTTTAGAATAATTAAAATTAGGAATTTTTATTTTTTTCTCAGTAAAGCACCAAAATGTCGAGTAGGGAACGAGCATCACGACGATTTTATCGTCTAGACAGTACAAATGATCTTTTGGGTAATATGGATCGGGGTCAAACGGCTCAAATTGAAAATCGATGGAATTTTGAAGTTTCTTGGGAAGCTGCAAATAAAGGTAAACAAAAAAATTCAATTTTCAAATTAATTTTTCAAATTTTTAATTTTAATTTCATTTTTTTTTCCTTACAGTTGGAGGAATTTATACTGTTATTAGATCAAAGGCTTATGTTTCCACCGAAGAAATGGGTGATCAATATATTTTAATGGGTCCCTATAAAGAAGCATGTGCAAGAACTGAAGTTGAAGAAATAGATTTTCCTTCAAATAGTCCATTGAACAAGGCAGTTCAAATTATGCGAGATCAAGGCTTTAAGGTATTTTTTTTTTCGCCTTTAAAATATATTTTTTTTCTTATTGAATTTTTCCTGTCAGTAGGAAGTGTTTTTCTTTTTTACCTTGGCAATGATACGTATTAGCGCAATGTAAAATTTTATTGGCGTTACTCCAAAGCGTTTGAGAAATTTTAATTCAGGGTCAGGTTCACTTAAAGAGATCAAAACAAAAATTTGTTTTTTTTTTATAATTGTGGGACACTTTTTTCAAAATTACCTTCCACGAAGATTTTTTCTTCCAATATTACTTGGACCAATAAAAAATTTTCCCAAATAAAAGTTTGTACAATATTTTTTTTTATTTAAAACTATTTTAAAATCAGTAAATTATCAAAGAAACTAGCAAAATTAAACGGGCGCAAGCGCCCCAAATTGAGTATTTAATTGTTTGTTATAAAGAAATTAAAGATTAATATTATCAATAATAATTTAATTTATTAGAATATTGTTACATATTAAATGATAATAATGAAAATTATAGGTTTACAGGTCTCGGATTATACGACTTTTTCCGACTTTTTTCATAAATACGACTTTTATCGACTTCTTTTAATAAAATGCGACATTTTTTTTTTACATTTGAAAAAAAATGTAAATAAAATACATTTTTTTAGTATGAAATGTAGATCTTCTTCAGATCTTCTTCAATTCAATTATTTAACAAATTTTCAACTAAGATGATTCTTCACTAAATTAATTATTTTTAATAATTTTAATGAAATACATCACAAATTCAATTATATCAAAATTATTTTTCAATTAAAATTTTTATGAAATTTAACAATTGTTTATAATTAAAAAAAAAAAATATCACAATAAAATTGAATTATTTTTTAAAAATTTCAATTCAAAATAAACTGAAATTCAATTATTACCCGAAATTTTAATTCAAAATCAATTAAAAATCCAATAATTATCCAAAATTTTCAATTTAATATTTAATTATTTACCAAGTTTTCAATTTAAAATGAAATAAAATTCAATTATTTTCTAAAATTTCTATTCAAAATTAATTATTCAAATTTTCAATCAAAAATGAACTTCAATTAAATATTTATCCAAAATTTCAATTAAAATTCAATTATTTCCCAAAATTTTCAATTCAATTATTACCCGAAATTTTAATTAAAAATCAATTAAAAATCCAATAATTATCCAAAATTTTCAATTTAAAATTTAATTATTTACCAACTTTTCAATTTAAAATGAAATAAAATTCAATTATTTTCTAAAATTTCTATTCAAAATTAATTATTCAAATTTTCAATCAAAAATGAACTTCAATTAAATATTTATCCAAAATTTCAATTAAAATTCAAATTTTTCCCAAAATTTTCAATTCAAAATCAACTGAAATTCAATTATTTTCCAAATTTAAAATCAAATAAAATTTCATTATTCTCAAAAATTTGAATTCAATATTAATTGAATTTTCAATAATTTGAATTTAAAAGCATCTAAAATTTGATTATTTCTAAAATTTTCCATCGAAAAATTTTTTTTTTGAAATTTAATAACTTCAATTATAACTCTAAGGAAATTCAATTATTTTTAACTATTTTAATAATATTCTTTGAAATTTCAACTATCTGAAACCATTTTTCAATTAAAAATGATTTTCAAATTATTGTATTTTGTCCGCATTTTCTTATAAATTTTTAGTGAAATCATCTAAAATTTTAATTAAAAATCACTTAAAGTTACAATTAATTTTATTTAAAAATCCGTAAAATATTTTTGTTAAAATGAAAAATAAATTCACTTTTTTTTTAATATAAATCGACGAAAACGACTTTTTTGTGTCTTTAAGTTGATTCGAGGCCTGTGTTTTTATAATTAATATTTAATAGGTATTCGTTGGCCCCTGGCAGCTTAAAAATTAATTTTTAAAAATAAATTTTTTTCAAATTACTATCTTGTACGAAATTTCCTGGCGCATCTTTTTTCTCATGATAAATTTTTTGTATTTGTATACAATTTTTGAATCAATATACAACTTTAAAAAAAATTTCGTTGGTAAATGTTGTGTACTTGAGCTTCGTGAATTGAATTTTCGAATTTGGAATTTTAAAGAAACTTATTTCGAAATTTGGAAACACAATTATACAACTTTGGCAAAAATGAGAAAAAGAATTGTCAAAATTTGACACGTCATAAGATTACTATTCAAAAAAAACACGTGAAATCAGAAAAGGCCAACTTCAAATTACAATTTTTGAAAATATATAATTACAAGGATTAATGTAAATTTGGTTTATTGTAGATTCTTAAAATAATTGCAAAAACAAATTTAGTATTTCGATTTTCATGTTTCGAACATCAAATAGTTCCATTGAGAAAATATTTTGTTTGGAATTAGTTTTTGTTGGTAAAAGTAATTTTTGGGAAAAGTGTACTTTCTCTTCTTTTTATTTTTTATTTGTATTTAATTAATTTTTTTTTTAAGGTCGTGACAGGTACTTGGTTAGTCGATGGAAATCCACAAATAATATTATTGGATATTGGAAGTGCAGCCTGGAAATTGGATGAATACAAATCGGAACTTTGGAACACGTGTCATTTGGGAATACCTCATTTGGATGTTGAAGCTAATGATGCAATTATTCTTGGCTACATGGTCTGCCAATTTATTTCAGAATTCAGGTATTATTCATTAACAAATTTTGTTTTCAAAATTCCTAATAATTTATTTTTAAAAACGGAACAAAGATCTCGATTTTTTTTTATCATAAATTCTAATTTCTTTAAAAACTCGAAGATTATTTTATTTATTTATTATTTATTTATTATTTATTTATTATTTATTATTAGAACAGAATAGAATAGAATTTATTTTCCTTTAACAATACAAAATAGTTGTTTCTTGTCCAGTTATTTATTATTTTTTTCAATTTCTTTTTTTCTAATACTTTTTATATTCATAAATATTTATTATTATTAAAAATTTTTAAAGCGATTTTTTCATTAAATTTTAATTTTTTTTGCAATTCATAAATTGTTTTTTCAAAAATTTCTTGACTGAATAATAAATAAAAGAAAAAATTTTCTTTTAATTTTTACTAAATTGCAAATTGGGAAAATTCTTCTAAAAATAGCAAAAAAAAATTTATTGAAAATTGATTAGAAAAGCCGCGGAGGAATTTTCAACAGCACCGCCAAGAGTTATAGTTCATTGTCACGAATGGCAAGCTGGCGTTGGATTAATTGCATTACGAACAAGACACGTTGATGTTGCCACTGTTTTTACAACACATGCCACTTTACTTGGAAGATATCTTTGTGCAGGAAAAACTGATTTTTACAATAATTTGGATAAGGTAAATCAGTTTTTTTTTTTTTTGGATTAATAAAATATAGTCTTCTATATTTTTCAATTTTTTTTCTAGTTCAACGTAGACGAAGAAGCTGGAAAACGACAAATTTATCATAGATATTGCATGGAACGTGCAGCAGCACATTTATCCCATGTTTTTACAACAGTCTCTGATATTACTGGTCTTGAGGCTGAACATTTATTGAAAAGAAAACCCGATATTATCACGCCAAATGGATTGAATGTAAAGAAATTTTCTGCGTTACATGAATTTCAAAATTTACACGCCGTTAGTAAGGAAAAAATTCACGAATTTGTGAGGGGACATTTTTATGGGTAAATTTTATTATTTAAATGTATTTTAAATATTTTAATTATTTTCTAATTTTCTAAATTTATAAATAATTTATTTACCGTTATTTCAGACACTATGATTTTGATTTAGACAAGACTCTATATTTTTTTATCGCCGGACGATATGAATTTGGAAACAAAGGCGCTGATATTTTCATTGAGGCTTTGGCAAGATTAAATCATTATTTGAAAAGCTCAAAACCGGACGTGACTGTTGTTGCATTTCTCATTTTTCCAACGAAGACAAATAATTTTAACGTTGAATCACTTCGTGGTCACGCTGTATGTATTCTAATTTCTTTTTCTTGTAAATTAGTTAATAGAAACATTTTTTTCTAATTTGGAAAATTATTTTTTTTAAGGTGACAAAATCTCTGAAGAATACAATAGATGATATACAACGAAAAATCGGTAAACGAATGTACGAGACATGTTTGGCAGGTCATTTGCCCGATGGTCATGATATTTTAATAAAAGAAGATATGATTAAAATTAAAAGGTTTTTAATTAATTTATTATTATAAAAAAATAATTTAATAATTAATAATTATTAATTTAATAATTTAATATTTTTTAGGTGTTTGTATTCTTTGCAAAGAAATTCATTGCCACCGGTGACAACTCACAATATTGTTGACGATTGGAATGATCCAGTATTGGGATCAGTGAGAAGATGTAATCTTTTCAATTCTGTTCACGATCGTGTCAAGGTATTTTTACAAAAATAATTTTTGTTTAATTAATTTAAGTTAATTTTTCATTTAACTTTTGATGTTTATATTTAATCAGGTTGTATTTCATCCGGAATTTTTGTCATCGACAAATCCTCTATTTGGCTTAGATTATGAAGAATTTGTTCGTGGTTGTCATTTGGGTGTATTTCCATCATATTACGAACCCTGGGGTTATACACCGGCGGAATGTACAGTTATGGGTATTCCAAGTGTAACAACAAATCTCTCGGGCTTTGGTTGTTTTATGCAAGAACATATTGCCGATCCAATGAGTTATGGAATTTATATTGTTGATCGTCGTTTTATTGATTTAGAATCAAGTGTTCAACAACTCGCTCAATATATGTTCGATTTCGCTCGACTAAATCGAAGGCAACGTATTATTCAGAGAAATCGTACAGAACGTCTCAGCGATCTTTTAGATTGGCGAAGTCTTGGAATTGTATGTAAAAATTCATTTTTCTAATTTTATTTGAAAAAAATATATATTTAACTATTTTTACCCAAAATTGAAAATAAAATAAAAATTAAACTTTCTTTCAGTATTATCGTCAGGCGAGAATAAAAGCATTGTGCACTGTTTATCCTGAGCTTGAGTCAGAATTTGCCGAAGGAAATGTGGGAAGATTAAATTATCCAAGACCAATTAGTGAACCTCCATCTCCGTCATCGTCACGGCATACGACACCAGCCGCTTCTGTTCATGGATCAGACGATGAGGAGGATGAAGTTGATGATGAAAAAGAGGTAAATTAATAATTCTGCTTTTGTTTTAATTTTATTCAATGAAATCATTTTTATTGAAATAATTATTATTAATCATCACTAATAATATTAGTGATTATAGGCCTCGGATTATAATTCTTTAAAATTTTTATATTCTTTAAAAATTAAATTATTTGAAAGCAATTTTCTAATTAAAAACTCCAATTTTTGACTATAATTTCTAATAAATTCTTCATTAACAGAAATTTCAATTAAAAATCTTTTATATTTCAATTAATTTCAAAATTTTGAATTGTAAATCTTTGAAAATTCAATTACTTCTAAAAATGATTATTTAAGATTATTTGATAAATTATTTTCAATTTATTTGCCGTATATTTTCAATAAATAAATGAAATAAATAAATAAAATACTTATTAACTAATTAAATTTAATTAAAATAAAAACATCAATTATTTCTCCTTTTTTTGGAATGTAAATCGACTAAAGCGATTTTTTTGCGTCTTAAAGTCGATCCGAGGCCTGTAATATTCTAAAATTTATTTTATTTATTTTTTAAAATTAAAACTATAAACAAAATGCAAATAACAAAAGAAAATTCCAATTTTTTATTTCAGTTGGAAGAATTAAGAGAAAGAAAATAAACTAATAGAATGCTGTACGAGTCTCTTTGTCTCTCTCTCTCTATCTTTGTCTCTTACACACAAAATACTCCAAGATTATTTTAACATATTTTTATTGTACTAAACGCTTGAAAGGAGTTTTTTTTATTCCTGGGATGTATTCGAATTTTAAAAAACATGACTGCTACAATAGAATAATAACAGATTTAATATTTATAGATTATTATTATATAATCCCAATTGTAGAATTACTTCTCAAAAAAAAAAAAATTGTTGAAGCATTAATACTAATATTGTCTGTATTGTTGCATCTGTTGTATCTAATAATTGATGAATGATAGATTTTACTGAATCGTTATTGAAAAATAGTCTGATTTTTTAAATAATAGTTTTAAATAATTGAATTTTTTAATGTAAATTAATTAATTGTGAATTAATTGATCGTGAATTGATTGTTCTTTGTAAATTTATAAATGTTGAACTCCATTAAATAATGTACATTGTTCAAAGATCTTTTTATCAATTTTTTAAAAAATAATTCATTCGCATGTACTTTTTTTAAAAAAAACATGAATAATGTAAACGATGAAAAATGTAAAATAAAAAAAATATTTACAAGGTAAGATGATTCAACTCAATTAACTATTTCAACAGTTTTAATGTTTATTTTTTTTTTACAGTTAAGTAATGAAATCTAATTTTATAATCTCATTGTTGAAATCGCAAAACACAGCTGCTCTAATAGATAATTATATAAATTTTAATTTATCAATAATAATAATAATAACTTAACGATTTACATAGAAGCTTCTTTTCGGAAGCAATTTTTTTATCCGAAGAATAAATAATTTATCTACAAAAATGCATAATAAATAATTTTTTTTTTTTTGCTAAAACTGTTTTACATGTTTCTATTATTTTTTGTTTATTATTTTATTTCGTTCCCTAAACACATTTCTCTATTATTAGGTAAATATTTATATATGTAACGAATATTGAACACAATATTGGATATCGATTATGTTTATTGCTTGATGGAAGTAAAAGTTGGCAAATAAAAACTAATTTCGCCAATAAGCGATTTCTCCAATTAGACCGAAATGTCTACACTCTAGTTTACAAAATCTACAATTATTCTTTAAATTCGTATATTACGTATATGAGAAGGAAATAAAACAATAAATTTACATATTAAATGATAATGATAATGATGTTGATGATGATGATGATGGTAAAAAGTAAATGAAAAATCACTATCCACAATTTTTTTTTTTAAAACTATATTGCAGTATTTGACTTTTAGTTTTTTTTTTCTGTTCAAATTGTTTTACTATCGTTAAGTCGTAATTGCTTTTCTAAATTTTGTTCCTTTTTGAATAATGTGGAATTTAAAAATAATGTGTCAAAATGTTTGCAAAAAAATTTAATTTAATTTTTATTTCAGTTTTATTAAATTATATAATTAATTTCGAATTTAGAATAAGAAAATTATATTTAAAAGCATGAAATTGATTTTTATGCGCCTTATTCATTGATAAATACAAAAATTATCACTTCCTTTTGTCCAATAATTTACAAAACGGAAATATTTTTTAAAATTTCGAACTTACCTAAATTTTAGTTTTATTTTTGACACGTTTTAAACTTTTTCGTCGTCGTCTTCTTCTTCATCTTCTTCTTCTTCCTCTTCGTATTCTACTTCTTCTTCTGTATCTTCAACTTCTGCTAAATTATGTACTTCTTCTTCCTCCTCCTCCTCTTCTTCTTCTTCTTCCTCCTCATATTCAACTTCTTCCTCCGTATCTTCAACTTCTGCTACTTTATGTATTTTTTTCTTTTCCTCCTCTTCCTCTTCCTCCTCTTCTTCTTCTTCTTCTTCCTCCTCTTCGTCATCATCATACTCTTCATCGTTATTATTATAATTTTGCGCTACGGAAACGCCAGATTTATATTCAACATTCTGTAATACTAATTTCTCATTTTTCTTTTCGTTTTTAAAGTCAACTTCTATTTCTTCCTCCTCTTCATCATCTTCTTCTTCATATTCCTCCTCCTCTTCTTCTTCTTCCTCTTCATATTCTTCTTCTTCATCTTCTTCATCATCATCGACTCTATTCTGTTTCTCATAATCATTCAATTTACCAATTTCACCTCCACGTTGTTTCACTTCACTTCGATTCTCAATTTTTTCACCCTGAAATTCTTTTTCTTTAATATCGATTATTCGATTTAAATTCGTATCTTCATTCGTAATTCGACTTGAATTTGTATTTTCTTTTTTTCTTATTAAATTTCCATTTTCATTAACGTTCGTAACATCATTTAAAATTGTTTCGACTTCCATTTCCGTAATATCCTCGTCATCCTGGTAAATAAAAGAATAGTGTTGGAAAATATTTTGAATCAAAAAAGTTTTCAAAATACCGAAAAAAAAACATTTACCGCACTTTAGACTAATTTTGACTATTAAATATATATTTAACAACGGGAAACTATGCATGCATAATTAGTGAAGAAGTAAAACAATTAATTAAATTATCAAGAATAATTTTTAATTAGCGTCATTCATTCATTTTTTTAATATTAGTATTTTTAAAGCCTTGACAGTCCATCAAATTAGTTTTAAAAGCTCATTATTCGAAAACAAATGTTAATAATTAAGTAAAAATAGTAAATTTCATTTTTAATAATTAAATCTCAATAAAAATATGCAAAAAAAACACAAATAACAGAAATCAGTATAGTAAGTAAATAAAAATTCAGTTTCAGTAAATTAAATAAAGATAATTATTTTAAAAGATGTTAACTTATTGCTTTCAAATTCCTGTTTTTTGTGACTTATTAGTTTTCTTTTTAATTTAGCCAAACTGTCAAATGAATGAAAGAATCACCAAATAAAACAAGTTCCCGTAGTTCGATTCTGTTGATAATTCTAATATTTTCTTACAGCTGGAATCTGGTCGAGGCTGATGAGGGAAAGGGTCATTTTGCCTGAGAGAACAACTGGTGCCTCGGCGCTTTCCTCTTCTTTTACTGTTTGAGTTTCTGATTCCGTCACAAGAAGTTCACATTGAGATGGAAGTGCACCCTCCAAATAAATAGGCACTGGTGGCGTTTTTTCCCGTTCAACATGACTAGAAAAAAAAAATTTTATTGTAATTATTGACTATAAATATTTATTTCAAAACTTTAATAATAAAGGATTAAAAATAGAAAACAATTTATTGAATATTTAATAAAAAATTAATTTTTTCCCTGTATACTTTTTTCAATAAAAAAATTTTATTTAATTTTCTGCTACCTGCTGTGTCCAGGAAAAGTGGGAGTTGTTGGTCGACTACATTTTTGTCCACCTTCACAACATGCAGTCATTTCAACGTTTAAAACTTTAACTTCTCCATGTGAAGTATCATCCAGTTCTTCGTCTTCTTCGTCCTAAAAAAAAAAAATTCAACATTGTATTAATTATTTTAATTATTAATTTTAATATAACAATTTATTTTGTTTACACTAAGGCAAATAAATATTAAATTAAAATAATAATAAAAGTCCAAACAAATAATATTGCAATAAGCATAATTGCAAAAGTTTTCTTGCAATTAAAACATTAATAACTGCACTGGATCTGTAAATTCTGCGCTAAAAAAACATATATTAGAAAAAATAAAGCTTAACAATAATTTTTTAAAAAAAAGTAATTATTCAAACATTTAAATAAATAAAATAAAACATTTATCAAAATAAAATTTTAATTCGTGAATCATGCAAAAAAACATTTCTAAAATTTAGAAAAATGTCACTAATTTTGAAAAAAAACTAATATTTTCCTTAATAAATTAGTGAAATAGCGGGAAAAAAAATATATTTTACATTGTTACGTAATTTCGTATTACAAATGATGTTTCTAAATTAAAATTGATGAAATCATATTGTTTCTAAGAATTTTGACATTAATAATTACTTGTTAGACAAACTTTCAGAAGCTTTTTTTTTAAGATAAAAAAAAATACCTTCAACTTATGGCCAACTGCCAGCAGACCATTCGATTTTGGAGCTTCATCTAATTCTCAAAAGGTAAAATTATATTTCGATTGATATTTTTAATAAATTAATATTTAAATTTATATAGAAATACATTTATATTAATTTAAATTTAAATTTCATTTTTTTTTTTTTAAATCGAAAATCTCGATAAATATGATTTTATCCTTTTATTTATCTTTTCTTTGTGTAAATTATTAGTCGATTTTTCATATATCGTAAATAATATTTACGATTTTATCATTCACTGACAGAAAAGCATTTTGGAGATGCAATCAAAAAACACAGCAACGTGCAAAGTTTGTACATATTGTCTAAGAAAAAAAAAAAAAAGTTTTAAAAAAAAAAATCATTTTTAAATTGTTATACAATAAACCTTGCATTCGGACTGTGGACTTGATATATGCATAACTGAACGTGATAAATTGCCCATTCGAGCAACAATTCGTTCCATCGCTGCTTCTGTCTCAACCAATCGTCGTCTTAGTTGATCTATCTCTATATCTCCTGCTGCTTCTACAGTGTTCCAGCATGTACAAAATTACCAAATCGATTTAAAACACGTATCTTTTTTTAGAAATTAAAAAAAAAAAAAAAAATTTCGGAGCGAGTTCTTTAGAGATAAAAAAAAAACAACTGAAAATTCTTACGTTCAGATAATTCTTCTATCGTTGGCACTGGTTTCATGGAAGTTTCTTTCGTCGTATTTATTGTACCGCCAGTCATGGCCGTAGTAAAAACATCGGGATTAAAAACCATCTTTTGAAATTCTCTCTCAGCTTCTGCATTTGGATAGGGATTCGAAATTATCTCACTGTCGGAACTTTTTTTCAATACCTGTTGAAAAATTAAATTATTATTTTTAAATATTAAAAATTATTTATTTATTTTTTTTTTTAATTTTATTTATAAAATTATTTATTTTAAAAATTCACCTTTGAAATAGTGTAGAGAAAAAAGAGAACAATGCCAATAGTGTAGAGTGGCATAATAATTCCCATTGTTGAATTTCCCTTTGGTGCAGGAACAACATGTCCCGCGCCTCCCATTGATGGCCTCATTTTTATCGTCGATGCAACATGATCAGGTCGACCTTGAATTTTTGGCATAATATGCGAAGCAGGTATGGCTCTTCCTTTTTCAATCATTGCCGGATGTAAACCTCCAGCATGTGGAGGAGTTCGTCGCTCTTGTCTTATTGTACCTAAAAAAATAAATAATTTTCAGAATTTCCCCTAATTTAGAAACAAAAAAATGTTATTTCAAAAAAAAATGGTTTTAATTACTGCAGGCCTCGGATCGACTTTAAGTCACAATAAAAGTTGATTTACATTCCAAAAAAAAGTCGAAAAAATCGTTTTCTTTTTATTTTAACAAAATTTAATTAGTTAATGAATATTTTATATTAAATATAACTAATGTTATATTAAATTCATTTTATTAATTCAGTAATGAGAATAATTCTATAAAAATATCGAAAAAAATTTTATTTCAAATTTTTTTCATAATCGAACTAATTGTAAGACAAATTTTCAAAATTTTATTTAAGTAGAACAAATTTGTAAAAGATTTTTGTTAATTTTCAGACAATAATTAAATTTTAATTGAATTTTTTCGTGATTTCTGTTGATGAAGAATTTATCCGAAATTATCCACAAAAATAATTGGTTTTTGTAATTTCTAATAAATTCAATTAAAAACATTTGATATTCAATTATTGAATTTAAAAATTTTTTAATTGAAAAAATTTGCTTTCAAATAATTGAAGTTTTGAAAAATATTATAAAAATCATTAAATTTTGGAAGATTTAAAGTTGACATTTTTAGAAATAATTAAATTTTAAAAGGTTTTATTTAAAAAAATTTGAAAATAATTGAATTTAAGTGATTTTTAATTGAAATTTTTGATGATTTCTCTTGCTAAAAAAATGAATTGAAAATTGCAGACAAAAATTGAATTAAAAAATTTTTCAAAAATGCTTTACACAATTGAATTTTTGAAGAATATTATATAAAAATCATTTTAAATAATTATATTTCAAAAGAGTTATAATTGAAATTATTAAATTTCAGAATGTTTTAGATGGAAAAATTTTAGAAATAATTAAATATTTTATTAAAATAAATCGAAAAAAGTTGTATTTTTGAAAAAAAAATTCGAAAAAATCGTATAATCCGAGGCCTGTTAATTTAGAAACAAAAGAATGTTATTTCAAATAAACCGATTTAATTACTGCAGGCCTCGGATCGACTTTAAGGCACAATAAAAGTTGATTTAGATTCCAAAAAAAAGTCGAAAAAATCGTTTTTTTTTATTTTAACAAAATTTAATTAGTTAATGAATATTTTACATTAAATAACTAATGTTATATTAAATTCATTTTATTAATTCAGTAATGAGATTAATTCTATAAAAATATCAAAAAAAAATTTAATTTCAAATTTTTTTCAGAATCGAACTAATTGTAAGACAAATTTGTAAAAGATTTTTGTTAATTTTCAGACAATAATTAAATTTTAATTGAATTTTTTCGTGATTTATTAGATATTATCCACAAAAATAATTGGTTTTTGTAATTTCTAATAAATTTAATTAAAAACATTTGATATACAATTATTGAATTTAAAAATTTTTTAATTGAAAAAATTTGCTTTCAAATAATTGAATTTTTGAAAAATATTATAGAAATCATGAAATTTTGAAAGATTTACAGTTGACATTTTTAGAAATAATTAAATTTTAAATAGGTTTTAATTAAAAATTTTTGAAAATAATTGAATTTAAGTGATTTTTAATTGAAATTTTTGATGATTTCTCCTGCTAAAAAAATGTATTGGAAATTGCAGACAAAAATTGAATTAAAAAATTTTTCAATTAAAAAATACTTTACACAATTGAATTTTTGAAGAATATTATATAAAAATCATTTTCAATAATTATATTTCAAAAGAGTTATAGTTGAAATTATTAAATTTCAAAAAGTTTTAGATGGAAAAATTTTAGAAAGAATTAAATATTTTATTAAAATAAATCGAAAAAAGTTGTTGAAAAAATTCGAAAAAATCGTATAATCCGAGGCCTGTTAATTTAGAAACAAAAGAATGTTATTTCAAATAAACCGCTTTAATTACTGTGAGAATAATTAAATTTTTCAAAAATAAAAGTGGAAATAAATTTTCAATTTTTTCATGCAATTTTTAATTTTAGTGAAAAAATTCCAAAATTTTGCTAAGGAAAAAAAAGTACTTCTTTTTTTTGAAAAACCGATATTTTGGACTATGATGGTTTAGCCCTGATAAACCAGATGTTATGTTCATTTTCTTTGGCATTTTGCCATTAAAATAAAGAGGCGAACAGTCTGTATTCCATATATATCGGATGACCTAATCCAGCGAAAATTGTATTTAAGCTCATTTTAGAATGCACATTTTATTAGTTAATTAGTTTTCAAGAAAATTTTCATCTAGGGGTTATTTTTTTTTAAAAAAAGCCATTAATATTTATCAAATGTCTCTTACTGTGAGGCATTAAAATATGATAACGTATAAGATGTGGTGTTCCCAATTGTGACAATGATATTCCAAAATTTAATTTCAAACATAAAGAACTGTTGAATGTACGAATTTCCTCCAAAATTTGTTTATTAGATTTTCCCAGTCTTTCTGTTTCAGCTAAAAAAACTGATAAATCAATTCCACAACGTGCTAAAACTTGTTCTTGACAAAGTTTTGCACTTTGATGTGTTAATTTCCCAGCTGTCAAAATTTCACGTACACGAGGATCAACCTGATGATGATTGACAATATTCCGACACATTTCTTGCATTATATCCACAGTGTTTACATCGCTTTCAAAAATTACGTCGCAACATGCTAATAAAATAATCTCTTTTAATTGCAATTAATGTTTTTCCAAATATTTATCAACATAACCTATTTTTTTTCATTATATTGCAAAAATAAAAATTTCTATTTTATCAAAAAAAAAAAAATCCAATTCGAAATTAAAAAGGGAAATACAAAAAAAATGTAATTACTTACCGGAATCAAGATTCTTGGGGGCAGAATGCGAATTGACAGATCCAGCAAGCATAGGATAAAAAATCTTGGGAAATAAAATAGCAAAACATCCAGCGACGATGGCTAGGACGATCATTGTTTTTCGAGGACCAAAATCCGTTAGCTCAGCCATTTTTTTTGTCTCTCTATTCGTTGCGTAATTTCAAGTTTTTGTTTGACAAAAAAATAAAAAATTAAAAAAAAAATGTCACGCCTTTCGTCGAGAAGCCATCAAAACAGCACAAATCTGTCCAAGATGACAGAAAACCAACTCCTCTCAACCTTCCGCAGTCGCAGTGTCTTCTGCTACTAATTTAGTTGCTCCAGGGGCGTCAGCACAAGAATCTTTTTTAAAAAAATATTTCCTAATCAATTTTTCTTTTTTTTTTTTTTACGAAATTATTTTTATTTTTTCAAAGATTAAAAATGAATTTTATTTTCTTTACCTGAAGTGGAATATTTTTTTTTTTATAAAAAACAGATTTTTTGAAAAATAAAATATTTTCGTTTCGTTTTTTTTTCTTTTTTGTTAATAAAAAAAGGCACGAAAAAAAAAAAATTTCTTCACTTCGTTATGACATTTTGTAATTCATTCTTATTCTATTCAACAATTTTCATCTTTGCTGAAAATAACTTTTCGACCACGTCAGTCAGCTTAAAGAAAAACTATTAATAGCAAAATTGGGCAATGTCAAATAAATGCGATAACCTTGCATAGAGAGAGAAACGCAATGGTTTTTTTTTTTTTTTTTTTTGGGGGGGGGGAGGAGTAAAATAATAAATTTCACCCAGTCAAAAAATCCTTGAAAATTCGAGAATACTATATATTATATTTTATAAGATGAATAAACTTTTGCTTCTGTACAATACTTTTATAGTATCATTCATAATTTTTAAAAAGTCCTAATTAATTTTTTTTTTTTAATTTCTACTCTGGACCACCACGCTGAAAAAAAGGAAATAATTCTTTAGTCTCCAAACAGAAATTTTTGCTTTTTATTTTATTTGATAATATTTGCAAATAAAAGAAAAATTTCTCTTACATTAATATATTCAATTTCCTTTTCATCTATTCTTCGTCTATGAAAACGAGGTGGTAATTGTAAATCATCAATAATTGGTAATGGTATCACATTAGGTCCCGTAGCACCGCTAATTTTTCCAGACGACGACGTCCCTGCTGATGTTGCAGATGGAGTGGCAGTTGCTCCACTGACAACTTAACCAACAAATTCTATTTTATCAAAATGAAAGAAAAGAAACCTATTCTCAGCAATAATATTATATTTACCTCTGCTTGTTCCACCTTTACGAAATTTAATTAACGGCACATGGGCTTGAACAATCTAATTCAAAAAAAATTAGAAATTATGTTTTTCTAATAGAGAATTTCATCTGTCAAAAATTGTCAATTAAATTTTTCTTTATTATGTAAAATAAAATTTACAAAATTACCTTCCATCCTTTACTGGCCATCATTACAAACAATTTAAATTAATAAATATTTTTATGGGATAATTATTTTTCTCTTTTTTTTTTATTAAAATTTCTATGGTGACTTATATAAAGTCAGCCATTTTGGTTTTCTATAAGATAACCTTTATTTTCACTACAGGTGTCAATTTGTCAATATCAATATTATCGATTTTAGAAAAAAATTTTTAACTATTATTGTAATTAATGACAGTAATTTAAAATATATTTAAAACTATGTTTACAACTGTAAAATCAAATTAATAAAAAAAATTTTTGCGACATCTCTTGGGGCAGATGTAAGCTTTAGTTCGTGGCGGCACCGCTATACACTTTTTTCAATTTCATTGGTCGGTTTTAAATTTTTGCGGGAACAACAACCAATAAGAACCTGAAATAGTCTATGACGGTACCGCCACGAACTAAAGTTTCCATGGTAGCCGACAGATAGCGCGACTAAAATTAATATTTGATTGTTATAAATAATAGGTTATAAACATTTTATATCGTAAAAAGTGTTAAAATTAAGCATTTATATTAAATAAACATCTGAACTTGTGGAAATTTCTACGTTCAATAAAGGTAATAAAAAAAGTCTTACAAACTACATGTTGTCATTCAGTTTAGGTTATAATTAAAAATTTAAAAACAAAACAAAATCTGAAGGACAATATGCAGCTATTGTAATTTATATGAATTATTTTTAATCACTGAAAAAAAATATTAACTTTGACTAATGTAGTAAAAAAACTAGTTTCGAACAAATTTGAAGTTGTACGAACGCGGGAGATTTCAAACCGCAACAAATCACTTTCTAAACTTTGAATATACACAAAAACGAAAAATTATTCGAATAAAAAAAATATTGATTTCTATTCGACAGCAGAAATAAAAAAAAAGTACTTTCATTTTCATTTTTTTTTTTTTTTTTATTTTGACAAATAACTTAAGTATTATACGTTTTTTTGGCGAATATAAAAATATAAAACTATTTTCTTAAATCTAAGTAATAATTTGAATAGAGAACATAATTTAAAATTATTATTATTATACGAGACATGCAGCTCGAGAGTAATATCACAATAATTATTTTTTTACTGTTAAAATTTTTGAAAAAAGAAATTTTAAAACGATGAAAAATATAATTTAAAAAAAAGAACATTGATTTAAAAATCTGATGGAAGAATATTTTTAAAATGCGATCAAATTTATGAATTAAAAATATGATTTTTTATGAGTTTTATGATCTATTAATGTAGCTTTCCTGCATTGTTAACAATTGAGAAAGTGCTTTACTGTAATATTTCATGCAATTTTCATAAGGACACTGTTCAAAATAAGTTAATGCTTCGTCTGAATTTGTCTTCGAATTACAAATTTCTTTATGTAAATCGGCAAAATCATTCCACGTGCTTCTGAGAAGTTCTATTTTAACAACAACTTCCTGACGTGAATACCTACGAAGTGGTCGTAGTTGAAATAGTCCTGTTTTCACAACTTTTTTGTAGGTTTTTTTTATAAAATTGAAACGCTGCAATTGGCACGCAAGTTGTTTTTGAATAGTCGCCATGATGAAAAAAACAGTGTACACTCTGTTGAAAAAGATTAAGTTATAATACATAATATTATTATTAAATAATAATAATAATAATATTTAATTTAATATCACAAAGTAATTGTAATTTAATAAAAAAATTATTTTATTAAAATAATCGATTTATTATCAAATAAATATTTGTATTAAATAATTATTATTTTTATTCACTATTAGTTTTTTAATAAAGTAGAATTACTTTCTTTCATTTTCTTAATTTACGAATATATATATATATAAATAAAGTAAAAGGTAAAATAAAATAAAAATTGAAATTTATCATCAAAGTACGAAGGAAAAAAAAAATTTATAGAACTTAGGAGAAAATAAATCTAATCTAATCATTGAGTCAATGGCATTTGTTTCAAATACATAAATTATTGAGTTAAAATACAATTTATTTAAATTAAATAAAAATTTAGTTCGAAATAAATATTTATTTGCTAATAGTAGAGTAAAATAAATAATAATAATAGTAAAATAAATTATTTTTTTTCACTGTAATAATCGCAATTTTACTGAGATTACTGCACGAAGAAACCTAATGTAGTAATGTCTGAAATTGCTTTTTTTTATATTATAATAATACAAGATGTTGATACAAGTACGAGAATTATCTTAACTTTGTTTATATGAAATCGATATGATATATACGAGACGAAAGTCTAAGCTTGATGAATTTGAAACCATAGTCTTAAACTCTTTCAGTTATTAGATTATAAATTACAAAAGTTAAAAACTAAAAATAAAATTTTGTATGTATACAAATATAAAGAGAAAATAAAAATTAATATAATTTACCTTGTTGCACGTGGAGAAAATAGTTTCAAGCTGCAAGCACGTGCTTCCAACGGCGTTTAATTGAACAAAGTGATTATCGAAAAACACGCTTCTTCTTCTTCTCTCTATGATTCTTCAAATTCTTTTATTATTGATTTACAAGAGAATAAATCACAATCACTTGTTATTAAATCACAATCTGATGATAAATCTATGTAATGCAATATAATGCTGCGCTTGATGCAAGATTCAACGCGTCTCTGTGAATGGTAGCAATTTTTTACTAGCGTAGTCAAGTGCGCAATACAAATTTAAAATTATGCGCACGCGGGAAAATTTTAAATCGCTCACTACTGTGAGCCATAACCACTGTTGCCAACCTAATAATTTTTCTAACCTAAAATTTTTTTTGACAGAATCAATATGTTGACAAATTTTATTATTGTTCTTTATTATTATTTGGTTTTGTAAATATATATTTGTGCCATTTTATAGAAAAAGCAATGCTACTAAAAGATTATAAAAAATACATTTATTATCTTAAATCAAGTGGAATTTGCGTCGTTTCTGCGGGGTATGTAATTTTAATAAATTTTCATTAAAATAAAAAAGGAAAAATAGATTTTAAAAATTTGATATTTCAGTGGTTGTTGGATTTTGTATCAATTGCATCAGATTTCAGAAAAAGTTCGTTCATCTGTTGCAACTAATGTTTTACAATTAGAAAATATTCATGTACAATATATTTATGTTGACGATCCTCGACTTAAAGGTTTGTTATTGTTTTAATGTAATTATTGAAATTAATATTTTATAATAAATAATAAAAATATTATATTAAGAAACGTATAATATTATATATATAATATAATAATATTACATAAGAAAATTTTTCTTGTAGAAATCTTTATGTTTCGAGAAAAGGAGGATCTTAATTCGTACGTGAAGGAAAAACCACAAAATCTCACCAATATAATAATGAAATGGTGGAAATCATTGAATCGTAGTTTAGCTTATAGATTATTGTACATGGCACGAAATGGTTCAAAAAAAGAACGAGATAAGGCTGTATATTCATTGAGTAATTTAAAACATCTAAAAGGTATTTTTCTATTTTTCGAAATATTAAAAAAAAAAAGAATTTCAATTTTAATATTTTTTTTAGATTGGCATTATCGAGGTTTAGCACAAATGCTCGATGCAAGAACCGCTGTCTCTCTAGCAAGAATGCCTAATACAGATTTGAGATTTTTTTTACCTCCACCTTATTTTCATGAGAACCATAAACTTTTTGTATGATACAATTTTTTCTTTTAATATAATTAGAATACTAAAATTTTGTAATTGAAAAATAATTTTCTTTTTTATTTTTTTTTGTAGGACCTGATAGAGAGAGCACATAAAATTCTTTTGAAACTTGATAATTTATGTCACAGTTGTCATCCATGTTTAAAACAATTTATTAATAGAAAATTTAAAGATTTTCATCGCGTGAGTATATAAAAGAATAAATTTCTATTTCGAGTTTTATGAAAGTTAAGCATGAAAAAAAAAAATTTAGAGACGAAAAAACAAAACTTATTGTATATATAGAAGGAGTAAAACATAAAATCTCGTAGGAAGGTTTAATATTCGACCATGATTTAGTGAGTGTTGGTCTTGCCGTGCCACCAGCAATAACATGGGATCAAGAATTTCTTCAAAATTGTGTACAAGCTATTCATCATCATTCCTCTCTTGAGCAACACAGCAAAGGTTTTTTTTTCTCAAATTATTTAGGGTCAGACGGAGTAAATCCGAACGCTAATTATTTCAGCTTAATTAAAATTTTTTAAAATAAGTTCGATATGAGAATTTTTACCTCAGATCCTCTTCAAGAGATTCTAAGTATTATCCCATTTTTCGTTTGTTAATTAGCAACAGCATAAACAAAGATAACGAGTATTGCAAAAAAGATTGAAAATCAAAGATGACACTCTTTCAGTATTTTGTCTCGTATTTGAAGAAAAAGAAGCTAAAAATTTATTTTATTATTTATAATTGTTTGTTATGAATACTAGAACAGAAACTATTTTTGATTTTTGCCTTCTGTAAAATTTTATTAATAATATCAGACGGTTCGTATTTACCCAGGAAAATTGGAAAACCGGGGTAAATCCGAACGGTATTTTCAATAATTTTTTTTTACATCAGAGCCACACAAAATTGTTTTTATTTCATTACACTATTATTTTAACATTATAAAAGTACATAGAAAAAAGTTTTTCTTTCTATACGTATCCTCGTTAGTAATTAATAAGCAGAAACTTAATCTCTGTTCTCTCGAAGGAGTGTTTCAATTTTTTTGCCAAATGGTTTGTTGAATAAAGTTTTTCAGGATCTTAATAAAATTTGGTATTCTACGGTTTTTGGGGTCGCTAATTACCAATTTGAAGTCAGTTTTTCAAAATTCAAAATGGCGGACGAGAATTAAAAAATTCATTAGATTCGCTCGAAAATTGTTACTCGGGGGGTTTCAGGGTCGCTGATTACGAATTTGGAGTTAGCAAATTTGATCATTTTTAAAAATAAGTTTTAAGAAAGTCCGCCATTATGAATTTAAAAAATTTGACTTTTATTTTTGTATTTACATTCAATCACTCCAAAATACTTTCTGTATCAAGTTTTGCAAAAATCCATTATGATTTGATAAAGTTATTGAAGGTTTTAATTGTGTAATGCATTTTAATTTTTAACCTGTTTGATTTTTGTATTTATATATGATGCATTATTACATAATAGGTTTATTATCGTATTTTTTTTGAGTTTTTATATAAGTTTAACAATTGCAATACTTTAAATTTATTTTCCCTAAGATTTTTCTGAAATACAGAGTGGCGTTCGTATTTACCCCGGTATTTTAGGAAAGTTGCAAAGTATCGAGGTAAATACGAACGCTAAGTTTCCTGTGATTGTAATTTATCAAAAATTTTTGCTACCCCATAAAATTGTTCTATGGAAGTAAAGTAACAACTTCATGCACCAGAATACCGAAAGTATTTTTTTTTAAAGAAAAAACTTATATGTTATTGTTGAAACTTACTAAAAGCGTTCGGATTTACCCCGGTTGACCCTAATTTTTTTTTTGGTTTCTATTTAAAAATTTTTAAAATTTTCAGATGTTGCTGATGTTGGTGGTCTGGCTGTATTGATGAATATTCAAAATAAATTCAAAGATAACTTTAATATGAAAATATTACTTGCAAAAATATTGTCGAATTTGTCACTTCACTCTGACTATTTGGATGACATTTTTCGATCAGGTATAAGAAATTTGTAAAATATAAAACTATAAGCTCCGAAAACAATTTATGTTGAAAAAAATACAGAAAAGGGCGAATATTTTTTTAAATTGTCAATTTAATTTTTATTAAAATAGTTATTAAATATTTATTATTAATTATTAAATAAATTTAATATTTTGTGTTAAAATAGTTTTTAACATAAAAATTCTGTAATTTTGAAAAAAATCAGGATGGATAGGAATATTGGCAGCATGGTCAAGAGATGAGGATATTCGATTGTCAGCACCGGCAGCAAGAGCATTGGCAAATTTAGATTTAGATGATAATAAAGGTGAAATATATTCACAAAGAATTTATCCACTGCATCCATTGCACAGAAATCGAACACAAAGAAAAATGGATGTAATTTTTATACATGGACTTTTAGGTGGGGTTTTTGTCACATGGAGACAACGAGATTCACAATTTTTATCTGCGGAGATTGTAGGTTTGTCTTCAAAATTCTTATAGAAAACTTGTTTTTTTTTTTTTTCCTACAAATTTCAAATTGATGAAAATATTTATAAATAAATTTTTAGATCCTTGTCCCGAGGAATTTGATTCATTTTCCGAAATGATTGACGAATATCCACAGGAATTTGTCAAAGACTTAGCTGAGGATTTAAAAATGCGTGAATGGAAACGAATTGGTCATGATTTTGAAGTTGTTCTTCACGATTGTCCTGTAAATGTTAATTATCAAGCCTGTGGTCCTTATACTTGCAGAGGGTAAAAAAAAACAATTCAGTTTTTTTTTAATTTTCGAGAAATTAAAAAATTTTTTTATTTATTTCTAGAGATGATAAATGTATGGAAAGCAAAGAAAATCGTTGTAAAACGCAATGTTGGCCAAAAGATTGGCTTTCAAAAGATGTTCCTTCAGTGCGTGTTATTGGAATTAATTACGACACTAATCTATCGACTTGGACACCACTTTGTCCTATTGAAGGAATGAGGTACATTTTTGCAATAAAAAAATGATATTTTGTTTGATAAAATTTATCCATAATTATATAATTTTTAAATAAATTTTCTTTTCAGGAGTACAATTAAAGAAAGAAGCGATGAATTTATCAGAAAATTGGTTTTAGCCGGAGTTGGAAAACGACCCGTGGTTTGGATTTGTCATTCAATGGGTGGATTGTTGGCAAAAAAAATGTTGGTCGAAGGTAAAAATAAAAATTCAATTGTTTTTAAATATATAAGTACTAAAATGTATTTTTTAAAAAATGTAATTTTGAATGTATTGTAATTTTATTCTTTATTTCAGAATGGAAAAATGGGGACAAAAATAATATTTGCAAAATGTCGAAAGGTATAATTTTCTTTAGTACACCTCATCAAGGTTCAAGTGTTGCTGCATTGACACAAGCAACGGAAATGCTTGTTTGGCCCTCGATTGAAGTTAAAGAACTACGAGAACGTAAGTTCAATTTTTATTTTATCGAAAAATATTATTATTTTTAATTATCATTAATTATTTATTCCTCTAATTTAGAATCGCCAAAATTGCTGAAATTACACGCGAATTTTCTTAAAATGTTAGACAATTTTCCAATGGATATCGTTAGTTTCAGCGAAACAAAATCTACACTCGTTACGGCATTAAGATTAAAATTTAAATTTGTCAATCCAAAATCAGCAGGTAAATTTTATTATTAATTATTTTCAATTTTTTTTTGTCAATAATTAAAATTCTTTTCTAGATCCAGGTGTAGGTGAATTTTTCGAAATACCTCAGGATCATTTTTCCATTTGCAAACCGGCAAATAGACAATCATTTTTATATCAAAAAGTTCTCAATATTATAAAAAGAAATATTGAAAATTCACCACAAAAATCAAAGTCAGTGAAAGAATATTTTTCAATCTCAAATAAAGTGTCGTAAAAGGGTTTTTTTTTTTATTTATAAATATTCTATATTAAGAATGTAAAATATATTTCAAATAAAAAAAAAAGGAAAACGAAACAAAGAATTATCAACTTATTCGAATTTATTTAATAACTTAATTTAGACTAGTCAACATTAACAAAAGACCAGAGATTAATAATTTAAAACTGAATTTCGAAGAAAAAAAAAAATGATTAACAATGAAAAATTAATCCCAAGTACAGAATCACAAGAAGAATTTCTTTTTCACTTTTCTTTATTTATCAAATTTTTAAAAATTTGTATCATAATCCGGATGATGATGACGAGATAAATTAACGCTGCTATCGTATCCTCCATATTTACTGCTTGAATGTGATGGATTATAATAATATCCATTCCATTCTGATCGCCAACTATCGTACATATTGTATTTTTTACTCTCCATCATGGAACCATCAACTAAAATCTGAAACGTCGAATGAATATGAATTGACAAGTCAGGAATGTCGAAAAAAAACAAACAAAATGGAATAATTTCTTCTTTTTTTTCCATGTACCTTGTTTGAATTTGACTCGAAGGATTTATCATTCCAAGCAGTGCCCGGGTCATTCCACATTGTGTGAATGTCCGCTTTGTGATAATCGCTCGATCTTTGCATCGGTGGAGCGTGAGACGCTTGAATTACATTTTTCGTCGTCTCCTCATCGAATATCGCCATCACTGGTGGCTTCAATTTTGGTACGCTATGTCGATTTGCCAACTGAAAATAAAATGTTATCAATTTTATTTTAATTCCTTCATTTTTTTTTTATAATCTTATTAATTTGGTTTCAAATATTTAAATTCTACATTTAAATAAAAATTATTAATAAATAAAAGTAAAACTAAATAAAAATTATCAATAAATAAAAGTAGAAATAAATAAAAATTGAAAATATAAAGTTAAAAAATACCACAGAGACTCCAAAAATGATTATAAATAATAATCCTCCAATTCCAATGACTATGACAGCGATTGCCCATTGAGGAATCAATTTTTCTTCATGTTCCGACGAATGTGGAGTCATTATCCTCGGTATCACTAAGGAAAAAAAAAATATTATTCCTTATAAAAAAAAGTGTTCTTCAAAAAACTTACCAACAAAATCAGTAAACTTTGGATCAATGGTAAACATTCCCATTTTCAATGGACCCTTCGTTTTTGTCTCATTAAATCGATTATTATAGGTTCTCAATGAATCATGAAATATCACTTTTAATTGTTGAGTATTAACACCTTCGTGAAGATTATTTAATTCCACGAAATAATCGACGAGAATGCTCCCCTGGCTAAAACAACAAAAAATACGAAAATTTGTAAAAAATTTCAAATAAAATTATTACAAAAATAATTGAAAACACTACAAAAAAACTAAATACCTGAATGCGTCGATTCTTATGTTCTTGAACCATTTTTTAAAAACGGCAGATTTTGCAAAAACAAAATTCATCTGTAAAGAGAAAAAAAAAATTACGTTATTTTTTCATTCACTAAAAAAAATTCTAATTCGTCCTTTTTGAATTGTATAAATAAAATAATAATTCATTATCAAACAATTTCGAAAGGATGAAAAATTACAAAATTGAGACAAGAGAAAATTCTGGTAAAGAAGAAAGAAACGAAAAAAAAATTACAATATTGAAACAAAAGAGAATTCTGTTGAAGAAGGAAAAAAAAATGTGAAATAGCAGCGAATGAGTAAACCACAAAACAATAATAATAATAATAATAATAGTTAAAAAGCGCACCTCTCGTTCGACCTTGTTTGCAAGATCCTGCCATTCTCGTGTATTTCGATCAAGCAACTCGGGAACCCAAGTGGCATTGTCAATTATACGAATAGTACCCGCAACCTCACACTCATCATCACAAATACCCGGGGTCGTTGGTTTTGGAGTCGTTGTTGTTGTTGTGGTTGTCGTTGATGTACTCGAGACTTCGCTAATTGTGGGAAACTGAGATATATTGAAAGATGAAACAGTTGCAGTGCGAGCTGCCTCCAATAATTTTTCAATTGAAATTGGAGTTGTTGATGATGTTGGCCATCCAGTGAATTCAGTCGTTGCTCTAAAAATTCACCAAAAAAAAAAATTTTAATAAAAATTTATGAAAATTAATTAATAAAATTATAGTTTCGAAATCTTTTGATTATTTTTATTTATTTTTGTTTTCATAAGTTTTATATTTTTATTAGGTGCCACAAAAATTTTCTTTATAATTTTCCTTGACTTTCGGACAATATTTTTTGTGTTTTTCCCTGACATTTTCAAATTTTGTTTCTTTTTTATCAAATGAGAATTCTATTACAAAAAATTGTGATAAATGAAAATTATGTTAAACAAAAATTAACATTAAACATGTTAAACAAATTTTAAATTTAAATTCTTTAAAAAAAAACATATTTTCAAAAGTTTTAATAAAATTCTTTTTAAAAATTCAATTATTTCCAAAGCTTTCAATCAAATTTTAGAAAATTTCAATTACTTACTATTCTTTTAATTCAATATTCTGATATTCAATTCGAAAATTCAATTAATTTCAAAAATATAATTTAAATTATTATTATTTTTAAAAAAAACTTAATTATTTCATTATTCTGAGTAAATTCTTCGATAATTGAATTATTTTTAAAATTTTTAGATTAAAATCGTTTAAAAATAGAAAAAGTCAAAACTTTTAATTGCAACTCTTTTAATATTGATTTATTTTTATTAAATCCATAAAAAATTATGTTATTTATAAAAAAAAATTAATTAAAATTCTGGAAAATTTTGTCATTTTCAAAAAAATTTAATAAACTTCTCTCCAATAATTTAATTATTTAAACAATAACCAAATTAAAATTATTGGATTTTAATTTTAAATTTAAAAATTCTTTTCAAATTTAAAAAAAATTTTAATTTTTACAAAATTTATTTATTTCATTATATTATTAAAAACTTTGATTGCAGCTCTTCGAGATATAAATTATTATTTCCAAATATCAAAATTAAATTTTTACAGAATTTGTACATTTGAAGTTTTTTGTAAATTTAAATATTTTCCAAATTTTCAATTGAAAATATTCTAAAATTTAATCATTAACAAAAAATTTAACTGCTAAATTTCAATAATTTAATTAAATAACAACTAAATAAAAATTCTTCGATATTTTTCAATTATTTACAAAATCTTTTAATTAAAAATTCACTAAAACTCAATTAATGTTAAAAATTTGCAAATAAAAATCTTCAGCAATTCAAATTTCCCAAAAAAATTCAATTTCAAATCTAAAATTCAATTAACTTTAAAAATCTTAAAAAAAAACTATTCAAAAATTTAAGTATTTATAAATTTTTATCTAAAAAATTGTTCTCTAAATTAATTTTTAATAATTTTTCATAAATTGAATTATTTAAAAAAAATTTCTAAAATCTAGCGATTTGTTGTTGGAAATCAGAAATTCATTAAGTATTTTAGTAAGTAATTTAGTAAATTTAGTAATTAAGTATTAATTCGAATTTTTCCTCTTAATTTTGAATTTTAACCATTTATCTCAAACTGAGATTTTTTATTTTAAACTGTAAATAATATTTTATACTTTAATAATTCAAAGTTTTGTCCTAAAATTCAAAGTAATTTAAATATTTTTAAGGCAAAAAAAAAATAAACTATAATAATAATTAATTTCAATTACCTGATGGGCCAGCCCTTTTGAATTTTCGGTTGTGCAGCAGCGGGACCTTCGCCTCGCGGTGTTTGTGGTGTTGTAATTTTGGCACTTGGTTTCCTACCTCCCGGTCTACTTGGAAAAACGAGTTTTATTCCTCCAGTCTTCATTGTCGTTGAAATTGGCGTGACATTAGAAATTACAGTCTTTTCATCTCCATCTTTATCAGTTCCATTCTTTTTCTTCAAATTAAAGTCTTTTGGCAAGAAAGCAGCAATATTTACTTCTGATTTCGAAAATATATCTTGAATCGATTTATTATTATTATTATTATTTGTCGTTTTTGTCGAATTTTGTCCTTTTACCTTATTATTATAATCTTTGGGTAAAAATGCCGACACATCGACAGCCGATTTTGCAAATAAGTCTTGAATTGGTTTTTTATTGCTGTCATCGGTGGAATTTTTTTGTTCCTTAAAATCACGTGGTAAATAAGCTGAAATATCTACTTCCGATTTGGCGAATAAATTTTGAATCGAGGAAGAAGAAATTGATTTATCATTCTCAGTATTTTTTTCAAATGAGGAATTTTTTAACGATTCAGTGAGATTTATTTTGTGAGAATTGCTGAAAATTTTTTCTATTAGCGATTTTTCCGTGACGTTGTCTTCTTTCTTCGGCTTGTAACCTGGAGAAGGGAAATTTTCATTTAAAACTCAGGAATTAATTAATTTTAATTCATTAATTAAAATAAATTTTTGTTTTCATCAGAAACTCAATATTTTAAGGTTCTTTTATTTTGAGTATTTTTCAATTTTAATTTTGTAGAAAAAGAAAAATAGAATTTTAATTTCACTGAATATTCGATTTAATTGATTATTAATGTTGCAGAATTTTTATTTAGACAAAAATTAATTAGCCAGAAATTTAGATTTTTAATTATGCAGAAATTCGAATCAATTAGACAGATGGATATTCTGTTAAATTAATATTCTTTCTAATCTTCTTTCTGGATAATTAAGATTCTTTCGAATTACCATTCTACAAAATTAATATTCTACGAAACAACGTTTCGCACAAATTGAGATTCGATTAATTAATTAAATTAATCAAGAATTAATTTTCTTTTTAGAAGAAAGAAATATAATTATATTAGAAAACTAGCAAAATTAAACGCGCCAAATTGAGTATTTAATTATTTGTTATAAAGAAATTAAAGATTAATATTATTAATAATAATTTAATTTATTAGAATATTATTACATATTAAATGATAATAATGAAAATTATATGTTTACAAGCCTCGGATTATACGACTTTTTCCGACTTTTTTCAAAAATAAGACTTTTATCGACTTATTTTAATAAAATGCGATATTTTTTTTTACATTTGAAAAAAATGTAAATAAAATACATTTTTTTAGTATAAAATGTAGATCTTCTTCAGATCTTCTTCAATTCAATTATTTAAGAAATTTTCAACTAAGATGATTCTTCACCAAATTAATTATTTTTAATAATTTTAATGAAATACATCACAAATTCAATTATATCAAAATTATTTTTCAATTAAAATTTTTATGAAATTTAACAATTGTTTATAATTTAAAAAAAATATCACAATAAAATTGAATTATTTTTTAAAAATTTCAATTCAAAATAAACTAAAATTCAATTATTACCCGAAATTTTAATTCAAAATCAATTAAAAATCCAATAATTATCCAAAATTTTCAATTTAAAATTTAATTATTTACCAACTTTTCAATTTAAAATTAAATAAAATTCAATTATTTTCTAAAATTTCTATTCAAAATTAATTATCCAAATTTTCAATCAAAAATGAACTTAAATTAAATTATTATCCAAAAATTCAATTAAAATTCAATTTTTTCCCAAAATTTTCAAAATGAACTGAAATTCAATTATTTTCCAAATTTAAAATCAAATAAAATTTCATTATTCTCAAAAATTTGAATTCAAAATTAATTGAATTTTCAATAATTTGAATTTAAAAGCATCTAAAATTTAATTATTTCTAAAATGTTCCATCGAAATTTTTTTTTTTTTTGAAATTTAATAATTTCAATTATAACTCTAAGGAAATTCAATTATTTTTAACTACTTTAATAATATTCTTTGAAAATTCAATTAAATTTAAAAAATGTATTCCAAAAATTGTTTGATAAATTATTTTTATTTCTGTAAAATTTAATAATTGTTTGAAAATTAACAATATCTTTTGAAATTTAATTATTTCTAAAAATTTCAACTTTAACCCTTCGAAAAGGATTATTATTAAAAAAAATTTTTTTTTATTTAAAAGTCTGTAAAATATTTTTGTTAAAATAAAAAACAAATCCACTTTTTTTTGGAATATAAATCGACTAAAACGACTTTTTGTGTCTTTAAGTTGATTTGAGGTCTGTATTTTTATAATTAATATTTAATAGGTATTCGTTGGCCCCTGTACCTCAAAAATTAATTTTTAAAAATAATTTTTTTTTCAAATTACTATCTTGTACAAAATTTCCTGGCGCATCTTTTTTCTCATCATAAATTTTTTGTATTTGTATACAATTTTTGAATCAATATACAACTTTAAAAAAAATTTCGTTGGTAAACGTTGTGTACTTCAGCTTCATTGAAAATTTTTTTTTGTCCGAAACATTTTTTTTCGAAATCTATATGAAAAATAAGGAAATACGTATTTTTTTTATTTTTTTATTTGATGAAAATGAAGGAAGTTATGATTTTTTGAAATTTAAGGGGAGGGACCGCTGAAATTTTAACACATCAAAATTAAAGCTGTTTAAGGGTGGTCAATTTTTTTTCTGACAATATTAATTATTTAAATGTATAATATATCATGAAAAATTGAAAAACTATAAATTTGTTAATAATTTTTAAAATCAAATTCAAAATTCTCGAAAATTTAAAATTTAAACTTCTCTCACAATTTTAATTATTTTTGACTGCCGATTTTTTTATACGCTTGTTTCATGATTCTAAACAATCAAGCGTATGGATTTTGAAAAATTTCAATTTTTTCAAAAAATGAAAATTTTGAAAAATAAAAATATTTGTAAAATTGTTAAAAATTACCTTTTGTTGTTTTTCTCAGTAGAATAAGATTTTTGGTTGAAAAAAAAATGTTGAAAAAAATTATTACCCCTAAACAAGATCAATTTTGATTGCTTTCAATTTTAGTGGTAATTTTGAAAAAATTCAACTACTTCCACAATTTTCATTATTTTTTATTGTCGAATTTATTTTACGCTTTTTTCACGATTTTAAACAATCAATCGTATGGAATTTAAAGAAATTTAATTTTTCCAAAAAATAAATTTTCTAAAATGGCTAAAAAAAATTTTTTTTGAAATTTTAATAATTTATAATAATTTTGGATCCTAAATTATGCCAGAAAAAAAATTGACACTCTTTAACAATAATAACTTCAGTAGGCTGAAATTTCACCGGTCCCTCCCCTTAACGTCAACGAAAAAAGTGTGTTTTTGGAACATTTTTTAATCTATTGTACTAAGAAATTAAAAATTATGCTATATATGAAATTTGTTCATTTTTTCTCAAATTTTTCAAATATGTGCTAAAAAATAACGTACCTATAACAGAAACAACAAAAAAGTTGAAATTAAACTTATAAAGTGAGTTTTCTCAAAAGAGACACTTTCGATTTTTAATTTTTTTTTTGCATTACAATCTCTGATGACTGAAGAATTTTTTCCCCTATCTGCAAAAGTGGTAGTTTTAGTTTTTAAATTACTATTTACATTTTTTAAGCTTGACGCAACGATTTTTAGTATGTTTTTATGAAAATTAAATAAAAACAAATAAATGTTAATGGAAAAAGGTTATATTTGTAGAAAAAATGCTTAAATTCTGTGAGCTGTACTAAAAAAAATTATAAATAGTAATTTAAAAACTAAAAATACCACTTTCGCAGATAGGGGAAAAAAATTCTTCAATCATCAGAGATTGTAATGCAAAAAAAAAATTAAAAATCGAAAGTGTCTCTTTTGAGAAAACTCACTTTATAAGTTTAATTTCAACTTTTTTGTTGTTTCTGTTATAGGTACGTTATTTTTTAGCACATATTTGAAAAATTTGATAAAAAATGAACAAATTTCATATATAGCATAATTTTTAATTTCTTAGTACAATAGATTAAAAAATGTTCCAAAAACACACTTTCTTCGTTGACGTTAAATTTCAAAAAATCATAATTTCCTTCATTTTCATCAAATAAAAAAATAAAAAAATACGTATTTCCTTATTTTTCATATAGATTTCGAAAAAAAATTTTCAATGAAAATTTCCCATATAATTTTGTTATGAAATTAAATGAATTTCACAAATTTCAAGGTCCGCTAAATTAAAGTGAATAGAATCTGAGATAAAAATTATTTACCTGGTGGTAAGAAGGCGCTAATATCTTCAAGAATTGTGGCACTCTTCGAAGTAGTTGTACTTCGCGATGTTGTCGCTTCAGTAACGGCAACTGTGGTAGCAGTACTCTTTGGAAATTGTCTTCTGAGACTGCTTTTTGGATAATTTTTCGGTAACAATCCCTCTAAATCATCGAGAGTTGTTTGATATTTAAACCTCGAGGTACTCGCCTTCGAAGTAGTTGATTTAATCGTAGTTGTTGTACTGACAGTAGTTGAAGGTGTTGTCACACTTGTCGTCGTTGAAAATCTCTTATCACTATATCGTCGTGGAACAAATTTTCCCGGTGGTTTTATCGTTGAATATCGTTTCTGATTTGTTGGTGTCTCACTATCGGCTGGTGGTTCATCCATTTGCAATGTATTGCCAGCATTTCGAAAACCACCGGCGAGAAAACCATTTGACAATTCAGATTGAACCCTATCGAGTTTATCGATAATACTCTCGGTTGATTCGGATGATGTGTGAATTTTTTTACTTGTCACCATTTCCTCTTTGCTTTGATCAAATTGTTCGACACGATCAATAACGGGGAATGGTAAAAATCGAGCACCCGAAATACTACGACTAGTTTGAACTGAGGCGAGAATTCGCGATGAATCTTCAGTTGTGACGACAATTTGACTTGTGTCGTCAATTGATTTTGAAGTGATTTCAGTTGAGGACAATATTGAGCTGGGCGATGTGGGTGGTGCAGAAATTTGCTCCGTTGTCAATGGCGATGAAGTTACTGGCACTGAAAATGTACCATTTACGACACTTTTTGTTGTCACCACAGAAACGACTGCTTCTCCAATTAAAATCGATTTTGATGATGATTCTTCAGCGGGTGGTTTAGTTACAATTTCCTCTGATTCTTTTGTTTCCACATTTTTATCATTTTGTGAATGTGAATCAGTTTCTGAAAAATCATCATCTATTTCTAATTCTTTTTCTTTTTGCGGTAACAAAATCTCGGAAGAAGAATTAGATTTTGAAATTTCAGAAGAGAATTTTGATTTTTTGTCTTCTGATTTGGATTCATTTTTGAAAACTGATTTTATTTCTACATTTATGGCCATTGAATCGTTTTTATTTGATTCTAAATTGTGTTTTTCTGCTCCTTGCAATGGAAGTTTCTCCTCGATTGCCGAAGGATCGGGATAATCCACACTGACTGAAAAATAAAATAAAATTTTTAATATAATTAAAAATAATTTATTTTTATTATTTCTTGATTATTGAAAACAACAATTAAATTCTTAATTTAAAAACTATAATTCTTGTTTTGAATTTTTCTTAAAATTTATTGTGTAAGAAATTTTACGTCACCACTGCTTCTGACATTTGAATTTGAATGAAACTCGTTGACCTATAGGTAACTAAATTTTCTATTTCGTCATATTTCACACGAGACATTTTCCAGTTTTATGAACCGCTTTCAATTTTTATTCAGTTCAAATTATTTTTTGTACTGAAATTATTTTTAATTAAAATTACAGAAAATTAAAATCATAGAAAATTAAAATTAAAAACAAATTGTAAATTACAAAATTTTTTATAATAAAATTAAAATAAAAAATAAAAAAAAAATTAAAATTAAAATCAAATTACTTTTTATACTGAAATTATTTTTAATTAAAATTACAGAAAATTAAAATTATAGAAAATTAAAATTGAAAACAAATTGTAAATTACAAAAATTTTTTATAATAAAATTAAAATAAAAAAAAAATTTAATTTTAAATTTAATTAGAAAAAAAATGTGAAACAAATCAATTGTTAAATAAAAGAAAAAGGAAATATCAGATTGTCCTCAAGGTTCTAATCCCCGGGAGAGAATATAATAATTTAAAATCAAGTTTTTTGACATCAATAGAATAACTAGAGCAAACTAGAGGGAAAGTAAAAGTCCGCTTCGTATAAAATGACGTAACAATAATTTTCGGTCGTTTAAAGGCATCCACCCACAAAAATACAAAAGTATATTCTACATCAAGTGAATGTACATTAAAACTTGTTTGTACTACTTTTCAAATTTTATCGACAACCACTATCTTTAAAAAAAAAAATTATTTCATTTCCCAACAGAAGAGAAAAAAAAATGTGCATTTTTTTTTCCAAATATGTGACATTATTTTTCAATTACGTAGTCAAGAAACGGAAGTAAAAATAATTTCCAGTTCCTTATACACATTTTACGACCTAGTTCTTATATAGAGAAAGTTTTTAAAAGTTTTCCTCTTTTACTCGATAGAGTGATGTATAGAAAATGATTTCTCAGTGAAAAGCGGCATCAGAGAAAGTGAAAAAAAATAAAAAAGAGGAAAAAAAAGTGTAATGGAATGGAATGGAAAATAGAATCAGGTGGATATGTAGCGCATAAAACCAGTAATCAAGAATGATAAAGTGAGCTATATGAAAACTAAGGTGCTATCTTAATCGAAATGTCATGATTTAAAATCTCGAACTTTCCCTCTTGGGCCTTTTTTAGAAAGTCGTAAAACCATATCGATTCAATGATTGTGATTTTTTTTTTATAAATCTCGCCTTTTTAATTGAAAAATCAAGAGACTATAGCAAATTCAATTAATTCCTTAATTGCACAATTAGAAACAAAAAAAATTGCTTTTCCTCGCGCTAAGAAATTTGTTTACAATTTTTTAAATTTACAATATTTTTAAAAATAAATGAATAAAAAATAAAATAAACCGAGAAGTTTTTTTAAATTTTATTTTGTAAAAAATTTAATAAAACTCACCATCGGCAGAATGTGTATCATTTTCATAATCATCGTAATAATAATAGGAGTCGTATTGAGTTGAAGCGGGATCTTCGTGTTGATTGGCCTGATGAGAGGAATTATTTTTGCCGTTAATATTTTTATTGCCAGCTTGAAGATGAGCGGTGTGATTTAATACTTGTTTCACGGGTGTATTCTCATAGTCGTGATGAACTCGAGAGCTTCTGGGATCCTGTTCTGATTCAAGATCACCCTCGTAATCTTCATCGACATATTCCACCTCATCATTCTCTTCATGGCTGATTACTTCGGCCTGCGACGGAACCCTGACATTGTTCTCACGAAACAATGATAAAGACGACAACGGCGACGATGCTCCGTTACCGGAAATGGGAGCCACTTGTTGCTGCTGCTGTTGTTGTTGTTGTTGCTGTTGTTGTCGCAGTCCATACACGGAATTCGTTGGATAAAACGGAATTTGGATCCACGATTGTCTTGCATCTAAAACTAAAAAATTAAAAATTAAATTATTATTATAATTGAATTACAATTATAATTAAAATACAAAAAAAAATATTCAAGAATTATTTCAAATTGTGAAAGTTGTGTTTGTAATTTTAAATTACAATTGAAAAATGCCTTTTCTAAAAAGGGAGGTCATTGACTATATGTGAAAAAAATATAATCACATTACGAGGTCATCGATATACAGGATAACAACTTTATTAACGCCTAATGGTAATTATAATCATGATCTCTAAGCGACGATCGGATACAGTTCTCGCGCAAAAATGATTGCAAAATATTTTATTTTTATTGTCAGTAAAGTGCCCGACAATTTCCAACTTATGGTTTCTCGCGGCAAATATGTTTTGCAATAAAAAATTTCGCAATATTACTCTCCGTTAGAAAACTGGGACACTTCTTTAGATTTTAGCATTTATAATAAATAGTCAAATATATTCCTGTTTTATCTAAAAAAAAAATAATTGCGACAAAAATTATTTACTTAAAAATTAAATAAATCATTATTAAATAGAAAAGGAAATAAAAATTATAAATCAAAAATAAATAAATTAAAATTGAAATTTTATTCCTATTGGAAAATTTTTTTTTATTAAAATAAAATAAATCGTTTCTAAATTAAATAGAAAAGAAAATAAAAATTATATTCAAAAATCAAATAATGTTCAATAAATTAAAATTAAAATTCTATTTCTATTGGAAAATTTTTTTTTCATTAAAATTAAATAAATTGTTTCTAAATTAAATAGAAAATAAAATAAAAATTATATTCAAAAATCAAATAATGTGCAATAAATTAAAATTGAAATTCTATTCTAATTGAAATTTTTTTTTCCCATTAAAATTAAATAAATCGTTTCTAAATTAAATAGAAAAGAAAATAAAAATTATATTCAAAAATCAAATAATATGCAATAAATTAAAATTAAAATTCTATTTTAATTGAAAATTTTTTTTTCCCCATTAAAATTAAATAGAAAATAAAAATTATATTCAAAAATGAAATAAAACTGTATCTAAAATTGAAATCCTATTCCAGGAATGCCTTTGACCCAGATAAATGCGTTTTTGTAGGTCAAAGAAAATAATTTTTTGGAGGCGCGCTATTTTTTACGGCTATTGAATGCAAAATAATAGCTTCTTTCAAAAAAAAAAGGACAGACTGGCATCGATCATCATTTTCGTAATCGCTCTTTATTCGAAACAATGAACTTTGACGAAAGCCATTGTTCCTGCGGCAAGGAGCCGCCTTTCACGTCTGAAACAGAATCACAGAATCAGCTCGCGGTATGCAAAGAGAGGCAATAATGATGAAATATTTCATAATGCAGGCTATAATAACATCTTGTAATATTTTTCCTTTTCTTTAAATTTTTTTCTCCTCTGCAGAAAAGAAATAAATTATTTATATGCAAAAAGGAATGCATATATGCGTCTCGTGACTTTTCAAAATAAGAATAAAGTTAAATTTTTTTTTTTCAATTGAGATTTATGAGATTCGCATTATAATAGTACACTAATTGCATATACATTTCTGCTGTAGGCTTTTTTGCGATTCAATCTGAACTTAATGGAGTATGCATCTCCTTTTCAATTTCTCTCTCTCTCTCTCTCTCTCTCTCTCTCTCTCTCTCTCTCTCTCTCTCTCTCTCTCTCTCTCCGTCTCTCATTCTCAGTTGTTAAACATTTTACGAAATTGTCTGAAACAAATTACTGGTATTTAATGAACTCTAAAAGTATGCTACTAGTTTACATATTAGTCAATTTTCACTTATTAATATCTGGAAATGATTGATCAGAAATAAATTACGAAACTATTTCATAATTTTCAATATTTCAAATTAAATTAATTTTTTTTTTTCATTTACAAAAAATGACCCTTTTTTTCGAAAAAAAAATTCCAAATTGCTTAAATTATTCAATTTATTAATTTAGAATAATTTTTACTATCATTATCATTTTTCTTTTTATTTTGAAAAAATAGTTTTTTTTTTAATTGAATTAATTAATTTAGATAAATGGTAATTATTTCATTAAATCAGTATGCAAACTGAAAGAAAGTTTTTTTTTTTTTTTTTTTTATAGGATCAATTTTGCAGTAAAGGTGGCTTAATTGACATAAAGTCGATTTTGTTTTATAGCGTTATTAAAGTCAATGAAGTTGGTTTACAACTTCAACTCAGGAAGTTTTTAAATACATATAAAATATATATATATGCTCTATATGCGTAATTTCTCAGTTCACTGAAGAAGTGAAAACGAAGTAGGAAATTTCTATTTTATTTTCAAATAATGATGAACTGATTTCCGATAAATAATAATAATATATAATCACATAGTTCATTTAGTAAGGAAATTTCTATTTTCAAATATTTTTAGTGCACTCATTTAATTTTTATAATTCCGTTTAAAAAAATAATACCCAAAATTATTTACCTAAATTATACATATTATTTATCAATAATTATATATTATTTATGTTAATAATTGTATATTATTTTTAAGTAGCGTAAAATCATTCACAAAATAATAATTTTCTCGGCAATAATAAATCTAAAAATCCTCGATAAATACTCAATAAAAAAAAATTTAATTTTAACAATTGTAATAACAAAAAATATTCATTATTTTCCTCTGTGATTCATAAAAAAAAAATTAAAAATAAAAATTTACATTGTAAAAATAATCCCCTCGCCTTATCAATTTTTCGTACGATTATAGAAAAAAAATTTCGGATCTCATTTATTTATATATTTCGCTTTTTTGTATAGAGTCTAATTTTAGGATTTAAAATCCGAATCGAGATAAACAAACAAAAGGGATGAGAAAAAAATTACGTTTGCATCCAAGAATGCAGAAGGATCTGAATTCTGGTTCTTCTATACTTTTTTTGTTCGAAAAAATAAAATAAAATAAACGAAAGAAGGTTCACGAAACTTTAAGTGCATTTTTTTTACACATTTAAATTAGAAAAACGAAAAGAAAACAACGTGTGATTCACTGTCTTTATGTTTGTGAATCAAGGAAAGTAGATTTTTTTATTGGACCATAAAAGTGTTTGAAATTTAGTTTCGAACCGCTTTTTTTACACTTTCACAAGTGAGAATAAAAGAAAAAAGAAATTTAAAAATATAAAAATTACTTGATATTTAAAAATTTCGAATTATCGATTTTTTTTAATCATTTAGATATTTTTAAATATTTCTCACAAAAAGAAATATAATTTTACTTTCAAAAAAGAAAATAAAATAAAAAATTCTCAATTTAAATTTAAAAATTATTATTTTTTGTATAAAAAATATTGCGCAATTATTATATAAATTATTAATAATTATTTGCAAAATTCAACAAAAATAGAACAATGGAAACAATATAAGACTTGATTTCGAAATTTTTTATTTCTCAGCTAGAAAAAGTGTAGGACGCATTCTTGAGACTTAGCGAGCCTGACCGAATTAATTAACAATATAATCACGATGAAAAATAGTTATTTGCTGTCGGGAATATTAAAGAAATAACGGAACGGAATTTCTTTTTTTTTTTTCCTTTCCTTCGTGTCAGGAAAAATGAAAGGAAGGAAGAATTATTTATTCCAATTTAATTGGGACAATTACAAAAAAAAAAGAGAAAAAAAAATCGGAAGCAGACATTCGATGTAACAAGGCTATGAGTTTAAGGATTATTCCGATTGCGTGATATTAAAATGAGGAAGCGTAATACTTGCAAAACAAATTGAAGCCCAAAATAAAAACCGGTTGTGGTTACAAGAAATGTATATATATACTTTTTGGTAACATGAAACATGGGTAAATTTTTAGTTCATGACTCAAACAAAGAAAATTCCCGTTACAAAATTTCTTTTCTGAATCAGTGAACAATTCCTTCATTTTTCTATTTAATTTAATTTAATTAATAATTAATTATTAAATTATTATTTTTTAATATTAAATTAACACTTCTTTTTTATTTTTTTTGTAATTTTTTTATTTTTAATAAGGAAATGTCTTTCGCAATTTTAAAATAAAATTCTTCTCTAAATAATTGTAAATAATTATGAAAAGGTTGAGAATTCTCATTAAGTCACTCCCTATAACAACTTTTCATTTCTTTGAGAAGAATTACCTAATCAAGCCATTCATAAAAGGTATATTGTGCTTCTCGTTTACAAATAATAATAATAATAATATGTGCTATGACTTTTATATAAAATTGTGTGAAAAAAAAACTGTCATCAGTGAAAGATATTTTACCGATTAAATAAATAATTCAAAGAAAATGAAAAACAAATAAAAAGTGTTTCACATTGAAACTATAAATGCCTTTCCGCATACTTGACAGAGAAATCAATTTTTTTTTTTTTTTTTTTTAATATCGCAATAAATAATTAAAATCAATTTCTAATTGTTTAAGTTTGAAAAATAAATTTCATATTTTCTAAATTATACAATTTATTATTAATAAAGACTAATTTGTTTTATGTGAAAAAAAAATAAGGAACTAATTTGTTTTCTTGAAAATGAATTCGATTATTTATATTCAATTTTGTTTTTGCTAGTTACGATCATTTGGAAAATTAAATAAATGGGAAATTCTTACATTATAGCCAGACCATGACCTTAGATCATAAAGTTTGTGTTTGTAAAATAATGAATATTTCTTTAACTTTTTTTTAATTAAATTTTCTTGATTGTACTTTAAGGAATGTTGTTCTTGACAGCGGCATTGACTAAACGTATTTTTACTATTATTCAATTATAAATCATCAATTTCCAAGTCCGTAATTGAATTTTGCATATAATAAAATTTTGTAAATAATTTTCATACATACAAATTTAAAATATTAATTATAAATTATTAAATTTTTATGTAAAATTTAATTGCTAATTAAAAAATATTATTACTATTTACTATAATTATTACTATAATAAAAATAATAATATTAATATTAATTTTATTCTTTTTTTTTTCCTCTACTAAATTTGTTTCGTAAAAAATAATGAATAATAATAAAAAAAAATTATTAATAGCAATTAATAATTAATAATAATAATAATTATTAATAATAATATAATAATAATATAAAAATAATAATATAATAATTATTAATTAATAATTTATTTATTTATTTATTTGGAATAATTAATAATTAATTTTTTTTAACTAATTAGGTTTTATTAAAATTATTATTTTCATTTAAATTCCATTTTTAATTATATAAGAATGTTTTTTATTTTATCGAAAATAAAACAAAATAAAAAAGTGAAATCCAATCAAGATTATTCAATATTTAATTATACTATAGAAAAAGAAATTAATTATTCGTGAATATTTACTTTAATTAATATTAATATTTAATTCATTGAATTATTATTATTCAATTATTTAATTATTACTCAATTATTATTCAATTATTATTATTAAATTGAAATTGAATACTAAAATTTTACTTTGAATTTGAAATTTTACTGTTAAAAAAAAAAAATTACGAAATTAAAATATTTTTTTTTCTCATTCAAATGTGAAATTTTTTTGTCATACTGAAAAGTGACAGTTGGCGGTGATTTGAATGCGTTGAAAATGATAACGTATGGATTGCTTGTACCTGGACGTGATTGTTGTTGATGACTCTGTACCAAAACGGAAGCAATCAGGACCATAAAGAAAAGGACATTGCGAGTCGAAACATCCGGATGTCCCGAAGGTTGTCTCCTCTCGTTCATGTTTTTTTTTTCGTGCCAGTTTTTTGATGACAGATCAAGTAGCAATCCACAAAATCATCACCAAATCACTCGCGCATTTTTGTTGGTCCATTTAAAAAAAAAAAGAAAGGAGATTCAATTTCTTTTATCTCCTTTTTCGTTCAAGTTTCTTCTTTTCTTCTTTTAAACAAACTTGTAAACAGAAAATTTAAAAAAATCGTTGTAATACGCGTGATTAAAAAAAATTAAATATAAAATGGACATTTTTAGTGGACACGCCAACAACACAACATTCCGCTTGTCACTGGCAGGCAAAGGAACCTCGAGAGGTAGAAAGCAAAATGCCACTTTCACTCGACGACTCGACTCTGTGCGCGTTTATTCGCGTAAGGAGTTGGCATGCCGAGGCCGTCGAGGTTCCTCGCTACCAGCAAACATTATTCCTTCTTTCAAACAAGGTGGGAGAAGATCGAAATTGAAAAAAAAAAAAAAATTACACCTACTCTCATTGTCGCGTGTCACAATCATCTTGTGCGGTATCATTCAAGTTTTTTTTGACAATCCTCTTACTTTCCATAATCGTTCTGCAAAATTCTGTTATCCTCAATTTAGAAAATTTATTTTCCTGACCTAATTTCAAAAAAAAAAGATTTTACACCAAAAGAAAAGAAAAATAGAAATTGTTATTAAAATTAAAATAGTATAATAAAAGAAAAAAAAATCCTGGTATGAAAAACACACCTTGACAAATGATTTTCTCGAAGTTGGTAATGACCCGGTCGCCCTGAGATCAACGAGAACGAACCAAGAGAAGACGTAGGAAAATATTCCTTCTGCAAGCATTAGACTGGAAACGAAGTTAAAGTAGATTACCTTGGCGATGTACTTCTCTTTTGTTTCCCCGTCCCTTCACTCGTTCGAAACTGCAGGTCAACTCTCCTGTTTATTTTCCGATTAACATATACTATAAATATTTTTCACGCATAAACAAAAATCATTTTACAAAATTTATATCTTTCCAACATATATCATTTAAATTACATAAAAATGTAATGTTTTTCAAAAAAGAATTCTTTTTTTGAAAATTCTAGAATAGTTCTCGCGCAATAACATTTATTGGAAAAAAAGAAATACTCAAGGTTTTCAACCACTCTCCTTGAGTGTTGAAAAAAAAAAAATTCAGTTTCAGGAAATTAATGGTTAATATTGATACGAATTTGTTTCCCACCTCAACGCTCACGCTTTTCTATATACAAAGGACAACAAAACAGTCTAGGTCTAGGTGAATGACCTTAGTATTTCAATTTTTCCATTATTTAAATTTCAATAAAAATAAATTTTAATTCGAAATTTTTTTTTATGTTAATTGAAGAAAGATTTGAAGAAAATTTAGTGAAAAACAGAATAACTTACAAAGAAATTTCTTTTTGAACTTTGCATCTCGGAGTCATAACTTATATGGGTGCACTTCACCTACTGTTAGATTTTTTTTTTTTGTTTCTCCAATGAACACGCCCTCTTCAGCTCCCACACATTCGCTCAAGGATCTCACCGTGAATCTTTGCAATTTATCCTACAGAACACGAATCATAAATCAAAAGGTAATTTTAAATCATCTTCGGCACTGAATATCAGCAATCTAAATCTTTTTTCTTTTTTTTTTTTAAAAAAATATTTTTCTAAAAAAAAAAACTATTATTTGAACGATCTTACCTAGACTATTTTTCCAGATATGAATCACAAAAAAATGTTCCAGTCATTTTTCAAAATAAAAATCATTACTAATTTTGGAAAAATAAAATCATAAAACGTTTTTTCTACTTCTGAGGCTGGAAAAAATATTTTGATTAACGATACATATAAAAAAAAAAATTTTTCAAAAAGAGATTTAAAAAAACGAGGCGATTAAGACACATGAAAAATGTTTCAACAAATTATTTATGTACTTATAACTTTCTGTAACTAAAGAATTCCACATACAAATGTTTCGTTTTTCACTAACTTACAATTAAACACTCGTTTAAAGATTCAATTTTTAGATTTTTATAGTCTTTTTTTTGTCCCATTGAATCAGAGTGAAACACTGCACTTGGAAATTTTTTAAATGTATATCCCAGTTCTTTGGTTTATGCCACTTTTTTTCTGTTATAACAAATTCTCAACATTTAATTACTCAAATGTGAAGCTCATGTTACAAATTAATTAATTTGTTCTTTTTTTTTTACAAAGAAATCAATATACAATAAAAATTCAAGAAAAAAAAAAATTATTCAATTTAAACGAAATTTAATTTAATTCACAGAGCTTCAATCAAGTTATCAATCATTGATGAGTTTAAAAGAAAAAAATTGCTAAAAGAAGTTGCATGAAATCTCGTGTTGAAAATCGTTGCGATTACCTTTAGGTGATTTTTCTTGACAAAATGGTCGATTAGTCAGTCGTTCACGATTTTTTTTTTTTTTATTTTTGAAGAACTTGGGTCTTGTTTCTTTTTGTTTTTATTAAATCCTAGAATTACATGCGACAGTCACGTAGAAATATTGAAATTTTCCTTAACTAGATTATATACGACAAAGTAAAATTATTTACTTCATTATAATTTTCCCCAATCCTTATCTAAAAGACTGGTTTAACTATAAAAAAAAAAGTAAAGATAAGAGGAATTAGTAAAAAAAATTATTAGTTTTTAAATAATATTTAGAATTAAAAATATTACTTTGCAGTAGGCCTCCTTGAAGGTTCGGATGCTGTGGGTGGTGGTGGTGGACCCCGACGCTCTAATTCCTCGAGGTAGCCCATTAAAAGTCGTGTACGTTCCGATGCGGTCGCTTCCAAAACAAGAAATCGTTTATCCTTTCTCAATATTTCCTCAATTTCCAATAAATATGCTCGATTCTCCTGTACCTTCCTGTGTGTCTTGTCGGTAATTAATTTTGTCTCCTAAAAAACAAATTTATACAAAAATTTTGTACAAACAAATTTGTTTTACAAAAAAAAATCTTACCTGTAAAAGTTCTCGAAAATCGGCTTTCGCTGCTACAAGTTTATCCTTGATGTATTCTTTGAATTCCTTTTCGCATTTCTAAAATAATTGTTGATTAGTGTTTTGGTTTTTTTTTTTTTTTTTTTGAAAAATATGTATTTATAAATACATACCCTGTCGCTTGAGGAAAATTTTATGTATCTTGGATCGTCTTTTAAGAGTTTTTTAATCTCCTTCCAAGATGCAGTGAGTTCCGATGAAACAGGAAACTCAGAGGACGACCATATTTCGTCAAGTACTTCTCTGAATTTATCTCGTTTCTTGCGGCCAAGTTGTTCAATATGCTCGATGAATAATCGTTCTTTTTCTTCGCGATCTAAACTTTCGGCAAGTTCCCAACGATGATCTTTTCTTAATTGACGTTTTGCTTCCCTCCAGGCAAGGTCCCCATTTCGAACCTGTTTTAATTTTAATTATATAGTTTTTTTTTCGAAAGTTCTTTCAAATGTCCGCTTAGTAAAAAAAAATCAAACAATAAAATAAAATTAAAAATTATCTAATAAAAGAATTATTAATTTATTCGCAATTAAAATAAATATTAAAATTGTTTTAATTAGAATTTTTTTTTTTTTTTTTAAATGAAATTAGAAAAAAGGAGGAAATTACCAAATCGGCAAGCAAGGCGCTAAAATGCTGAACGGCTTCGGCGTGTCGATGATGTTGTCTTTCCTTATCACGATCTCTGAGATGAGTTGCCAAAGTTCGTTGCACTTCTCGTTCTCTTTCCCGAAGACTTGCCTCAGCTCTTCTCTCCTTCTCCCTTTTTTGTTTCTCACGATCTTCTTCCGAATCGGAGAATCCTTCCATTTCCTCTTTCTAAAAACATAATTATATTCATAATAAATATAAATAAAAAAAAATTATTTTTTTCATTTAAAAAAATTAAATCCTACCTCAATGTCCTTTCGTGAAATTTTCTCCTCAACATCGTCAATTTCTCCAACTTCCTTTTCAACAATCTCAATTTTTTCCTTTCCATTTTCCTCATTGTTCACATCTTTTTTTTGTCTCTTTTCCTTGGGCGCATCTTTATCACTTTTGTCCTTTGACGATTTTTCCTTATATTTATCATCCTTCTTCTCACGATCCCTCTTATCTGATTTATGATGATCCTTCTCACGATGACGATGATCTTTATCCTTGTCTTTTTCTTTTTTCCGTTCTTCCTTCAAATTACGAATAAAATCACGAAACCAATCTTCTCGTGCACTTGCTGATTCTACGCACCTGTATCGCCAATCGGACTCTAATTTTTTCTTACAGTCACTCCAATGCGAATGTCTGTCAATATCTTTGTGCTCTTTCAATAATGATATGAAATCCTTTTTAACCTGAAATAGATGCAACCAAAGTGTCAGTAGAAAAATGAATTAATAATTTTTAACTTAATAACTATTTTTCATTATTCAGAAATTTTTTCAGCTTCATGCACATAATCTTTTTTTAATAACTATTTTTTTTTTTTGTATTATTTTTTCAAAAAAAAAAAAAAAAATTTAAGGATATCTTCCCAAAATTGGGAACAAGATTTAGATTGAGAAAATTTATATATTATTTTTATATTATAAAATAAGCTGCTTGATTGCTGAAAAAAATTACACCAATTACATGCTGTAAAAAAAATAACGAACCGTCGTTAATTTGCAAAAATTATATTTTTGAAATATTTTTTCAATTGTTTTACTTTAAAAAAAATATTGAAATCATTAACGACGATTCGAATTAGTAAATAAATAGATTTTTTTTTTTTTAACAGCTCTCTCCGCTGAAAATAAAAATTTTGTTAGTAATTTAAAGATTATACAAAAGTGTGAGACATATTTTGCATTTGGGTATATAATTAGAATCTAAAATTCGTTTTGTGAAAACCAATACTTCTCATATCCTCAATATTTTATAATATATGTTAAACAAAAAGAAAAAGTCATCTTCAGAATTTTATTTTTTTAATATTTTTCATTTTAAAATAATTTTAATTTGTAATCGACAAGTTTTAAAAATTCTTTTTTGTCATTTTAATTTTTCTACTTGTAAATTCAATATCAAAATTAATTTAACAATAAAAATTCAAATATTTATTTTAAATTAAATGTAGTATAAAAAATAAATCGTATAAAAAATACGAAATTTTTAAATTGTAAATTAAAAAAAATACTTATTTTTAAAATAAGAATTTCAACAAAACATATCGGATACAAATAGAAGATTTTCAGACTATATTTAATCATTTAGAGTTTATAATATAAAAAAAGGTAAAACATTTTTTTTTGTGAAGTGAATCAAAAATGTAATTGAAAAAAAAATAAATTATTTAATAATTTTCCTCAATATTTGAAAAAGTATTTTTATTTAAGTAACTAACGTTAGTAAATTAAATTTTAATCGAATTTATATTGTAATTAAAATTTTAATCTGTAAAAATTGAAAATAGAATTGAAAAATTGATTTTATGGGTAAAAATTTAATTTAAAATATTTGTATCATTTGTTAAAAAAAAGTAATAGTAATAAATTAATTAACAAAAATAAATACATTAAAAATTCAGTACCTAATTAACTATTAATTTACTAATTAAAAAATTTAAAAAAAAATTCTAATGTACTGATTATATAGTAAAAAAATAGAAACTAGATGATACAATTAACATTATTTTATCAAATTACAGCAACAATTAAAAGCATTAATGAATCTTTTTTCCAATCAAAACTCTTTCTCTAATATTAAATTAAATAGACTAGAAAAATGACTAGAGTTTTTTTTAAAAATAATATATACCAAAGGGAGCTGAGAAATTTACTATAAAAAATTTTAAATTGTATTTTTAATTCAATTGACTAATGCTTTTAATAAGGGTTGCAAAATTTCATTTTGTTTTTAAATTCATACATCGTCGCATGATATAAAAAGCTCTGTGGTGGCGTTAAATCCGCAGATAAAAAAAATCCACGAATTCGAACATTTCGATAAGGGCTCGTCTACATTTTCAACGATTGCAAGAGCTTCATTTTTTTCAAACTCATTTTTTTCCCAAAGAGACTTTGACTTTTTTTTTTTTTAGAAAAAAAAATATTTATCTTTAATTTTTGAATTGAATTGAATTTTTTTTTTTTTTGGGAAATAGTTATTTTTTGTCAAGTAACGAGGATTACGAGTAATATACAAATACCGAGTTCGTTCATTCTCATGACTCTGCTTTGGAGTAAAGAATGCGGCGCGCGAGGGTGTGCCAACTGTGCCACGCAGTGTAGGTGGGGATGGTAGATGACATCATCCATGCCACCAACCAGCTTCAGAACCAAGCCACTCCACATACGGAACCTGTCCTGCCTGCCTCCTGACTGAAGTGGAGAGTTCAGAACACATAAGTACACAAGGAACCGTCACATACTAATTTTATTTTCTCATCTATCTTTTTCTCTCATCTATCTTTCTTTCTCTCTCCATTTTTTTTTTTAATTATTTTAAAGAGCTATCAAAAAAAAAATTGTTTTCTTAATTTAAAAAATTGAATATATATATATATATGTATATAATTTTTATAAAACGAGAAAATCTATTTCAGGAGCATTTATTTAATTCTCCCTTTTTGTTTTCGTGTCCTTCATCGATTAGTTAGAGATTTCAAAAACGAATTATAAGATCGTACAAGTTGAACAAAATAATAAACATACCTACGGAATCTGGAAAGAAAGTTTTTTTTTTTTATTATAGCTGAAAAGAAAATGTGGTTACAATGTTTTAAAAAAGAATTTTTTTTTGCGACGCTGCCTATTTTAATATTTTAATAGATAAAAGTGAGAATTTCTTTTTTTTTTAAATAATAGGCAGAGACTCAAATGATTTTTCTAACTTAATGGATTTTATTTTTTAATAATCATTATTATAATTATGTTATTGTGTGCATGCAGAGCACAAACTGGGTGCGCAATAGACATCGAGCTGGTACCACCTTTAATCGTATGCTCACCCAACATCATGATAAGCAGAAAACAAGACATGATAAATTAGATTTTTTTCCAATATTCTTTTTTAAACTATAATAATTTTTTTGGATAATTGTACTCTATTTGAAAAAAAAGAAAATGTTTCAAAAACTCGTTTCTGCCTACATTGATTTTGAAAAATAAAATTTTAATAAGCTGAAAATAATTATGATTATGTATTGTTTTCTTTTTAACAAAGAATTAAACATACCTGCTCTCGTTTCGCCGTTTTTTCCTCCTTTTCTCGTTTTCGCACTTCGAGAATGTATTCGTTGAAAAGACTTTCCCGTTCCCGCATCTTTTCGACATTTTTAAATCTGTCATCGCGCCCGTGTTTTTGAGCGAAATCACTAAACGACGATCTAATAAAAGAAATTTATTCTATATTTTACGATAATAAATAATTATTATTATTAAAATTAAATGAGTCAAAATTTAATGTTGAAATAAAGAAAAGAAAAAAATTACTTACTTTCCATGAAGTCCGGCCTCCTCGAGAAGCTTTTGAAATTGATCCTTGCGTTCCTTCATTTTATTCCTCTTCTCTCGTCGCTCTTCCTCGGCCCTTTCCTTCACGTACTTCTCGAACACTTGCTTCCTTTCCTTGGACGTGAGCAGTAGATATCGAGGATCGAAAACAATTTTGTGCAACTCTTTCTCCCAGGTGCTAAACGCAGATACCTAAAGTGAAAAGGAGCATTTATTTATCATTCATTAATTAAAATTATATTTTTCAGGTTTATTAATGTATTTATTTAAGAAGAAGGTCCAGTAATTTTTCAAAAAAAAAATACTTACGTCTTTTTCAGCCAACATATCCTTAAAGGATTTTATTCTCGTTTCCAGAGGGACGATTGCTCTTTCCCTTGCTGCCCTAACTTCCGCCTCGATAGCTGCCTCCTTTCCAATGTCAATTGTCTTCTTCTCCTTTTCCTCCTCGTCTTTAACAACAGCAGCAGCAGCAGTAGTAGAAGTAGTAGTAGCAGCAGCAGCAGCTGGGGAAAAAAACAAAAATACATTATAAATTACAGAAAACAAATTCAAAAATAATTTTATTAAATTAGAATTAAAATTTTATTTAAATTCGATAAATTAATTCGTTTTGTAAATAAACCTTTGGGTTCCTCTTGTTTCGCTTTTTTCACAGGAGGTGGCTGATCCTCATCGCTACTTTCACTTGAATCCGATTGCCTTTGTTTTTTGATACTCGCGAGCGCGTCCGGTGGATTGGAAATCATTTTCTCGACATCAGCACGATTTAAAAGATCCTCCGGTTTTTCCCACACCGAAATCCTCGACGATGGATTGTAGAAGAAAACGCGACCATCGCCAGTCCAAACAACACACCTGAGAAAATAGAGAAATTTTTATAACTTAATTTATTACATAATATGTTATTTTTAGCTATTAGTTAACTAATTTTGTTAGTTTTAGTTATTTAAATATTTTACCATGGGGTACCAGGAACAGGAGTACTAGAAATTGGTCTCGATTTATCTAAAGGTTTAGTTTCTTTGGGAGTTTCTTCCTTTTTCCCTTTACCACTTTCCATTTCTTTTGCATGTTCTTTGGATTCTTGATTACTATCGACAGTCATTTCTTGACTCGTTGCCTCTGTTGTACTAATATTAGTGGCACTTGTTGTCACTGCCGTTGCATTATTTATTACCGCTGATGATCCCACTGCTTCCTCAGTTTTTTGCCTTGCCGCCGTTTTAGCATCTGTAAAATAATTATTTTTTTTATTCACAAATAAAAAAGAATTAAAAGACCTGAAATTTTTTTTAAAATAAATAAATAATAATAAAAGAAAATGAATTAAAATAACAGAAGTATTAAATAATTTTAAAAAATACTAAATAAAATAACTCACTTTCAAAATCTTTCAATGCCTGCGGTTTTTCCCAAACAGATTCTCCGGCTTTACTATTATAATAATAAAGTCGACCATCAGGTGCTCGATGTTCCGTCCAAAGCATAGCGGCAGCTACCAATTCGGCATCAATTTGTGCTATAATTGCAGGATCTTCGGCTGGAACTTGTGGTTGCATAACGTTATGCGGCATTTGAGGCATGCCTGCGAAAAATAAAATCCACATTTAATTACAAAATTTAATCAAATTACACCTTTTCTCCTCAAAAAAAAGGTGAAATTTTTTCTTTAAAAAGGAGACAAAAAAATAAAACAACAATTTTGTTTTCTCTTATTATTTAACTTTAAAAAGTGTAGCAAATTTTTATAAGTGAAAATTCTATAGAATTACAATTCGTTTAAAAAAAAATTATTATTTTATGTAGACATTATTGATATTACAGGGTTGCTACAAAAATCTGATTTAGAAATTCCATGACTTTTCCAGGTTTTCCAGGACCAATTTCAAAAAAAATTTCCAGGTTAATTTACATATGAATTTTTCGAATAAATAACAAGTTATTTTATTAGTAATTCTAATATTAATAATTATGTATTATTTATTACTTAATAAATAACATATTCAGACATAAAATTTATGAAAACTAAAATCTTTTTCTGTTTATTTTTTAAAAGCTGAAAAAATTATGAGAAGAATTAGAGGAAAAGTTATTTTTTCAGTATTTTTTTAAAAATACTTTTCAAGAAAGTATTATTTTTAATGTGACATAAAAATTTGAAAATTTTTTAAAATAATAACATAATTTTTTTTCTTAAAAAATGCATGCCGTCAAAGTTTTATCAAAAAAGTGTACAAAATTTAAAGTCATTTTTTATATAGAATATTTTTCAAAACTAAAATTTATTTTATTTAATTATCTAGAAAAATTTAAATATTATCCAGTTTTTTATATTTCACAAGACACCTTTTAATATAAGGAAATAATTCCAAATTTTTTGAGTTTTTTTTTGGTATAATTTCGGCAGCAAGAATTATTAAAGAAATTTGTATCTAATTGAATTTTATTTAATTTTATAATTTAATTAAATTTTTCAAGGATTCAAGATTCATTCTTTTCAAATTTTAATTATTTTTAAAAAAATAAGCACAAAACGATTTTAGTTCTCATATATATTTTATGTTTTAAGATGTTTTGTATTCATCAAAAACTAGAATCCGTAAAAAATGTAGCAAAATTCGGGAAGTTTTTTTAATTTTTGAAATTTAATTTTTCTTACTACGGAAAACCTAGTAAATGGAGAAAATTTTACAAGAAAATTAAAAATTACTGAAATACTCAAAAATTCCAGGCTATATTTTAAAATTCCATAACATTTCCAGGTTTTCCAGACCTTTTTAAAAAATCCATGACTTCTCCAGGTTTTCTATGTTCTGTAGCAACCTTGTATTAATAATTATGTTGTACAATAATTTGATTTAATGAAAATCAAAAAAAAATAAAGTTTTTATAACAATAATTTTTATATTTTGAGAATTTGTGCTTTGGAATAAATAACTAGAAAAGAAAAAAAAAATTAAGAAAAATAATAATTTTAACAGTTTGATAATCATTCTTGTAAATTAATTCTATTTTGGAAATTTTTATAAAATGTTTTCTTTTCAGTAATTTGCTTTATAAAACTTCTAACTATATTATATTAAGAACCACAAAAAAATTGGTTTTAATTAAAATTTCTACTATTCAAAATTAGGGTCCACAATAATTATTAGATTAAACAAAAATTATGAGAAATAAATTTTCTGATTAATCCATAAAAATAATTATAATTTTCAATTTATAGAATTTTATTCAATTAATTTTTTAGAAAAATTTTTATTTTTCGAATTAGTCTTTAACAGAATTTGTTTTTAGACGAATTTTTACTTAACAAAATTTTTAGTTATCAAACTTTTATTTGGTAAAATTTTGATTTGATAAAAATTCTATTAACCCAATTATTTGAAAGAAATTCTAATTTAGCATAATTCTCATTCAATAGAATTTTATGTGATTTGAATTTTTAATTCATCGAATCTTCATTTATTCATTGTCTAATAAATTTAAAAAAGAAATTTTTTTCTATTATTATTTTTTTTTTGAGAAAATTAAAAAATTTACCCCAGCCTCCTTGTGGTGGTCCATAACCTCCAAATGGTTGAAATCCCGGTGGTGGCATTCCAAATGGAGCTCCACCAAAGGGCGCAGGCATTGGTCCACCAAATTGATTTGGCATTCTGTGTTGCATTGGAACCATATTTGGAGGTGGTTGCATCATATTTGTGTTTACAGAAGGAGTATTTACAACCGGTGCAGCAGTTACACTAACAGCAGTACCTTAAATAAAATTTGAAAAAAGAATTAAAAATTTATTTCTAATTTCTATAATTAAATTTAAAAAATAAGCGATTATTTTCTATTTTTAATTTAATTTCTCTTATTTCTTTTTTTTTGTCTATTACAAATAAATTACCATTTGCTTGAGAAACTTCCGTTGTTAAACTAACTTCAGGCGTTTCTGTCAAAGATGGTGGAGGACCAGTTCCAGGAGGAGCTGTACTTAATTGATTCATGGCATCAGTATTATTCGCAACTGGAATTTCACTTCCGGGAGCGGTTCTCGTTTCATTTCCCTGTGGTTGGGTAACTGTCGTTGTCGATGGAGTCGTGGTTGTTGTCGTTTGTTTCGATGCACCGTGAACCAATTGCTCCAACTGAAATTCAATTATTTACAATTACAATTGAATTTTTCAAAAAATAGAAAATAAAATGTTTATTATTACCTGATCCTGTCCCATAACTTTAACATTTGGACCCTCTGGTTTCGTCCATGTTGTCTCTCTCGATCTAATATTATAATAATAAGATTTGCCATCTGTTGTTTTTGTTTCAACCCAAACTTCGCCATTTAAATCTAATCCCGGAATGTTTGCCTGTTGTTGTGCCTGTTGTGGTTGTTGTCCAGGAATCTAAAAGTAAAAAAAAACATTAACAATCACCAGTCAAATTTTAATAAATAAATTAAAAAAAAAAATTATTTACGTTATTCATATTTGGTGCTCCCATTCCAGGTGGTGGTCCAAAAGGTCCTGCTCCCGCTCCCATTGGACCGTTCATCATATGTGGAGGTGGCTAAAAGAATTTTTGTAATTTTTAATTATTTTTAATTTCAGAATAAAAAATAAAAAAAAAAAACTTACCATTCCCGGTGGGCCCATTAAATTCGGAGGTCCCATCATATTAGGCGGACCCATGGGACCCCAATTTGGATCAAATGGTGGAGGACCTCGAAAACGTGGACCAGCGGGTCCTGGCGGGCAATTAGGACGCGGTGGACCTTCGAATGGATATCCATTATTCGGACCACGGAACATTGGTCGAGGGCCAAAACCTCTGCCTCTAAATCTCGGTGGACCTCCACGCATTGAAAAGTCAAAGCCACCTCGACCCCTACCCCTTGAAAATAGTATTATTACTTTGGAAAATAAAATTTTATAAAAATAAATTAAAAAAAAAAAAATACGAAAAAAATTAAAAAACAAAAATCGCTGTGTCTATTTAGCCCGCTAACGGGAGGAATAGTGGCGATAGATTATTTAGCCCGCTAGCGGGAGAAATGCAAGATTTTGGCTATTTAGCCCGCTTATTTTAAAAAATCACCAAAATGAGAACTATTTATTTTGCAATAAGTATATTTAAAATATTTTTTATTTTTCTTATTTATTTATTATAGAATAATAAAATATATTTTAATATATAAATAATGTATATTAAGTGCAATTAAAAATAAGGCAATCGTTTATTTAAATATACTAATTTGATTTAATACAAAGTTTATTTCCTCCAAAATAAATCGTTTATATATTTAATTTAATTAAAGTTGTGGTAAAAAAACAAATTTTTGGTTTAAACCAAATTTATTGTAAGAAAACTGTTTAACTACAGGTATATTTATTTTCTAATAAATTATTAGAAAATAGTTTATGAAAGGTTGAAATTAAATAAATTTCTTTGATGGGAATTAGAATCCTTAACTTTCACTTTTTTCGTTCAATCAACGTTGGTAAATTCAATTTTATAAAAATGTTCCAAAAACACACTTCTTTTGTTGACGTTAAATTTCAAAAAATCATAACTTCCTTCATTTTCATGAAATAAAAAAATACGTATTTTCTTATTTTTCATATAGATTTCGAAAAAAAATAATTCGGACAAAAAAAATTTTAAATGAAAATTTCCCGTGGAATGCAAGAATTTTTATTGTATTTCAAAAATTAATTTTTATTTAGAAATTTAAAGTTTCAATAGAAAACAATTCCATAAACTATTTTCTAAGAATTTATTAGAAAATAAATATACCTGTAGTTAAACAGTTTTCTTAAAACAAATTTGGTTTAAACAAAAAATTTATTTTTATTTTTCTTATTTATTTATTCTAGAATAATAAAATATATTTTATTATATAAAATGTATATTAAGTGCAATTAAAAATAAGGCAATCGTTTATTTAAATATACTAATGTGATTTAATACAAAGTTTATTTCCTCCAAAATAAATCGTTTATATATTTAATTTAATTATTTCATTAAAATTGTGGTAAAAAAAATATTTTAAATATACTTATTGCAAAATAAATAGTTCTCATTTTGGTGATTTTTTAAAATAAGCGGGCTAAATAGCCAAAATCTTGCATTTCTCCCGCTAGCGGGCTAAATAATCTATCGCCACTATTCCTCCCGTTAGCGGGCTAAATAGACACAGCGATCAAAAATTATAAAAATACATTTAAAAAGTAAAATATTACAGGAGCAAAAAAATTACAAAACAAAATTATAAAAATACATTTAATAAAATATTTCAGGAGCAAAAAAAAAATACAAAAAAAAACAAATTGATAACAATAACAAATAAGAAACGATTATGTTATCACGAGTAAATCGATTTACAAAAAAAAAAAAATAAAATCTCACCTAAAGCCCCCTCGACCTCGGGGCATAAAATGTCTGTACTCTTCGCCACCTTCAAATGTATATTCTTCTGATTCTTCAACACCCTCCTCGGTGGGTTCCTGTTCATTTAGAGTCGCTACCTCTGCATTTGCAGCGGGTTGCTGATCTCCATTGCCTTCCATTTTTTTTCCCCTCTTTTATATATATATATATAGAAAAAACAGTGGAAAATTGATTTTGTTTTCGATTATATGTCCTTCATATATGCAAAATAATCACAAAATTTTAAATCACTAAAATCACGTCACTTTCCTAACATTAGAACTTTATGATTAAAATTATTTTTTTTATCAATTTTCAAATTGTCCCAAATTGCCACAGCCACAAATTGCCGACGTTATTTATGTGTGTATGTGTACGAAACACCAACATAGGCAGATTCTGTGAAGGGAAAAATTGTGTGTAAATAAGAAAATTTAATGAAAAATTGAATGTTCACTTATTAATGGCAATGTTCTTTTCATTTAGAAATGAAATATATACCTTTTTAGTAGTCCATTATTTAGAAAATAGTTATAAAAACTAGATTTTTTTTTCGTTTGTATCCGCGGTACAAAACAATCAACCATAAATCAACTTGGACGAACAAAATGGAACAAGAAATGCAAAATCAATATGAAAAATTGTTATTTGGAGACCTCTGGTGTCAATTTTTGAAAATAAACGGCTTGTGGACTAGATTTTAGTTTTCAAATTAAAATTTTATTATTAATTATTATTATTATTAATTAATAATATAATTATTATTAATATTAATAAATAATATAATAAATAAGTTTTCAAATAACAACATTTAAATTTATTTTGTAAAAATTACTTTTCAATTGAGCAACCCATCCCTGACTATTTAAAGCGGGAAAATTTTTAAAATTGACAGTTTTGTTTATATCAACTGTTTTGACATTTTTGTTTTGTATCATTTATCTTCTTGTTCTTTTTTTTTTAATTAAAACTGCAATGCTCCAAAGATCACGAATATTTCCAAGTCTAATTGGATTCCTCTTACTTAACCTCCAGGTTAATTAAATATTTAATAATAGTTGTTTTGTTGGTTATACGACTGAAATAGGTTAAAAAAAAAATTTAATAATTTCTTTTAGGTTTTCAAGACAAGTTTCACTTTGAATATGATTGAATTTCCAGAAATAAATTATTTGGCGAGTAAATTAACACCAAGTGAATGTTTTCAATTGTATAACGTGTCTCGAGGTCGTCATTTAAAGGTAGGATTTAATTTTAATTTACAATATTCAGATTTGGAACTTTGGTTTTTGTTTTTTTTTTTTTAAAGGTTGAAACACTAAATTTTATACAAAGAAAAAGTTATACAATTCCATGTGTAACACTGCTTTCCACTTGGTTAACGGATATAGACGAATTGAATTTAACCAATATTGACAATGTTAATTTAAAACTTAAAGAAATTGGAAGAGAAGATTTGTCTCTTCAACTTAATCGCAACTTACTTTATCGAAGAAATAAAACTGATTCCTCAGGAGCCAAGGATTTGGAGTACGTTTAACAAGTGGTAAATTTTTAATAAATTATCCTAATAAAAATAACTATATAAAAATTATTCAGATGAATAATTCACAGAATTCTAAAAATATTAATTCAGTATAATTAAATTTATAAATTAATTAATTTATAATTTTAATTTTTTAATTTATTTTAATAATAATTTTGTATAATTCGACTTAATTTTATATAAATAGAAACGAAATAATCTACAAATCTGTGCTCAGAGATGAAAGATCACAAACATTCATTTGTCCCTCTGAATCAATAGAAAAAACAAAAATCTTTTGGAAAATATTTTTTATACTTCTTATCATTCTCATTGTATTATTTTTATGTTTTTGCTGTTGTTTTTGCATTTATGAAAAGCTTCGTTGCACTTGTGCCAGGTATAAGAATTTTTATTTAAAAAAAAAAATGCTTTTTTAATATTTGTAAAAAAAAAATAATAAATATTTCAGAACGGAACGAAATTATTGTGGAAATGAAGAAAATGAAGAGGAATATTGTCTGTGTACCGATAAACTTAAAGAAACTTCTTTTGAAGATTATTGTACAAACAAAAAGGAATCATCAAATTTTCAAAAAGTTACAAATTTTTTTAAAGAGTACTTCAATAATCGCAATGAAAAAAAGAAGGAAAAATTACGTTATCAAAGATTTCAGAAATTAAAAAAAAAATTACAGGTAAATCATTAATTTTATAATAACATATATGAGAAATTAAATAAAATTTTTTTTAGCAGAAAATGTATTTGGAGCAACGTAAAGAAATACGAGTAAATCGACAGGAGGAAAAAATTTTAAATTCTTTAACAGAAAAAGAAAGAGATGAACTTGGTGAAACAATTTGTGAGATGAGATTTTTTCTCGACTCTGACAAGGAAACGGAAAAATTACTTTTATCAGGAAAACGTTCAGGGACATTTATAATTGATATGAAAAATCTTCATCGACCAAAAATTACACATTCTCATGTAACAAGTCAAGGATCTAAAAATTGTGAATCTAGAGAAAAATTTTCAAATTTGTCAATTGTTTCGCCACCAAAAACATGTTCTGAATGTGAAATCGCAAAAAATGATCGTGAAAAGGTAATTTTTTTTGTTCTAGAAAATTAAATTAAAATTCCATTTTTAATCGTTAATTTACTTTTAACTTGCAGAAAAATTGTAGAAAAACAAAAAATCGTAGAAGAGATTTGAAAAATGAAAGAGGGACAAAAAATTCGAAACTCATTGAATTGGAAGAAACTAGCGAATTTATCAAATACTACACAATATCAGAATCTGAACAATGTTCATCACCAATTATGAAACGAGATGAAAGGTAAAATTATCTAATAAAAAAAAAATTAATTAAATTATCATTTCAATTTAAAATTAACGAAATTTACAGATATGAATCAGATCAAAAGACAAATTTTTCCACATCAGACGGAAGTGAAATGCAAATGTTTTGTTGTGAAAAATATCAAAAATCAAATAAAATCCAATCAGATATAGACAGTCGTAAAAAAAATTCCACGAATATAATTAAATCAAAATCAATGATCGAATTGGAATTTACTAAATTAAATAAATTATCAATTGAAAAAGAGAATTCAAAAACTAATAATATCAATCAAAGTGATTTCATTAATAAAACACTTTCGGAATTAAAAAAAATAAATTCAAATTCTCTTTCGATTGCCGCATGCAAGAGTAGGAGAAATTTTGAAAAATCAAATGAAAATTTACAAATTTTTGAAAATTTAGAACGTGGCGACACTGAATCGCAATTAGATTTTCGCAAAACTTGCGATGAATTGAGTTTACTTGTTTCACAACAAATGAAATATCAATCATATCCTTGTCAGCGTAAATATTGCCTACTGCGAAGACATTTAAGACAACGATCACATGATTTAAAACAATGTCAATTTAAAAATTATTTTCAATATTATTTAAATGACGATGCACCATCTTGTGGAGCGAGTCGAATTTGTCGTGACACATATGATGAATTTAAAATGATGCGAGCAACGCCACGTGAAAAAAAACGAATTAGAGAATCAATTTATAAAAGAAGAAAAGAATTTTTAGACCAACCTTGTTTTTCGCCAAAGAAAAAGTGCTTGAATTCTCCAATTGGAATAATGTAATTTTTTTTTTTAAATAAATATATTTTGATTATTATTTAAAGGCTTTTATTTACTTAATTACATGCGTTCACTCCTCTTAACCTCTTTTACTTGAAGACCTGCAATATAATAATAATAACAATAATAATAGTTATTTAAATAATATTTTATAAAAATATTTTTAATTAATTACATTTTAAGATTTTTAATTATATTAAATTAAATTAAATTAAGAATTTTCGGATTTATATTTGAAAAATTTAAATACTAAAAAGAAAATAATTGAATTTTACCTGGAGGCAAAGATTGCTTCAATTTTTCAGCCTTTTCTTTGTCGGTAATGACAAGAGTGTACAAAAACCTTGAACAACGCACCTTGAATTTGACATTTTCGGCGTTCTTCTTTATTTTAACAGCTAGAATAATAAATGCTTTTATCAATAAAACAATTAAAACAAAAACACAATTTTCTCCCTCAATTAGAAAAATCAAGTTTTCAATTTGATCTACAACTTTATTTTTTTTTTTAAATTCCAAATAATTAAATAGTTTTTTTACAGAAAAAAAAAAATAATTGTCAACTTACATTTTGCGTCCTTCCTCCTTGCCTTCAAAAGGAAATCTTTAATTTCTTTAATTTCTCGTGGCTGAAAAATAGAATAAACTACAATAATGTCAAACTCACAAATTTATACAATTTTTTTGCCCAACATATTTTTACTATTAAAAATACAAAAAGCTATTTAAAACCCAAAATATGAAAATCACTCTCTTTTCAAATAATTGAATTATTAATTTAATTTCAATTATTATTTTCAACAATTTAGAAACATTGTTTTAAAAGATAAAAACGAATGTCAACAATTTTTAGGTTAGAATCACTTGACAATATTTCCCGTTACAAAATTACAATAAACAAATAGTATTTACAAAACAAATACTTTTGAATTCTTTACAATTAATGAATATTTCTAAACAGAAATTAAATAATTAAATAAACTTACCATGTTTACTGTTTTTTTTTGAGAAATGTAAGGACGTGAAGAGTCTGAAAAAAATGTAACAAATAAAATGATTAAAACTTCACAAACAATGGAACTATAAACTGTAAATTATGCACAAACTATCGAAATATTGATTTGTGTATATTTTATCAGATAATAATTAATGATTTTAATGATAAATTGTGATTAATATTTTCCAAATAAAAAATACACAAACTCACCAAGTACACTCTACACCGGAAGAAAGAACAAACTTCGGAACTGTTGTACAAAAGGGAAAATGAGTCAAATTAGCAACTATTGTTTATGCGGGAATCTTAAAACTTTTTAACCATTTCATAATATTAAATAATATTAAATAATATTAATTTAATATTAATATTATAAATATAATATTAAACAATGTGAAAATAATAAATTCAATTAATTTTAATAATAAATCTTTTTTAAAAAAAATAGTAGCACTTTCACCAAAGCGGACAAATCTGGAACTAATGTCAATAAATGTTAATATAGGTAAAATATGTAAAAACAATCAGGTAATTTACGTACTTTTACGTTCTTATCACAAATAAATGTTCAACCCTGTCAGGTATTGTTCATATTTGGTGTTCAATGGATAAAATTTGATTATTCCAGATTATTCGCAATTCACGTGAGAGCGGTTGTATATTTTGTAAATTTTTTTTTAAGAAAATTTAAAAAAAAAAGTTTTAAAGACTCTCATTTTTGTTTTAAAAGGGTGTTAATTAATTTTCACCAATTATGGAACATCCTTTACCACATATAATGGAAAGTGCCGATGACTTTGGTGGCAAACCGAAAGATAGGTTAGTCTCCATTTTAGATCAAATTGAAATGCACGTAGAAAAATTACGAAAGGATGCCTCTAGATTGGAAGAAGAAAAGGATTCATTATTGACAACCCTTGACACTCTTCGCAACAATGAAGTACTTATTTCTTTAGAAGATTGTAAGTGAAAAATGCTTTGTTTTCTTTGCCTTAAGTCGCTCGATTGACCTAGAAGTTTCGAAATTTCCCGAACTTTCTTTCCAAATGTTTATTATTATTTTTTTTCTTCTTTTTACTGTTATTTTCATTATTTTTGATTAATATCAATGAAAGGCGAATAAATAGAAAAGTAATGATAATTTTTGCCATGTCATTATTATTTAATATTTATTTTTTTTGAAAATTTTTCGAGTTTATTTTTTTAAAACGATAATTGCGTTTCTTAGAAGGGTATGGCAAATCTGATTCACATACTAATAAAATATCTAATTGGTTTATCTCTATTAGCGGACAAAGATGATGTTTTGAGATATGCTGAGAGATTATCCATGAGATGTTTGACTGTTGATGTGCTTGTTAAGGTTCAACGCGATCATATTCAGCAGGAGGCCTTACATCAAGTAATAAAATAAATTTTAAATAATTTATTGAAAGATTAAAAAAAATTGAATATTTTTAAATTATTTTCGAAAAAGGAGAAAAACAAAATTTTTAAAAGTCTAATTATTTGTATTGTTCAGGTTAATGGCTTAATTGACAAATTAATTGTCAATTTACGAGACGATCCAAGTGCAACTAGATTGAGATGTGCTTCTTTTATGAACGCCTGCTCTTCTCAGGGTATAGGTCATTCTGATAAAATGTTTGAAACGGCCATATTAGGATGCACCATGGACGATCAAAAGAGAGTGAAAAAACGATTGCAAGGTTTACTTGATTATATTGACAAAGTCCAAACAATAGAACTTCCTTAAATTACCTTTTTTTCGAATAATTCCACTTATATACATTCATAACTATGATTTTTCTACATTCAAAATGTGATTAATGAACGCTTGAAGGAATTTGATGAGGAAAAATCTTAGAAAAGAAAAAACGCTGCATCCTTAAATTGATAGTTTTTTTTTTTTATTTTGTTAAAATTCTTCTCTTTTTTTGGAAGAAATCAAATTGCATTTAAAAAAAACTAAGTAAATTTATATAATTCGCTTCTTTTTTTCTCGGTGATTTGGAAAATTAATGTGAAACAATTTTTTTGTTTCTAAAAAACACTTTCTCGTGAGAAAAGAAAGAATAAGTAACTTGCAAATCGAATGAGCGGATAAGGATTGTGTGATGGGACTTTTTTTTTTATATAAATGAATCGTAAATTATTTTAAAATGAAAATTTTAATGTCTTTATATATAAAGGGGGAAAAATTCAAAATTGTAATTAAAATTATAGATTATTGAGAGAATTTAAAAATCTAGTCGACGTATTTTTTTTCGATTTTTTTTTTTTATTTAGGTAGGCTATAAGACTGCAGGACGGTCTGGGATTTTCATGGCTTGTAGCTTTTATAAAAATTTTGTTCTGCTTTTTAAAATTCGTATCAGCTCTCGTGTAAGTTATCAATTCTTTCATTGCTTCTTACGATTAAAAAAAAAATGATTTAGCATTAAAATAGAAAAAACAACAATAATAATAATTATTATAATATAGTTTCAATCGTGAAAATTTGACCGTCTTCGAATACTTTCCAGAAACAAAATATAAGTAAAATCGATGACTTATTTACTGTAAAGTCATTTTCAAGTCAATTTACCAATAATTTTCAGTATTGCATTTTTATATAAATATTTTTTTTAATACTTTCTCTAAATTATTTAATTGTGTAAATAAAAATAAAATCAATTTTCCAAGATTAAAAAAAAAAAAAATACTGACTTGAAAACGGCGTTATTGTAATATTGTAAATCTGTTATATACAGAATTTTCCTTTAGTAAATACATTTTTTTGTAATTAGAAAAAAAAATTATATTCTCAGCTTTGATTATTAACAAGTTTAATGTACAAATTACAAAAATAACTTCTATTGTCATTTCTGTGATAATAAAAGTTCAATTATAAAATTTGTAGCCTTTATTGAAATAAATTACTTAAGTACCTTATAAATTAATTTTCATTAACGATATTTGGTTAATTATTATTACTCACACTTCATTTTTTATAAATATTTTTTTTTTTACACTCGGGCAAAGATTCATACAATTTTTTGTTTAGCATTTTAATTATAACACGAACACTCAAATATTAAAAATGCAAACTTTTGCGAAATTTTTATTTCGCGTTTAAAAAAAAATTTTTTAAATAAAAAAATAACTTGGAAAGAAAAAAATTGGACAAAAATAAAATCTAAGGGAATATTTGTTTACATATTTACAAGTGACTCTTTGTGAGAAGACTTACAATGAGCAATATATAATTACATAAAAATATGAAAAAAAAAAAATTTTTCATCGCACCTGTTTGCTTTGGAGAAGAAAGGCACCCTTGTGTAAATTATTAAAATATATTACCTAATTTTTTTTTCTTTTTTTTAAATCCATTGCAATACAACAGATTGTTTTTTTTCTCATTCTTCTTTTCTTTTTTACTTCAATGTTTAAAAAAATATTGTAAATTAAAACAGTCGACAGGAAGTTTTGACGAAATGTTTTTTCTTGTGATTACGAATTTTTTTGCCACTTGGTCGTAATACGATTGTTCCATTACTAATGCGTCCTCCTGTCGAACCATTTGGACTAAAGGCACCTAAAATAAAAAAAAGGTTAATTAATTAATAAATATAAATTTTAAAAAAGTAATTTTTTTTTTAAAAGAAAGAGTTTAATTAAATCACTAAATTATTCTACTTCTATTTTGGGAAAAAGCTATTAACAATCGCGATGACCTCGATTTCATGAGGTTGTTAACGTCTCGAAAAATAAAATTGATTTCAGTTGAGATTATTAGAACTCGAGACAAGAGTTTCGAGATATAAATGATCAAGTGACCAAGTGAAACACCAATACATCGTTGAGGGATCGCGTGACCACAATGGAAAATTATATCGATCTTTAGTGAATCATATAATTTACGTATATGCATGTGCTGTAAAAGTTTCTCACATAGAGTCACAATAATTAGTTCTTTGAAAAATATGCGTGTTAACTTTATGGTCATTGGATAAACCTCAATTAAACTAGTTTTCACTTTTTATAAAGAAATTCATAACTTTTCCTTTCAATTTCACTTTGAATCAAATTTTAAATATTTGTCAAAAAAAAAAAACTAATAAGAAATTCAAAAAAAAATTAAATAGAAAAAATTACTTATAACTGAAGGTGTTCTTGGCTCTGAAGAATACATCCTAAGATCATCTTCGTCCTCATTGCGACGCATTTCTAAAAGACAACGTGTTGCCAAATGTCTAAAGACATTCATTACTCCAACATCTTCTTTAACAGACGTTCTCAAAAGTTTGCAACCTAAAGCTCGACTAAGTCTTTCTGCTTCATCTCTAAAAAAATAATCGAAACATTTTTTTTTATTGTATTTACTTTTTCTATTACCCTTTTTTTTATCTTGTACATTTATCAAGAAAAATATCGAATATTTTTCAATCAATTTGTGATAAAAATAAAATACAACAGAAAAAAAAAAAAACTTACGGATCGACAACACATTGATCGACGAGGTCCATTTTATTTTGCACTAGAACCGTTGGTATTTCACCACATTCATTCTCAACCTGTAAAAAGGCAAAATAAAATTGTTTGTTTCATCAACTAATTTGACCTACATTCTTCGTCGGTTAATATTTTTCATAAATATTCATAGTTGAAAATTAACACTTTACATTTCTCGAAAGATTCAACCTCGAATAAAAAGTTGAATTTTCCAAGACTTAATTTATTTCTTTCTATTCTTTTTTTTTTTGCCACGTGTAAGGACCAAAAACTATTTTTCCTATCAAAAAAAAAACTAATTTTTTGTCATTATATGAGATCTATTTAAGATTCAAAAAATTTGAAATTTAAATTTTGTCTCGAAGGCTTTTAATATTATAAAAATTTACATACTTTTGACTTGGAAATTTTTATTTGATTTTTAAATATATCTCGAGGGGAGAAAAAATATCAAAACTATTTTGTAAAAAATTATTAAAAATATCTATAAATAAATAAATAAATAAATAAACATTTAAAACAAGAAGGGGGTCCTTTATGTTTATTTCATAAACATTATGCTTCCTCATTATGTGAAGCAAAAAATTCGCTTCCTCGTGAAGGAAGCAATGAATTTGTCCAATTCAATTGATTGATTTAAAAAATTTCGAGTTAAAAATGTTTTAAATTAATTAAATTTTTTGAAAAATAAAGAAAATTTTAATTAATTTTGAGTATAACATAAACTTTATATATACGAATCGATTCGTTTTAATGCAAGGAATACAATTATTTTATTCATCAACTTGAATTTTAAAAAAACACAAAATTTTTTATCTAAAATATGAATTTTCGATTTTTCAATTTTTATTAATTCTCAAATTTTCAATCAAATCTATACTTTATATATACCAACCAATTCGTTTCAATGCAGGAAATAAAATTATTTCATATATAAACATGAATTTAAATAAACACATCATTTTTTAGCTAAAATGAGAATTTTTGATTTTTTAACTTTCATTAATTCTTTAAATTTCAATCAAATCTATATTTTATATATATCAATCGATTCATCTTGACATAAAGAAGACGATTATATTATATATTACCTTAAATTTTTCGATTCAAAAATTTTTTCAATTAAAAAAAAATTTTTGGAAAAAAGACGATAAAATTTTTTTTTTGGGGTATTTTTAAAAATCCTCTCGTCATTTTTGAGAGATTAATGTGTTAAATAAGCCTACCAAATTTTACGCAAATCCATTAAAACCTGTTAAAGATATCGTGTTCACAAAAACTATCCACACACACATACACACACACACACACACACACACATACACACACACATACATACATCCGGACAATTGATCAGGATCTCATATAACATGTTTCTATATAGAGGAAAATTTGTTTTCACCATTTTTAAAAATTTTATAAACGAAAGGACTACATAGCTTCCTCCACGAGGAAGCAAAAATGATAAAAAATTAGAAATAAAAATGGTAATCAACTTATTTGCTTTTGGTTAATTGAATCTAATTTAAAATTCACAAATTGCAATTCATGTTAGTAAGTATATAGTGAAGAGAGTTTTGAAGAGTCAACAGTCCTATAAAATGTACAATCACGTATATCTTGTTGAGACACACTCTCGAGCAGTGCTCTTCCTCTTCACAAATACATACGTTCGTCACAAATAAGTAGATACCTTGAATCTTTTCACTCTCTCATTTCTCCTCCGCCTTTTCAGACTAACAACAAAAAACGATTTAACGACTTTCCACACAAGGAACTTCGCGACCGGGTTACGAGAAACTTGTTCTAGCTTTTCATATATAAAAGACAATCTTTTTCAATTATAAAATTGTAATTTTTCCTTTTGTGAATAAAATAAACTAAATTACAACAAAAGAAAGAAACTAATTATCATTTTTAAATGTTAACTATTATTTCTATTCAGAAATTTAATTAAATAAAAAATTCCTAATTTAAAAATATCTAAAATAATTTTTTTTATAGAAAATTTAATGAAAATAATTCGAATGAACGAAAAAAAATCAGAATTCGAAGGGGAATCGAACCATTGAAGGAAGTTGTAATTTTTGTGTTTCTGGAGCATTTACCTTCAACTTCCATGAGGGAATGGCATCGAAAGAATCTCTGTCAGTGACTGAATAAGCCAGAACACAAGCGTGAGCTCCTCGGTAATAGGCGGCCGTAATTGCATCGAATTCTTCTTGACCTGCAGTGTCCCAGAGCATCAATCGAACGTCCTCGCCATCAACCCTGAAAAATAAAGAAAAAAATTCTCACAATCCAATAAAAAAAATAAATAAATAAATAAATAAACCTATTTTTTTATTAGACATTTTAATTCAGAAAAAAATATTAATAATTTTGTCATTAAAAACAAAAAATAGAACAAATTATTTTCCTTTCAAGGTAACAATAACAAAAAAAATATCTTCAATTAAGAAATCGTGCGACCTCGTCGAGAATTTCTTTACGGAAATAAAGTTTTAATAACAATAATAAAGAAATAATTACAAAATATAAGCAAATTAACAAAAAAAATCAATTTTTTAATAAAAATTTCTGAAAAAATGAGTAAAAAAAAAGAATGAAATTTGAATAAAGCTTTTAAAAATAAAATTTACTCAATCTCCCTTTCGAGGAAGTCGACTCCTATTGTTTTCTTGTAGTCCCTCGTATAAGTTCCTTTGCAAAATCTTTGGATCATGGAGGATTTTCCCACAGCACCATTGCCCACTATTACCACCTACAAGAGAAAAATTTTTAATTAATTTCAATAAATTCAACTAAAGCAAATAAATAAATAAAATTTAAAACTAAAATTATAAATACCTAATATAGATAAAATCATAAAATTCGTCTTGATATAAAAAAAAAGTGTTGACAGAAAAAATAAATTTTTTTTTTTCTATTTATATATATGAATGGATTTTAATGTATACTGTAATTATAGAAAATTACTCTAATGTATAATTTCTGACAATCTAACAAATGCGGTGAATAACGACCACTAATTGATGATTAACGACCGTTAATATCAGTCAATAAAATACAAAAGTAATAAAACTTTTCTGGTATAAAATAGGTTTAAGAACGCGTTCGCCTACTTTTTCTTATAATAATCAATACATAAATTGTAACATAAATATATATAAAAAATAAATAGCTAGAATTTTTTTTTTTCAATTTCAATATTTACTAGAAAATTATTTCTATAATAATTGATAAATATTCACGATAAGACTAATTTCTATACACATTCATTCAAAATAAACGGTAAATATTTCTAAATTTCTACCTGATCCTAAAAAAATTTAATACAATAATAAAAAAAAAAATAATAACGCTACTGAAAATATTTTCTCTTCAAAATATGATTATTTAAAAATTTAATTTTTATTTACAGAAATTAAAAAATTTCCTTATTAATTCTAAATAAAAAATTCACTTTTTTTTCAAAGCTTAAAATATTTAAAATATAAAATCAAAACCTTTTATGCAAAAAAAAAAATAAAAGGAAATTTTCCAAAGTGATAACATTTATGTGCAAGGTGCAAATTAAGTCGTGAATGAAAGCAGTTCTGAGGACAGGTGTATTCACCTGGCTTTTACTCCGTTTCCTGTATTTATTCAAAGACACGAATGAATTGTGTATTTGGTTCAATATTTTCGACGGTATTTAAAAAACCGGTTTCTTTTTTTTTTTTTTTTTTTTTGCAGAACGGAACTTGCATTATAAGTCTCGCACTTCTCATGACAAGTGCACCGTTAGTTCGACAGCAAATTTGGAAGAAATCGATTTTATCTTTTTATCAATTTTCTTCATTAGCAAAATATTTAAATCAAAATTTTTTAATTTAAAATTCATTAATTAAATTAATTCTTAATAAAAATCAATAAAAAAAATAGTTTTATCAAATTTGTTCAATAGAAAAAAAAATATTATTATTATTTTTATTTCACGTAAAATAAAATGATTTACGATTGAAAGTTCGCGTATTTTCCCAAGAATTTATGGAGAAAAGATGTTCATCGACGGTCGTTTAACTTTATAGCGAAGTGCAAGCAAAAGGTAGAGTAAAAGTTAACGCTTGCAGTTCTCGCATACCTAGGACATCATATTACATGTATGTACATGAGTACCGTTAAACGTGATCTCAACAGAAGGCGAGACACGATTATTATCAAAACAGATTTATTTACCCACTATAACATGATCAGTCAATTTTTTTTTTCTGTAAATTTATATGAGTAAAATATCAATGATTAAACAACACTTCTTTCAAAACAGGAACGACAACCAGTCTTTATAATTATATGGAGCTTCATTATAATTTTCTGCCTAGAGAAGAAGCTGTTTACACTTTTTAATAGAATCATTTATTTTTTTCTTATTTTAGGCGAAAGTCGTTTCTCTCAATTTTATTAGTACCACTGACACATTTTTTTAATTTCAAATTAAATTTATTCTTTAAATTAAAAATTATTTACAAAAGTTCGTTTTGAAAGAAGTTATAAAAATTAGAATTTTATGAGTGTAATAAAAAAAAAAAAGATAAATTTTAACTGATAAATTACTTAAACTGAATTAATCAATTAAAAACTCATTTAATTATAATCAACGAATATATCGCAAATCGTATATAACTTGAATTTTTTCAATTTACTTAATATATGTAAATACAGAAAAAATATATCAACAATAAAATTAATAATGTAAAAAAAACAATTTTAACCTTAAAAATTTCGAATGCAAAAAATTTATTTATAAAAAAAACCAATTTCTTATTAAAATATTTTTTTTTTATCAAAAATTTTTAAAATAGAACATATTTTATAATCACTAGGCTAAAACATTTTTCTTTTGTAAAACTAATTTAAAAAAAAAACCATATTAAGATAAAAAACAAAATGAACTACAAGTATAATAATAATAATCTACAATATAAAAGATGAGTTACCTTGAGGGAAATCTCGAGCTCTTCCTCTCGCATTCTGACCACACCGCGATTAGCATAATAATATCCCACTAGAATTTCTTTCAGCCGCTCCTGCGACTCCTCGAATGGAAAACTTATGCCATAAACTTTAATCAAGGCTTTCCGGCAAGAAGTATATCACCTTTCCCGGTGTTTTGAGCCGGCATGTTTTTCTTCGGCACGGCCCATGGCCATTTGGCCTTCTTTACTTGTTCAAATATATAATATATAATCCTGAGTTTTTTTTTCTTTTAAAATAAAGAAGCGGTTAATTTGCAGTCAGAAAAAAAAGAAACAATTCACAATGAAAAAACGCGTTACAGAACAAACACACACTGATACGCGCCACTGGCCGACTGAAACACGAAACAGAAAATTACTCCTCAACCTGCAGAAACGTCTTAAAAACGAACACCTGCGACCTGCCGCCAGGTATTTACCTGGGGAACCTAGTAAATTTTTCCTAAAGATCACTAGGGACATTTCAAAAAGCGCTAAAATTATTACTAGCACTGCTGGAATATTTAAATTTAAAAAATGTTAATGTTTTAAATCAAATTCAAAGCACATATTTAAGAAATGATTTAAAATATTAAAAATCGATGTTAATGTAAAAGAAATAATAATATTAAAATTATCACAAACAAAAATTATTAAACATAACCTCATTTGGTAAAATTTAAATTAAAAAACGGCGGGATATTTTAAAAATTGTTTTTGAATATCAAGTCGCAAATAATAAAAAATAGATAATGTTTAATACAAAAACAACTGTTCTAATAAACCATATTTTTGTTTATTATTAATACAGTAATAAAAGTCGACGACGGTATTGACATAACAAAATCAATTATCGGTTAAGATCAGTTAACGGCATAAATGATACAATTTTTTTTTTTAAATTGACTTAAAAAAACATTTTTCTTGATCGTTTATATTTTAACTACTTAATGTAGTTTACGTGTGCGCATGTAAATACACATTTATTTATAAAGCACAGGTATAAAAAAAAAAGAATTGTAAATGGAAGAAACGAAAATAAGTATATTATTTTCTAAAATTACTCGATATGTATAAAATATAAAATAATTGTACAATTCATAATTACTAAAACTAATTAAAATTGTAATTACCATAATATAATCGAAAAATAGGAGTTTTGAAAAAAAAATTATCAGAAAATGTATTAAAAAAATTCCCATTTTTTTCGAAAAAAGAAAAAAAAGGGAGATAAAAGCTTAAAAAACTTGTAAGTTATAAATTGTTAAGAAATATGATTTTTTTTTTCAATGAATTTGAAACGAAAGCAAAAAATTAGAGTGATTTGCATAAAATAACTAGTGGTGAGTAGTGACAACAGAACGATTTTTTTTTTTTTTGAATAAATTTCGTTACTGTTAATCGGTTATACTAATAATTAAACGTTAGTAATATGCACTAGACCGAATTTTTTTTTGTAAAAGATTAATAATAAGATTGGTCAAAATTAACAACTTATCATACTCTGATGATACGTATTTGTCATTGAAAAAAAAAAGAAAAAAAGTGACTAAATCTATGTGCGCTTACTTTAGAATAATTCGCTACTGTACACTGCGATTTGGTTCCATTTAAATTAAAAAAAAAAATTTTGTCTTTGTCATCATCTCGATATTTTTTTTTTTTTTAAACCGGGGAAAATATTTTATACAAAATGTATCGAAAATAATTAAATTATTTCCAAATTGTGTCTTTTTAACGTGTAATTAAATACTTTAGTTTTAAATATAAAAAAAAAAATTCCAGTTTTAAGATTATTAGTAACAAAAAGCAATAAAGACTAAATATATCGTTGATGATAATTGATGCCGACGCTTCTGTAAGCAAAAAATTGCTTACAAACTTTCAAGAGTTATAGTAATGGAATTTTTTTATTTACTATAAACCCCCTCGCCACTAACTTATAACGACTGTTCTTATCGTTTTGTAGGAATTTTTTTTTCAAATTCACGTCAGTAAAAATTAATTTTCCTTCGCGAATCATCTACTTGGAATTTTCGTCACCTTTTTCTCTTCATAACGTATTTGTATTTGTCCCTTAATGAAAAATTCAATTTTTAAAACCAACCGTTTCGCTAAAATCAATAGACACCTAAGGCGTTAAAAAAAAAAAAAAAATTATCCTAGACACTTCTAGAATCTTATGTATGGCAGCCATAATTGTGAAAAAACGAAAATAAAAAAAAAAAAAAAATTAAAAATTGTTACGACGATAAAAAAATAAACAGTACTGTTGTACTACATCTCTCAGATTATCTTCTTTACAAACTGAAAACAGTACTTCTTGGATATCACAAACTTCATCTTGTTATTTTTTAATAAAAATGTCGAGTTTTTTTTTCTGTTAAATTTCTATAGACCTGATAATCCCTTGCCGGACGTGCAAAAGATTTTCTCCAACTTGATTTCGTAGACCGTCTGTACGAATTGTAAACAGGTAAACTTGTGAACATTTTAATTTCACCAGGCAACATTACTCAGTAAGCCGATGCTTCTTTATATTCCGAGCCTTCCATAGTGAAAAAATCTTCCAATTTCCACTGGAGTGTCTCAAATGTTGGCCTCTTCATTGGATCTTTATTCCAACATTCCAACATAATATCATACAATGCCGCGGGACAATTTGGTGGGCACGGCATTCTATAACCGTGCTCAACTTGATGCAAAACTTCAGCGTTTGTCATACCTGCGCAAAAAAAAAAATATTTTTCATAACCGAAAATCTATAAAATTACAAAATTTTTTTAATATTTAAATTTTATTTTAACTTACCAGGATAAGGAATTCTTCCGTAAGTGACCAGCTCTGTGAGAAGAATTCCAAATGACCATACATCTGATTTAATACTAAATTTGCTGTAATTTGCAGCTTCAGGTGCAGTCCATTTAATTGGAAATCTTGCTCCTATTCTTGCCTCGTATTCATCTTCCTTTATCAGCCTAGCGAGACCAAAATCTGCTATTTTAACAACATTACCATCAGCTACGAGAACATTACGAGCGGCCAAATCACGATGAATATAATTTTGCGACTCTAAATACGCCATTCCAGCTGCGATTTGAGCCGACATATCAATCAATTGTTGAAGATTTAAACCTCTTCCTTTTCCTGAAATTTAATTTCAAAAAAAATATATAAGCCTCGAATCAACTTTAAAGCGCAAAAAAAGCTGTTTTTTATTTTAATTAATAAATATTTTACTTTAAATAACTAATATTAAATTCATTACATTAATTCCCTAATAAGAATATTACAAAAAGAAAATTTATTTCAAATATTTCATAATTGAATTAAAACAAATTTTCCTGAATTTTACTATAAAATATTCAAAATCAAAATATTTTAAAATTATAAAAGAATTGAATTTAAATTTTACCTTGCAAATATTCGAGAAGACTTCCATTTCTCATAAGTTCAGTGATTATGTAAATTGGCTCTTCCATCGTGCAAACGGCATAAAGTTGAATTAACTTATCGTGCCTGAGTTTTTTCATTATTTGCGCTTCAGCTAAGAAATCTTTTGGATCCATTGTTCCTGGTTTTAGTGTTTTAATTGCCACTGAAGTTGTATTATTCCAAAGACCCTCCCATACTTCTCCAAATTGACCTTGACCCAATTTGCGAACAAATTTCAATGTTGTCTTATCAATTTCCCATTGATCCCTAGTTCGATGACTAAGTCCCTCGGTTACGGGTTTCTCAACCTATATAAAAACAAAATCATTTACAATTTTTATTTGTTAAAAAAAATTTGTTTGAAGTTTTTTTTTTTTGATACAATACTCGTACGAGAAATTATTTTTCAAGCAGTACTCACCTAATTTTAAAAAAATTTAATTTAATATAAATATTTTAATTAATTAATTTTTTAATTACATTGAGAATTAAAATAATTTTCGAAAAAAATTAATTTTTTTTTTATTAAGAAAAAAAGCTAAAAAAAATATTTTAGGCTTCAATGTAAATATTTGGACGCCAATTAGTTTTTTTTTTTTTTTTAGCGAGAACCATTTATAAAATAATTACTCGCATACATCGGTTGAAAGTTAAAGCAAATGAATAATATTTAGCTGTGAAAGTATCATGATTATGAAAATGAAATGAAAGTTCTCAAACGTAAAATGTTAAAAATCTTCCTTACGATTCAAATTAATACAACTAAATAAAACAGAATTTTTTTAAAATAATGTCTCATTAAATATTCAATATTAAAAAGCGTTAAATTTATTATTTTCCTAGCAAATGGGAAAATTTTTTTCGCCGTGATAAAAACAAAAAAAAATATATTCAATTTAAAATTTTAACCTAAAATTTAAATAAAAAATAATTCTGTAAAAAAATTTCTTTATAAATTTTTAGTAAATCTATTTTAAGTTTGCTTCATTTGTCATGCTTCACAGAAAAGTTTCCTGACATAGAGAGAAATTTCCAAAGTTGCACGTAATTAATCATTAAAAGAAAACTAATTACAACTAAAACTTGGTCTGTTAATTACAACAGGAAACTCTCTGTACATAACTAACAATAAGTGAAATAGCATTTTGTTAAGCAAGACTGCAACTAAAGTGTTTAAAAAAAATGTTATTAAGAACTTAATAAAATATTAAATTTAATTAAAAATTTTTTTCCAAAAAAAAAAATTTAACATTTACGCCATAATATTATAATTATTATTTAATACAATTGGAAATTTTTATACAGCATTTTTTTTCCCCCTTACTGAATTCGAATCTTCACAAATTCTTTCAGTCATCTTACACCAGTCTGTGGTATTGATTTAGCATTTAACCATATATAAAAACTCTCATAAAATATCACGCGCTTGCAATAAGTATTGAATTTGAGAATTTTTAACACATGCGATAAAATATTTTATAAATAAATATATAGACAAGTATCGCGACAAATTATAATAAAAATAAAATTATCTTTGTTGAAGAATTTGAAAAATATAAATAATCACAAAATTTATTTTTCATCTTAATTATATTCTCTTATCGATGTTGTAAATTCATTGTGAATTTTTTCACATTAAAAAGATTTATCAAAATAAAAAAAATGGTGAATCTAAAATATACATGAAATGCAAATTCTAATTTCTAAATATGGAACTATATGTTTGTGAAATAAAATCCCATATAAAACAGGCTTGTGCTGGTATATGAAGATTTGATAAGATGACAAATCGCGTATGTTAAGTGACGTTAAGTGATTATTGGGACATTAAATTTACCAAGAAAATCCAGCGGGAGTTGGGGTAAGCAAAAACAGAAATAACAAAATCTATTTCAAATAACAAACCTTGCAAAAAAAATTATTATTTTTAATCTCTTAATTAAATTAAAAAAGAAACGCCAATTCTTTTGTTCATCGATTAATAATAACTAAATAATTAAAATTAATTCAATAATAAATTATTATTTAAAATAATAGATATTTGAAACTGAAATTAATTTTCAACAAACCACTTTTTTGTCCTTTGATATTAAAAAGATGTTAATTAGTTGTAAAAATCATTGTAAGGTCCAACTTGGAGTTTAAACAGTGCAAAATTTTCTAATTAGAAATTCATTTTGTGAAAAAATATTCTAAAATTACGACAATAATTGTATCATGCAATTAGTCGTTTTTACTACATCAAAGGATTATCAAATCCTTTGTTAAAAATTTGTATCTCTAAAAGCAGCAAGTCAGGTTTTTTTTATTGTTTTCAACAAGTATTCGAATCTTCGACATGCAACGAGCTGTCTAAACTCCATTCAGACAATATATGTATATAAATAATTATAATAGAATAGCTCTTAGAAAATTAACACGCTTACCTGTACACATGGTTTGCATAAATTAACACAAAGTCCATCAGCATCTTTACTGTAATGTTCGACAAGATCCTGAAGATTCCTGAATGTTGTTCGCCTTGCAATGAAGAAGCCACCCTCGTCCAGTTGCCTTATACGATAATGTTTCACAGTGTCTCCGTCTCTCACTTTAAAAAATAAATATATAAATTTGCAAAATGCCTTTGTAAAATAAAAAATAAATTCTCTAATGTTAATATTATTGAAAATAAAAATATAGAATATGAATATAATAAATAATTTATAGATTTAATTTTCAAAATGAATTACCTGAAAGTGAATAGTCATTGTGTCGACTTTCAGAATCTCGAATTAGAAAAGCTCCATGAGCATTCTCAGGCAAAAGAAGTTTCTTCTCAGCTTCGATTCTTTTAATTTTTCTGAAGTACCATCTAAAAAAAAAAATTACAATTTTATTATTTTTCTATTCATCACTATTTTTAGAAAAATAAAAATTGAAAAATTAAAACAAAATATAAAAATATATAATTATTTTTATTTATATTAATCTCCAAATTATTTTATTTTTCACTATTTTGTTTTCATTTATTTCTCCGACAGGTCAATAATATCTTCATTACTGAACGATACTTTTTTAAATTGCAAATTAGACGAGTTATAGAAGGAACGGTAAATCGTGAATGTGATTTGCGTTTAATGAAAACCTACAAGTTTTATAAGGTCGGTTGGAGTCGACGGCCTTGTGCTTTCAGTTTTTAATGTTTTATTATTCAATTAAAAAAGAAGAAACTAATTTCATATAAATTAATTTATATTGCATTATAATTTTTTGTTTTTCTTGCGTGATTTACGAATTTTTACATTACAAAATTACAGAATAATAAAATAAGTAAAAAAAAAAATATAAATTTTTAATGTAGAATTTCAATTTTAATTTTTTTGAAAAATAAAATTTTAATTAATATATAAAAATAAACTTACGGCTCGGCTTCGATTGATTTCAGTTTTGCAACATAATTACTGGGAATGTAACCCTCTTGTCGTGTTCTCTTACTTCTTGCAAGCCACCAATCACCCTGTGTGTCATTTAAAATTTCCAAATGTTCACCTTTACGAAAACTAAGATCCTCATCAGTGCGTGCATCATAATCATAAAGAGCAACAAATATTTTCGCCGATGGAACATCAGTATGTGGTATTTGTGGCATTGGCCTAATTGGATCCGGTGGAGGTGTAGGAACACCACCCCCAGGACTTGCTTGTGAAGCCACAGCCATTTCAATACTAGGATTACCTATCCTATCAGGCTTCTCCTTTTCTGCATCTGTTTGATTACTGAAGCAATTTCCCATTTTTCCTCCTTTTTTATCGTATTTTTAAAAAAATCAAGTCTTTCTTCTTCTAAAGAAATATTATTTTAAACGAATTTTAAAATTCGCATGTCAAGAATTTCTTCATAAAATATATAATTAAAAATTTATGTATAATTAAAACTTTATAAAATTGTTAATCTTTGTCATAGATAAAGCTCGTTTATATTTGTCGTTAACACTTTTTTTTTTTTTTTTTTTAAAATACAAATTATATATTAATTAGAGTCAGTCTTGAAAATTAAATTTATTTTGTTTATTAGTTTCGAGAGCACTGACCGTCGACAATTTGTTCTCTTCAAACGATCGAATTCTCACGTCATCGAACATACGCGTGCGTGATCATTCTACATTCAAAATCCGCTTTCGAATTGGCGAAAGCAGCAGACTGCAGATAAATATCCTTGAATGATTTGGACGAAACTTTCATTGAATTCGATGATATAGAGAAACAATTACACTTGATTTATATTAATCTGATTGTTTAACAATAATAAAATCGATAATAAATTACCTTATATCTATAAGGATGCAAAAGAACTTAACAAAGTACCGGAGACAATTTTCTAACAATCACTTCCTGATTGTTGGGATTTTCTTTTTTTTTTGTTATTTGTGATTAGCACCAATTTAACTTTTTAAAAAATAAATTGTAATTTAAAATAAAAAATTTTTAAATGGAACACACACATTTAAATTGCGAAAATGTTTTTTTGATTGTTGATGAATTTTCCGTATGAATTAGTTGAAGGCAAGAAATCGCCATTGTACCTTCAGAAATCAACACACCGATCCGTCAAACGACACAGGGAGACAATAAAATGTCAAACTAAATACAGTAGATCAAAAGCGAATTACACGGGAAAATCACAAGCACCATTAAAACTTTTCTTTAAAGATTCAAGACATTGTTTTCGAGGCGTTTTTTCGCAATTATTTCACAAGATGTACAAAGTGAAAACACCCATCCTGAAGGTGGTATCAAACGGAATGTCTTCGGCAATGTTCGGTTTTATTCGTGGAAAAAAGGCGTGGAGTACACGGCCATTTTTAAAACCACTGTACAAAAGCGGGAAAATTCAAATTAACTTTCAGAGATTAGAAAAAAAAAACTCCAAGTTTGGCTTGTTATATCAATTTTATCAAACATGTTAATTATTTATTCGCGTCGTGTTATAAATTCCGCTTATTTATTTATAATTAACATTAAAGCATTCAAACAATCGCCAGTACACTCTCAAAACATTAAAATAAAATGTTATACAATTCCAAAAATTCAGACTTTTATAAACTTTTTTTTTTTTTTTATTATTATTCACAGAATAATTAGATATTATTTATTATTTGACGAATAATTGGAATAGTTGACATTTTTCATTTAAGATTTAAAGCTCGTCGCACATTGAAAAATGTAACTATTTTGCCATCATTTTTTTTTTTTTATTGGATCAGTCTCTCAAATTTTTTTCCGCTTCTAATTAATTTAACTAGCCTAATTATATAAAAATTGTTATAAATTGTAACTCCAGAACGAGTATTAAAAATAAAACAGGAGAAAAAAAAAATGGTTATTCAGTAGGATTTTCATCGGGAATTGGAATTTCAAGAAGACGAGGTCCATAGAGTAGTACATAGGCGCAATGCCAATCACCACCGCCGCTTAATTTTAAAACATCTTCACTTGTTATTATACTGACATTATCGTCGTCACATTTTATCCAAGTGTCACCTTTTTGACGTACCCAGGCAACATAATGTCCACTGCTACTCGAACGACCTTGATGCGTTAAAACTGCTTGTAATGTATAATAACCGCTGTTATTCGAACCAAGATCTGAAAAAAAAAAAATTACATAAGTTTATTTAGAAAATAATTAATTATTTTTTATTTTATTTACCATTTTCAAAACAGAAGGGTTCTTGTTTTGTTTTCTCCTCCTTTTCGTCGCCTTTATTTCGTTTATCCTTTAAATTTCTCGCCTCCTCAACTTGTTTGTCCTCGAGTTCCTTGAATTTGTCTCTAACTGGAATAAGTTTTTGTTGCAATTCAGGTGAACATAATTCAAAAGCATCGAATTCAAGAGGAAATTTCACATCCTTAAGTATCTTTGCATTTATCGCTCCTTTTTCTTTATAATAAAAACGAACAAATTGTATCGTCAAATACGCTGGCAGCCTGCTAATCTTCGACTGAAATTAAAATTTCAATTTTATTTTCTTTTTATAAAAAAATTTTTTTAATTTTAATTACCGTTTTAGTATATATTGCATCTCGTCCTAATGTTGATGAATGTTTCGTAATTTGTTCCTGCATTTTATTCCTGAGTCCAGAGTGCATATACTTAACATCAGTTGAAATAAAACAGCTCAATTGCAAAAAATCCTCTTTTCCTTTAGATGGTGTCTCTTCCTCCGATTCGATGCATTTCAATTCCGTATCAAATGTCCCACCAAAATATTGTTCAATCAATGAAGAATGTTTACTTCTCTGCTCACCATCGCCAATTTCATTTGGATATTCCTGAAAAAAAAATGACTAATAAAAAAAAAATTCTTTTCTAATTTACAAAAATTACAATTTACCTTTGGTGGTAATTTTTCTTTCAACATTCGTATAATTTCAGTCCAACATTCATTTGCGTCTTGCTGTTGAAAACCACCGTGTTCCGATTTCTCGGCAAAACGTGGAAACGCCAAATGCACCATTTGAACTAAAACAACAGGTGGCAAGGAAGCGCCTTTATCCATTCCCTCATATAAATCACGAAGTGACGCTGTAATACTTTGAGCAGGTACAATAAATGTATTACTGCTTGGTGCAAGTCCACCGGAAAATTTTTTTAATGCATCACGTAATTCGGGTACTGTTTTTAAACATTGAACAGTTGCATTTAAATAACACGTATTACCAAGATTAGTTAAACCTGCTGGTAAATCTAATGCAGTTGCCAATTCCGATTCATTCATATCCTCGAGAAAAAGTGGTTTCTCCGTTGGTTCCATTGGAACATCCTCTTCTTTCGAGCCCATCATCAATACAGTAACACCCTAAAAAAAAAAAAAAAATTTAAAATTAATTCTCCACAATAAATATATATATATTTTAATAAAATAAAAACTTACATCCTTCAATTTCATTATTCCCCAGTCCTCGTCCTTAAGCGTCATTCCTTTAAGCATAACTTTTTGCCTTTCTGGTTGAACACCCGTTAATGCAAAAAGTTGTGCTTTAAATAGCATTGGTTCCTCGTCAGTATTAACTTCTACATTTGGAAAAAGTTCCTTGCCCCATTTCACTTTAACTGTAATTAAAAAAATTACAGAATTACATATATATTTTATTATTTAAAATAAAAATATCACTTATAGGTTAGAAACGCATGACATTTTTTGTTTATTAATACTTACTTGAATATTGTGGCATTTTTTTCACTATTTTTTACAAATACAAATTGAAAACACTTATTATAATTAAAAAATTGAATTTAATTGTCAATATAAGTGAAATAAAAGTTGCCAAATAAAGTTGCAAGTCAGACTACTTTTACGACAACAGATGATTGTGCCGCCCGCACCACTGGATTCAAAAATCACTCCGTTTACATTGATGACACGCACGTTGTCAAAAAAAAATTTTTTATATATTTAAAAAAAGAAAGAAATTATTGTTAAATAATTGAAATCGATAAACAGTGTAATTTTACAGGAAAAACAATAAGTGTAAATTAATATATATAAAAAAAAACAATATGAAACAAAACATAACCTATAAATGTAAATAAAATTTTTTACAAAATGGTAAATAACATAAACTAAAATATAAAATGGTTTTTATAAATCGAGGACTGTTTTATGCAAAAAAAATCGAATCTATAGAGAAGGTAGGACAAATTTTTACTATTTTCGCTTTAAATTAAAAAAGAATACAATATTTTCTTGAATAAATTAAAATTATTTTATTATTTAATTTAATTTTCTATTTTCACACAATGAATATTAAATAAATTCTAAATAGAGAATATCTATTAAATAAACAAATTTTTATGTTTATAAATTTTTTACTTTAGCCTATGAGAAATTTTCTACGTAAAGGTTTCGTGGATCATCTTCGAATAACTGTAAAAGCTGGACATGGAGGTTCAGGACTTCCAAAATACGGTGGCAAAGGTGGTCGTGGTGGTCATGTTTACATACAAGGATCCGATTATTATACATTAAAAGCAACTGAGAGATTAATAAATGCAAAAAAATTACAAGCTGAACCAGGAACAAATAGTTCTGCACACGGTTTAATTGGAACAGTTGGAAAAGATTTAATTATTAAAGTTCCAACTGGAGTTGTTGCCTATGACGACAACGGCATTACAATTGGTATATATATTTATTATTTTAATTAATAAATTTTAATTTATTTATCTTTTATATTTCAACTAGCAAAATTAAACGCTCGCAAGCGCGCTAAATTTAGTATTTAATTGTTTGTTTTAAAGAAATTAAAGATTAATATTATCAATAATAATTTAATTTATTAGAATATTATTACATATTAAATGGTAATAATGAAAATTATATGTTTAGAGGCCTCGGATTATACGACTTTTTCCGACTTTTTTCAAAAATACGATTTTTATCGACTTATTTTAATAAAATGCGACATTTTTTTTTACATTTGAAAAAAAATGTAAATAAAATACATTTTTTTAGTATAAAATGTAGATCTTCTTCAGATCTTCTTCAATTCAATTATTTAACAAATTTTGAACTAAAATGATTCTTCACTAAATTAATTATTTTTAATAATTTTAATGAAATACATCACAAATTCAATTATATCAAAATTATTTTCCAATTAAAATTTTTATGAAATTTAACAATTGTTTATAATTTTAAAAAAAATATCACAATAAAATTGAATTATTTTTTAAAAATTTCAATTCAAAATAAACTAAAATTCAATTATTTTCCAAGTATTCAATTCAAAATAAACTAAAATTCAATTATTTTCTTAAAATTGTGATTTTAAAATCAACTAATATTCAATTATTTTCAAAATTTTAATTAAAATTCAATTATTTCCCAAAAATTTTCAATTTAAAATCAAATAAAATTTAATTATTCTCAAAAATTTGAATTCAAAATTAATTGAATTTTCAATAATTTGAATTTAAAAGCATCTAAAATTTAATTATTTCTAAAATTTTCCATTGAAATTTTTTTTTGTTTGAAATTTAATAATTTCAATTATAACTCTAAGGAAATTTAATTATTTTTAACTATTTTAATAATATTCTTTGAAATTTCAACTATCTGAAACCATTTTTCAATTAAAAATGATTTTCAAATTATTGTATTTTGTCCGCATTTTCTAATAAATTTTTAGTGAAATCATCTAAAATTTTAATTACAAAACACTTAAAGTTTCAATTAATTTCAAAAATCTTAATTTTAAATCTTTGAAAATTAAATTAAATTTAAAAAATGTTTTCCAAAAATTGTTTGATAAATTATTTTTAGTTCTGTAAAATTTAATAATTGTTTGAAAATTAACAATATCTTTTGAAATTTAAATATTTCTAAAAATTTCAATTTTAAAGCTTCGAAAAGGATTATTATTAAAAAAAAATTTTTATTTAAAAAACTGTAAAATATTTTTGTTAAAATAAAAAACAAATCCACTTTTTTTTGGAATATAAATCGACTGAAACGACTTCTTGTGTCTCTAAGTTGATTCGAGGCCTGTGTTTTTATAATTAATATTTAATAGGTATTCGTTGACCCCTGGTACCTTAAAAATTAATTTTTAAAAATAAATTTTTTTCAAATTACTATCTTGTACGAAATTTCCTGGCGCATATTTTTTCTCATCATAAATTTTTTGTATTTGTATACAATTTTTGAATCAATATACAAGTTTAAAAAAAATTTCGTTGGTAAACGTTGTGTACTTCAGCTTCGTGAATTGAATTTTCGAATTTGGAATTTTAAAGAAACTTATTCCGAAATTTGGAAACACAATTATACAACTTTGGCAAAAATGAAATGCCAACTTCAAGTTAGGACAGAAGGACAGACCAAGCATTTTATTATTATATAATTTTTTTAATTCTATGTATTTTAATGGATAAAATTCTTCAAATTTTCAGGAGAAGTAAATACAGCAATGTCACAATTAAAAATAGCAGAAGGAGGTCTTGGTGGTTGTAAAGAAACAAATTTTTGTGGACGAAAAGGACAGATGCGTACAATAAATTTAGATTTAAAATTAATATCAGACATTGCTGTTGTTGGATTTCCAAATGCGGGAAAAAGTACACTTTTAAAAGCAATCTCACGAGCTTCTCCAAGAGTCGCGGAATATCCATGTAAGATAATTAAAAATAATTTTCATTTATTTTTAATTTAAAAATAATTTCTACTTTCAGTTACCACAGTGAGGCCAAATATTGGAATAATGGAGTTCACAGACCTGAGAAAAATAACTGTGGGTGATTTGCCAGGATTAATAGAAGGAGCACATCAAAATGTTGGCATGGGTTATAAATTTTTGAAACACATTGAAAGATCTAAAATGTTATTATTTGTCGTTGATATTCAGGGATTTCAATTGTCACCAAAACATATTTATCGAAATTGCCTCGAAACAATTGTATTACTCAATAAGGAAATTGAACTCTATAAACCTGATTTAATTGATATGCCAGCAATGCTTCTTATTAATAAAATGGATACACCGGACGCTAATGATAATTTAAAATCATTTCTTCCAAAGATAGAGGATTTAAAAAAATATCTTCACGAATTTCCAGAAGAAATTCGTCCCGAAAATGTTGTCAAGTTCTTGGACATTTATAAAGTTACAATGTTAAACATGACGTATGACGAGAAAGAATTACTTAAATTTAGAATAAGAAATACTTTAGATAAATGTACGTCCATTGAGGAATTTAATAAAATAGGTGCTGAGCCAGTTTTACAATTAATTGAGCGAATGAAAAAGGATACGAAAAAAATAGCTCCACTTTTAGTATAAAAAAAAAAAAATACTGTAAATATAATTTTTTATTTCAATTATTAAAATGTTTACAAAAAATTATTGATATTTAATTATTAATTTTAATTTTAAAAAAAGGATAATTTTAAATACACGTGTGGATAGAAAAAATTCTTATATAATATTTCAAAGGCACTATGTCAGTAGGAAATTTCTCATTCGACATTGAATTTATTTATAAATTTGGCTGGTTTATGCATTCAAATTCAATGTTAAGTTTCCGTAAGTTCAGATCGTTCAGTGACCTGCCAACTTTCAGTCAACACGCTTTTTTTTCAAATTAATTTATTATTTATTTTTATAAAAATGGAAAATCCAATTTACGAAAACGTAATAAAATTATACAATGAAAATAAATGGCGAGAAATTGTTGAATTATTAAATAATTGTGATATTGAAAATAGTCGACAATTACTTTGGGTAACGCCGAATTTAAAAAATTTATCATGGATCACTAATATTATAAAAGAAACAAATTTAAAAGGAATTATCAGTGTTGGTTGTGGTTCCGGTTTACTCGAATGGTTAATTCAACAAAATTCCGGTAAGATTACATTGTTCAAAAAAAAAAAACAGAATCAAAATTACAAAAATTAATTAATGAAAAAAATCAAATTACAAAAATTAATTAATGATAATATTTCTAGATTGTGAAATTCATGGCATAGAAATTGATAAATCATGGTGGTGCTGTAAATATTCACCTCCAATTTTTCTAAAAAACATGACATTCGTCAACGAAACAGAAAATATAGTTCATGTTCCGGAGAATTATGCATTACTATTTTGTTATTTTAACAATGAGCCAGTGTTTTTAAATTATTTATGTGAATTTAAAGGAAATGTCATTATTGTCATTGGACCAGCTGAGGGACAAAATCGTTACACAATGCCTTTGCCATTTGATAAAAAATTTATCGAATACGGTTGGCAATTAGGCAAATCGCATGAAATCTCATTGTCCAATGACTATATCTGTGTTTATTTTAGATAGTTGATTTTTGTTTTTTTGAAAAATAAATATCATCGGCTGTGACGTTTAATAAAATACTTTGATGTAAATCAGCTCCATTGTCCCATAATATTAATCTCCATGATGCTAATTTTCGACAAATTTCCAATGTTTGCGTTATATTTGGAACTTCTTCGCCTGTAAATATATTAATTATTTTAAAAAAAAGAGAGAAATTAGTAATTTTTGTTAGAAGTTTAAAAATATTTGTTAACCTTCAAGAATGCATATAGCGTCAAATTGTGTGTAAATATTTTTAAATGTGACTTGTTCAATTCCGGTTCTTGTCACCTCTTGGCAAACTGCTTCCAAAAATATTTTCTCCATCGTCGAACAACATTTGATAGCTTGAACACGGGGATTTGCTATCATTTCATCTAAAGCGGAAGTAACATCCAAAATTGTGACAAATTCTCTATTATTACTTTCAGTGATTTCTGTTGCTCGACGACAAATATCTAAGGCTCGTCGTGCATCGCCGGAAACAGAGGCTACTTTTCTATTTTTAAAAAAATGAAATTTAAAATTTAATTAACTAATCAATTTTAATGAAATAAATTTGATAAAATTAAATAAATTTAAATACCTCGCAACGAGTTGAATAGCTTCTGGTTTAAATCCCTCCATGTCTTTGAGTCTTGTTTTTACGATTTCCATCAGTTGCACATGATTATAGGGACTAAATGTTAATCTCGTGAGTCCTAAACGTGAGGTGACACGACTCATTAAAACTCTTTCCGGTAAATCCATTGTGTTGGCAATCGTTATCACAACTAAATGTGAACTTTTGTGCGTTGGCCAATCCAAAAGATTGTAAACCACGTCCTGACGTTTTGTGCACAAAAGATCCATCTGAATTTTGAAAAATTTATACTAAATTGTAATTGCAATACTAAATATTAAAATTAATATTAACATTGGACGATAAATATAAAAACTATTAAAGCAATACAAAAATAAATAAAACAGTAAAAAAAAAAGTAAAACTAAAAAAATTAATAAAACAGTAAAAAAAATAAGTAAAACTAAAAAAATTAATAAAACAGTAAAAAAAATAAGTAAAACAGTAAAAAAATGTAATTTGCACAGTAAAAATTGAAAAAAAAATGAAGCAAATAATAAGAAAAATAAAATAACCTCATCAATAAGCAATAAAGTCATATTTCTACGAGATGCAGATGTTGTAAACCTATGATGAAGAGAACGATGAGCCTCTTCCCATGTACTTGTGTTTCCTGTTAATTTTTTATGAATTTGCACATAAGCTTGACGTGGTTCGGTTAATTTCATTCCATTAATATCAACAAATTGAAATGCAGGTAATTCGCCTTTTGATTCTAATTTTTTCAAACACGTTATTACTTCATTTACAGTTGCAGTTTTTCCCGTACCAGGTACTCCACTGATATAAATGCATCTGAAAATAAAAATAATAAAATTACCAAATAAAAAAAAAAAATTTTGTTTGCTTTTTAAAATTAAAAATTAATTTACCCTCCAATCTCTTCAGTGAGTTTTCCTTTGAGAAATGTGAAAATATCATTAAATTCAGCCTCACGACATGGCAATGATTTAGGCACAAAACTAACATGTAAACGAGTTCGAAATTCCTGAAGATTTGTTTTTGGTTTAGGAACATTGGCATTTCTCATTTGCATACTAGGTGTCAATGTACGTCTCATTTTTGGTGTCAATATATTTCTTTTTGGAGTTCCTAAAATATCTAATTTTTTTCTCACAGGAGTCGAATTATGACTTTTAGTTGGCGTTTTTTTATGTTTATGTGGTGTTCCTTCGTAATCATTATCTTGATCGGGAATAATTTTCTTTTTTCTAGTACTCCTTTTTTGTTCATTTTTCGGAGAATCTTCATTGTCTGTTTGATTTTCATTAACTGAATTTAAAGACTTTTTTCTAGTACCTCTTTTTTCTTCTCTTTTCGGTGAATCTTCGTCATCTGATTGACAACTTTGATTTTCATTAACTGAATTTAAAGGCTCTCTTATTGACATTCTTCGTGTCATCATTCGTTTCTGTGTTGTTTCATATAATTCATTTTCATTAGGCACATCATTTCGTTTTTTACTTCGTGTTTTGCTATCAGAAGATGATTCATAATCACAATAATTTACCGATTTACGATCTCTGAGATTTCTTCCACTTGGCGTTAAATTATCATTATTTAATGTTCTACGAGAAGAACGTGTACTAGGTGTTCTAGGTAATAATTCAGTTGAATTTTGTATTATTGAATTACGAGTTTTTCTTGCAGGCGTTTGTCTTAATTCTTTTTTCACTTTAACTTCTTTAGTACTTATATCTAAATTTTTCATTGATTGAGTCAAATCATTTTTTGGTTTCATATCAATTATATTTTCATCGTCAGAATTGTCGGAATTAAACAAAAATTGTTCCACTGATCCTTCAAATTTATCGCGGTCTGGTTTTAGGCATAATTTAAATTTAAATGGATCGGCCATAGCTTTCACAATGTATCTATCTATAAAAGATTATAAAAAAACAATAGATTGTAATAAAACATAAATTAAACAATGAAAAATTTTGACAATGTATAACCTAAAATACAAAGGTTTTTTTTATTGTAATTGAAAAATATTTCTAGCTCTATAATATATGAATAAACAGTATACTGATGTGTAAACTAAATTAATTATTTATTATTTATTGCAATTTACCCATTTTTATATTTTTTTCTTCTTCTTCTTCGCTTGACTCACTTGACACACACATTTCTTGTTTTTTCCCATTAATTTGAGTTCCTCTATTTCCTCTATTAGAATTTTTATTAGTTTTCCTATGAGGTGGCATTTCACTAATTATTTTATATTTTTATTTTCACAATTAAAAATTAAAAAGAAAATTTTTTGTGAGCGTGTTGACACAACACCGGCTCTTTAATAAGCAGAGTGTCCAACTTTGCGGTTAGAAAAACTGGGAAAATAAATTTTAAAGTCAAAAGAAGATTGGTTGAAATGTTCCCCAGGAGTGCCAACATGAAATCGCAAAATTTGAAAATAAAACAAATTTTCAAAATAGTAAAAATAGAAAAAAAATCTTTGTGTTACAAAAAAGTAATAAATATATTTTTCTAAATAAATAAATAATTAATAAAAAATAAAAATTCAAAATTACAAAAAAACATTTTTCAATTTTGTGTTAAAAAAAATTGCTTTAATTTATTAAATTTTATTACAATGTGTAAAATTTTTAAACAACTAATCATTACGAAATTTATACTGATTCCTCTTGTTCAAATTTGGGATATTTTTGTTCAACTTCCTTCCAAGTTATTTTTCCATTCGAGAGATCTCTTACAACTTCCGGCAATACATCCAACTGAAAAAGGAAAAATTTAAAGTTTTATTAATTATTTTAATAATTATTAATTTATTTTATTCTTCTAAATCAAAATTACTTACATTTATTCTAACTTGTTTCATTGAGTCACGTTCTCTCAATGTTGCACTGTGAGGCATTTTAAAAGTATCAAAATCAATTGTAATTCCAAATGGAATTGCAATTTCATCAGTTCTCGAATATCTACGTCCAATACTGCCTGATGAGTCATCGACTTTATGTGATACGTCATTATTCGTTAAATCTCGAGCTAAACAAAAAATAAAAAATTAATTCAATGAAATTAAAGTAAATTAAATTTATTAATACTCACATAGATTCTTCACGAAGGGATCGAATTCCGCATTATTTCCAAGAGGCAAAACAGAACATTTCAATGGCGCAATAACAGGCGGAAGACTGAAATAACTTCTCTGTTCGTCGCCTTCTCTCATTTTAAAACTGTGTTCAAAAATTGCGTACATCACACGACCAACGCCAAAAGATGGTTCAATAACCGATGGTGTTATTTCTTCAACATGAATCATTTTCTGATATCGTTTCACCGTTACCATTTCTTCTTTAAGTTCACAAGATGCACCATCGGCTAATTGTAAATCAAATGAGCCTTTTGCTTTAAAATCAGCTTCCATTGAATCAATATCGCATTCTTTTAAAGCAGCAAGAGAGGATAAAATTTCCTTAGCGTCTTTTTTGAATGTTTTACCAATTAGGCCACGATTTGGTGCCGCTTCAACTACATTAATTTGTTTTGGTTCCATTAATTTCTTATCGGCAACCAATTTTACACCCGATGATTTTGTATGTTGAGTAAGATCATAAGCCGATCTATCAGCACATCCAACACATTCAATCCATCCATACGATGTTAAACACTCAGCGTCCCAACAATCGCAAGCATAGTGTGCCATTTCATTTCCCATATGTTGACGAAAACGTAATTTATTCGAATCAACGCCAATTTTCAATAAAAATAATTGAATTCTCGCCATAAAATAGCCAAGTGTTTCATTTGCCACAAGACCATTTTCAACTGCATTTCCAATTGTTATCGTCTCCGCTGATTTGCCATCCATTTGATTACAAGCCGAATACAATAACATTGGTGTATTTTTCACATTATCAAATTTCGGATGACTCTTGTCCTCAGGATCGCAGAAATGTTCAATTTCCGCCATTGTGAATTCCCTCACTCGAATCAATCCCGATCTGTAAATGATTTATTTATTAAATTTAAAAAATTTAAAAAAAAGAGGAAAATTATTACCTTGGTGATATTTCATTACGAAAAGCATTTCCAATTTGTGCAGCGGCAAATGGAAGTCTCTTTTGATTAAATTCCAATAATCTTTTGAAATTCACAAAAATTCCCTGCGCTGTTTCAGGTCTCAAAAATCCCTTCACAAGCCCTGTGGGTCCAATTTGTGTACCGAACATTAAATTAAATTCCACTGGATCGGTTAAATCATTTCCTGAAATTGGCGATTTCATATTAAATTTTCGTAAAATTTCTGTCATTTCACTTTTATTCATTCCATCGAGTTTGATAATTATATCATTACATTCTTCTTTAATAATTTGAGTGCATTTTTTGTCAGATGATACTTTTTCTAAATGATTTTTTATTAAATGATCCAATCGAAAGCATTCGCCATTTTTTACATCTTTCACCATTAAATCAGCGAATCTATCAACGTGACCCGATGCTTTTAATATTGGTTCAGGTGTTAAAATTGAACAATCAACCTCTAACATTTGTTCCTCGAGAATAAAAAATTTCCTCCATTCACTGAGAATATTTGCCTTAAATGAACAGCCCATTGGACCAAAATCATATAATCCTGTAATTCCACCATAAATCGCAAATGATTGATCATAGAAAAATCGTCGTTTCAATAAATCTTCCATACGACCTCTATCGAAATTTGCTGCTTCTGGAATTAATGACAATTCTTTATCTTCAAGTAATTTTTTACGAATCTTTAATTCTGCAACAGCTTTTTTAACATCAATTTCTGGCGCTCCATCGGCTTTTAATTGACGTACTTTATCTCCCTGAAATTATATATATTTATTTTTAATTTTCAGAATTTAGAAAATAAAAAAAAAGTAACAAATAATTGTCAAAAAAAAGATAGAAAAAACTTAATAGTATAATAAAAAATACGAAAAAGTTTTAAAAAATTAAAATCCATATGGAATACTCACTTGTTCTTTGACACTCGCACGATACGAGGTCAATTCTTCTTCAATTTTAGGATCTGTCATGTTGACAGGATAGTGTAATTTTTTTTTATTAGATTTTGCGGTAATAATATATGAATAGGATTTGGTTGTAATTAAAGACGCGTTCCTTAATTGTTGCAGCAAGTACACGTGCCTTTCAACAGAGTCAGCGCTACAGTGTTTTTGTAATCTCCATGCGAATTTCACAATATTCGAAAAAATCTGCATTCGCAAATATTATCAAATTGACAATACACTTCTTCGACAACATTCAATCTATTTTATCACTTTTAAAAAAATTCGCTCACTTTAAGAATATTAATACTCTTTATTTTATAATAAATTAAAACATTTTCCCAAAGCAGAATACTTTCGCATGTGTTAGAAAAGGAGGGAAATATATTTGTGTCCTTTTCTCTCTTTTTGCAAATTGTGTATTGACCATTAACGTAACTGAAAGGCGGATTTACAACGATCACATTGCGGAGATTCCTTTACAAATGTCACATTTGGGACGTTCCATGGACGTTCCAAGACGTTGTTCTTGTGTATTTTGAGTAGTCTATGGAATTTTTTATAATCTCTCTCCTCTAGGAATAATTTGTGCTTATCGGGATTATCTCGGTGTAATATTGCTTTTTGTAAAGTGTTTTTAATCATATTCGAATATGTGAAAATATTCTAATCGCGATTATATTTAAGGGTGGATTATTAATTTCAAATAGAAAGAGAATGTTTTCTTATGCATTGCAGAAATCATCTCACAAACTTGTCGATGTACGTACACGAAGCTGTAAAGTCGAAAGTGCTGTATACAAGTGATGTTTGCAATTATATAGTGACTCCTCTTGAGTATTAATAATAATTTGACTAATTGTATTAAAGAACGCAAAATAAAATTAATGCTGTAAATTATAATAGCAATTGGTGTTTGTAATTATGATTAAAATTGTATTTTTTGCATTTTGAGTATAGTTAAAAGTGTAATGGTGACATTGATGTTAGAAGTGGTGGAGTGTATAATAAAGTGTAGTGGCGTGAAGAAGTGGAAGTGGAAAGCGGCCGGCTGCTTGTTTGGCCGCTTTGCTCATCCCCGCTTTGTGTAATCGATTTGCGTTTCAAGCGTTTTATATAAATTTGGACGAACTCTGATTAACCGTGAGGTATGTAATTATTTTTTGTTTTTTTTTTTATGAATATAGGTGTGTTGGGTATCAAAATAATCGAGAGAATGAAATGAATGCAACAATTGTCGTAGAATGCTTGCTTTAATGAGAATGATTGGAAAATTAATTTGGAAAATGCAAGACTAGCGTCGCGTATGTTAAAAAAGTTGTAAATGCTTATATATATTTTTTTTAAAACTGATTATATTATTTAGAAATATGTGGGTCAAAATTTCTCAATTCTGCCTAAAATTTTTTTTTGTATTTTGCCGACTTGTTTTTATTATTATTAATTGAATGGTAATTAAAATAAACGGTCTGAAATTTTTGTCATTTAATTAACTGTTTTTTAAAAAATCGTAAAATAGTAATTAAAATTTTATTTTTAACCTCGATTTTAAGTTTAAAAAAAACAGTTTCTCAGTCATTAATTGTTTTCCTGTTTTTTATACTAAAATTCTTGTAAATAAAAATGTTTTTCGTAATTTTGCCAAAGAACAAATTTTTTGACCTACTTTTTGAATTACTCAGACTTAAAGTAAAAAGGACTAAGTTTTTTTTTTTAAGACAAAGGAGAAAAATTGTTTAATTCCTTTAGTTTGGAAACGAAGTGTTGATTTTTCCCCATATGTTAAAGAAAGACAATCATTTTCGTTTTGCTGAAAATGTGTATTTTTAAATATGGTTATTTGAATATAAGATTTGAAAACGTGGAACGTTGTAGTAGCACATGTAGTACGAACGAATAGGAAAATAGTTGTCTATGACCCCCCCCCCCTCTCTCTCTCTTTCTCTCTCTAAACATTGTAGTTCAATAGACAAATTTAATAGCCACGTCACTATTAATATAAAAATAGTCAAAATTATTTCACCTATTTTTATATATTTTTTTTGCATTTGTAATTAATAGAATCATTTATTTATTTATATAAAATTTTCCTAAATATTTATAAGCAGAATGGAAAAGAAATTTATAAAATTAAATAGAAGATTTTTTTTTTTTCGATAGGTTTTCAAAAAAAAATAAATTTGGTACAAAAATTATTTTTTGAAAACAAACATCTTGGTCTGCTTTTCGAAGAAAATTTTGGGGTTCGGAAACAGGACAATTAAGTTAGCCTTAAATATATAAGCCCTAAATTACAATTCCAGGTAGAATTTCCTGCTAGTGTTTCTTCCGTATGTGGTCAAGCCAGTTTAACATTAAGCTGCATCTTTAACACAAGTTTCTATTGAAAATGCCAATCATTAAATTCTCCATTTGTACAATATTTTAAATAACTAAAGATAATTAAATTTTAATTGATTTTTGAATAGTTTTTTTTTACGTAAAATTCTTTTTTCTTTTAGAAAAATTGGAAAATGAAAAAAATAAATATAATTAATTAAAAAAAAATTGTAGAAATTATAAAAAAAGGGAAAACGAAATGAAATACATAGCTTCCTTGTCTCTAGGACGGGTTGCCAAGACCCTGATGAAAAATCGATTTCCCGTAGGGCACAAGGACGAAGGGGCAGAAGAGAGATGAAATTCGGGAAAATACGTGGAAAGAGAGAGATTGGTTTCTAGCTCGTTTCTGCGTAACCCTGTGCGCGCGTGTGTGTATTCTTTTTTGGATGAGTGGGGAGTGGTGAATGGTTGATATACCTAAAGTTAGTGGTGCGGGGTAGTTTACCCATGCCTACAAATACAACAGTAGCGGAATCAAGAATCAAGTCAGGCCGGTAAAGAAACGTTTTTGTCAGGATGATTTTAGAGAAGGGTAAGGAGAAGAGGTATAGAACAAAGCGTACAGACCGATAAAATAGGGTGGAGAGGAGAAGTAATTAATGTGCGACAATACCCCCCTGCCCAGTCCCCAGTCGCCCTCCTTATGTTTGAGGGGGCACCCTTCCCTGCGGTCCTTTACCACTATGCTTAGCTGCCATTGTGCCGATTATATTGGATTGTGCGTCCGAAGCATCAAAAAAAAAAAAAAAAAAATTTGTATTATCCCAATTCCGAAAAATTAAATTAGTTTGTTTTTGATATTTGATCATTCTTATAATCCTTGGTTAGTGAACCAAATCAGAAAAGTGAGGTTAGGACGAAACTTACAGTTATTATCTGTCTCAGAAAAAATGAGTATGTTACTAAAAAAAACAAAAATTGATTTAAATTTTATTTTTGATGATATTTATAAAATTTTGTAATTTTTACTCTGAATAATAATAATTTTGAAATAATTATTTTTCCAGCTTGAAAGAATGGAAGCCATGGATCTGGATGGAGATTCAGTTGTTGATCTAAGTGTCAGGTAAGATTTATAATTTTTATTATTTAATTTTAATTAAAATTCGTATTTTTAAATTATTATTATTTTTTGAAAATTTATAGCAGTGGAAGGAGGGAGTGTCCTCAAGTTTCCATCATACCTGGTGAATTTGGTTCACCAATGAATTTAGGAATACATTATGCAGCTAGCCCTAATATTGAAAATAATACATCAGAAACACGAAATATTCAAAATACAGCGCGAGGAATTCTTGCACCAAAATCGTGTGATGATAGAAGATCACGCCGTAATCTTAGGCCTAGAATTGAAAGAAGTTACGCTGAGAGTCCAGACGAACCTAGGCTAAATGGTTATGTTAATGGCAACACCTCTGATAGTGAAGGTAATTTTTTTAATTTTCAAAAAAAAAATTAATAAAATATTAATTTTCAAAAAAAAAAATTAATTTTAATATTATTAATTGATTTTTAGGTGAAATGCCACCATTACTTCCAATAAAAGAGCTTTCGTCTGATGAATTGGCAGAGAGGGAAAGAAATCTTAGAAAATTGAAAGAAGAATTGCGATCTGAAGAAATGAAATTGGTTCTTCTTAAAAAACTACGACAGTCACAGCAGTTGAAGGAAAATATTGCGTCAGTACCGAAGATAACAAGTAAAATACCACCTCCTGTAACTGTTCAACCTGCACCACATAGGTAAGTTATCTTTTTTTTTTTCAAAAATGATTTTGTGAAAATTCTCATATGAAAAATTAATTTTTCTTTTTAATTTAAGTCATAGAATTGGCAAAGCGCCACCACCATTGTTAAGAGGACAGCCTGCACCGAGTAGAAGTAGCAGCTTACATGCCCCACCACCGGGGATGTTATTACCACCTACAGCAAGTCGAAGTATAACCTCGAGTACTGGAATGCCGCCGAATATGGTGATACCTCAACCACCTCATCCAAGAGCAAGGCCATCGAGTGGAGCTCCAAATGTTCCAACTTATCATTCACCTGCCGATCGTACCGAAAGATCTACAAAAGATCCCACTCCTGTTCCAGCTCATCAGGTGCGTTTTTTTCTATTTATTAAATCGTAAACAAATTGTCTCAAAATTGAAAGCAGATGAATTCTAATTAATATAAAAAATTTTCATAAAGCATTAATTTTTATTTTATTAATTAAAAAGCAGCTAATTGGATCTCAAGAAAGTAAACCGCCCGCGCCTCTTAACACTCATACAATTCCGGAGCAGGTACAAAAAAAATAAATAAAAGAATTCTTTTCTTTTATCGAAATGTGGACAATTTTTTTTAAACTTTCGTTAAATATTTAATTTTACTTTCCTTTTTTTAAATCAAAATTTATTTAAATTACAGGAAAGAGTCAGGGAAGATAATCAAACACCGGCTCAACGTCAAGCGGCTGCAAAATTAGCATTAAGAAAACAATTGGAGAAGACATTGCTTCAAATACCGCCTCCAAAACCACCACCACCTGAAATGCATTTTGTTCCAAATCCCTCCAATACAGAATTTATTTATCTCGTTGGACTTGAGCATGTTGTTGATTTCATCACTAAGGAACCAGCGATTCCACCACCTCCCGAACCATTTGAATGCACACAATGTAAGACTGATTTTACACCCGTTTGGAAGTGGGAAAAACCACCAAATAGCAATAAAAAAGAACCAAGAGGACAGCACGCTACTTTCCAACGACCACCAGCTGGTCGTGATCCAAGAGTTATTTGTGAACATTGTGTTACAACTAATGTTAAAAAGGCACTTAAGGCTGAACACACTAATAGGTAGCTTGAAATTTATTTTTTTATTTAAAAGAAAAATGATTTTTGATGTCAAATTTTTGCTATGGTAATTAAGGGATTAAGAAATAATTAATTAATTTAAATTTCAGATTGAAAACAGCTTTTGTAAAAGCATTGCAACAGGAACAGGAAATAGAGCAAAGATTAGCTCAAGCGGCGTGTCCCAGTCCCGATCCACCGGTGGCAACGCCAAAATCTATTCCAAAGGCGGCTACTCCAACAAGAAGAGTGGCTACACCACCTGCGCCACCTCCACAAATTCCTCAAGCACCACCGCCAGCTCCAACTCCTCCGGCTCCAAAACTTCAGGAACATCCTCTGGTAAAACTTGCGGAAAGTGGAAAATTCACTCCACATCATGCAGCTGCAGCAGCACTTCAGCAACAGCTACTTAGGGGTATAATTTTTAAATTTTTTTTCTTTCTTAAAAAAAAGGAGAAAAGATACAATTTGAGGAAACAAAGTAGTTGACAATTTTTCCTTCTTTTTTTTAACTTTGTTTTCAACAAATATTTTTTCAGAGCTAGCAAAGAATCCTGTTGGATTACCGCCTCATCAACCACTTCCAGCTCACATGATGCAACCATTTAATCCACTTTTGTATCCTTATCAATTGGCAATGGCACAAGCAGCAAGTGGTAAAGGACTTGTTGAGCTTCAAAGACAAGCTCAGGATCTTCAGCGACAATATTTGCTCGATATGATTCCATCTCAAGCATCGCAAGCTCAAAGCAGTCAAGCTCAATCAAGAGCTCATCCACACAATTGGAAGACGTAACTGAACGTGTTTGCTTCATTTTGAAAAGTGTTATTTCAACTTAATAAAGCCGGAGAACCAAATGTAATGGAAGTTATCGAGGCCTTTTTAGTTCAAATTACAAAAAAAAAGAAACTTCGGCTTTTGCCCTGAAGTCGTCCAATGGAGATTTTTATCAGGAAGTTAAGTTGGTAAATGAAAGAAAAAAAGAAAAAGAAAAAAAAAAATTGAAAACGAAGATGAAGGAAAATATCTTGGAAAAAAAACACCTTCACCTTCAAGCTTGTAAGAAAATAAATTTATCCTCAGGGGGAAAAATTTATTATTACTTAGAAAATCATCCAGAGAATAAAATCTTTGGAAGGCGGTGCTCCGAGTTGTGATAAGGTGACAGTGACCAGAGAATTCAGAAAGATTCCGAGGATAGTGCATAATCAGGATGAGTGTGAGTGAATATAATAATAATATTAATAATAATAATTAATAATTTCGATTATTACACGCAATATGAAATAGAAAAAAAAAATCTTTGTTCAGTAGGGAGTAATACGTGTGACATAATTATCCTTTTTAATCGATCGGTTGAATGATTATTACATAATTACGATCACTGAGAGAACGTCTACAATTTTTATTTTTATCTCGAGTTTTATCACTAAAACACGATATTTGTACTCGATATAAATCTGTCTCTCTTGCTCTCTATTTCTGTCTTTAACTGCTCCAAGTATTTTTAAGACAAATTTTAATTTTAGAAACCGACGGTGTTTCTGCATAAAAAATTGTCTTCAAATAAAACTCTTTAGATTAAATTCTTAAGAGTTTGCCACAATGTGCGACAAATTGAAGAAAAACTTTTATTCTTCAATGTAAAAAAATAAATATTCATTCAAGAAACGAGTAATATTTGAAAAAAAAAAATACAATCTTTAGATGTTGAAAAAGACTGGAATGTGAATATTTACTATAATTACAAAAGTACATTGTAATGTTTTTAAAATTTTAAATTTTGTCACATTTCTTTCTAGTCTCATTTACTTTCTCTCTCTTTTTTTTTTTTTTTTAAATAACTCTTTGGATTCAATTTTTCAAATACACTTTTTTTTCTCATTAGTTTTGTAAGTTTAAACGATTTAAGAGACCATCATTGTAATGAATTGAAATTAGAAAATTGCTTATTGCTTTGTATATTAAACTAAACGAAAATCAAAGTGGTTGCCATTTTCATGTTAAATGAATAATTTATTTTTGTAAGGTACTTGAAATGAAAATCAAAATGAAAAATTTGATTTATTTCAGGATCATGGAAAAAACAAGAATGAATTAAAAAAAAAAGAGTGATTTTGTTTACAATTTCGAAATAAAATCGCTCTTTTTTTTTATAGATTCGACATGAAACAAAAAATACTGATTTTTCGATTTATTTTGATTCAAATTGAAGTAAAGCATAATTTTCTCGACGGTCTTTGTTTAATTTTAACATAATTATAAAAAGTACCGCAATATTTTTTTTGTTTCTAATTGCAGAATTAAAAAAGAATTGCGTGTTTAAAAAAAAAATTTGTTATTTTAGTGGATGGAAGCGTTTGTTTAATTTTTGTCAAATTTGTGTACAATAAGTAATTTTTGTACTTGTTCCTTTTTTTGTTTGAATTTTTTCAAATCGCTCATTGGTGATAGAGCATCGAATAAATATTTCGTTCTCTAGTTTCTAATGAAAAATAATATTTAAAAAAAAAAAAAATTTGTCAACTTTTATTTTAAAACGAATGTAATTAATAATAATTTAATTATTACTATTGTCTAATTTTTAAGATTTAGTGTATAAAATTGTATGTAAAAAAAATTTAGTTGTATTTGATATTTTTTTTTATCAGTAATACAATAAAATGTATATATATATAGAAAATTCGATGCTCTTACACTTTTACAAATGAGAAAAGAAATTCATTAAAAAAGAGCCTATAATGACTGGTCTCATTTTTTTTTTTTTTTTTAAAAAAGTACTTGATTCTGACAAAACATTTATTCTGCACATAAGAATTTATAACTTCTAGCACTCGTCCTAATGCAAATCCCTAATATTTCTTCATTGGATCATTTTTGATCTACTCGTTTAATCGTTCATCATATGTGTCCAATTCACTGAATATTACTGATAATCTTGAAAAATTTCTCGGTATATGATATAATGAAATAAACAAAACTGACGTAATCATCACTCTTTGTACTATACAATAGATTTCAATCTCGTAAGTACTCCTTATGAATAAATATACCGTATAGAACTATATAGAAGCGCATAATAGATAAAGATCTCTTGGTTTGCATGGCTATAGTATGAGTGAAATTTTTTGATCACCTTCCTAAAAAATAAAAAAAAATAAAAAAAAAACAAAAACAAAAATTATGATACAAAAAATGAAAGAATGATGGAATGAAAAATAGAAAATAAAGTCAGTAAAAGAAAAAAAAAATTTTTTTTTTAAACTTATTTCACGAAAAATTGACTTTGTATGAATTTAGAATTTTGTTTATGTACACTAATCATAATTGAATAAAATTATTGAAGTCAAATTATGCAAATTATTTACTTTTACCTAATATTTATTTGATACAGATATAATTGGATCGAAAAAAAATGACTAATAAATAATAGTGCGTTAATTTGACTTGAATTAATTTTTTCAATTTTTAGTTTACTAAAAAAAAAAATTGAGGTCGAAAAAACAAAAACGATTATTATTTTATTTGTAAGGAAGAATTTATTTTGTCGATGGTTTGGGTAATCAAATGAAGCAAGTTTGGCTCAATTTCAAAAAAAAAATGTGTTTTCTTTTAAAACCCTAATCACTAATCCTGTAATTTAAGGTTGAATGATAAAAATTGATGACATTTTCAAAAGATATTAACAGAAAAGTTCTTGATGAATAATAATAAACTTAGTGTAAAATATCATAATGCGTCCTTTTAATTAACAGAGAGATGTTAATTAATTCGACATTCAATATAAAACAATAAGAATCTACATTAGTCTATTATAAAAGGGAAGAGAGATAAAGTTGACGAAGAATTTTCAGAAGAAAAAAAACAAAAATGGCAATTATTTTCAAAGTAAGTATAATTTTTATTTAATAGAGGGTAATTTTTAAAAAAAAATATTAATTGACGAAATTAAAATTATTAATTAATAATTCCAATAAATTAGCGAATAATATAATTCGACAAATGATGTAATTATGCATTTTTGTTACAGATTAAAAATGTAAATATTGTTTATTTTTTGTGCATAATTTTACAAATTGAGAAAATAAATGGCAACACAAATATGACATTGGATACACAAAATTTATCAAATGATACTCAACATCTTATTAATAAAAATATTATCAAAGGAATTCAAGATCCAGATGTAAAATCAATTATCAAATCAGCTTTAGGCAATGATTCGGCATCGGAAGTGGTTATGAAGAAAAATTTAATTGTGTTTCCTTTGAATACGCCAAATTTAGTAAGTTTTTAAATAAAATCGCAGTTATCACTTTTTTTTTGAAATAATTAATTGTATAGGTAATAACAAATAAGCAAGAAGTTCACAAAATCCCGGAGACAATAGGAAAAAATAGCAAATTGGATCATAATTCGACTTATAGTGATATAAAAGAAGTTAACGAGCTAAGTTTATCGGAACTGATTCCCCTCAACGAAACAACAATTAAATCAAATGGAACTGATAGGCAAAAGGTATATTTTCTTTTTTACTCTAAAATAGTCTGAAAATATTTTTCAAATTAGAAATTTTGAAAAAAAAACCAACAATAATTTGAATTTAATAAACAAAAATAGTTATAATTTCTATAAATCGAAATATTATAAAAAATTTATGAAAATTTTGGTTATATTTATGTAGAGAGTAGCTTTGATTTCAGATTCTATTCCAGTGACATCAACATTGAGTTCAGACTTGGACACAGCGAATGATATAGTATTTAGACCTCTTTTCAGATATAGACAAGAAACGAGGTTGAGACCAAAAAATATTTACAATAAAGAACGTAGACGATTTAATTATAAATGACATTCTAAATATTTAGTATTTTACATATAAAAAAAAGAATTTTTAATTCTGTTTAGCTAAAATTATAAAATAGAGAAAAAAAAAAACGATATTAAAACATATTTATTTTGAAATATGAGTTTTTAATTCAAAATTTTATTACATGAAATTAAAATACCACCGTTCAAAATTACATTATCCGTAATATTTACATAAAAAAAAATGTTTATCACTTTTTATAATTACTATACACTACCAGATTCATATTAAAAAAAAATGCAGGAAAAAAGTAAGTATTTTTTATAGAATTATCAGTTTTCTAAATTTTAATCTCTAAATTTTCTTTTTAGTCGTCCGGGCAACGTTAAAGAATACAAAATACTGTTGAAAATAATCAATCCCAATGAAAATGCTAAAGATAGTAAAAAATTTAATTGCAAATTAAAAACATTTATTTCACCATCTCTTGTGAAACGTTCAATTAAATATTGTTTTCCATTGGGATATCGACAGCTATCTTTATCGATATCGGGACAATTTTTTGTTTCATTATAGGGCAAATTTTCAAATTCAAAATTATCTAATGCTATTTTATTTAATACCAATGAAGCATAACGTGTTGGTAGCCCATTGGAGAATGCAACAATCCATTCAGGTAAATTTTTAAAACTTCTCATTGTACCCGATGCAATTAAAAGTGAGGCAAGAATTACACAAAGTGCAGTTATTGCACCTGTGAAGGGACATTCAATAATAATTAATAAAGCAATAGACAATTGTTCGGCTGCCAAATAACTTGACCATAGGGTAAATGAAATATAAAACCAAGACCAAAAATTGAGATTCAAAAGTGGTACGAGAATTCCAATTGTGATTATTGTTGAAATTAAACTAAGCGGTAAACTCAATAGTGTGTAGGAGATGAAAAAAATTGTTCCTCCATAGAGACCTTCACGTTTTTCTTGATAGTACCTCATACGAAAACTTGGAACTGTAAAATAAAAAATTTAATTTAATTTTTATTAAATTTAATAAACAATTTAATTTTTATTAAATTTAATAAACAATTTAATTTTTATTAAATTTAATAAACAATTTAATTTTTTTTTAACCCTTTGAATGGGTGAAATTTTGTTTTAAAAATTAATAATACATTTTTTTTAATTAATTTTACAGGGGGAGAAATTTTTTTCAAAAAAACTTACAAAGAAGAGCAGTTATTGTTATTCCTGATATATAAAACAGTGTCAAAATGTTGAAAATTAATCCACTGGTTTGAATAAATATTCTCGATTGATATGGACTTGAATTAGAATATAAAATACTGAGCAAAGCAGTGGAAAATGGTAGAAGCATAATTCTTGCTGCAAAATGACCTAAACCGGATTTATTAAAGGCAAATGTGGCAGCCATGTATCTTCTGAAAAAAAATTAGGTAATATTTGTTTTTTAATATTATAAACAGTTTTTTAATTTATCTTTGGAACTTTTATTTCAATAAATTTTTACCTGATTTTTGTTGGAAATATTAATTTTTACTGCGAATTTTGTGTCCATTTGTGTAAAATATAAAATAATTGAAAAAAGTGTGCTCCGAAAAAAAAGTTTTGTTTTTATCGAAAAATTAAAAGTTCCAGAGATATTAATTTTTTTTTCCACTTACACATATAATGCAGTTACTGTTGAAAATTTTCCTGGCTTAATTCCTAAACGCATATTTTTATTCATTATTCCCAAACGTGATTCTTTAATGGTAATTGCATCTTTCATATAAACAACACCTTCAGTTTTAAATTTATCAACAAGAATTGAAATTTGTCTATTTGATTCTAGAAATTTTTCCCTCGATCGCCGATCAACTGTCGATAAACACACTGTAAATTGAATATAATTTTGATTAAGAAAAAAAAAAAAACTAAATTGGAGAAAATAAATTTTTAAATTCTCTACACTCACAATAATACATTAATGGATTTTCCAATTCAGGACATGGAAAACCAATGTGAGTGAAATAATCAAGCATACTTCTTGTTGGTCCCGAATAAACGACAGTTCCTAAACAAAGAAGTGTCACTTGGCTTACAAATGGAAGAACATCGGAACGTGGTGTTTCCATTGTTAAAACAACAATTGATCCTCTTCTTGTTACATAGGACCATAGCATTGAAACAATTAAATAAGTATTTAAAGGATCAGTATCCCATGTTGGTTCATCTAATAAAAGTAAAATTGGATCTTTGGCAATTTGTACACCGAGCATGAGTCTTCTATATTCTGGTCCAGTGAGATCACTTACTGATCTTTTTGCAACTTGTGACAGGGCAAGATCAGCGATAATTTGCCTAACTCTTGCTCTTCGATTTTTTAAATTTGCCAACCAAACGGCATAATTTAATGTTTGATGAACTGTGAGACTTGGAAGAAGATGACATTGATGAGTAACGTATCCTCCATGTTTTTTAAATATTTTTTTTGTCAGTAAATTACCACACAATGATATTCGTCCTCTTGTTTTTCCATCCGCTCTTCCTGCTAATAAAAAAATTTTTAATTTCTGTTATTTCTTTCAAAAATTTACAAAATTATTATACAATAAAATTTATTAATTTTAATAAATATTTTTAAATAATTTTTAATATTTCGTTAATAACAATAAATTGTTTGTTACTTCTTTGACAGGAATATTTAATTAATTTATGATATTCAATTTTATTAAGTTCAGTTTATTTAAAATACAATTTAAAAATTTTTAAAAATATAAATATTTTGAAAAAAGAAAAATTTATTTGTTACTTAAAATTTTTAAGTTTTTAAATTAAATTACCAATCACGTCTAAAAGTGCACGTTTTCCCGAGCCTTTTGAGCCCAAAATTGCAAGAATTTCGCCTCCATGAACTCTTGCTGACACATCTCTTAGAATTGCTGTGGGTTCATATTTACCAAAACTATTTCTTTCAGGAAACATTGAGGTGGAATAGAAAACATTGGAAATTTCAAGAACACAGTCTGAAGATTGCATTCCGCAATTGTTTTTTCAAATTACAATGAAAAAAGTTGAGTATTCCTGAGAATTTTCTTATCAAGAAACCTAAAAAAAATTTTATTATAAATAATAAAAATATATTAATAATAAATTAATGAAATATAATACTAAATGATAGTAAAAAATAAAAAATAATAAAATTAAATATTAAAATTTTCAAAAATTGTTAGTTACGACTGGCAAATTTTAAGAGAAAACCTTAAATTCATTTAAATAATTTGAATAGAATAGAAAAACAATCTTTCAAATGAATTTCAAAACGTTAATTATTTCCGGTGATATAAAAAGAAAAATTAGAAAACACATTAAAAATTGAACTTATCTTGAATATCTAATTGAAAAGTCAACAAAATTATAGTCCAATGATTCTTAATGTTTTTTATTTCTTTCGAATTTGAATAATTATTCTCAATTTATACAAATTAATTTCTATTTCAATTTTAATTTTGAAAAGTGAATTTTGAAAAATTAAATTTTCATTTTTATTTATAAAATGTATAAAATATATAATTTTGTGTATTATAAAATTTTTCACATGTACTTACTTTAAAATAATATTATAAATGTAAGGCAGTTACTGTTGATAATAAGGTTTTTACATTTTTAATTATCAAAAATAATTTTTAATATAAAACCTTATTTAAATATCGAATAAACTTGTCTCATTCCTTTTTTAAAAGTGCTTCCGTTATGACGCATTCCTTCCGAACTGTTATAATTTAAGTTTCATACCTTATTTCTTGTTTCTTTAAAAAAAAGGCGTAAAATAACGAAAAAAAAATTTAATCACAGAAAAATTGCATCAAATTTTTTTAAAAATTCTCATAATTCCACAGATAGTAAAAAATCAAAGAAACTAATCATTTTTTTTTCATAATATTATCTACATGTAGAATTTTTTTTTCAGTCTATCCATGGTCTACCATAAAGTTTGTTGGAACCAAGGAAGCATGAGACTAACAACATAGTAAAGTACAAGCAACAGATTCCTGATAGCTTCTCGTCGAGAGGTGAATGTCTTCCCTTGAATTAACATGGTGGGGATTCCTTCTGTTGAAGAAGGGGCAATGCACTTACTACTTCAACGAAATAATGAAGACTGTTATATAGGTATAGAGAAGGTAGCAGAAGAAACGCAAATTTCAATACAGAAAACATTTGTCAATGTCTTTAATTTGTCTGAATGACAAGAAAAGAAGGAATAAAAAAAAAACTCGTATTCAACAAACAGGTGTGATAAAAATAATTTTTCACATTTTTCGAAGTTTGAAAAAAAAAATTTAATTAGAAATTAATTTACTAAATGATTAATTTAATAAAACACATTAGATTTTTAAATCAATAATAAAATGCATTTCTATGATGTGATAAAGTACGAATTTTAAAGGAATTTTACAGGTAAGAAATTTTTATATTTTACAAAATACTCTTTTAGTTTTATTATTATATTTACTTTTTTTTTGTTTCCTGGACTAAATTAATATGTTATTGTTATTTTTCACTTATGTTAATTTTTAAGAATATATTTAAAATCAGAGGCTAGTGATAAATTAAAACATTTTTTAATATATTTTCTGCGTTCAATTTTTTATATTAATTATATTCACATTATGTGGATTTTTTATTTGTACATTATTAGATAAATTCAAATGCTGAAACTTTGGAATTTAATTTTTTATAATAGTTTTCCAAAAATTTATATTTAATATATTTTTTACGTATTCAATTTCTTATATTAATTATATTTACAAAATATTAAGTGGATTTTTAACTTTTACTTTATTTGATCAGCAATGCTGAAACTTGAATTAAATTTTTTGAACCAATTTTCTAAAAATTTATATTTAATATATTTTTTGTGTATTCAATTTTGTATATTAATTATATTAAAAAAAATATTGATTTTTAATTATTACTTTATTAAAATCAGCAATGAATGCTGAAACTTGGGAACTGGAAAGGCGATATTCGGTGCCTGGAGCGTTAGACACTTCTGGACTCACACTACCTGCCAGTGAGGATCTACATGCATGGTCAATTTACAGGTAAACGAAAAAAATAAACAATTTATCATATAAAATTTTTCATTTACAAAAAAGAAACAATTTATTATAAAACTAGCAAAATTAAACGCGCCAAATTGAGTATTTAATTATTTGTTATAAAGAAATTAATGATTAATATTATTAATAATAATTTAATTTATTATAATATTATTACGTATTAAATGATAATAATGAAAATTATATGTTTACAGGCCTCGGATTATACGACTTTTTCCGACTTTTTTCAAAAATACGACTTTTATCAACTTCTTTTAATAAAATGCGACATTTTTTTTTTACATTTGAAAAAAAATGTAAATAAAATACATTTTTCTAGTATAAAATGTAGATCTTCTTCAGATCTTCTTCAATTCAATTGTTTAACAAATTTTGAACTAAAATGATTCTTCACTAAATTAATTATTTTTAATAATTTTAATTAAATACATCACAAATTCAATTATATCAAAATTATTTTTCAATTAAAATTTTTATGAAATTTAACAATTGTTTATAATTTAAAAAAAATATCACAATAAAATTGAATTATTTTTTAAAAATTTCAATTCAAAATAAACTAAAATTCAATTATTACCCGAAATTTTAATTCAAAATCAATTAAAAATCCAATAATTATCCAAAATTTTCAATTTAAAATTTAATTATTTACCAAGTTTTCAATTTAAAATGAAATAAAATTTAATTATTTTCTAAAATTTCTATTCAAAATTAATTATCCAAATTTTCAATCAAAAATGAACTTAAATTAAATTATTATCCAAAATTTCAATTAAAATTCAATTATTTCCCAAAATTTTCAATTCAAAATGAACTGAAATTCAATTATTTTCCAAATTTAAAATCAAATAAAATTTAATTATTCTCAAAAATTTGAATTCAAAATCAATTAAAATTCAATAATTATCAAAAATTTTCAATTTAAAATTTAATTATTTACCAAGTTTTCAATTTAAAATGAAATAAAATTTGATTATTTTCTAAAATTTCTATTCAAAATTAATTAATCAAAATTTTCAATCAAAAATGAACTTAAATTAAATTATTATCCAAAATTTCAATTAAAATTCAATTATTTCCCAAAATTTTCAATTCAAAATGAACTGAAATTCAATTATTTTCCAAATTTAAAATCAAATAAAATTTAATTATTCTCAAAAATTTGAATTCAAAATCAATTAAAATTCAATAATTATCAAAAATTTTCAATTTAAAATGAAATAAAATTTGATTATTTTCTAAAATTTCTATTCAAAATTAATTATATAAATTTTCAATCAAAAATGAACTTAAATATTAAATTATCCAAAATTTCAATTAAAATTCAATTATTTACCAAAATTTTCAATTCAAAATGAACTGAAATTCAATTATTTTCCAAATTTAAAATCAAATAAAATTTAATTATTCTCAAAAATTTGAATTCAAAATTAATTGAATTTTCAATAATTTGAATTTAAAAGCATCTAAAATTTAATTATTTCTAAAATTTTCCATCGAAATTTTTTTTTGAATTTTAATTTCAATTATAACTCTAAGGAAATTCAATTATTTTTATCTATTTTAATTTCTTTGAAATTTCAACTATCTGAATCCATTTTTCAATTAAAAATGATTTTCAAATTATTGTATTTTGTCCGCATTTTCTAATAAATTTTTAGTGAAATCATCAAAAAATTTTAATTACAAAACACTTAAAGTTTCAATTAATTTCAAAAATTTCAATTTTAAATCTTTGAAAATTCAATTAAATTTAAAAAATGTTTTCCAAAAATTGTTTGATAAATTATTTTTAGTTCTGTAAAATTTAATAATTGTTTGAAAATTAACAATATCTTTTGAAATTTAATTATTTCTAAAAATTTCAACTTTAACCCTTCGAAAAAGATTATTATTAAAAAAAAAATTTTTTATTTAAAAATCTGTAAAATATTTTTGTTAAAATAAAAAACAAATCCACTTTCTTTTGGGAATATAAATCGACTAAAACGACTTTTTTGTGTCTTTAAGTTGATTCGAGGCCTGTGTTTTTATAATTAATATTTAAGAGGTATTCGTTGGCCCCTGGTACCTTAAAAATTAATTTTTAAAAATAAATTTTTTTCAAATTACTATCTTGTACGAAATTTCCTGGCGCATCTTTTTTCTCATCATAAATTTTTTGTATTTGTATACAATTTTTGAATCAATATACAACTTAAAAAAAAATTTCGTTGGCAAACGTTGTGTACTTCAGCTTCGTGAATTGAATTTTCGAATTTGGAATTTTAAAGAAACTTATTCCGAAATTTGGAAACACAATTATACAACTTTGGCAAAAATGAGAAAAAGAATTGTCAAAATTTGACACGTCATAAGATTACTATTCAAAAAAACACGTGAAATCAGAAAAGGCCAACTTCAAGTTAGGACAGAAGGACAGACCAAGCATTTTATTATTATATAGTATAACTTTCGAGAATTTAAAAAAAAATTAATTTTCTTTTATTTCTCAGACAAAATTTGAATTCCGATTTTGCTGATTCAGCACTGGGTTCAGCTGAAAAATCACCTCTTCCCTATGGAAATTTTCAACTTCGCGATTCAACAGTTCAAAGTATTTTAAGACATCCACGTTATGGACCAAAGAATCATTTAGCGAGCAATTCCTATACTTATTTAAAATTTGGACTACCAAGAGTTTTACCACCATTGAGAACACAGGATTCAAGTGAATGTAATTCAAGTGAAGAAGGTCGTCGTACATCACAATTGGGAATTCCATTATCACATTGTAATACAGAAATGAAATCATCAAGAAGCGATCCTGATTTTCGTCTTATTCATTCAAATGAAAATGTTCATTTTCAACCAACGAGTGGCGATAATAATTTAAGACTTCGATGTGTTAGCGAAGCAAATCTTTTAATTACCGATAAATTAAATAAAAGATGTGGATTAATAAATTCACAGAATAATAGCGGAATTTTGAGACCAAAAAATAATATTACGATATTAAGATCGACATGCTTTCAACATCCACATCTTCAATTTCGTAGAATTGAAACTTGTGGTTCTAATGGTTCTTCTATTCTCAATGGAATATCATTTGAAGCTGGTGCAGCTGATATTCTTGCCATAATGGCTACCACTGAGAAAGATGGTACTTCAATTATGGAAACAGTTTCGGGAAGGAAGAAAATAAAAAATGGCGATATTTTACTAAATGGAAGATTAATTTCTTCCAAAACTTTAAGGTTTATTTTAATTATTTTATTTTAATTATTTTAATTACTTTTTTATTATTTTAATTACTTTTTTTTTTTTTAGATCCCGAGTCGCTTATCTACCGGCGGAAAGTAATTTAAATCCTGATTTGACAGTTCAGCAGGCATTAAATTTTTATATGTTACTTAAAGGTGGAACGAGAATGACATCATTGGATGCAGAAGTAATTTTAGGAGATTTAGGATTGGAAGCAACAAAACATTGTTTGGTTGATACATTAACAACATCGGAAGCAAGAAGACTTGCATTGGCTTGTAGATTATTGCAGGATTCTCATATTCTTGTTTTAGATAAACCAACGCATGGTCTTGATATTTTCGATGCTTTCTTTCTTATGGAATATTTACGACAATGGTCAATTAGAAAACAAAGACTCGTTATTCTTACACTTCAACCACCAACTTATGAAATATTAACAATGATTTCAAGAGTTACATTAACATCGGGTGGAAAAATAATGTTCTCAGGAGCAAGAAGAGATATGATTCCATATTTTTCCCTCATTGAATTTCCATGTCCGCCATTTAAAAATCCTTCGGATTATTATTGTAAGTTGAAAATAATAATTATTATTTTTTTTTATTTTATTTTATCTGTTTTTTTTTCAGTGGACTTGGTTACATTGGATGATTTATCAACCGAAGCAATGTTGGAATCATCGCAGAGAATTGATCATTTGGCGGAATTAGCAAAAGCAAAATTGCCACCATTGAGTGAACCAGGACTTCCCGGTGTTTTACCGCCTTTAAATTCGAATGCAAATATATTTTTACAAATTTATGCTCTATTTGCAAGAGCTCTAGTTTATAGTCAACCATGGTCGTTGACAAAATTAATTAAAAAAATTGTGATATCAGCCACATTAAGTATTATTCTCGGCGCTGTATTTTGGGATGTTGCTAATGATTTTAATGTACATTTAAGAGATCGAATAGGATTTTTCTATTCAACTTTAGGAATTTTACATTGGCCACTTCTTTTAATTTCCATTCGAGAAGCCATTAAAACAAGAGTGAAAATTGAAAGAGAAATAAAGGATGAACTTTATGGAAGATTTGTTTACATTATTGTTAAGGTTAGTGTTTTAATTTATTTATTAATTTAGTTGAATTAAAATTTTAAATTAAATTATTTTTTTATTTTAGCTTCTCTGTAATATTCCATCGTGGACTGTTATTTATTCAGTTTATTTAGCACCAGGTTATATAATGTCAGGATTACATTTACCATCAAAAGAAGAATCTCTAAATATTGTTTGGCATTATTTTATCACAGCAATTATTTATTTATTATTTCTTCATTTAATATGTCTTTTGTTGTCATATATTTGTAAATGGACAATTATGGCAGTTTTAATGTCTGGTTTAATTATTGGTGAACTAACAATAATTGGTGGTGTAACACTGCATATAAAAAATTTACCATTTTTGTATTTACAATATAATCCATTTCGATGGATACTTTCAAATCTTTTATCACAAGTTTATGATGAAGAATATTTAAAGAAATTAATTAAATGTGAAGGTAAACAAATACAACAACATGATATTATTGTACAAGAAAGTTGTGACACACCAACAATATCTTTTGGTAATTTAGCATTAAAAGAAATTTCACTAAATCAAATAAGAAATGATATATTAATGTGGTTAGGAATTTTAATAATAATTATTGTAATTTTAATAATTTTAACATTTTTTTGTATCAAATATGTGATACGAAAAAAACAGAGAAATATACTAAATAAACATTGAAAAAAAATTATTTAATACCTAAATCGTAGTAAAAAGAAAGTTTCATAAAAGAAGACACAAATTATAAAGAGAATTTTTTATTACATTTTTTGCCACATAGAGCAGAAATTAAAAGAAAATAAATTTAGAGTTTATTAAAATTAAACTATAATATATATATAAATTTATTAGCTTTAAACTCCCTACATTTGAATCCTGCTTTCAACATTATAGGCTATGTACAGACATGTAAGTAAAAAATCTTATCCCCTTAAATTCATCCAAATATTTACATTTATATACTTTCACACTTGTATTTTAATACTGCAGTACCAAAGGTGAATACTTTGGTTTTGGAGTTTGCGAAAATAATAATAAAAAAAAACAAGTAATAAAAATAGAAATCTGTAAAATTGCAAAGCCCAGTTATAAAAGTACTCTTCTTTGGCACTTGTCATAACAGTTGAGTCATAAGTTTACTCGAAATTTCAAATGGCACAGCCTTTTCGTGTACCATAAAGAACTTTTAGTTCTGGCACAATAATCTTTCTTATTAACTGATTTGTTTTTGCTGTTAACATATCGCGTCTTGCATCTTTTTTATAAATTTTAATTCCAGGTCGATGTACTAAAAAAGCATTGTCCAATATTAAAAAATCATAATCTAACACACAAAGTGCGTAACCCTGAAAAAAATGAGATAAATTTCAATTACTTTTTTTTTTTTTTTGAAACTTTATAGAACTTTTAAGAAAATTCATTGAATCTTCTGGAAGGAAAAAATTCTCGAGACCTTCTAGGGATTCTGTTGAATTTTTTTGGCATTTTATTAAAAGGCCTCGGATTAAATAACTTAACAATTTAAAAAAAAAAATGAAATAAAATTATATATTAAAAAATTTCAATTTAAAACCTTTTTAAAATTTTCCATCTAAAACTTTTCTGAAATTTAATAATTTCAATTATAATTCTTCCGAAATTCAATTATTTTTATAATATTCTTTTGAAAATTTCAATTATCTAAAAGGATTTTTCTAGTAAAAAATGTTAAATTTCAATTTTTGTCTTAAATTTGTAATAAATTCTTTATCATCAAAAATTGGAATTTTCAATTCTGTAAAATTTAATTATTGTCTGAAATTTAACAAAATTACATTTGTTTAATTATTTCTAAAAATTTCAACTATAACTCTTCCAAAGTTCAATTATTTTTTCATAATTTAAAATATTTCTTTAAAAATTCAATTATTTAAAAAAAAAATTCAAATAAAAACTCTAAAATTGAATTGTCAGATTTTTTTTTAGAAATTTTAAAAAAATTTTTAAAATATACGTCTTCGATTCTGAAATATTCAAAATAATTGAAATAATTTTTAATAATATATCTATAGAATTATTCTTATTAAGAAATTAATAAAACAGATTTAATATCTAATAACATCAATTATTTAAAGTAAAATACTTATTACATAAAATTTAATTAAAATAAAAAAATCGACTTTTTCTACTGTTTTTGGAATGTAAATCGATTAAAACGCATTTTTTTTGCGCCTTAAAGTCGATCCGAGGCCTTTAAATATAATTTTTCAATTTTAATTTACAAAATAAAAAATTATACCTGTGTCATTTTATCACTTCTACCCTCCCAGCTGAGTCTTTCATCATAAAGTGGATCATTATCAGTTCCAATAAAAATTGGTTCCCAATGTATAAAAACGCCAGCTCTTTTGCCCACATGAAATATATTCAAATTTTCTGTTTCTGGTGCATCTTGCCATTCTTTACTTTTTGGAATATTGTGACATCCAGGACAAACTTTTTTATGAAATGGTATTGCTTGTCCAGATTTTAACATTTGTAACTGTAATATAAAAATTAATGTAAATTTTTCAAAAATTTGTAGTTTTGGATCCTAAAATAATTTTTTTTTTTCAATAATTACCAGTACTGTTTTATTAGTAGGCGGTTGAGCTGTTTTAGTAACTTCAAAAATAGAAAGTACAAAAACTTTAGGATTTGGTTTCAAAAGTGCTGGTTGCTTATTTTTTCGTATCATTTCTAAAAATTTGGCAGGTAAATTTGGACTAGGATAAAGTTCAATATCACTCGCAAGTACATAATGTGTTAATGCCGATTCACGTGCAATGTTTCGTCCTAAATTAACAGGATAAAGTAATCTTTTATCAGTTTTATATAATTTAGAAACAGGGACATTAATCCAAGGTGCTGTCAATGAGCAATTATATTGTTCTGATAATATTTTACTTCTTGATGGGATCTGAAAAAAAATTAAAAAATAAATAATTCCAAAAATTTATATTAATATTAAAAATTAATTTTAATTATCAACGAACCGCTTTTGGCATATGTTTACTGCTGAAATAAATGTGAAAGGTGACCAATTGACTGACCAAAGGACTACCACAACTGCGAGCATATTGAATAGAATCAATAGTTGGCTGAAAATCAGTACCAGGTGCATGAAGAGCAATTGATATTGGCGCTCTCCATCGATCGAGTAGTGGTTCCAAATTATCGAAAAATGTATAATCGGCATGCGTCGAATATGTAATTGTTTCCCAACAATGAACAAACATATTCATTGGCACATAATTATAAAGAACCCAATAATCACCTCTTTGTGATATTCGATGTTCCAGAGACTTTTCTCGACAAGGTATTGCTTCTTCAAGTGAAGATGTTGAACGAACTCGAATCTACAAAAAAAAAATCATAAATCATCATTTTTTTGTTAATTTTTGTTAGTAAAGAAAATTACCGTTTCATTTTGATGATCCGTATTATTGTCATTTAATTTTTTTTCTCCATTTTTAATTTTCTCATCGTCGGAAATTTTTTTTACATCTAAATTATCATGTTTCTCTTTGGCTCGAGAGGAAATAGTTGATGATAATGATGAATTGGGAATATTTATATTATCAATAAATGCAACGGGCTGAATTTGATTTACACTCCAATTACTTGGTGTTTCATCTACCCAGGGTCCGGCTGTTGTACGATAATAAACACAGATATAAAGAATAACACAAACATTAAGAACCAATGAAAGACGAAGGGACCAATTTAAACGCCGTGTTCCACCTAACATGTCAGTAATTTTCTTATAATTTAGAAAGTAATTTTTTAAATTCTTTTTTTAATTCTGTTTTTTAGTTTTTTTTTTTTAGTCTTTTTTTCTACTCTTCTTCCAACACCGCCACCGCCTGTTCTTCGTAGCGGTATCGATTCTATTAGTAGATTGTTCCACGACGTGAGTTCTTACTCTTTTTTCTTTTTTTTTTTTTTTAATACTTATTTACCCAATTTCTCCGCCAATCGTAATACTGTTGTTAATACATAAAATTACTTTTTTTAGTGTTTCAAAATGTTCTTTTAAACCATATTATGAATCTTCCATTATAAGTCAGTAATTCAAAACATTGCCACATTAAAAGCTGTTTTTTTCCTTAAACATAAAAATAATACAAGTTTATTGGTATTAAAAATTAGTTTTTTTATATAAAATATTTTGTTAGTAAATTATAACAGTCTTTTTTAGAAAGTCTATTCGAAACTGAACATTCATGTGCAAAAATCGAGTCAATTTTTTCATCGGACCAACGTCCGGCATTATAGGACATTATGGGACCGACAATGCGGGCTAGATAACATCCAACTATCGGCCCAACAGGAAGCATAGTACATAAAGAACAAAAAAAAAAAGAAACCTCTAACAAAACCTACAGAAGCGTGCAAATTTAATCCTTTAGCACAATAAAATTTTAAAATATTTAAAATTAACTACAATTTCGTTGTTAAATAATAAAATTTCATCATTATTTTTTTAAAAAACATATTCAGGCCTCGGATCGACTTAAAGGCACAAAAAAAAGTCGTTTTAGTCGATTTATATTCTAAAAAAAGTCGAAAAAGTCGGTTTTTTTTTTATTTTAACAAAAATATTTTACAGATTTTTAAATCAAATTTTTTTTTAAATAATAATACTTTTGGAAGGGTGTAAAGTTGAAATTTTTAGAAATAATTGAATTTTAAAAGATTTTGTTAATTTTCAGACAATAATTAAATTTTACAAAACTAAAAAATAATTTATCAAATAATTTCAGATAACATTTTTTAAAAGTAATTGAATTTTCAAAGATTTACAATTGAGATTTTCAAAAATTAATTGAACTTCAAGTGATTTTTAATTAACAATTTTTGATGATTTCACTAAAAAATTGATTAGAAATTGCGGACAAAAATACAATAATTTGAAAAACCATTTTTAATTGAAAAATGGTTTCAGATTTCCATAGAGTTATAATTGAAATTATTAAATTTCAAAAAATTTTCGATGGAAAATTTTAGAATTAATTAAAGTTTAGAAACTTTTAAATTCAAATTTTTAAAAATAATTGAATTTTAATTTGCAAAATGGTTTCAGAAAGTTGAATTTTTAAAGAATATTATAAAAATCGTTAAAAATAATTAAATTTCCGGAGAGTTATAATTGAAATTATTAAATTTCAAAAATTTTTCGATAGAAAATTTTAGAAGCTTTTAAATTCAAATTTTTGAAAATAATTGAATTTCAATTGAAATTTTGGATAATAATTTAATTTTAGTTGATTTTTGGTTGAAAATTTTGATAATAATTAATTTTGAATTGAAATTTTGGATAATTATTGAATTTTAATTGATTTTGAATTGAAATTTTGGGTAATAATTGAATTTTAGTTGATTTTGAATTGAAATTTTTGAAAATAATTGAACTTTTTTTGATTTTGAATTAAAAATTTTTAGTAATTTTATTTGATATTTTTTTTAAATTATAAACAATTGTTAAATTTCATAAAAATTTTAATTGAAAAATAATTTAAAATAATTGAATTTGTGATGAATTTCATTAAAATTATTAAAAATAATTAATTTAGTGAAGAATTTTAGTTAAAAATTTGTTAAATAATTGAAATAAAGAAGATCTGAAGAAGATCTGCATTTTATACTAAAAAAAATATATTTTATTTAAAAATTTGTTTAAAAAATGTAAAAAAAAGTCGAAATAGTCGCATTTTATTAAAATAAGTCTAAAAAAGTCGAAAATAGTCGAAAAAGTCGTATTATCCGAAGCCTGCATATTTTCTTTAATTTATCAATTTATGTCTAAATTATTTTAATTAATTTTGAAAATTTAATTCTTTTTAAATTAATTTTAAAAATTGTTAACTACAGTTAATATATATAAAATTATAATTTACCTTTATTTTAAAAAAAAAATCGGGCTTATCGGAAAATGGTATTGTTTTCAATTATTCACTGCAACGATTTTTTTTTTTTTAATCATTTAAAGCGGTAAAAAGTATGATAAAGAACAATTAAATACTGCTAGTAACAGCACATTAAAAGTGAAATATATTTAGTTATCTACATAATAAATTAACGTCAATTATTATTTTAAAAAATTAACATTTCCAAGAAAAGCTAGACACAAATTTATTAAAATATAAGAGAAAAGATAAAAAAAAAAAATCTTTCAAATTTTTCCAGAAGTTCTTAAACATAATTTAATGTTAAAATGACTGTCATTAGTCCTTAATGACTAAAATTAAAAGTGAATTTCTAAAAACCAAAATAGAAAGTTAATAAATTTTTCAGTTAAAAATATATTTAAAAAAAAAAAAAAAAAAAAAAAATTTTTTTAACTGAATTGAATTGAACTCTCTTTAAAAGTTAAAGATAAATTTTTGCAATAGTACTCATGGTGAATGTCTATATATTACTTTATAACGGTAGAGTATATAAAAACTGCAATAAATGAAAATAACAAGTCTGATTAAATAACAAGAAAATAAAATATTTTCACTAATTAAATTAGCAAAATTTTCCAAGATTTCATTATAATTCTATAATAATATTCGATTTATTGATGACTTATAACAATTAACGTCATGGATGAATACGTATGCATATTCGACTTACCATTTGTCACATAAAAATTATAAATTTTAAAATGTTTAAAGAATAATAATTAACACGGCAGTGATTTGGTGAGACAGTATTCAATTAGAAAATAAAAAACAATCACAACCCAGATAGGTAGAGAATTAATAAATAACATTTACATCTGCAGTACTTGACAATTTCACTTTTCACCCATAAAATGTTAGTTTTGTCTCAAAATTCATTTGGGACACGTTTGTTTATAATTCGACCTTGATTACTAAATTCATAAAGAGAAGGCCTTGCGCATGTAGAATACTGTCAGAGAAAGGTATACTGATAAGATGTGCCGCTGTCCTTTTTTTATTGGACCTTTTTATGGAATTAAGGTGAAATCACACAAGTACCAACGTAAAACGTCATATTTTTTATATAGCCAATTATGAGTGTGTAAAGGATAAAGATATTCGTTTTGTTACTTTCCCACTCATGTTGGAAAGTTGAACCTCTGAAATGTGACATTTATTATTGTGTTCGAAATTTTTGACGTAAAGGGACCGTGAAGTGGAAAACGGAAAGCGTAAATTTTAAATTACAGTTTTAGAGAACGTTATATATGAGATGGAAAAGGATAAAAATATACTTGTATCCTTTTCTAGATAATAATTATACTTAAAGGCGTTTGTACACCTCACAAATTCTAAAGGTGCTTTTATACCTCTTAATTTCGATCAGATGAACATTTTTTCTGGACCGTGAAAATGCAAGTTAGTGAATGTGATTGGCTCTACAAAAAAATACGTGAAAATTGAATTTTTGTAGAGCCAATCACATTCAGTGACATGCATTTTCACGGTTCAGAAAAAATGTTCATCTGATCGAAATTAGAGATATAAAAGCACCTTAAGTATACTCGGAATTTGTCAAAAGTTGTACTAATTTTGATTGGCCTTGCTCATAAAGAATTTCCAAAAGATTGGAAAATTTCGAAATTCTCTATGAGCAAAGCAAATCAAAGTTAGTGAAATTTCTGACAAATTCCAAATATACTCAGAAATTGTGAGGTGTACTTAAGGCTTTAGTCATGCGCGCGCATTATTTCGATTTTGAATGGAAAAAAAGTTGTTGTAGAATCAGCTTAAAGTTTAAATCAGGGTGAGTCTATAGAACTGTTATTTAAACGTCCTGTGTTGACTTCTACATAAAAAGCAACAAGTGTTTTTTGTTTCCGCTATTGATATTTACAATATTTTCAACAATTTATGCAGGTAATAATGATATTTATTGTTTATATTAAATGTACACATATTCTAAAAGTTATTTAAAAAAATGTTTCACTTTGAAAGATTCCTGTTTTTTTTTGTTAACGCTTATAAGATAAATAATCTGAAAAATATTTCATTCTTCTATTCATATGAGAATATTCGAAATAAACCCTTTCGTTAAATAAATGAATTAAAATTTTTGTACAAAAAATACATACCTGTATTTTTTATTTGTAGATTGGGATACGAATTCCACATGTTTTAAGTAATTTTTAATAATAATAATAAAATAATTAGTAATAATAATAATAAAAAATAGCGGAAATAGTGTTTCATTTTACAAGAAAAAAAAAATTGAGTTATTGTTCTTAGGACAAGTTTCATAGATACTGACTCATTTGGCACAATTTGTTACACCTTATCGTTCCTATTTATATATGTGTATATGAAAAGAATTATACTATCATATGAGTTTATATTCTGTAGATTAGACGAAAACCTTAGTATTTAATCAGTAATTCTTCAAAGATAAAGTTTGTAACTTCGTATACCTTTTGATAAAATTTACATTTACTATTGTTAGTCACAGTATCACAAATAATATCGAGAATTTAATAAGAGTAGTTTTATTACCAAAAAAGTTTGTAATAAATAAGACTGACTAAAGTTCTTTGTGTTTTTTTAAATGTATCAATTTAGACTTTAACTATAAAAATGACGTAGTATAATTACTGTAAGTAATTTATAATTACTTTTAATAATTAATTATTTGCTTTGATATTTTGGTTAAAAAATAGAAGAAATTTTGGCTTCAATTTGCTTTTTTTTACCTTAAAAAATATATACGTACAATTTTTTCAAAATCGAATAAAATTATGAATTACTTGAATTTAAAATCTATTCTAATTAATTCTACAATGAAAAATATTTTTGTCTTTATAGAAATGCCGTTATTCAAACAAAAAGTTTCATCTAGAGCACCTGAAATGGAAAAATCAAACAATGTAACCGGTCAAATTGAACCCAATATAAATGTTGACAATGAAAATTTAGATATTGAGCAACAACCATTGGTATTTCATTGTCAAATGGCTCACGGTAGTTCTACGAGTTTAATTTCTGGTTTTAGTAATGTACGTGAGCTTTATCAAAAAATTGGTGAATGCTATGATATACCTTCAGAAGAAGTAAGTAATAATTAATTAAAAAAGAATTTTTTTTAAAAATTTTTTAAGAAAAAAATGTTTCCAGTAGTTTTCTAATTAATTTGTGTACATTTTCTATTTCAGATTTTATTTTGTACATTAAATACACATAAAGCCGAAATGTCACAACTTTTAGGTGGACAAATTGGTCTAGACGATTTTATATTTGCTCATCGAAAAGGTATTAAAAATTAATTTTTCTTGGATAATTTAATTTTTTAAAAATAATAACCCTTATGAAAATTCCTTATAAGAAAATAATGTTAAAGCTGAAATATTTTCAGTATAATGTTTTTTGTATAATATTTTCGCGATTATAGGTAATTTTTTTATAAGAAATTCATTATAAAATTTTTTTTCTCAAATAATTATAAAAATATAATTATTACCCTATACTTATTATTACTCTGTAACGAAATCATTACAATTTTATAATTATGAAAATGTAATAATGGAAAATAAAATTTTTCACGTACAAAAATTAAAATATTATAAAATTAAAATTATAAAAATTTAATTACACAAATTAATTAATCTTGTATTTTACTGATAACTATACATATATAGTTATCAGTAAAATACAAAATTACAAAACTATATATAGTTATCAGTAAAATACAAAATTAATTAATTTCTGTAATTAAATTTTTATAATTTTAATTTTATAATATTTTAATTTTTGCACGTGAAAAATTTTATTTTCTATAATTACATTTTCATAATTATAAAATTGTAATGATTTCATTACAGAGTCTCTAATAATTATATTTTTATAATTATTTGAGAAAAAAAATTTTATAATGAATTTCTTATAAAAAATTACCTATAATCGCGAAAATATTAAACAAAAAACATTATACTGAAAACATTTCAGCTTTAACATTATTTTCTTATAAGAAATTTTCATAAGGGAATATTAATGTTGGACTCTATTTTGTGATCCAAAAGATGTAAAATTGCTGAATGGAATGTTTTGTGGTTTTTTTAGGATCGTTAATGTAATACAAATGAAACTAGATGTTTTTTTGTTAGACGTTTCGACCCTTGGTTTGGGTCCTCTTCAATAATATTTTATTTTCTGTAATAATTTAAAAAAATAAAAAATGTTAGAATTATGTTCCTTACTGTTAAAAACTATGTAATTTACAGAAAATAAAATATTATTGAAGAGGACCAAAACCAAGGGTCGAAACGTTTACCAAAAAAAATATCTAGTTTCATTTGTATTACATTAAGGACTCTAAAAAACCACAAAACATTCCATTCAGCAATAATAATATTAATTTAATTTAAAAATTTTTTAGGTCAGACAAAAGAAATTGAATTAGTAAAGACCGATAATGCACTGGGTCTTACTATTACAGATAACGGCGCTGGATATGCATTTATTAAACGAATAAAAGAGGGTTCCATTATTGATAAAGTTAAAGTTATTGAAATTGGTGATCATATTGAAAAAATAAATTCCACTAATTTAGTCGGTAAACGTCATTTTGAAGTTGCTAAAATGTTGAAAGAAATTCCAAAAGGCTCATTATTTACATTAAGATTAGTTGAACCTTTGAAAAGTGCTTTTGGTGGTATTGGACCACGAGGAGATTCTAGAAAAAGTAAAAAACTAAGTTGCACGGGAAAGGAAACTTTGAGATTTAAGGCTGATGGTAGTGTTCAAATAGAAAAAATAGTACGTATTTTAATTAAGATTTATAAAAATATCTTCGTTCTTTGTAAATAATTATATTTTCTGTATTTTTTTGTTTTTAGAAAGATGAAGACATCATGACGCTTGGTGTTGAAAAAATAAATATAATTTTAGAGAGCTTTATGGGTATAAATGATACAGAACTAGGTAAATTAGTGCAATTAATATTCCATTTTTTTTTCGATACATTATTAATTTAAAAAAAAAAAAAATTTCAGCTACTCGAATTTGGGAATTGTCGGAAAAAAAACGCAATAGCATGGAATTTGCAGAGGCTATTGATAATTCAGATTTAGAAGCTTTTGGTTTTACGGATGATTTTGTCATTGAATTATGGGGAACCGTAACCGACATAAGATCAAACAGACATATATGATTATAATTATATTTAAAAAGGAAAAAAAAGGTATTATAAATACAAATGTATAATACATTTGGATAACAATAACTCTGTAAAGTTGTAAAAAAAAAAACAGAATGAAAAAAAAAATTAATATAAAAATTTTTATATTAAGGTAGAGAAATATTTAAAGAAAATGAATTTTCTAATTTTTATTGTTATAAACAGTATAAATATTTTATATATTTAGATTTTATGTAATTTTTAAACGCAGGTAAAATTAAAGAATTTTATTGTAAAAAAATGAGGAATTAAATTTTATTGCCTATATGAGAAAAATTTTTATGGTACACCTGTGGGAATAATATAACTAATAACGTCACCGAATTCTCCCCAATTTGCTCTATTTGTTTGGAATATCACAATCCATGTTGAAAATGCTATTGCAAATAGTAAAGCTCCTATTGCAGAAAGTATTACATCTAAAAAAAAAATGATAATTAAAAAAATGTTTTCTTTTTTTTTCATTCATTCATTATACATACATTTACGTATTTGTTTTTGTTCCTCGAAGTATGGTTCAAAAAATGCTTGTTTAAAAAACCAGATGCTATTTATAGCCCATAGAAATGGAAGTAGTGCAAATCCGGCTGTAAATATTTTTTTTAAAATTAAATTCCTAATCGATATATATATATTTTTTAAGCTTGTGGGAAAGAAAAAATTGTAAAAGTACACAATGGAGAAAAATAAATCTATTATTAAATAACCATTTAATCAGTTATCCCATTATTCCCAATTTACACATAACCTAAAAATGATGTTTCAATTTTTTCAAAAAAGTGGTATTTTTATTGTTTTATTCATTCTTTTAATTGTAATTATAAAATTAGTAATAAAAAACGAATTTATGCGTTTTAAAATTAAATAAAATAATTTATACAACCGATGAATATGGTATATTATTTATATTAAGGAAAATTTAGTAAATGTAATTTTGAGTGAATAAAAATTAGAAATATGAATTTACCTCGAAAATACCATCGACAAAGGTATAATTTCTTATCATTTGGAGTTTTTGACAGATCCATGTTTTGGTTATTGTTTTATCCTCATCAGAAGAAGCTTCTGACAGCTTAGGCCATTTCTACAATTAACGGAAAATGAAAATTTAGTAAGTAGGACGAAAGTATCTGTCTTTTCTTTCTCACAAGTTTTGAACTAATGGAAAAGCTTTTTATAACTAGACCATAAGGGGGAAAATAACAAAAGTATATATTTATCTCTTTCCCACTCATTGTTTAGTTACAAAAACGTAGCGTGAACGCACCTTTATGGAAAAAGAAGAAAATATTCCCTCCTCTCTCTCTCTTTCGATCGTTTCGCCCATTAATGGCGGAACATATTCTATATATACGTCCAATATACGTAGTAATGCAACGCTTAAATCGGCCATTTTGAATTTCGCCCCACCCAACCTGAAATACATTATACTGTGGAACAAATGTAATATCTGTTAGCTATCAGTGACCCAGTATTCTGTGGCTAGATTGTGATTGTTAATTCATTGGGGTTTTGTGTTATTAAATGTTATTGTGAAAGTGCTGAATTTTAATTAAAAAAAAAGCTCTTCATAAGAAGAGTTTTGTGTTTAAATAATAAAAAGTAAAATCAACTTTTAATAAAATCATCATGCTGAGCATTGGAATTAACTTGAGAGTGACTGGACACTGTAATCAGGGCGGACGAAAATATATGGAAGACATGTTTAGTGTTGCCTACCAGCAGTCATCGGGCGATAGAGATTTAGAGTATGCATTTTTTGGCATTTTTGATGGTCATGGAGGTGGTGAGGCCGCTGCATTTGCCAAAGAACATCTTATGGATATTATTGTTAAACAAAAAAATTTTTGGAGCGATAAAGATGAGGATGTGTTGCGAGCCATTAGAGACGGATACTTGAATACACACTATGCTATGTGGCGGGAAATTGGTTAGTGATATTTCTTTTATTTTCATTTAGAATTTTTATTTACATTATTTTTGATTTGATTTTGTGTACAAAGGTTTATATATATATATATTGCTTTTAAATTTTGTCTGTTATGGTCTTTTGTGATTTGTCTTCTCCCCCACCATTTTCCTCTCCTACCTATATTGGAATTTAGGTTATGTAACGTTAACTAACGTTCTAAACAAATAAATATAATTTTAGAATATTGAAAATTTTTTTTATTAATTTCACGAAATTTGTATAATTTTAATTAATTACAGGATTTTTTTTCTTTTCATATTGTTTGCATTATTTTCTTTATTCAAAGTTTATTTTTTATTTTATAGAAAAATTATGATTATATTTATGAATTGAAAGGGAATAATTTTTAATAATCTTTATTTTGGAAAAAATTATTTTTTTAAATGTAGAATATTAATTTTTTTTAGATAAATGGCCTCGAACTGCATCAGGGCTACCTTCGACTGCTGGTACTACAGCTAGTATTGCTTTTATTCGAAAGGGAAAAATTTATATTGGTCACGTGGGTGATTCGGGTATTGTGTTAGGATATCAGGATGAAGGCGATCCACAGTGGAAAGCAAAACCGTTGACAAAAGATCATAAACCGGAAAGTGGACCTGAGATGACAAGAATTCAAGAATCAGGAGGCAAGGTCGTCAGTAAATCAGGTGTTCCTAGAGTTGTTTGGAATCGACCTCGAATTGGACACAAGGGTCCTGTTAGAAGATCAACTCACATTGATGAAATTCCTTTTTTGGCTGTAGCAAGAGCTTTAGGTAGTTGAGAAAATTTTTTAAGATTTTATTTAAATTTCTGAGTATCAAGTCTCATTCTCCTTTATTATTAAAGTGAATAATACTCCCTTATTATTAGGTGATTAATTAAATTTATTTCAGGTGATTTGTGGAGTTACAATTCTGCATTAAATACTTTTGTTGTTTCACCGGAACCTGATGTCAAAGTTGTATCAATTGATGTCAAAACTCATAGATGTCTTATTTTCGGAACTGATGGTCTTTGGAATATGTTGACTCCCCAAGCTGCTGTTGCTATTGTCCAAGCTGCTGAGCGACATAATGAAAAACATTTAATAGCAACGCATGAAAATGATGGCAAGGTTAGTACAAATTTACAAAAACACGGAACTTAATTTGCAACAAAAAAATATCTTAAATTTGCATTTTTTTTTTCAGCAAAATGATGTACAAATGTGGATCAATCCATCAACGAGTTTAGTTGATAGAGCATTGGAAAGATGGTCTTCTACAAGATTGAGAGCAGATAATACAAGTGTTGTAACTTTAATGCTTGATCCTCCAGGACCTTCTCGTAGCGAAGTAAGTTTTTTAATCAAAAAAAATTTTTTTTTTTTATTTTATCAAAAACATATTTTAAAAATTATTTCTTTTCTTTTAAAGGTTTTTCAAAATCAAAAACGTGAACAAACTGCACCAACCGATGCTTCTCGTCGTTCAGTATCTTGTCCCATTAATCCTCAAAATCCTGCAGATACTATTAAAAAACCAGATGCAGAATTATCGGACACAATGAAATCGGCGTTAAAAAATTGCTTTAATCCTGATAATAATTCACCTAATTTATCAACGAGGTATGAAATACCAGAAAGTTCTAATACAAAATTATTAAAAACAAATAATCCATCAGAAAGTATACAAGTTGCTGAAATATCGTCAAGCAATAATTTTGAGGAAAGAAAAAATGAATGTAAAGGATTTGATAATACATTTAAATCATTGGAAACTGGTCAAATTTCATCTGAAAATGAACATACTATGTCATCAATGGACAGTATTTCTAATTTAAAGAATCTTATTGAAAAAGTTCAACGACCAGAGAGATTTCAATTGGAAAATAGTTCAATTTATTCCGATGATGAAGTGGATAAATTATTTTCATTAACACGTCAAAAGGCATTTTATCATCGTGAAATGTCAAATTTAGAAAAAGTTGAAAATACAAAATCAATTAATACCGAGGAATCAACAACTGATTTAAATGAAAAATCTAGTGAATTTAATGAAAATGAAAAAATAACCATTAATTCAGAATTAGTTGAAGAGAAATTAAATTCATGTCAAAATTCATTTTGTGAAAAATCAAAAATTACTTTGACAAAAAAGAAAATTGATAATTCACCGGATAATAAATCTCAAGTTCAATATTCAAGATCAACTATTATTACCGAAAAACGAAAACAAAATTCAATTTTACATCCAGAGAAAGCTAATTTGTATACTAATGAAAATTTAAAGAAAACAAATCGTCGACACAGTATAACGGCTGTTTCACGTAATACATTAACGTCAAAAGCAAATTTAAAGGAACCGGGAATTGCCTATTTGGGATGTAGAATTAAACGTGAATCAAAATCATTGCCTGGTAATATTTTTGAGGAACCATGCGTTGTTGATAATACAACGCCAAGAATAAATAATAGTTTGAGAGGTATTAAAAGAAGACACAGTTCAATAACACACAGTAATGATGCAAGTGAATCGTGCGCAAAACGAAGAACAAGATCGGAGGACCGCCTTAATCCAATTGATGAAAATGATCCAGTTAATGAGAAACTTGTAGTTGAAGAGGCTCACAATCGTCTACGATGGCCAGCAAATAATTCTACATTGTCACGATCAGGTAAGAAAATTGTTTTTTTTTTTTTTTTTTTTTTGTTGAAAAAGATTTCGAAATTACTGAAAAAAAATGTTTAATTTCACCATTAGGTGCAGTTGTGAATTCAACTACAGCGGGAATTCAAGAAAGAAAATTATCATCGCCCAATTCATTTCAAAGAAGAAATTTGGAGAAAAAAGTAACTCCAGTGAAGGCAATTCGAAGGCCATCAATTAATGGTTCTAATCGAATACAATTAAGGGGAATATTTGGTCTCAGAGATTGGGAGCCAACTAGATCTAGTCGTAGTGTTGGTTGTCAAAGTCGACATCGAACAGTAGTTGGTCTTATTAATTCAGTGAATGAATCATCAACACAACGTTGGTTGAGATCTGATACAATTGCAGCAACTCCAGTAAAAACATTACGCTCACGAAATGTTGATATAACAGGACACACTGTTTCGGCACAAATTGCCCATCAATATCCAATTAAACAAAGTCGTTTACCATTACCAACAAAATTAAAATCATCATCGATTTTGGCTTCAGCATCACCATCACAAGGTGCACGTAATAAAACATGTTCATCAACATCGTCAACGGGAAAATCAAGACAGAGTAAAACACCAAATGGTGTTAATGATGATTGCAGCAATTTAATAAGCATCACTGGAATTGCAAATGATAATACCTTGACAAAAAGAGTCAAATCACCACACTCTTTTTCATCTCGTGTTTCTTCAGTTTCACCACTTAGCACTCGATCAAGAATTAAACGTCTGGGAAAGTAAAATACACAAGAATCTCAACCGAAAATCTTTTTTTTTCACAGAGAAATATATATAAACATATATAGTCAATATTTACTAGATTTTTTTTTTTTTTTTTTTTTAAATGCGTTGTCTGTCTATACATATACTCAGTTAGTCGGCTCTCTTTTCTGTATCGAATTTATTGATATCACTTTTTACTATACTATTCAATTTTTTAGCTAGTTTTTTATTTAAACGAAAAAAAATTTTGTAAATGTGCAAAATGGGGTTTTTTTCAATTTGCACTTTAAATGTTAATTTTACTAATACATTGTCTTTTTTTTATAATTGCTTACTATTTTCTTTAATGGGAATTCATGTGAAATACAAAAAAAAATTTGTGTGAAGAATTCCGATATAAATAAAAAGAAAATTTATTTTCTTAGTATTATTCATAAATTACCAATTTGGTAGTTTTAAAAATGTAATTTAAATTTTTATACAAATTTTCAGTAGTTAAATTCTAATTTAGTATTAAAATTACAATATTTAAAAATATTGTAGCAGTGACACATTTTGGTAGAAAAAAATTTATTTAATTTTTAATTAATTAAATTATTAATTACAATATTTAAAAATATTGTAATAGTGTGTCACACATAGAAAAAATTTATTTAATTATTAAGAATATTTTTTAAAGCGTGGTTTATTTTGCAATTAGAATAAATTTTTCAGAAGAAAGAAAATATTTTCTTTTTTTTCTAAATAGAAAAAGTGTTATCGAAACATGCTGTTGATACAGAAAAGAGAAAAAATTAGAAGGGAATATCGATTTGTAAGAAGCATTATTCGTGTTCTGTATAAATATTTTTTTCAGCATTAAAAAAAAACTTTCGTCAATAAATTTTTTTTTTTTTTTTTTTTTTAAGCTATGCATTTAAAAATAATGGTGATCGTGTAGTTTGCTTTAAGCAAATGAAATTTTTTTCGCTTTATAAATTTAGCACTTTTATAAAAAAAAAAAATATACAAAAAAAAGAATTATCTTTTTTTGAGAAAATAACTAATTTTATTTATTTCTTATTCTATTTTCTTTTGCTATTCATTTAGACAAATTATGTTTTCTATAATTAATTAATAACTGAAAATACTTGATTTACTCAATTGCGTATTTATCACAACGAATATTTCTTTTTTTCTAAAAAAAAAAAATTAACTTTTATCATTCATTGAAATTTTAAATTCATTTATCGGTGCTAACGATTAAAAGTAATTTTTTCAAGTCCCTGAATGTATTTAAGATAAACTATTATATAAATATAATTCTAAAAAAAAAAATTTCAAAACAAATCAAGTTCAACTGTTTTTTTTCTTAACAATTTAATTTAGTTACAATTTTAAGTTTAGAATACCTTCTTCGTAGAAAACTTTTTAATAATGGTTACTTATCGTTTTTTTTTTTTTATTGGGAAACTTTTTTTTCAACAAACACTGTTTTCCAATTGTTTTTTTTTTAATCATTACTACTATCTAATAAATTAATTATAATTTTGAAATTAGTAAAATTTCTTATTCTCCGACATTTGTAATATTATATTTTAAATGTCAATCAAATAAAATATTAGTTTTCTATTCTCTAACTGTAAGTGCCATTATATCTGAATCGCTTTTTTTTAAAAAAAAAAAAAAAATATGTTTTCTTAATAGTAATTTTTATATGTAGTGTAGAAACTCTATTTTTGCATCATTTTAAACACTGAAATGATATTGATATTGTAAACAAAGGTGGTAATAGAATGTTTAAATGTAAAAAAAAAAGTAAAAAAAAAAAGAAAATTATATTGTATAATAGTTGGAAGAACAAAACACAACTGTTGATGTTACGAGAAAAAGTCTATCAATGTGCCTATTACACTATTCTCAACGTATGTACACATGTTTGTGAAAAAAAAAGACAATTATGTATTGTTAAGATTTTAGGATTATCATATCCTATTATCCTTTATTTATGTATAAAGAAGAAAGTATGTAATCATATGAAGTGATAAAGCTAGAAGATGCTCGTAGCAATCGTGAGTTTGAGTGTTCAAGTATTTTTGAATAAAAATGACTACAAAATAGAAATTATTATAAAATATATATTATGTATAATAAATACACGGTAGAGGTATGTTTTTTTCCGATTTAAAAATTAAAAAGAAATAAAGATATAAAAAACACAAAAATTTTATCTTTACCTTTTTTTTTAGCAATAATTTTGGGAATATAAAATAAGAATTAATTACCAAATATTCAGCTTTATTATTTTTAGTAACTTGTTTTATAACTATAATTTCCAGTCATAACTTTAAAAATACCATTATTTTATAATACAAAAATTGTTCATTGCACCTATTTATTAGTTTCGCTTTTATTTGATTAATCTAAATAAAAAAAAATTGGTCCAGTTCAGTTATATAGTTTATAAACTGATTTAGGACTCATCTTGGGAAACCTGAATCATATCCTTTAATTCGTCAGAAACGGAGAATTCACAGCCAGTCGAACTGACGATTTCACTTATGTCAACATTCGGTGCTTTTTCGATAAGTTTCAGACCCTCTCCTTTAATTACTTCAAAAACTGCCAAATCGGTAATTATTAAATCCACACATTCTTGACCTATAAAAATGTCAATTTTTTTGAAATTTAAATTCGAAATTTAGGTAAAATAGAATAATTCTTTGTTCTTCTTTTAAATAATTGAAAGAAATTACCAGTAATTGGTAATGTGCAGTTGGCTAAAATTTTTGGACTTCCATCACGAGCTTTATGTTCCATTGTGACAACAACTTTTGTATTTTCAGCAGATACAAGATCCATTGCTCCTCCCATTCCTTTAACCATTGTTTCCGGTATCATCCAATTTGCCAAGTCTCCATTTTGTGAGACTTGCATTGCTCCCAAAATTGTTAAATCGACGTGACCCCTTTAATTATAAATAAGGTAATTTTCTATTACTATCTAAAAAAAAAAAAGTCAAAGCACGAATAAAATTGAAGAAAAATACCCTCTTATCATCGCAAAACTCTCATCACTGCTGAAAAATGAAGCGCCAGGTAAAACGGTAACAGTTTCTTTACCGGCATTTATTAAATCGGGATCAATTTCAGATTCATCGGGAAATGGACCTAATCCCAAAATTCCGTTTTCTGATTGTAATGTCACCTTCATTCCTTTTGGAATAAAATTACTGGCAAGCATCGGTATGCCAATTCCCAAATTAGCTATACAAAAAGCAAAATTAGGTAATATTAATTAAAAATTTCAATTATGAATTTTATTTGTTTAATAGAGTAGAAAACTCACCGTACATTCCATTTTTAAATTCTGCAGCTGCTCGTTTTATAATCCTCTCTCTAGCCTTGCCAGCTGGTGTTGATTTTTTAGGTTTCACCGATTGTTTCGTTAATCTTTTCTAAACAAAATTTAATAATCTATTATTAACAATTAACAAAAAAAATTTGACTGCAAAATTACAATTTACCTCAATTCGTTTTTCGTACGCTAAACCTTTTATAATTCTATCTACATATATACCGGGTACATGAATATTATCAGGATCCAATTGTCCAATTTCAACAATTTCTTCAACTTCGGCTATTGCAATTTTTGCTGCCTTACACATAACTGGATTGAAATTTCTTGCTGATTTTCGAAATATTAAATTACCCGCTTTATCAGCTTTCCATGCTTTAATTAAGGCAAAATCACCGGTAATTGCAGTTTCAAGAACATAATTTCGTCCATTAAAATCTTGAGTACTTCTTGCATCGCCTGATATTTCTGCTTTACCTGATTTATCGTATTTAACAACAACATTACCCTCTTGTATAATTGTTCCCCAACCAGTGGGAGTGTAAAATGCTGGAATACCAGCACCTCCCGCTCTTATACGTTCGGCTAAAGTGCCCTACATAATTATTACAAAATTACATTTTTTTTCGCAATGCAAAATAAAAATTCATTTCATAAAAAAAAAAAAAACATTTACTTGAGGTGTTAGTTCTACTTCAAGGTCACCTTGAAGATATTGTTTTTCAAATTCTGCATTTTCACCAACATAAGAGGAAATCATTCTCTTAACTCTTCGTTCTTTTAATAGTTTTCCAAGTCCAAAATCATCAACACCGGCATTATTGGAAACAATTGTTAAATCAGTTGATCCTCTTTTTAAAACAGCATCTATTAAATTTTCAGGTATTCCACAAAGTCCAAAGCCACCAACTAAAAGTTTTGAACCATTTTCAATGTCTGATACAACTTCTTCGGCATTTTTAAATACTTTTCCATCTCCAGTTAAATCAGCTTTAACTGAGAATTTACTAGTTGATATCTATAAAATAAAAAGGACATTTTCTAAATTTATGTTTCGTTAAAACTTTATTCTCTAAAAAAGAAAATTGTTTTTTCTCCTCTTGGAAAAAAATAATCTCTATTTCTTAATTATTTATAAAAAAAAAATTTTGCATACGAAATGCTTATTTTATTTTTTCTGCTCGATTGTTAAAAATAAATAAATAAAAAAAATTAAATAATAAAATAAATAGTGTTCTTACCTTGACTAGTTCATTTTGTTTAAATCTACATTCCGCTATAAAACGAAAGAAGATTCTACTAGTTTTGCTAGTGATGAAAATCATATTTAAACTTTCTGTCCAAAACAAGTATCACAATGTGGACTTTAATCTTTTAACCTAAAATGTATAACAACATATGCTTATATTGAACTTAGAAAAATATTGAAAATCAAATATTAGAATTTTAAATTCTAAAAATGCAGTTCTTTCCTTTTATTTACCGTATAAAACTAAACGCCGGTTTTTAAATACATTATGAGAATAATATTTCTACTTTAAATGCCAAGGATGTCCAGTTAATAACAAATTTGCATTCATTAAAATATTCCGAATTCCTGATTTAATTAATTTATTTTTATCCGTTTTAGTTAACAAAATTAAATAAAATTTATTAACAATTAACAAAATTTTAGCTGACAAAAAAAAAATTAATTATTCAAAACCTAATTCTCATTCTATTTGATAAAAAAACATTTTATTATTGTACTTTTCTTTTAAAAAAATTTAATAAACAATAATATTTAATTATAATTTGATTTTCAATATACTAATAAATAATTATCTCAAAATGTCTATTAAAAAAAAAAAATAAATTAATAATACGTACCTAAAATTTTTGTACAATCACTGATAGTGAACAAATTATATATTCTGAACCATTGGTTACTTCTGAATTTCACACATTAAGAAATTGGGCATCTCTTAAATTAATATGCAACAATCAAAGAGAATATTTCATTGTTAGTGTTAATACGTTTATTTCACTTACACAGTTAAAATAGATTATCAAATATATTTATCAAAACCGGATATGCCTTTAATATTTATGCAAATAATTTCCAGCACAAAATATAATGTTGCAATATAGTCTGCGTTAAATTTTGTTAACATATTTAAAGTTTTCATTCCGGTTTTAAAATTGTTATTTTTTTTTTATTATTAAAAAATTACCTTAGGGTACAGTTACAATGGAGCAGATTAGCAGAAAAGACATTAGCCAATCAGGCAATTGCAGGAAATTTCTCAATCTCATGATTGGCTGCTATCTATTTTACTAATCAGCTCGATGTTACTGTACAGTAATTTTTTTAAATTATTAAATAAAAAAAAAAAACAATTTTTTTAATTTTTATAAAATAAGTATAGTAAAAGTGTCTTTAACAATTCCTCTTGCAATTTCTATTTTTTTAAACCAAATCGATATAAAATCGATTATAGTGCAACTTTACATCTAGAAAGCAGTTAACTTCAGCTTGCTTTAGTTTTTCTGCTAGTACCTGCGCTTGACCTGCGCTCATAATTCTTTTCATTTTCTTATTCGAATAATATAATAATAAATATTAACAGCAACAATGCAGGTCAATCTGTGGAATTTTATGGCCGTTTCTGTGAGGGTATGTAAAAAATTATTTATTATTTTAATTAATTGACACGAACAAATTTTCTACTGTACCCCCACAAAAAAGTCTCCTTCGTGAACTCTTGAAGGACAATCTTTTTACAAATTCTATTTATTTAAGGGAATATTTAATCGTTTTTTTTAAAAAACTATTTTGTTTTTGTAAAAATAGACGTTATTCCAGTACATTGTATTATTTTAATTATATATTTTACCAAAAAAATATTGGTTATGTCTGTATTATACAACAACCAAAAAATATGTATTTCTAATTCACGTGCCAATGTTAAGTCGTTTTTAATTTGGTAGAAATTTTTTTTTTTGTCTACTCATTTCTAATTATAAGTTATTATTTTTTGATTACTTTATTTTTGAGAGTATTTGTATTTTTTCTTAATGTTTACATTATTAGAATAATGTTAATAAATTTTTTTATTTAACCTCCAAATATTTGAATTTTAATCGTAGAGAATTTTAACAAAAATGATTTTTTTATTTTAATCACTATTTTCGAAAAAAGGGAATAAATATTCAATTTTTACAGCCAAATTGTATGAAACGAGTTATCAATCCAGCAATATCAGCAGTACAACAACGAAGGTATGCAAGTACATTGGATGCAGATCTTGTTGTTATTGGAGCAGGTCCAGGTGGTTATGTAGCAGCAATTAAAGCCGCTCAATTGGGAATGAAAACTGTTTGCGTGGAAAAAAATCCAACTTTAGGTGGTACTTGTCTCAATGTTGGTTGTATACCATCGAAATCGTTACTCAACAATTCTCATTATTATCACATGGCTCATAGTGGTGATTTAAATCAAAGAGGTGTTATTGGTATGTATGAATATTATAATTCGAAAAATATTTTTTTCTTTCTAATAATTTTTATTTCTAATTTTTCTCAGTGGATAATGTTAAACTCGATTTGGATAAATTATTGCAACAAAAGGATAATGTTGTGAAAGCATTGACCGGCGGTATTGCTGGTTTATTTAAGAAAAATAAAGTCGAATGGGTTAAGGGTCATGGAAAGATAACGGGAAAAAATCAAGTTAGCTCATTAAATCCCGATGGTTCAATTGGCACTACAATAAATGCAAAAAATATTTTAATTGCAACTGGAAGTGAAGTGACACCATTTGCTGGTATTGATATTGATGAAAAAACCGTTGTTTCGTCAACTGGTGCACTATCATTGAATCCAGTACCAAAAAGGCTTATTGTCATTGGAGCCGGTGTAATTGGTCTTGAATTAGGATCAGTATGGCAGAGGTAATTTCAAAAATTTCTATTATTTTTTTAATTAGAAAAAAGTAAATGAAATTTTTTTTTTTTAAGATTGGGTTCAGAGGTGACAGCTGTTGAATTTATGAGTACGATAGGCGGAGCTGGAATTGATGGTGAAGTGAGCAAAACACTACAGAAAGTATTAACAAAACAGGGAGTTAATTTTAAATTAGGAACAAAAGTAACAGGCGCTTCAAAAAGTGGTGGTGAAATTCAAGTCACCGTTGAAGATGTCAAAGATTCTAGTAAAAAAGAAACATTGGGCTGCGATGTTTTATTGGTTTGCGTTGGACGAAGACCATATACGGAAAATTTGGGTCTCGAAGAAATGGGTATTGAACGAGATGAAAAAGGACGAGTACCAGTTAATAATCGTTTCCAAACAGTTGTACCAAAGTATGTTTTTTTTACCTAAAAAAAATTTAATTTATTTTTAAAAATTTAATTTATTTAATTTGAATTTTCCAGTATTTTTGCAATTGGTGACTGTATTCATGGACCAATGTTGGCGCACAAAGCTGAAGATGAGGGTATAATCACAGTCGAAGGCATTGCCGGAGGTATATTATTTTCTTTTTCTCCTTTTTATTTTCTTTTTATAAAATAATTTTTTATTTTTAAAGGCGCTGTTCACATAGACTATAATTGTGTACCAAGTGTTGTTTACACACATCCCGAAGTGGGATGGGTGGGAAAAACAGAAGAGGATCTCAAGAAAGAAGGAATCGATTATAAAGTTGGTAAATTTCCATTTATGGCGAATTCGAGAGCGAAAACAAATTTAGAAACTGAGGGCTTTGTCAAAGTACTCGCTGACAATAGTACGGATAAAATTCTTGGCGTTCATATGATTGGACCCGTTGCTGGTGAATTAATTAATGAAGCAGTACTTGCCATGGAATATGGTGCGAGTGCAGAGGACGTTGCGAGAGTTTGTCACGCGCATCCAGTAAGTGATTTTATTATTTTTTTTCTTTTACTCGAATTGGAGAAAAATAATTTATTTTTTGTTTTTCAGACGTGTTCAGAGGCTTTAAGAGAAGCTCATCTTGCTGCCTATTTTGGCAAACCAATCAACTTCTAGAAAGTATTCATCAATTTAAAAAAAAAAAGGAAAAAATACAGTGCTTTTTTTTTTTGAACACAATCGTAGATCCTTATTGGAAACTACGCACTCTGATCTATCGTCGTACCATCGCTAATGTGCATACTCCGAATAAACTGTAAATAAATTGAAGAACCATTGATTTAAAAGGGGGAACACGAGCCCTTCTTTTTTTTAATAGATTTACCACGAAACTTATAAATATTGTATTTATTTGAAATATACCAAAATCCATATATTGCGTTTTCGCGCGAATATGGGGCTGTGAAGAAACTATCAATTTTTCTTTTTTTTCATAATTTAATTTAATTTTTAGTTTTTTTAATTATTTTATTAATTTGTTAAATTATCTAAATTTATTATTTAAATTAGATTACTATTATTTAAGATTATTCATTCAAATTAATAAAATTCAAATACTTCTGATTTACGTTGCGTAAGAATACGTATTGTGCGTCATTCTTACCGGTTTTTACATGACTTCACTACATGTCTGTTTACAAATTGTTATTTAGTTAAAAATGACCGATTTTTTCAATTTTATAAACATTTAATTACTCCATACAGTTCAGAATTGAAAAAAATAATAAAAGTATACAATAAATATCAGCACGAATTTTAGTGACCATAACCTCAAACTATGGCTGACATCATCAGCTGTTGCCAACAAAACTGACGTTTAGAATATTATCTAAATTATCCTCCCGAGTATAATTTTTTTGCAACGGTAAATAAAAAGTGACTCAATAGTTTTATTAAATATCTAAAAGTTATATATTACATTTTTTTAATGTAACAAACAAAAATGAAAAAGGAGAACTAGGCGTTGTAGCCACTGTCAAGTTTTCTCTAATCAAGTGAAATTTGAGTGTCAGTTTTTTTTTTTTGGTTTTTTTTTTTTTTAAATAATAGAATATAAAACAATGGAACACGTGTTAATAAAAGATATTCGTCCGGGTCAAAAGAATATCAATGTCGTATTTATTGTTCTCGAAGTTGGACATCCTACAATTACCAAAGATAACCGCGAAGTTCGAACTTTTAAAGTTGCTGACAATACAGCGTGTATGAATGTCTCCATTTGGGACGAACCAGGAACATTATTGGTACCTGGTGATATTGTGAGATTAACAAAAGGTTATGCATCAGTTTGGAGACAATGTTTAACTTTATATTCAGGAAAAAATGGTGATATACAAAAAATTGGAGAATTTTGTATGGTTATCAATGAACAACTAAATATGAGTGAACCAAATCCTGCACTTGCACAACAAATAGTTAATCAAAGTGGTTCCGGTCCACCAGGAAGTAATGCCAACAGTAATATAACAAATAATGGAAATGCAAATAATGTTTCGGGAAATAGTGGAAGAGCACCTTTGGTATATTTTTTGAAATTGATTTTGAGAAAATTAATTATTTAATATGAAAATTATTAATTTTTTAATTTACTTTAGGCAATACAGAGCAATGCAACAACTCCGGCAAGTGGAACATCAAGTAGTTCGACATCGAGTAAAAGTGAAACAGGAACAAAATCATCAACAACAAAAAATAGTACTCGCGGTCGTGGAAGCTACAGAAATGGCAGTCGAACTGATAGAAGATAACACACGAGTGAGACGTTAATTAATTTGTAAAGAAAAACAAAAAAAAAAGTAATTAAAAAATGTTACCGATTGCAAAAAAAAAAAAGAAAATACCGAAAATGTTTATCATTTCAAGTTTCATTTTTATTACTCTTTGCAACATTTTTCGAAAAAAATTGTCTTTTTTAAAAATATATTTTAAAGATTATAATTTCTTTTTTTATTTATTCAGCAACTTCCACTAAATAATAGGAAATAATTTGTAACATAAGAGTTTGATATAAGATATTATATTGATAATAGGAGAGTAGTTGATTCTCAGTGTTCAGAACGACTGAAATTTTTTTACACATAGTTAATAAAATTTTTTTTTTTTCTAGTTTTTTCAATAAGATCATTTTTTTTTTCTAGTGGAAGATTTAATTTGTAATTGATTTATAATTTATTTTTAAATATTTAAAATTTAGGTAGTCTATTAAGAAATACACACGAGATAATTCTGTATAATTAATTATACTTTGAATAAAAAATGAAAGTCTGGTATATATTGTTTGTTGCCTTTTTTTCTTTATTAAAATATTTTTACTTTTTTAATCTATTTACATTTTAAAATTAATAAATAGAAAAAAAATTATCTATAAGCAATGGAGAAAAAAATAATAATTTAAAATTAATTAATTTCTATAAATTTTTGTGAAAATGGCGGTAAAAATTTGAAAAAATTTTCAAATCTAGTCGGTGAGAAAGATTTCGTTTTCATCGATCGAGTAATTAAATGCCCCGGTGATGGCGTTTTTAGCAGCTCCAAAATCCAAGTGGAGTTCTGCCATAAACCTTGCGGGATCTGGGGAAGTCTGTCTCTCAACGACACATCGATGACCCTCGGGTAAGTTTTTTTTTTTTTTTTTAATTTTTTGCAATCTTTATTAATTTTTAAGACCCTTGTTTTTTTTGCTATTAATTTATTGATGCGAGTGTCGATTAATTTGTTATAGTTTGTAAAAAAGTGTTCACATCAAACTCCAAATATACATTTTACGGTCATTTCACTAATGATCAACAAAATTTTTTTTTTTTTTTTATACGGTAAATCAAATCCCTGCTGTCAGTTAAAGTACATACAATTGCAGTACAAGTAGTAATTTGACGTAATTTGCGATACAATTTTTTTTTGTCACATCTGATCACCTGTGTGAAATGTCATATTTTTAACCTCTTTCATATTGAACTAATAATAATGAAATATTTTCAATTTAAGAAAAAAATATTTCTCTTTTGGATAAACAAATATTTTAAAAGCAATTAGTGAAGTTCAAAATTAGCTTTACGTCACTTTGGTTTATAGTTATGATTTTGTATTGTTGTATTTTATTTTCAAGATGGTAGTTTCAATATAGTTTTGCGTAAATTGTTGTTAATTATTGTAGAATGTAATTTTTGGTATTTTTTCTTTTTAATTGGAAATGTCATTGTTTAACAACAACTGTTTGTAAATGACAATTTTTGTTACATTCTCTTTTTTTTCAACTGTCAAGTATTTTTGATTTCAATATAGTCAAAAATGTATACCTTCTTCTGTATGACAATCTCTTTAATTTACTTTTTATATATAATTCTATTTTTATCTCAAAGGATAGGATTCAGAAATTAGACGACGTTTGATATCTGAGTTAATTAATAAAATTAAATTGAAATATCTAATTATATTATTATTTATTGTTGATTTAATTTTAGTATTTTAGTATATTTAAAAACAAATATTAAATATGTTTTCAAAATAATTGTTTTTATTTTTGTTGATTCAGGTACAAATTCAGTTGGGGATATCCACCGAAAGCTGGTCTCTGACAATTGACCAATGGCTTCAAGAAATGTACACCTACACGCCAAACTTTTCTCGCTAACCAGTGTCTGATGGTCGGAGTAGATTTAAAAATTTTCAATTTTACAATTTCACCTTCGGAATGAGTAACAATACAATAGGCGGTCCAGAATTATTTTCCTTGCTTGAGTCTAATAAACCCAGCGAGGTAGATGAAACAAAAACAGTTCTTCACGAACACTTCCTATCGAGTAAGTTTTCAAATTGTTTTGGAATTTTTTTATTTTTAATTTTCTTTTTTTATAACTAATTTTTTTTTTATATTCAATTTTCACAGCTAAAGACAACTGGTTAGTTAATGGACTCTTTGAATATTATCTTTCAACAAATTCAAATAGAGCTATTGATGTTTTGGCTAAAGTTCGAGAGCCACATGACAAACACTTGCTGGATAGACTGTATGAAGCTCTTGCCAAACCGAATAATCAAGGTCAAAAACTACTGACTCTTACACTCTTGGGCCATGTGGCACGTCGTCAACCCACCTGGCTTTTTAAGCTTGCTAATCATCAACTCTTTAAAGAACTTCTTAAATTACTAAAAGTAATTTCTTTTTTTTTTCGTTATGATCAATTTTTTCTGTAATTTAAAATAATATATTTTTCTTTTAGATGGAGGGAGAAACTTTATCATTAATGAGTGCACTTTTATTATTGGTGACATTATTGCCAATGATACCGGGAGTTCTTGGACCACATCTTCATGACATTTTCGAAGTTTTTGCCCGTTTAGTTACATTTTATTACAATCAAGCTTCTCAACTTTCATCACAGAATTCGACTTCTGTCGAGTGGGATAGATTTTATTTTTTACACTTACAGGTAAAATAGTAAATGAAATATTTTTACATTTAATAGAAACGAAAGTGAAAAATTTATTGTTTTTTTTCTTAAAGGTGGGACTCTATAGTCTTTTTCATAGACTGTATGCAATGTACCCGTGTAATTTTGTCTATTATCTTCAACAACAATATCAACGAGATCCAGAATCAACATTTTCATATACTGTACAACCAATGTTGGAATCTGTCAGGATGCATCCACTTTTAATAACTATGTCAAAAGAAGCGGAAATTAGTCAACAAAGGTGATTTTTTGAATAAAAAGAAAATTTTTGACAAAATTAACACATTTTTAGCAAATAAGTGTTTTAAATATTTTTTTTTTTTTAAATATTTTGTTTTACAGGTGGAAAAAAATGGAACATCATGACGTTGTAGCGGAATGTGGAAAATTTACTATAGATAGGAAAAATCAAGAGGAAATTGTTGTACCTACGAAAAATCCACGTTTCACTCCAAATCCAGGTAATTTGTCAATAAAATAGAATTTTTATTCTTTTTTTGTTAAATAATTATATGAGCATATCACTGGAATTTTTATGTTAAAAAAAACTAATGAGTTTTTTTTGCTAATTAGAAGCTGATTTGTTACTAATTTTGCTAAATTTGAAAAATTTTTGTTTGCTAATTTCAATAAATTTTTACCAGTTTGCTAAATTTTTTGGAACTATCTTTTTTAAAATGTTTATAACAATAAAAATGTCAAGGGATTTTAACATTCGGAACTATTTTTTTAAAATAATTATAAAAATTTCTTTTTTATTAAAATTTAAAAAAGACCGTTTAAAAGCCTTGAAATGTTTATTATTAAAATATTATTAATAACTTAATATAATTAATAAAAAATTTAATTTAAAAAAATTAAAATATAATTAATAAATAAATATTATTGCTATTATTATTATTTAAAAAATACAAATAAAAGGCATTAAAATGTTCATTATTAAAATTTATATCTGGTTTTTTGTTGGAAATATTAATTTTGAATCGGATCTATCGTTTACAATTTGTTATAATTATTTTGTTTTTAGATTATCCATATCCTGGAAGTGATACAATTGGAGAGGATGATACATTTTGGTCTCCGAGTATGATAATGCCACCACATAGTCCTCCAATTTTACAAACACAACCTCATGAAATAAGATCAACGCCCTCGACTCCTGGTAATAAAAGTAGAACATCACCACCTGAAGCGGCCGTCGAAGCTACTCCAGAAACAACACCTGTCAAGGTATATAATTTAAAAATATTTAATTACTTTTATTAGTATTCTATTATTTACATATTAATTGTTTAATTAAATTTATTTCACAGGACTCAAGACAGATGCCATCAAGACAACCAATGAGTAATTCAGCTGTGAGAGCACTTGGCGCATTTGGAAATGGAGTTCTCGGTGTGAATTCTCGACCGTCAACGCCAAATTCTGTGATTTCTTCAAATTTCACATTTGGTGGCGGTGATAATTCTTTAATTACGTCCTCAATTCTTTCGCAAAAACTCGAGAAAGTTGAATCCGATAGATTTAATTTTCAATCGCCAAAATCAAAAAACATTTCAAATATCACGGAAAAATTGTCAGAAACTGACGTCAGTCAAAATGGAAAAAATGATTCTTGGCAAGAAGATCAGGAGGTAGATATTTTAAAATTGAAAATTTTATAGTTAAAAAATATTTAATACATTATTGACAAAATTTAATTTTACAGATTTTGGAAATTGTGAATGCAAGGGGCAGTAGAAATAGTGCATCGAATTATTTGCAACATCGATTGCAAATGAATGATTGTGTAAAGAATACAAATGTCCAAAGATTTTGTCCCATTTCACAAACAATAAAATTGGATAATATTGTAAAAAATGAGGAAAAATTAGATTGCACCGAACAAAATGCAAGTAAAACGAAAAAAACAGAGGAAATTGGTACACAAACATTAGATTTTATTCCCTATGAACATCTTCTTAAAGATATTTGTAATCAAAAAAATCAAGAGGCCAATACAGAGCCGCCCACAATTCTTCTCGATCGTTATATTGAAACTTGTGTTGGTACAAATAGTTCCAGTGATTATAATCGATCAAGTTAGTATTGACTTTAATTTATAAAATTAAATTTTTTTGGAAAAAAAAATAAAAATAATTAATTAATAAAACAGGATCGAATGTATCGAAAGTAAAGCAAAGAAGACGCGATGATGATCAACAAGATGAAAATGTGGACGATGACGGCCTACATCACGATTGTATTAATCAATTGCAACTCGTTCAAATGCTATTACAATTTGAAAGACAGAGACGAGAAGTTCTTGCCGAACGAAATCGAAGGCTATTTGGCAAAATGAGAGATTCACGAGTTTCTGAAGAACATAACGTTGCTCTTGTAAATTTCGAAATTTTTCTTTAAAAAAAAAAATATTTGCTCTAAATAATTAATTTCTTTTTTCTAGAATGATCGTCTAAGAATTCTTGACGCTGAGAAAAGTGCACTGAAAACAGAATTGGATCGCAGTAAAGCAGAAATTCGTTCAATTGATGAAAGATGTTCACAGGCCTTACAACATTGGCAGTCGAAGGTAATTTATAAAATTCTTTTTTTTAAATAAAAAAAATTTTTAAACTAAATTTTTAATATTTAAAAATAAAATTTTCTAGTGCGTTGAGGAACAACAACAAAATCAAACGTTTAAGGATAAAATCGAAGATTTGGAAATAAAATTAAAAAGTGAGAGAAAAAAATCATCGGAAGGCGAGCGGCATATACAATCACTTGGTTTTGATTTATTTAATGCGGGTAATCAACTTCGTGAGGCTTTGAAAACAGTGAATTACGCTGAAGAATTGCAAAGAAAATTGTGTACTATTAAAAAACAATTTTTGCTTTTCCGAGAAGCGCAAATGCGAATACAACATGAACGCACAGATATTTATATGAAAGAGGCTAAAGAAGAGGCGGCCGAAATGCTCCAACGATCATACGTTGAAGAATTGCAAAGTAAGAGAAAATTTAATATTCCTTTTTTTTTTTTTAAATTTAATATTATTAATTTGCAATTTTTCACAGCACTACGAAAACAAGTGGAAAATGGAAAAGCACTTGTCGAGGCGTATAGAAATCGTTTAGGCGAATTGGAGAATAAAGAAGCGCGCAAGGAAAATCAATTAATTGATCAACAACGTCTATTATTGGAGGCAAAAGAAAGACATGAATCAGAATTACAAGCTGTTGAATCAAAATATAAAGCGCAAATGGAAATAAATCTTCTTCTTCAAGGTAGAATTTTGGAGTTACATGGAAAATTAGAGACTGAAATATCTCGAACTGGTTCAGTGAAAAATTTATCGGCTTCGGCATCACCAAAAGAACAATGTTCACCGCAATTATCGGCCAGTCATGCATCTTCCAGCGGCGATAATATTCAATATAATACTGGAAATACAATCAATGATTACAGTGATCAAACTGGTGAAATACCGAATTTGCATGCCATCATAGAACCACGTTCGAGTCAAATATTGACTTCGACCCGGTCTAATCAACATCGATAAAAAAAAAAAAACAAAAAAAAATTATATCAATGAATTGAACAATATTGTACATTTTATCAGGTCTTTCGTATTTGACCTTGCTGTTCAAAGAAAAAAGAAAATTTTTCCTTTTTTTTTTCTTTTTCAGAAAAATTAATTAGTAGCTTCTAATCAATAGGCTAAAATTAATTATTCAGTGAAAAAAAAAAAAAATTTAAATGTTGCATGATCGCTATCGCTGGGTGGAGATTTTTATTATGATTTGTCTCCACTTTTCGATCAGCAGCTTCTTTAACGACGAATTCACTATCTGAATAAAAGTTGAAATATTTTGTGAGCAATCTTAAACAAAAAAAAATTAATTTTTCTTTCCACTCCTTTTTTTTTTAATCATATGGGTTATTAAAGAAAATCAAGTTTGATATAAAAAAGAAAACAATGTATTTGCAAACATAAATGATTAAAATTCGTGTATAATACTGAACGATAAAAAAAAAAAACTGTCGAATATCACACGTGAATAACACGCACAAATTATATTTGTACATCGATTGTAAATTATTTTAAAATTTAATGACAAAGACTATAAACAATGAAAAAATTAAACAAAATGGCAAACGATTTAAAAGCTTCCCCTATTTTTGAGAAAGAGAGTATTTTTTTTTCTTTTTAGATTTATACGACTTTGGTCTCGGTTTTTATGTTATCGGGCTCAAAAAGAAAAAATTAATTTTTTTTTTCCTTATGTCTGAGGCAGCAGTGTTAATACGTTTGAAGTTCTTGACTCATCGTCATGAGAATGGCATCGTTCGGGGGAGCGTAACTCGCTAAATCTGAAAAAGAATTAAAATATAAAATTAATTTCAAAATTAAATTAAACAAAATTTAATGAAATTAAAATTTGTTGAAAAAAATAAAGATTGTGCAAAAGAAAACAAAAATGGTTACCGTGCAAAATTATCTAAGCAATTTCATGCATCACAATCGTAATTACTTACGACTATGACCCTGTTGCAAAGGATAGGCTTTTGCTTTGCGTAGCAATAATTGCAGAATCCAATAAATTGTCAACCAAATGAGAGCTCCACCGGAGAAAATTCTGAAAGTAACAGCGCCTCTGTATTCGTCCATTAAGTATCCACAAAGTAAACTACCAACTGATACGCCTGCAATGAAATTAAGTAAGTTAATTAATTTATTTAATTATCTATTTTTATTTTTCAAGGATAAAATTTTTTTTACCAACGCCTTCGAATATTGCTCCGATAACTCCCTGAATTGTTGCTTTAGTTCCTGATGGCGCAACTTTGTCACCATAAGAAACCATCGTCGGCCAACAAAGTCCAAGTGATGGTCCATGAAGTACTTCAACTAAAATAATCCACCAGGCATTTGAAATTACACTGTAGGCCATAAATCTGAAAAATTAATTAGTAATTTTAAAAACAATTCACAATTTATAAATAGAACAATTTTTAATTTCTTTTTTTTTAATTTTTTCATCTAACCTAATAGCATAAACAAGTAAAACAAGGCTCATAACGTTAATGTGACCCAATTTTCTCAAAACAGTTCCCGATATAAAATTAAATGGTAATTCGCCCAAAAAACTTTGAACGCCAATAACGAGTCCCTGCAATGTTTTTAGCCATTCTGTTCCGGGTGGTACCAATTCTTCAGTGTACCATAAAAGAAAATTCCAAACAACACCAGTACAAATTCCAGATCCAATGCACCAGAATGTAAAAACAAGAATTCTTCCTTCTCTCATTAGGGACCACAATTCCCATAAAACAGATGGTTCAATTTCTCCGGATTGTAAATTTTTCTAGTAACATTTTTATTATTAAATTAATTAATTATTAAATTATTATATATTATTATTTGTTCTTTTTAATTTTTATGAATTAATAAATTAAAAATATAAATTATAATAATTAATAACAGGATAATTATTAAATACTTTTGTCAGAGTTGCTGAGACAATAATGTCAAATATCATCGCTATTAGCATAATATAAAATATGCAAGTATAATCCTTATTAGTTTCGTCACGACTAAATACATCTACTAAGTATCCTGCACTTATTCCAAATATTCCAAAGCCAATACTGCCCCACATTCTTTGTTTGCCATATTCTTTTCTTTTATTTTCACCTGAAATTAATTTAAATTTTTTTTATTATTATTAATATAAATTTCAATTATTTATCGCAAATGAATTTAAATTTATTATTTCTTTTTATGAATTTCAATTATTCACTGCAAATGATTTGAAATTTTTTATTTTTATTATAAATTTCAATTATTCGAGTAAAATACATTAAATTTTTTTATTTTTATTGTAAATTTCAATTATTTACCTAAAATGAATTAAAAATTGTTTTTTTAAAAATAAATTTCAATTATTCACTGCAAATGAATTGAAACTTTTTATTTTTATTATAAATACCAATTATTCACTGCGAATTAATTAAAAATTGTTATTTTTATTATAAATTTTAATTATTCATTGCAAATGAATTGAAAATTTTTATTTTTATTATAAATTTCAATTAAAAGGAAAATAAATTAAATTTTTTTTTATAAATTTTAATTATTTAACTAAAATTAATTAAAAATTGTTATTTTTATTAAAAAATTTTAATTAATTAATTAAATTATCTCACAGGAACTTAAAACTTCCAGATATATGACCATAAAACAATTTATTTTTTTTTAAATAAAATTTAATTTAAAAAAAAACTTACCAAGGACATTAAAACAAATGGCATCTCCTAAACTAACAACCACAGCCATTCCTATCCAACTGGTAATAGATGCCCATAAAAATACTTGAAATTGATATGTCGAGGTCTGTGATAAACTAGTGGAATTTTTCGATTGACGTATTAAATTATCCATTGCAGGATGTTTTGGACATGAAATTTTACATGGTGTCGACACTCCAGTATCACAGAGTCTTTTTGTTGACTGGCCATCAGGAAAAATGGCCTTTTCAACTTTTACATTAACACAATCTTTCAACTAAAACAGAAAAAAAAAAATGTTAATCAAAATTCATTTTAATATTAAAATATCATCAAAAGAGAAAAAAAAATTTTTCTCAATTTTTTTTAAATAAATAATAAAATAAAATTTTTCATATATATTGAAAAATAAATATTACCGATAAATCGTGATACATATCATAATGAGCAGTGAAATTAAATGGAATTCCATCGGGATTACAAAGATGCCAATGAGTACAGACGGTGTCGTTTATTTTTGTCAAACTCTGACAACTTATCTGAAAAAGAAAATAAAAATAGTAAAAAAAAATATATAATTTTTGAAAATAAAAATTACAAAAGTTAATATAAATATAAATTACTTGACAGTCGCCTTCGGATTTATTAGAGCTGATAACATTATCCAAAACATCCCTCGAGAATGATTTCTCAGGACACAATTCAAGAAAAGCTTGTGAATTACTACATTTTAATCTAGTATCCGCAGTCGTCATTATTTCGGGTATAAAGTGCATTGTAAAAAAGCTAATAGTTAAAAATGCTTGAAAAAAAAGAAAAAATGATTTATGAAGTTTGTACTTGTCAGCAAGACTTCCAAATAATGGTTTTGCAATTAATCCGGAGATTGGCAATATTGTGTAAATAGTGCCCACGAGAAATCCGGAAAAGCCCAACTGTTTTGCAAGTGTTGGCAAAAATGGCACAATGCATCCAGTGGCTATAAAACAAAAAGTAAAAATTTAATATTTTCAATAAAATACCTTTTCGAGAATATAAAATTAAAAAATACATACCGGCATTGTAAAGAAAATAATGTGCCTTGATAGGAACTAAATCTCTATTAATACTCTCTATCATGATTAAGGAAATTTATCACTATTAATAACTTTCAGTAGATAAGTCTTATCTGTAAAAACATAAAGCAAATATTAATGTCAAAAATTGATTAGAAATTTGCGAAATTAAAATACGAAGTAAAAATGCGTGTGTAACTTCTTCTTCTTCTTCTTCTTCTTTTTCTTTTATATTACATTTAAAAATGAAATAAAATAAATTCGGTACTTTACAATGTATATTCTATGATCGACGTGCTATCAATTAAATTAAATTGGGGATTTACCAAAGTGTCGAAGGTCAATTGATCGCAATTATTATGATATGGACATAACCTTCAAAAACTAGTTTGCACTCATTTATAGGCAAAAAAAAATATCAAGAAATGATTCAACAAGAAAAGAGATTCTCTAGAGAAAATTGCAAATATTTTAAATTTTTTTTTGCTTCTAATTTATATTAAAAAAAAAATTTTTTAAACTTACTTTAAACTATTTTTTAAATATCAAATAGCGTGTCCGCCCACAGATTTCCATGCTCGTTATGTTGTATCAATTTACAAATTCTTTTCTTTCTAGTCACAAAATCTTAATTACCCTGCTTTATCTATTCAAAAAACTCAATTTGTGAAATACTTATCCAATTTTTAAACTCCTATATTATGAACAAAACTGAGTCTTGTTTTATAACCTCAACTAATCGTTTATACAAACTTAATATAATTATATCTCAGATTAATATTATTATAATTACACTATGTACGTGATTAACATCAGTTTATTTGATTTTTATATTTGTTCCTATTTTATATGTATAAACAAAACTGTGACTTGTTTCATAACCTCATCTTTTAAACAAACTTAAAATAATTATATCTCAGATTATAGTTTTATTATATACTTACACTGTACGTGATTAACATCAGATTATTTGATGTTTTTTTGACACAAAGTTTCAACTTATCATGATTGTTTTGTTACTTTTATGTTGTTATTGTTGTTGTTTTTTTAAACACGAATTTTTGTTAAAACTTATAAATTATAAATTATAAATTATATAAATATAAAAAGTTATTTAAAATGATTATTTATTTTACAAAAAAACACTTAAATAATATTTAGTAGCAAAATGTATATTTGATCAGTTATCAGGTTATCACTGTCAAAATTTTGTCAAAATCAGCTGACATATGTCAGATTTCTATGAATTTGGCAACAATGTAACTATATGCACAAAAAATTATTATCAGTGAGAAAAATATTTATTGAAAACTATTTACTAATTCACTATGATCATAAAATAACTTAAAATGAATATTCACGTATTTTTATTTAATATACACTTTAAATTAAATATTTTATAAATAAAGTTTAAAAATTTGAATTTTTAAATTAGGTCTTATTTCTATTTAAAGGTGCGGCGATTCAAAATTCATGGGAATGTACCTTTAATACATAACCTAACAATGATAACAAAAACATAAATAAATACCGGCACTAAAGTTTGTAATAATTTTAAATATTTATTGTATATGTATGAGGATAAATAAACATTTATGTGCAAGTAAAAAAAGTACTACCGTGTTTGAAGTAATTGTCAAATATTATTTTTTACATCAATAGTGTGCGATAAATTAAATTTAAAAACATTAGTAATGCGGAAGTACGTGGCATTGGGTGTCATCATATAAACGAATAGTTAATATACGTAGGCTTTTAATAATTTTAATAGAAAAAAAATTAATAATCGAGACATAACAATTACTTTTAATAATTTGACAAAAAATAAGAAAACTAAAATGGCAGCCACTATTGACAGACGTGTTGCATTAATCACAGGAATCACCGGTCAAGTATGACAATATTTTATCATTATTAATTTCAATAAAATAATAGCAATTTTTGGGAATTTGTATTTAAAATTTTAAAGTTAATTATTAATTTTACATACAATATAAATGAAAAATAATTAAAATTTAAAAAATATTTCTAGGATGGTTCATATTTGGCTGAATTTCTTATCGAGAAAGGATATGAAGTTCATGGAATGATTCGAAGATCAAGTTCATTTAATACACAACGAATTCAACATTTGTACGCTGATCCAAATTGTCATCGTCAAGAAAAAATGAAATTACACTATGGAGATATGACGGATTCTAGTAGTTTAGTTAAACTTATTTCTTCGATTCATCCAACAGAAATTTACAATCTTGCAGCTCAAAGTCACGTGAAGGTTGGATTAAAGATTCTTTCATAAATTTTTTCTTTATTAAGAATATAATTAAACTTTTGTTTTGTTTTGTTTTTTTTCAGGTGAGCTTTGATTTAAGTGAATACACTGCTGAAGTTGATGCTGTTGGAACAATTAGAATCTTAGACGCAATAAAAACTTGTGGTCTGGAAAAATCGATAAAATTTTATCAAGCCTCAACATCTGAACTTTATGGAAAAGTGGCAGAAGTGCCTCAAAATGAAAATACACCATTTTATCCTCGTTCTCCTTACGGTATAGATAATTTTTTCTGTTTTTTTTTTTTTTTTTGTAAACATTTTTTAAATTAAAATTTATTCTTTCAACAGCATGTGCAAAATTGTACAGTTATTGGATAGTCGTGAATTATAGAGAAGCTTACAATATATTTGCCTGCAATGGTATTCTTTTTAATCATGAAAGTCCACGTAGGGGAGAAAATTTTGTAACACGAAAAATTACAAGATCTATTGCAAAAATTCATCTTGGATTACAGGATGCATTGGTACTTGGAAATTTGGACGCAAAACGAGATTGGGGTCACGCTAAAGATTATGTGAAGGTAAAATAAAAAAAAAAGAAAAATTTAAAAATGTAAATTAATAAAATTTTATTTATTTCGTTTAGGCAATGTGGCTCATTCTTCAACAATCTGTTCCTGAAGATTATGTTATTGCGACAGGTGAAACACATAGTGTGAAAGAATTTGTTGAGGCGGCATTTGAATATGTTGGACGAACAATAAAATGGGAGGGTCAAGGTCTCAATGAAGTTGGAAAAGATGTGAAAACTGATGAAATTTTAGTTCGTGTGGATCCTAAACATTTTCGTCCAACTGAAGTGGTATTTATAATTTTTTTTTCTTCTTTTTTTTGCGAAACGAAAAAAAAAAGTTTTCAACTATTTTTTAATTTTACAATTTTTTCAATTTATTTAACAATTTTAATAATTAACTATTTCATAATCAATTATTATTTATTATTTAACAAAATATATAATTAATAATTGAATATAATAATAATATAATTTGTTAAAATTTTTTTTTAATTTATCATTGTCAAAGTAAATTTCAATTTTATTCAATTTTCATTTGATTTAATTTTAATATTAAATTTGTAATAATATTGAATTATTTTTTTATTTCTTAAAAGTTTCAATCAATATTTATTTATTATTTAACAAATTAATATAAATAATAATTGAAAATAATATAATTTGTTTAACTATTTTTTAATTTATCATTGTTAAACGAAATTTCAAAAATTATTTAATTTTAATATTAAATTTCTAATTATTTTGAATTATTTTCTAATTTCGTAAATGTTTCAAAAATATTTGTGATTATTTTTTAATTTCATTAAAAGTAAAAAGAAGTATTTTGAAAATTTTTAGGTAAGTAGTTTTTTTAAAACAATTTTCAAATATTTTAGGAAAAAAATTCCTTTTTTAATTATTTTTTAATTTTTTTAAAAAAAAGTTTAAATTAATTTGAATTCACGTAATTTTGCGCGCCATTACGTAACTACCGTATGCCCCTGGTGGCGATTTCTTCTACTACATTTTTCTGAAATTTTTCAAATTTTACTATTTTAACGGTTTTAACGTATTGTTCGTGAGTATATTTACAATTTTCATTGCGCAAAAATATAAATTTAGTATATTTTCTTGTTTTATAAACTGTTTTACAACTGTAAAAATCGTGAGATGAATTTCGTTAAAAGTCCACGGCAATTGGCGGCCATTTTGGTGACGCCACTCTTCTTGCAAGCTCTTACTGCTCATAGCAGCAATACCGCGTTCAGTGAAGATAAAAGCTTTCGATAAAATAATATTTCGCGTTTTGTGTCTCGTAATTTCTTGAAATTGAACGAAAATTTACAGGATTTGCTTCAAGGCGATGCATCAAAAGCAAAAAGCAAACTTGGTTGGGAGCCAACAGTTTCGTTTCAAGATCTCGTAAAGGACATGATGGAGGCCGACTTGGAGCTGATGAAGAAAAATCCAAACGCTTAGAAAAACCAAATCGTGAAGCGTATTCGTGTCAAAAAAAGTTTGTCTACGAAAGTGATTTTTTTTCCACTCCATAATCCCTGGATGAGAATAAATGGTCAGTCATTTTTTTTTTTTTTAATAACTATATTTTTGTACAAATGAGTATACATTTAAAGGTTAAGTATAGCATATTATCACTGGTATCAATTGCAATTTTTATCCAATGTGCAATGTTGTATTACAAACTATATTTGTATAAATTTCGTATTTGACAATTTTTTCCTTTAAAAAATGATTAGTTTTGAAACTATAAAATAATAATTAAGTAACGATTAATTAATCGATAAATTATTTTAATTAGAAATATACAGTATTTTATGTTTAAATTACTTATTTAAGTTCTATTTTGTAAACCAAAGTCTGAAAAAATCGATTAAATCGATTTGACAATTTTACGTATTTACAGAACTTGTATGTTTTTTTTTTAATTATGAAAAATCGCACAAGTTTTCGTTCATATTTATAATGTAATAAATAAACGTTGTTGTTTTATCATAATTTCAGATATTTATATACCTTAAATATTAGTTTTCTAATGGAAAGAAAAAGGGTCGTAAATCGCAAAAAAAAAAAAAAAAATATTCGTCGAAAGGGATGTGAAAAATAAATGAAATTTATTGAAATTCTGAGAAGGATGATATTTAGATTTGTGTTTGTGTGAAAACGAAATCTCGCGTATTGCGCTTTTTGAAGAAACAAACAATCGACATGTGTGACTGAAACTATATAGCGTCGGAGTCATTAAAGTCCCTAAAAACAGTAAACAAACAAAAAATTTGCTGTATTTTCGATCTTGATTTTTAATGGTAAAATGACAATTTCCAGTTATATCCACACACGCATATTTACATTTACACATATATACAATATTTATCCAGACATTCAGTAAAAAAAAAAGAAAAAAATTTATGAGAAAATGTATTAAAATATGATTCTCGTTTTTATGAAAGTGGTTAGCTTCCGGAAACTGGTGATTTTCTCAAAATATTGTCGATCGTAAACATGGACGATTTAATACGATGTTCTGGAACTTGAACGGAGGTTGGTTCATCTTCTTTTAAACATCTTTCGTATTCATTTATTTTTTCTGAATATCCAGGTAGTTGCATCTATTTTAAAATAGAAAAAATTATATTATTAATTTTTTTTTTTTTTTTCTCCACAGACAAATTATTATATTTTCATACCGGAAGTATACACGAAGTTTGATTTTGAAGCTTCTCAAAATTCCTTTGCTTTCTTGTTCGTCGTCGACGATAATTTCCATGTTCAAACATTTCACTTGCCGATGGATCGAGTGTCCAATAACTTCCTTTACCGGCAAATTGTTCATCTTCATTGGGACATGTTTTGTCACGTGGTATTTTAACGAAACAATCATTTAAACTGAGATTATGACGAATTGAATTTTGCCATCCTTGACGATTTTCACGATAATAGGGAAATTTGTCCATAATAAATCTATAGATACCAGAGAGGGTTAATCTTTGTTTTGGCGATGAATTTATTGCCATTGCTATTAATGCAATATAAGAATACGGCGGTTTTTCACATCGTGGATGATTTTTAAATCTATGAATTGGCAATGGCCAATAGTGTGATAAATCCATTGGACTTGAAAGAGATTGAAGACTCAATGTTGGCGTCAATGATAAACTATAGTAATTTGGCAATGGACAAAGTGTGGGAATTATTTTCTCCATGATTTTCTTTTTTTTTTTGCCCTCCTGGAAATTGGAATTTTAAAATCGGTTTGTCAATTTTTATTTATTAACTTTATTCAAATTTTAGTTTCGTTTCTTTTGTAATATCGGAGTTTATTTATTTTAACCAATGAATTCGTTTGTTGATAAAAAGTATTTTTTTTTTGTTTCTTTATTTCAGGTGAAAGATTTTATGTCAATATTCAAATTAATAATACTGTTTTGTAAAAAAGAAGAAGACGCGAAAAATTAGATCAGATCCACATGAGGATTATTCAAATTGTAATTAACCCCTTCGACGGTTTAGTTTCTAAAAAATTAATTTTTCGATTCCCTTAATATAGGTAAGAAATAATTAAAACTGTTTTCATTTTTTTCTTTTATCGGAAAATTTTTATATTAAAAAAAGTTTTTCGTTCTACAAAAAAGAGGGTTAATTCTAATTTTCAATATAATTATTTTTTAATTTTCAAAAAATTCTTACTTTGGAAAATGTTTTTTATCCCCGAAAATTGGAAATCACTTTGTACTTTTCACAGAGGCATTTTCACTGGAAATTCACTTTTTATTTTATTCACCTTTTATTTTTTTTTAATTAACAAATTAATTTTTTAAAGAATTCTTGATCAATTTAATTGATTGATTGATTTTTTTTAGGGAGGAAAATTTTTTTCGATAGTTTAAGTAGTGATGAACGAAAATCGACTAATGAAGGGTGTTTTAATTTGACATGAGGTAGAACTCGGGGTATCAAAGATCGACTCCGCCCATGAATTTTCAGAAACTCCCGTTTGGCATTTTTGGATTGAAGAAGGAGGAGGTTACCTATCCGACGACCGCACTACATGTTTTATTGCTGTTTACACATATGCCTTAACACCCACGCCGGTAGTAACTGAGCCAATATGTAAACAGAGTTGCGGTAATTATACCGAAACGCGCGTTTCTTGGAAATAGTCGCCACATCGTTTTCCATCTTTTTCTATTCCTGTTTCACATGCCAAAATTGGGAAAAATCAAAGAAACAGAGGAAAAAATAATATGAAAATGTCATTTCAGTTGCTTCAAGGGAAAATTGCAATTTTTTGCAAAATTGGATTTTCATTACTTCAAATTGACAACTTTATGTCCAAGAGGTGAGATTTCTTCAAATCTAATTATTATTATTATTATTATTATTAAAAATCTAAACGGAAGAAGAAATTCGTACAGTAACTACGAATAAAAAAACTAATTCTAATTCTCAACAAGGAATAAAAAAAAATATTCTCCAGAAAAGGAATTTTCTTTTATTAAGAAAAAAGAAAAAATTAAATCGTTACAAAGATATTTTCGATAATGCTTTTTAGAAAAAAAAAATGAGAAAAGAATAATAATAGAATATAGAGAATTAAGAAACAAGAGAATAGAATTTATAAATGATACGCGAGGCTTTTATAAAATAACATTTTTTTTTCGAAAATTAGAGTAAAAAATCCCCCACTCAAAAGTAAATATCCTAATGTTTTGTCAGGTATTTTTAAACTACTACGTATAAATCAATTACGAAACAATATTTTAAGAATAATATTTTGATAATATAATGTCTATAATCCGATTACTTAGTATAAAATTTTTATTATTTTTTTTTCGATAACAAAAATCCACAAGAAAAACTTCACTTTCAATAATAATTGATTAAAAAAAAGTGGTCAATTAAATTTTTTTTTAAATTTTCAAATTACTTTTACGAATTATTACAATTTCTTTTTTTAATTTTTATGATTTTAAATATAAAAAATGTACTTTTGTGTAATAATTTCCCCTTAAAATGTAAAATAGACTTTTTTTCTTCTAAGGCAAAATTTCTGCCACTTGAGTTTCACAACTCATGAAGAATACCTCGAGAGTTATTCAAATAGAAAAGAATCACTCGCTTCAATATACGGAAATTGATTATGTGAACTTAAGACCAAACCACTTTAGAAAATGGGGCAAATCTAGATGTCAAAATAAATTATTTGAAGAGTTCGAAAGTTTTAATTTTTAATTGACAGCGATTATATTCTAATTTTTTTTTTAAAGAAATTTTATATTAATTTTGTGAATTAAAAAATATTTTTATTTTGAGTAACTAAATTTTTTTGTTTTAATTAAAATTTGTTTAGTTTTGGAACTTTTTTTGAGTGATTTTATAAAAAGTTGAAAATCACAGTAATAAATTTACACTAAATTGAATTATTTATAGTAAAAAATTTTTTTTTTTTGTAAAATCACAAAATTTATTCGTGCATATTTACTTAAAAGATGAGCAAATTTACAGTGCTCTAAAGAAAATTTTAAAGCAAACACAATTCCTCGTAATTCATCTCTTTCACATAAACTTGTAAGTTGCTAATTATAAGAGTTTGCAAGAAAATTGACTAAAATAGAAACATGCATAAAAAATCAAATTTTCATGAAGCGAGTGAGTTTTCTCAATTGCTAATAAAAAGAAAATGTTTCATTATTAAAAAAATTCTTTTTGGGTTTTTTTTTCCTCTTCTCAAAAATTTATTTTTAGTAAAATTTTACTCTAATTTTTTTTTTTTTTTTATTTGCAAAATAGAGTATGATTTTACATTCGATTTCATTTTTCAGAAAGTGAAGACATTTCTGTGGTAACAAGACATTTTATTTAAATCAGTGAATAGATAAATAATTATTATTAATCATTATTCTCTGTTTAATGACTTATATTAGAATTGTAGGTGAGAATTTATAAGAAAGTAGATTTCATATACAGGTCGATTAATCGCCCTTCGAGTGTATAAAATATATATAAAATAATTACGCGTGTAATTTAAATTTGCATAGCGAATCTAATTATTCATATAGAGAATATATTATCATAAACAAAGTGTTAAATCTCTTATAAGAAACGATAGATTATCGCTAATCAAATTTTGATAAAATTTTGATTTTATAATTTGATGCCCTGATTTTATTGTTTTTTTTTTAAATATATCTGGCACATTAAATTCCAGACAATTTATTCATAAAATATTTAAAATTTTTTCTTTAATATAATTACTTATTTCATTTTTATCTTCAATTTATTTTAGTTTGTTTTCTTAAATGTAAAATTTTTTTCTGTAATTGATAATTTATTTATTTTTCGACATATATTGACAATATTATAATAATTTATTACCTAAGTAATTTAGATAATTTTGTTTGATTAAAATAATTAATATGAATTAAAAATTAATGTTATTTAATATTGAGAAAAATTCAGTTAATAATTCTTTAATATTAGAAATTTAATTAATTATTTGATACTTGATTCGTTGATTTACCAAAAAAATTATATAATCTAAAAAGGAATTCATTAATTTCTGTATTTTACGTATTAAATTGAAATGAAGACTTTTGCCAAATTTAACGTAAAAATAGTTTTTTTTTTTTATTTTAGAGCAACTATGATTTATATATATCAGATAATTGAAATTTTTTCCTTTAAATTATAATAAAGAAGGCAAATAAGCACACGTAATAAATATACACTTTTCATAAGCTGAATCGCTTCAAAAAGAATATTTAATAAATAAAATACAGATTTTGAAACTCTTTTGTTAGATCAATGAATATAAATTATCAAAAAAAAAAAAAAAAAAAAAGCCATTGTGTATATTTATTACATTAGATTAGACATAAATTTTACGAAATTTGTATGTTTAATATGTTTTTCATTAACATAATTAAACATTTTTTTTTTAAATTATTATTCTCATGATTAGAAATTTATATTGAGCAATCGTCAAATACAATAGAATCAACATTTGTTTTGACTATCGATAAAAAATAATTGTCTTCAGAATATTTTTCATATTTTCGGAAAATAATGGAAAATAATATTGAAATAAAATTCTTTAGAATTGTCAATAATTTAAAAATATAAAAGAAAATTAAATTAATTAACATAAAAGAAAATTAATTAACTTATAATAATAAGAAAGTCAATTCTTTTTCTGGAGAAAAATCAGGATTTTAAATAATTTTTAATATACATTTTTGAAAAGATTTTTGCATCTAATTATTATAAATTTTGATGAAAAAAAATTTTGCATTTCGTTATAAACACCTACACAATTTAAGGAAAGTTTTTTTTTTTTTTTTTGTGAAAGCGAGCCGAGTTAATTAATTACAACAATTAAAAATTACTTGTCCAGTGATATTTTTCCTGATGACAGGAAGTGTTAAAACTATAATTTTAAAAGATTACGTCTCTTTTTTTTATCGTCTATAAAAATGAATAATTTTCGTTGTGAAAATTAACATAATTATATGTTATCAACAACCCTCTCCCTTCTTTTTTTTTTGTCTTCCGCATTTTATACGCGCAAATTAAAGACAAAAAGTAAGGAAGCCAAACTCTATGGGGTTTTAATTTTCTCTTATTAACTTAAATTTCATTGAATGATTTTTTTAAAAGTATTATTTCACAGAAAAATATTTATATATTCTTTTCTCCCAATTACGTAATGTATTTAGTTCCAATTTTTCTTTTTTACAAAAAAAAAAAAAAACCTAAAATTTCGTTATTTAACTAAATTATTATTTACGTTTTGTTAATCATGAATAGAAGAATAAATTTTGTTAGATCTCGTTACACCTGTTTATTATACTTTTTTTTATCATAGAAATTTCCAGCTGTATTTCTTTTTTCTGAATCGTTATAAATTAATGTTAATGAATTAAAAGAAAGAAATACTGAACATTGAGAATATTTTTTAAATTTATTTAAAAAAAAAAAAAAAAAAACAGTATAAACAAACTTTTATTGTAAATATAACTTTTATCGTATTAAAAAAAAGTCAATTGAAAAAAATTCTGTTTTTCATGATTTTTTTTTCAATATTATTGAAAAGTCTTTTTTATTATTTGCCATTAGGATAAAAATTTTGTTCGAAAAGAATTCTTTTTGAAATTATCAATTATCAATTTGATGTTGAATTATTACGTTATTTTGAATATTTTACATTATGTGAATAATTTAAAATTAAAATTTATTTCTTTCTCTATATTTGTACAAATTTTTATATATATATATATGGAGCAAAATATGATTTTATTTAAAAAAAAATCTTTACCGAGAAATTAAAGTCAAAAGTATAGAGTGGGGAAATAATGATAAATTATAAAAAAAAAAAATTATCAAATTGTTTTTTTTTTGTATTTTTTATTGAATAGATTTAAGATTTTCTCTCGAATAAATTAAAATATACTTTGTCTGATAAATTATCAAGAAATGCAATTTTCTCATCAAATAATATAATGATAATCGCTCTTAGTCGCGTGCAACTGACAGCTCTAAATTGAGTTCTTGACCTCGTGTTTTAATCGTTTTTTTCTTTCTATATAATCTTTACATATAATAAACAAAGAACCCAATTTTTTTTTTGCAGATTACAAATTATTTATAAATAATAATTATATTAATCTAATAATAATAATAATAATAATAATAATAATAATAATAATAATAAAAATAATAATAAAATGCTTGTATTTATATACGATAAAAAATAAAACTTGATATCAAGTTTCGCAATAAAATAAAAAATTAAATTTTCATTTACGTGTGATGGGTAATTTTATTACAAAACTTTCTAGTGGCTTATCACTTGTAAGCAGCAATTTCCTAGACAGTTTTGCAATGAATAAAATGGGTAGACAAAAAAATAACACCAACTGCAAAGAAATATTTTCCAAAAATTTTTTTTTCTCTTTGTAATAATTGTTTTGAAGAAAAATTAAAATATAAAGCAACATTTTTTTTTGTTATTTAATAGATATGTGAATTATTAATTCGTGCATCTTTGATAAATGCACATTGACAGAAAACTTTCTCCTACGCATTCATAGCATCCTGCGGGTCATATATTCTTCCTGTTCTTCGTTTTCTTCCTCTTTCGATATGTTACCGCACGAACGCTGTCACATCGTGTCGAATCAATTAGCAACTTTAAATAGAGAATTTGACGCAAATTTGCTTATTAAAATGCAAGAATGTTGAAAATTTACATTTATTCATATGACACTTTTTTTTTCTTTAATTTTTTGTAAATTAT